GTTTTAGAGTTATATTAGGGACTTTAGTAGACGCATAGCTACGCGAATTATAGGTTCTTTAGTCTAAAATACTTAGATTGCGAGTAGGATTCTATGCTTTATTTAATACGATTTCTTGAAATTTAACTACCGTGGGAATTAGGGCTATAGTAGATAGAATAGGGAAGTTAACGCTTTAGGGCGTAATCGTATTTTCTAATTCTAGCCTACTTACTAAGGTAATCTACTCACCGACGAATTACGTTAGTCATACATGTACCCTTATAGTCTAGTAGGTCTCCAGTTTAATGCCTCTTAATTAGTTGAGAGGTGTATACTGGTGGGGACCTACCACTTGTGTAGTTTATTACCCTATTCCTTTTAGGAATTCTATCTATAGTCTAAACCTTTATATATACCACGACACTCACGGCGGTCGTATGTAGCATATATTACTTAGTCACCTTTGCTTTCCGTTGAAGTTTTAGAGATAAACCTAAGCTATTCCTTAACGTAATCGGTAAGCGAGCGCCGCACCCCAGAACACCATAGTAATTGCGATGAATTACAACTCAATATCTCAACGACGATAGCTTAGTGTAGGATTTTATAGTATCCTTGTGGTGTTTATACCATATCTAGCATGTTTATGAAGTTTAGAAAATTTATGAGGTTTTGTTATTCCGATATATATATGTGTCGTAGGTACACATGTCTTTTTTTTGGTAATACAATGGAATAAGTTTTTAATTTAGATTTCAATTGGGTTATACTATCTATTACGCATATTGATAGTTTTATACTAATAGTCACATAAAAGTAACTTTTGGTTGTTGAAATATTGAGTTATTGAAATAATGTATTCAGTATGGTGTTTTGGGGTGCGGCGCTCGCTTACCGACGATGTTATCTGATCCGATAATCTTAATAAATTTCCTACTCATACTAAGGAATTTTTTTTATATTTACTTTTTACCCTTACCGTAGACTTTATTACGTACGATTTATATTAACCATTTTCCATAAATTAATGACCCATCGACTCTTTGAATTAGAAGATTAGAGGATTATTCTAAGGTTATATATACTATGAAATAGCTTAATCTTAATTTAGTAAATTCCCTTTACACTATTTGTATGGTCTTCATAAGGATACGCTAATAGGTATCTTACCCCTTTAGGTAGCTATCTAGATAGCAAAGCGAACCAGGCGCTCGTAGCGTAGTTTAACTATTTGTTTAGGTAACTAGATAATTAGGGATGTACTACTATAATACCCCATTTGAAGTAACGTAAGGAAGGCACTTTACCATATAAACTAGCTAAACTGGGATATTAATACCTCCAGGATATAATAGATTACACTATTGAAAGCTTATAAATCCGAGCTATAGATCATTTTATAGTCGACTTAGAGCTCTTGTAGTTTTAGTAATATCCTATTAACATAGGCGTAGAGGAAGTAAATAGAATAGAAGAAATATCATTATCCTTATAGGGTAATAAGATAGTGGTGAGTAATAAGGAGTTAAATAGGGACGTATATTCCTAGTCGGTCTTACTTCCTTATTATATAAAATTTTCTATAGAAAGCCGCTACTATATTTAGTAGAATAGCTCAGTAGGGATAGCTCTTATAGCATTTTTAGTAATATGAGCCCTTAGTAACTAACTATTTCAGGGAAGTTAGAGGGATGGAGGTAAAAGAGAGAGTACTAGTATAATAAGGACGTATAGTTACTTCTCTCCCTTTTTGATTTTCCTTTATTGTCATTATCCTTATTCTAAAATAATACGTCCTAAGCTTAGACTAGGCAGTGACTACTGCTCCAGGCTCTATCTAAGAGTCATTCATCCTCCTACCTATTAGATAGGTCTAATAGTACTCCCGTATAGCGGCTATATTCAAACTAAGCTATGTTAAGCCTGCTAATCTATTGATTCATGAATAAAAGCCTTAAATCCTATTTAGAAATATTTCTAACCGATTATAAGGGTATTATATTAGTTAGCATAAGAGATATAAATATATGCTTGAAGTAGCTATATTACCTTACTAAGTCTAGAATAGTCTATATATGGATATACCTTACTATCCTTTTAGATATAAAAAGAGCAAGTACACTAATAGGCTTTAAAGATAGATGAATTTATTTAATCAAGATATTTTTATAAATATTATTATTAGAAGCTATATGTAGGCTACAGATATCTAAGAAAGAGGATAAATTATACTGTGTAGTATATTCTTATTAATAATTTCAATGTTATAACTGGTCTTTTCTATAAGGTATAGCCTTTAACTATTCTATCGAACAAGTATTAACAAATTACTATAGTTCTACTGTACGAGTAATTTGTCTATTAGGGTTAGGTATTATTGTTTATATAAGACGTTAAAACTTCTTGATCATATTAAAGACCCTTACTAATATCGTTTATTAGTAATTTAATTCTTATCCTTTAACTAATACATCATTACTATTACTACCTGTAAAATTTAATTCATAACTATAGTAAAAAATTCTAAGATTTATAGAGTACTATATGTTTATATTCTGGTCCCCTCTATTAGTACTGAAGTACAGCTAGTTAATTGTTCCAGCTTATCAATAGTGTCAATAGTGTCTAGAGCTTAGTACTAATTATAGTTAAAGGTTATATATGTTTAATAGCTACTAAAACAGGCCCTCGGCTAGTATAGAAGTACTAATTATTTGCATAGATACCCATCCGATGGGTAAAAAATAGTATTCTAAAAAGGTGCTGATACAGTAGTAAAAGGGTACTGAGCTAATAATAATTTAGTATAACACAGATATATTATTAATTCTTGGAAGAATCCTAACCTATAGTTAATTTATGCACTTGAACTGAAAGAAGGGTAAATACAAAGAAATACGATATAATAATATATGATATTAATTCTAAATGGCTTTCAAATAGATCTAGTCTCTAATAATTTCATAATTTCTAATAATATGAGATACTAGGATATAACTATATACAGGGGATGTCGTGCGAGTAGCGGTATCGTGCGTGTAGACGGTCTCATAATATATTGGCTTTTCGTTTCGTTTCACCTGGACGGTTTCGTCTTAGCCTTAGCGCTCCTTTTGCGTATGCTCTATACGCATCGTCCCTCTATATTTAAACCGTTTTTGTGTTTATGTTTCTTTAAATATCATCACATGTGATTAGCTCAAACGTTGAGTCTTAGCCTTGGCACTCAATATGTGTAGGGACTATATGCTTCGTTGCTTTTTGGGAACTCTTTCTTTCCGAATCTCAACCGAACATTGCTATTCCTATGGCATGAAATAATATTCTATTGATAATTGAGTACTCAGGTATTCGTTAGAGGCAAGAGAGACACCTAATGACCTCACTTCTGCCACGGCCTGTGGAATAGCATAGATGGTCCGCTGTCCTAGATTCTTAGGAACCTCCCGATGGCCTGCAATGTAGATATGCTGTCGCATGGGAGGATTGTTGTTACCCTCGACCCCGGTATTAGAAATTATTTGTCATGTCGGACTAGCCTGAACATGAAGGCAAAGCATAGACTATTCCGAATAGTTTCGCGGCATATACCGATTAGTCTATTGCGGAGCTGACGCAAATCTTCTGTGATTCGGCAAATTCATCACCTTGTTTGGCGCCACTGTTGCAGCGCCAAGTAGGTCATAGTGGCTAGAAGCGAATACCACGATACTAGGGCTTGCTCGCAAAGACAATGCGTCCTCTACTATCTTCTCCCGATCTAGTTCGATGTTGATGTTGCGTAGATCGATGGTCTGTCTCTACGTAGCTAGGGGCTTCGGGTCGATAATATCTAGCTTGTCCAATTGACCCATGTTCATGATCGAGCCTCCGCTAGCGGGAAAAGGGGCAGTGCGCCAGCGTTAGCGGACTCTGCGCTCTGCGGAGAGCATCCCGTGTATAGTGGTCCCTAGGAAGGGTGTGTAGCCTCATAATGGTGTTTTAGGATGGCTGCGTAGGTCGTGCATTGGCAGGACGTATGCTTCTAGTTCTAGGGCGCGAATCGACACTATTCTGAAGGCAGATCAGATCCGCATCAGAGCAGCTCGATAGACCGTGCTACACATTGCAGGTGGGATTTGTCTTTGAAAGGGTTGTGCTATAACATGACGCGTAGTCGACTACTAGGTCTACATACACTTGATGGAGCTTTCTTATCTGCCTAGGTCGAAGTTTGTTCAGTCCGCCAAGTGCGTTTTTCACTTTGGTAGTGCGCTTAACCTGCTGCACATGTTCTTTCCACTGTAGTTCCTAGTCGAAGATGGGCTCCTATTAACCTCTCGGTGGTAAATTCTGCGACCAACTTCCATGCACGTACACATTGTACACATGCTCACCATCCGATATCCCAATTATAGTAGTCTGCTAAGGGTCCTTCTCAGAGACAGTCTCAATCGCAAAAGTTCATATAATTCTAGTCATTGCAATGTTTGATATCATTTAATTACCAAAAAAGGGTCTTTTTCATTTTATTTTTTTTAAAAAAGTTGTGAAAACTGCGCGGGTGTCTAGCAGCTCTTTGATCCAAAACTATCAGGATAATTGCTTTCACTCGGCCGTGGAAGTCGGTATTGCCCAAAGCCCGTCAAATGTGCCTTGGTCAGGGTAACTCTACCAAGGCCATTACGCCCTTAATGAGAGAGATTCGCCGATACAAATCAATTACCGACTCCCAGGGGCGGGTAATGCCTTTCTGAGATCCACTAAACGTATCCAAGAGGATATGCCCCTAGTTGAGCCCGAAACGGGCTCACAGCCCTTATAGTTCAGTGGCAGAACGTGTGACTCCTAATCTCGAAACCGAGGTTCGAATCCTCGTGGGGGCGCTCTTTGAAAGTTTTTTATTACCTGAGACGGTAGTGTATCACTGCTAGGCGCCTTCCTTGTGTTTCACACTTGGCTGCCGCAGTCCGGTAAGATACCAATCACTGGTGAAGAGCCATGGAACCCAGGCACCAATCCTCCCCGATGTAGCCTAGGTCCGCCCTCGCGCCGTCCGACCACGCGAGTTCCCGGCCCATGATTGGGCCCGACTCTCCACATGGCCCTGACACTAGTACCTTACAAGGCGTAGATCTCAAACACTCGCCCCTGACCCGGTCTCCCCTTAATCAATCCAAGCCTTTTCCTCGATTTCTTCTTCTTCTTTTCTTCCCCTTTCCATCATCATCATTTTACATATTGGATGAAGTTCCTCTTCTGACCAGAGCAGCCTCCCCGCTCTCTTCCCACATTCATTTAGGAACCATCTACTCGTGTACAAATCTACCTCTGTCGCTCCTTTGTGCTTACGGCCAGCCCAGAAGAATTATCCCGTAAGTTGTGCGACCCTCCTCGCTCCACTGCCACCATCACCGTCATCAACTGTTGCTTGTTCCATCCGTTTTTCCGTGGTCACCGTCGAAAGAATCGCGACATGAAATTTCTCGAGATGGATTTAACTCATCTGTTGTTGCAATAGGTCTCCTCTCCGACTTGACGTTGCGAGAAATCCCATCCATCGATCAAAATGAAGTTCCAGTCCGTTACTCTGGCCTTGGCTGCTGCTGGCATTGCCGCAGCCGACATCCACGCTCCTCATGGCCACCATGGCCATCTTCACCACCGCAAGCGCGTGGTTGAGACTGAGGTCGTTCCGGGCCCGGTTGTTTACGAGTACGAGCTCAACGGCAAGCTGATCCCCGCCGAAAAGGCCTGCGACGGTATCTCGGATGGACTCTACAAGTGGGCTGATGGCGTTGCGCCTTCTGATGCGTGTGTCACTTCAACCGTCGCACCGACGACCTCGACTTCTACGCCCACACCCACGCCCACCCCGACCATCAAGCCTGCCGAGTTCTTTGAGCAAAGCTTGTCAATCTCTAGCTCTAGCTCCAGCTCCAGCTCCACCACGACGTCTTCGACCTCCACTCCTACTCCGACGACGACATCTACTACCACCAGCCCCGCGGCCCCGACTAGCTCATTGACTGGCGGTGGTGTTACCCTTGTCAACAATGCGGGCCGAACAATCTATCTGTGGTCCGTCTCTGACGTTCCCGCCGACATGGTCACCATCCCCGCGGGCGGCAGTTACTCCGAGAACTGGCGTACCAACCCTGACGGTGGCGGTATTTCGGTGAAGATATCGACTTCTCCCAGCCTCGACAATGTCCTCCAATACGAGTATACCCTGGCTGGCTCCACCATTTTCTGGGATTTGTCTTGCATCAACATGCTCCTCCACAATCTCCTGTCCACTGTGGGCTTCTCTGTCACTTCTGATAACTCGGACTGTGTATCTGACGTATGCGCTGCTGGGGATCTTCAATGTGCCGCTGCGTACCTCTTCCCCACTGACGATCATGCTACTCACGGCTGCGACGCCAATACCCAAATGATCCTCAACATTGGCCTCTAACGACTTCCCTCTCTGTCCGTGTCCCAACCACCCGCCCCCTGATCAACCTATTGAGCTCACTTTCCGATACTCTATCAAGGCTACGGGAATAGTAGAGATGGGATCAAGTGTCTAGGTTATAAGTCCGGAGGCGATGGCTCGACTGTTTTGTTTTCTTTGTCGTGTTATCACGATGACGACTACTTCTTTTTGTACTTCTTTTGATCTCGCTTCGTCTTACCCTTCTTTCTCCTTCTCTTCTCTCTTCATCGGGTTTCTCTTTGTCGATAGTCTGCTCTAGCAAATCGAGATCTTTTATAGCCCTCACATAATTACACGTTTTAGTCTGACTTGGTCGATAAGAAAAATGCAAGCCGATCAGGTCGGTTACGAGGCCGCAATGACTATAATCAATTCAGAAGGACTTGATTATATAGCTCTTCGGGGATGTGTGTGTGCACAGGTTTAGGGATAACTTCACACACTTCTCAGATAGTACTCAATGCTTTTTGCCCAATCTTTATTTAAACCTAAGTATTGAAGAGAGCAAGTAGTAGTACCCTTTCCCTATTTACTCCACGAGCATTACAAAGCATAACTACGCTCGGGGGGTAACAGCCATCATAGTGTTGACTCCTGTGACTCGCAGATTTCTGTATCTTAGACAGAACCTTTTCAACTGACTTTCACATTATATATTCCAATCGAAGCTTCTTGATTATTTAGTTGCAAGAATATTTAGACTTGACCATATAGGTTGTCGGAATCTCTACAAGGGTAGGACCTGATGCGGTCATCCATCCCCATATATGAGGGGAAATGGCCATCGACTATGCTCATCGAGATCCACTCCCTTAGATATCTAATACTGTCGGACCCTAGCCAACGGACACTTCGTACCTTTTAAAAGACTACACCGTGTACAACAGACCCCTGAAACCGATCCCTTCAACCCCAAAATCTACCGCGGACTGGTAAGACAGAAAGACATCTTCTCCCCAATCCATTTCTATAACATGCCCAGAGGGACATTTCCCTCACCCTTTAATCGCAGGCCGTTGTAAAACATTGACCGACGAACACGGCTTCGAGCAGACCCAGCAGCCAGTCGCAAGATGTTTTGCCATGAGGCACGATACGCGAACTAGATTAATGAACCGAGATCAGGCTCTGCTAGTTCGGGATTTAAGACTACGACAAGCATTCCCCTGTCGCCAATGTCACTGGCAAAACATTGTCGTGAAATCCAAATCCGTCAATACGTTTTATGAACTTTTTTGTTTTCCTATGACAAGAAGACAACGATTGTCATGAATGACCAGTATGTGACACCGCTCCGAATAACCCTAACCTTAAACAGTCTCAAGGACCTGCTCCTTGAACTCCCGCTCAACCTTCTGGCCCTTGTCATCCGTCGTCGACTCTCCGTGCAGGTTCAGCAGAGCACCCAGGTCGAACTTGGGGGCCTTCAGGAGCTTCACCTTGCGAATGTGGACCTGGAGGTAGGGAAAAAAAAAGCCGTCAGTCTGGGCCAACCGCACACTTGGAGGGAAACATACATTCTGCAGGGGGTAGATGCCCTGGGTAGCCTTCTCGATCTCACGACCAATGACCTCGGGGATCAGCTTGTGGGTCAGCTGGGAGAGGGTGCAGCTGGCAGCCTCGCGTTGCATGATCTCGGTCATCTTCTTGCGAATGGCACGGATCTGGGACGAGCGGGCGTAGGTAGTCTTCTTGATCTGGTTGGGGCGGCGCTTGGTGAAAGCGATGGCGAACAGGCGAAGCAGGTAGTCGTCGGTCGTCTTCACGGTCACGTTGGCCTCAATGAGCGACTGCCACTTGCGGACGAGCGAACGCAGCTTGTCGGTGGTGAAGTCCAGACCGTGGAAGTTGGTCAGGCAGTTCTTGCCCTGAACCTCATCCACACGGAGCTTGACCTTGCGGAAGGAGTGGTCCTCGTCGTTCTGCAGGTCAGCGAGGGAGACCTCGAAGATGCGGCCCTTCAGCGAGTCATTGGCGTTCTTCAAACCGCTGGTACGGTTGACCAGAGTCTTGCCGACACTTGGGGGAATCCGTTAGCATCCATGCACACACACAGTCCGAATTCGTGGGAAGAGGTGATTCATACTCGCGGGTCTGGAAGGTCGAGGGAGCCTGCATAATAGTTAGCGAATCGTGTGATCCGATCATGGGGCAGCCAGACTCACCTTGACGGAGTACTCATCCTTCCGGGTGAAGGGGTCGACGGTTCTCTTCTTGATACCCTTCTTGCCCTTCGAAAGGCGCTTGTTTCTGGAGGAGAGGTTTAGCATCCGCACGGGTGGGACAAGGGTGGAAAGGAGCAAAAGCGTACTTTCCAACAGCCATGATTGCGAATCGAGTCTCTCGGGGGAGTTGATGGGAAGAGACAGACAGAAGGTATCGCACCACGGGAAGGGGGAAGGAAATCACACGGTCGGGAAGGGCAAAATGCGAAACCCACAAGAAAACTCGGCTAAGCGAGCCCTATTAGTCACGATCACGTGATGCCCCCTACACTGCCCACGGGGTGCAGGGGTTCATCTCGTCTATGATGCGGTCGATCGGGAGGCAGGATTAATATCCTGAGTTGCTTCATTCATACGCCGTGTCTGGCCAACACCGTCGTGGTGTGGTGCGGTGATGGTGTGGTGTGGTAATCACGTGGGGCGAGAGCTATTGTCCATTACATACATCCATCGATCATCACATCATACCTCTCTACTCCTGGCCCGTACCCCGTCACTGCCTTCATGGTCTGTCCCCCCACCTCCTCCTCGCCCACCCTTCTCTGTATCTGGGTTGGAACTCATATCTCATATTCCATCTGCAGGGTAAGCGCAAGAAGTCCAGCCGCCAACCGCAAGGGCCCCGCAAGGTGAGTGTCTGTTTTCTCCGCCCCGCCGTCCATTGCTCACCCTCCACCAGCGGGAGCCTCTTCCGACGGCATTCTCCTGTCTCTTCTGCAACCATGAGAATTCGGTGGTGGTCAAGCTAGACAAGAAACTGGGCCTGGGCGACCTGTCCTGCAAGGTCTGTGGCCAAAAGTTTCAGACGGGGATCAACTGTATGCCCCGCGCCCTTCTCGGGAAGCGATCCTGAACTGACCCCCCACCCCTAGATCTCTCTGCGCCTGTGGACGTGTACTCCGACTGGGTCGATGCATGCGATGCCGTTGCAAAGGATACGGCCAACCAGTACGAGACTGGTCCGCCTCGCTCCCGCGCGGCCGACCCGTCGGAGACGCAGAATACCTATGATGATGATGATTACTGATCGGGACAAGGGGGTGGGCGAACTGGCGCATCGGCATGATATCAGTGAATAATGGTTTAGGGCGCGGTATAATCCACAAACCCACAATGCAATGGGCGTTATTATTTATCCGTATATTCCCTCTACTTCTCGCAGCCCTGATCGCCTGGCTCGTAGTGGCCGGGAGCAACACTCAGCTTGATCCGGTAGCATGGTCGAGAGACCCACAGAGTCGGTCGAGTTTCAAGCGAGTTGTCCCATCTGGTAATCCGCTTTACAAGGTATAGTAGCGGTCGCCAAAATCGCCCAGGCCCGGGATAATGTACCTATCCAGAGTATTAGCGAGATGGACCAGGAGACTTGGGTCGTCAGCCGTACTTTTTCTCATCCAGGCCCTGGTCGATGAAAGCCGTCACGACCCGCAGCTTGGGGAACCGCACCGCAAAGTCTGCGACTCCGGATGGAGAGGCGATGAGGTTGAGGAACAGGATGCGATGCTCGGGGACTCCCTTCTCCTTCAATACCTCCACCGCCAGCGTGGCCGACCCCCCTGTGCTCAGTCAGTTGCCGAAAAGTGGAAGCGGACTAGGATTTTAGTCTCACCGGTCGCAAACATGGGGTCCAAGAGGAGGACCCAACGTTCGGCAATATCGGCCGGAAGCTTCTCGTAGAAGAGCTTGGGCATGCAGGTCTCCTCGTCTCGTTGGATCAAGATTTTTCCAATCCGTACTGAGCGGCAGCAGTCCCGCAGCCCCTGCTCCATGGCCTCACCGGCTCTCATAATCGATACTCCGCAGATCTTGCCCTCGAACTTGACCCCGAGATAGGCCCGGTCGACCGGGGTGGTCACGGACTGTTCGACCACGGGCAGGTGGTTGAGGCCCTCCTCGACCAACAGCCGAATGATTCGGTTGGAGTAAAAGATGAAGTCGGCACGCACCGTCCTCTTATCCCGGATCATGCTGTTGTTGGGGCCGGTTAGTATGTAGTGTTTGGGGAACCAAGCAACGACCCCACCATACTCACGTCAACAGGGCGATCAGTTGCGGCGTCTGCGGCAGCACGTGGACATTCTCAAAGGAGGCATCTTTAGAGACGGTCGCGGTGGGCTTCTCTCCATCCGGGCGATAGAGCGGGCCCACGCCCTGGGCCGGGGAGGGAACTGGTTCGGGTGTGCTCATGGTGTAACGAAGTAAGGAAAGAAAAGAATGCTTGTAATGAATGCTATCGCGCTTATCTCCGCCGCTGTGCTGACTCAGGCCTATCCGTCCTTCGTGCCCTCCTTCCTCTTTCCTCTCTCTTTCCACCGACGCACCACCGCCATTGATTGTATTTCACGGCATGCGCGCGGAATGGTCCTGGATTGATCTTCCTCATGTCTCTGCCCCTGATGTTGGGTCATCCCATTGACTGTCCTTCCTGCTACCCCTGGACTTCAAGCATCGACCATGGCGAGTCGGAATCGCAAGCTGGTGACGTACGGCGCAACAAGAAGCCGACCGAGCAATGATGCGCCAGGAGGCACTTCTCCATCGCAGCGCATGCTTCAAGATCCCCTTCCGTCCGCTCGAACCAAAAAGTCCGGGAGTATCCAGAGTGGGACTAGACGGCCAACGACTCCCACACGGACAACCGACTCGGCGCCAAGTGTCTTCGACCTCCCATCTTCCGAGGACGAGGGCCAAACAGACATCTTCCGAAGGAAACGCAGAAGACAGGCCCCCGATGAGAAGGATCCCCGGGCTGTGGTGCAGACCCACGATGGTCCCAAAACAACGACATCTGCAACCACCAAGAAAGGCGCGGGCTCGTCGCCGCGCATCAGGGGCACCATGCGAGATTCCAGATGGATGTCATCTCAGGCCAGTAAACCGGCAGTAACGGTCCAATCGACAACACCATCAGCCGGCCCCGAAACCCCCAAGCGCCGACAAAGAAGGAGCGAACTTCCCGCGCCAGATGAGCGACACGCTTCCAACGAGCAAAGCTTCTCCAAATCTGCGGTAACCGACTTGGAGAGACCACTGTCTTCAAGCTCCTCCCACGACTCATATCCTACGATCGCCAACACAACCCCTGGCCGCCGAAGATTGATAGACTCGCTGGGAATACAGAACCAGCCCTCAGAAGAATCGCCGGTGGCAAGCCCAGCCAGTAGCCAACCGGCGCCGCGCGTTTCTCTTGGTATCCCATTCCAAACGACAGAATCATCCCGACCAAATCTCGACGGGCCTCCCGAGAACCCCGGTCATGACTCGCCGTCGGCACTGGCATCTCACCTCTGGGGCTCGAAAGTCACATATGCGCGCCAACGGTCCTTTCTGGATGACCTTTCTCTGGCAGGGGAGCTATCCGCTCAGGATATTTCTGGGGGTTTGGAACAACGCCATCGTTCCTCTTCGCCCCGGGCGATCCCGGGAAATCGTTCTCGCGCTCGTCTGTTTGCATTGGAGGAGGAGAACCATGATGAAGGGACGGTTCGAAGCATCCATGAACTGCGACAGGCTGGAGGCAATGCTCGATTCCGTGGTGCGGTCGAGTCGATATTTGAGGATATTGAAGATGACCACAACTCCACGTCCGGCCGTTGCAATGCGTTCATGCAGCTCTGTAGCAAACTCTTGGACTCCAAGCTCAGGGCCCAATTTGTGGAGTGTGACTTTGGCAAGAGGCTGGTGAACTGTATTCTCGACAACCTGGACATCGTTTCCGCGACATTCGCCTTGTGCGCCTACGGGCTCGGTTCGCTGGGCGGAGGCCCGCGGTACCTTCTTGCGAGAGAAGCATGGCCAAAACTGTTGGCCGTTTCTCCCATGTTACTGAACACGTATGATGATGTCCTGGTCGTGGCACAGAATCGGGCCAACGGGTTGTCCAAACCGGTGCAGAAGGCTGTCCAGAGCATCATCCCTCAAGTGATATCGACCCTCTTTCCCGAGATTCCTCCATCGAAGGTTTCTCCTAGCCTAGTGGCGCTTTACTGTTTGAAATTGACTGCCTCGACCGTTCTAGCGAAAGGAGAGAACGGCAGCGGGATTCGTCCACCGATGCTGAAGCAGTTGATTGATGTTTTATCCTCACAGAGCTCGCCTCGTGGAGCCCAGGGTACACTACCACCGGAAGATTCGCAGATTCTCAGCTTGGTATTTTCAATACTAGAAGCGCATACGGCCTCTGCGGAGTCCTCGACAGAGGGGAGCCAGTCCCTCTTGAGCCGACTTTCCGGCTTGCATGGATTGCTTCGTTCAGTGGACGATTCCGACTTGGATCGTCAGCAGATGCAGACGCTCTACATGCGCGTGATTTTGAACGTCACCAACGGCAACTCGGCCCTCTGCGATGACTTCGCAACGACGGAGATGGTCGGAGGACTGGTTCACATCGTTCTAGCAAAATTCGGTGACTTGACGGAAGACTCGCTCGCCCAGGAGAACAATTCTCTGGATCGGGTGATTCTCGCGCTGGGCACCCTGATCAATCTGACGGAACAGAGCGAAGCAGCACGGGGCCATTTTTTCAATCCGGCATGCGGGCCCAAGTCCTTTCTCAACCGGCTACTCCGGCTATTCTTGACTCATGTGGATTCCGTTTCCAACGTAAGTCTCTTATCTAACTTGTGTAGTTGAAGCTCACCAAATTCTCTAGGCTCATTCCGTGGTGGAGGTGCATCATAACGTTGCCGTCGGGTATCTCGCCGTGCTCCTACTGACCCTGTGTCTGAACCCCGAGGCGCGTTCACGGATCAAGGAGAAGGACCTGACAAGGATCAAGTCCACAGTGGACGAATTCTTGCAGTATCACCAAAAGATCGAGTCCCGTGAAGCGGCGAGTGGATTTCTGGTACGATTGCAGGCGCTGGTTGGACAGATCCAGCAGATGGAAGAGATTGGATGAACTGTTGAATTGGATGATGATACCCATGTCTTTTGTACTATCTACCTACTACCTTCATCTTTTTGACTCTCATAAAATATTTACTACTCGGTGTATACTCTGTTTGCACCGTTTGCACCTCCGCAGCTCTTCAGCTGCGATTCGCCACCCGGCTCCGAGAGACGCTCCCTGTCGCCCTCCCGCGCCCTCTCTCCCTCTCTCACCCCGCCAGGTTTCCCTTGTCTTCCTCCCATCCGCAATGCCTGCCGCCCCAAAACAGAGGAAGATCGCCATCGTCGGCAGCCGCTCTGTCGGTACGGAAGGATCCCAACTGCCATTACGACCAGCTAACTGACCCCCGCGCCTTAGGCAAATCGTCGCTGACCGTTCAGTTCGTCGAACACCACTTTGTCGAGAGCTACTACCCGACCATTGAGAACACATTCAGCCGGATCATCAAGCATAACGGTCAGGACTATGCGACCGAGATCGTCGATACCGCCGGACAGGTACGAGAGTGTCCCCCACGGAGATACAACCAAACTGACTTCCCTTTCAGGACGAGTACAGCATCCTGAACTCCAAGCACTTCATCGGAATCCATGGCTATATCATCGTCTACTCCGTCACCTCACGCCAATCCTTTGAGATGGTGCGAGTCATCCGGGACAAGATCTTAAACCACCTTGTACGGTCGGCCCCCTTCCCATCAACTGTACCACTACGCTAACCAACCCTCCAGGGAGCGGACGAGGTTCCACTGGTCGTGGTGGGCAACAAGAGCGATCTCAAGCCAGAACAGCGGCAGGTCACTCTGGACGAGGGCCGGCAGCTGGCCGAGGAGGTCCACTGTGCCTTCACCGAGGCCAGTGCCTTCCTGGACTTTAACGTCTCGAAAGCGTTTGACCTGATTATTGCGGAGATTGAAAAGTCGCAGAACCCGTCGCAACCCACGGGCGGGAACAAGTGCGCTTTGATGTGATTGATGTCCCTTTTCCTTGATGATTTCCACAGGAGGCGTTGCTTCGGGGGTGGAGGGACTTTGTGTTGTTCGTTCGTTTGTTTGCTTTTTTTTCTTTCATCGGAAGGGATCTGAACGATAATAATGATTTTAGAGTGTATTGCATAGAATCAATCCATTTGATACAGTTCACTAGTTGGTTAGTTTACTGATGCTTACCTAACGGCCCTGGCTCCTCGCTCGGGCCATCTGGTTCTTTTTTCCCCCTCCACAATCATTCCTGCCCCACGAACGCGCCCCAACCATGCTGGACCTCGCTGATTTCATCGCCGAGCGCGGTGGTGATCCCAAGAAGATCAAGGAGAGCCAGCGAAAACGCTCTGCCCCCGAGGAGGACGTGGATATCGTCATTGCTCTCTATGAAGAGGCCCGCCGAGGTATGTTGTCGCCCTTCTGACTCAGAGAGGGCACACTCACCAATGCATCCTGGTAGCACGATATGAGGTGACGCAATTTGGCTCGCAGCTCAATGCGCTGATGAAGGAGATCGGCAAGAAGAAGAAGGTAAAGCCCGCCTCCCTTGTGTCTCTGGCTTGGGAAGTGTCTGACTCGCCGGTGCAGAACAAGGAAGACGCGAGCGATTTGATTGAGCAGAAGGCTGGTCTGGAGAAGGGGAAAAAGGAGGCCGAGGAGCTTGCTGTCCAGAAAGAAACGGAAAGAGACCGTCGCATTCGCGTTATCGGGAATTATGTTCACGACTCTGTCCCTGTCAGCAACAACGAGGTAAGGCAACCCCTCCATCGCCGTGCTGTAGATGCTAATTGACACACTGTGGGTATAGGATGACAACCAAGTGATCAGAACATGGGCACCAGAGAATGTCGCAGTCGAGAAACGAGACTGCCTGTCCCACCATGAAGTCCTCACTCGTCTGGATGGATACGACCCGGAACGTGGCGTCAAGATCGTTGGTCATCGAGGCTACTGCTTGACTGGATACGGATTGTTCCTCAACCTGGCTCTGGTCAACTACGGTCTAGAGTTCCTTTTCAACAAGGGGTACAAGCCAAACCAACCCCCCCAGTTTATGCTCCGGGACCTTATGGCGAAGACCGCTCAGCTAGAGGACTTCGATGAGGAGCTGTACAAGGTCACCGAGGGCGATGACAAGTCAACCGACAAGTACCTCATCGCTACTTCCGAGCAGCCATTGTCCGCGCTGCATGACAGCGAGTGGTTGCAAGAGAAGGACCTTCCGATCAAGTAAGACCACCTCGCCTCTATCTTTCTCGCGCAGGTTCTGATCGCCCTATTAGGTATGCCGGATATAGTACATGCTATCGGAAAGAGGCAGGTGCCCACGGCAAGGACGCATGGGGCATCTTCCGTGTCCATCAGTTCGAGAAGGTGAGTTTGCATTCCAATCCCGGCATGTCTCCCAAATTCTCATATGAAGCAGATCGAGCAGTTTGTCCTGACCAAGCCTGATGACTCATGGCAAGCGTTTGAGGATATGATGGCCACTTCGGAGGAGTTCTACAAGTCCCTTGGGCTGCCGTATCAGATCGTCGCCATTGTCTCCGGTGCATTGAATAATGCTGCATCCAAGAAATACGATTTAGAGGCCTGGTTCCCATTCCAAGGCGAGTACAAGGAGCTTGTCTCCTGCTCCAACTGCACCGACTATCAGTCACGAAACCTGGAGATCCGGTACGGCGTGAAGAAGACCACCGATATCAAGAAGACCTATGTGCATGCACTGAACGCGACGCTGTGCGCGACCGAGCGGACGCTTTGCTGCGTTTTGGAGAACTATCAGACCGAAGATGTGAGTATTCTTCTTTCCCTGTAGGTTTCGTTCTAACACGTTGACTATCTAGGGTTTCATCGTTCCCGAGCCCTTGCGAAAATATATCCCTGGCGCTCCTGAATTCCTTCCATTTACCAAAGAGCTGCCCAAGGACACAACCTCCCAAAAGGCCAAGGCAAAGGGCAACAAACCCGTGGATGAGGCGGCGAAGAAGATGCAGAATCTCCAGGTGTAGTAGGGTACTTTCTGTGCACAATGTAGCACTGTCCCAATAGATTGGTGATTTCCATAGTCACCTCTGATGTTCCTCTACTTAAATAGTACTCAAGTCAATAATGACGCACGTCGCCAAAGCCCAAAAGCTCGTATTGTTGTTGTCAAGTAGGAAAGAGCCTTTCGCGTCCATGTTACTTTGATACACTAGTACTGTACCCTAGAATGTGCTTTCAAGCATACTTCAGGCTGCTCAAGGCACCACTATTCAAGCACTCGTGGATGATGAAGTAGACTGTCACCGTGTAGGCCATTTCAGAATCAACTTAAGTTCCGCCAATTAATTGGCCGGCCGATATTTACACAAAGTCCATTTATCCCGAGCGCCTCCCGAAGGTCCGGGATAAATGGAATTTATGAAGAAACCGACTAATTCATCAAGGGCCCGCTTATGCCTTGTGCGTACACAAAATATGGACGCTCTCTGCCAAGGAATAATAGCGGACAGTCTACCTCCGACACTGCATAGTCTACTATGCAATCCCTCCTCGGGGCGTCGATTTCCGAATTCGTCTCGGATGGAGCGCCGTATATCCTTCGGAAATTTTTGAACCGCGGATCACTCAATTGAGCTCGGGGCGTTTAGGGAGGGGGTTCCACGGGACCGTACTCTATGTACTATGATACCGGAGATTCAAACCGTGCGTCCACTTCTATATCGAAACGTCGTAAAGGCGAGTATAGGGACTGACCTCCAACTATACCCCGCATTTTCCCCGGATTCAGTTTCTGTTTCGTAAATAGTCTCTTGGCTGGTTGTCATCAATTCGTAGATCTGCCCGGAGATCTCCTCGCCGGGGACGAGACCTGACCACTCGCAAAACACGGCGGCCCCCAAATATCCTTGGCCTACCATTTGGTATTGGTCTTCATATAAAGCTCCCCTGCTCGTTCGAATGGATCTTGAAATCCCTGTCCTCGAACGATATACCCTGACTACCGTGACACTTTTTACACCATTTACACACCTAATCTTCTATATTTGCGTTCAATAACATCCAATCGGCGTCATGAGTGAAGCCAATGAGAAGCTTGAAGACACTCTCCGTCCAATTAAGACAGCAGAAAGTGTTCTTCTACCAATCCCCCGGGATACCTTCGAAAAGCTCTATCTGAGTCCCAAGCACCCATGGACTGCAAGTGACCTACGCAAAAAAGTGGGCAACCCCACCCCCATCGCCCTGATGGGGTTCCTGCTCGCAGCAACACCAAATGCCTGTATCATGATGGGCTGGCGAGGAGCAGGTGGCGGCGGCGGTGCTATTATGTATGAGAGCGTCGTTCCACCTTGACCCCCGCAAAAGATAACCCGTCTTTAGACCTGTATATCTCTTCTTTGGAGGCTTTGTGCAGTTACTGGGGTCAGTTGCAGAGTGGCTCATTGGGAACACATTTTCAAGCGTTGTGTTCTTTACCTACGGTGAGTTACCACTTTAACTACAAGATGGTGCCATACGTTGGTTTACCTAACTTGTGACAGCGGCTTTCTGGATTGTTCAGGGAACAAACTTGATACCATGGTTTGCAACTGGTCTCCACTACTCCGAGACAGGTAATTCCCTACAAGGAATGCAAACGGAGGGATACAATGCCTCAATCGGTATGTGTTCATCTAGAGCGTCTCTGTATTATTGGCTTTGACAGATAGCCCCGAGTTAGGGTTTTACTACGTCTCCCTCACCCTCATTTCTTTTATATTTTTGATCTGCTCTATTCGCACAAACGTCTGCCTCTTCCTGGCTCTCTCTCTCCTCGTCATCGCGTTTGGACTATTCGCTGGATCATATTTTCAACTGGCCTTAGGCGACGCAGCACTGGCAGAGAAACTTCAGCATGTAAGTCCTATGCTTCGTTGCAGGATATGAAGGTATATCTATGAACAGGGGTTGACGGTAGGAATTTCTTATAGATTGGGGGTGCTTTTGCCTTCGCTCTGTGCATGCCTATTTGGTATATACTTGCAGCTCAGCTTCTGGAAGCAGTGGACTTTCCGATTGTTCTTCCTGTTGGGGATTTGAGTACGATTGTGTTGGGAAGGTCTCAAAAGGTGCGGGAACATGAGGAATAAATGATGAGTCTTTGGTATCCCAAATAATCATAGATGGAAGATATGTCAAAGGATAGCTAGCACATTCTTCCGGGACATACGTTGTGGACAATACAAGACAGACTCGGTGGTATTAGCCGCGGCAAATAAGACAAAAAAGCCCCAACTTTGCGGCAGATCTTGTACAGCTATATATTTTGCAGTCAAGTAGTTAACTATGTTACTATGTACGAGTTAGTTTAGTTAACTATCCAATCCTGGAAGAAAATACTTAGTCAGCTCATTCCGTCATTGCGGGACTCTTTGATTGGCCAATCCTTTTTTTTTTCCCTTTTAAAAAAAGTACCTAATCGATAAAAAAAAAAAGCCCCGCGATCGTCCATCAGTCTGGGAAGAAATTGCACGCACATATAGGAGATGCATATCAATTAAAGATATATGTCCGGTAGTTATAAGCTATCTATATCATATGTACTATCGATAGGATCAATAATAGGCAATAGTAACAGGTCGCAACACCGTTAAGAGTCATACTCCGATTCCGGCGATCAAGAGCTTATCTAATGGCCCACCTGGAACAAGAAACACAAGCGTCGAGTCATTTCGTTCTTCTTCTTCCTCTCCATCTCTTTCTTCTTCTTAACACACCCTCGCCATGACTTCTGCCAAGGAAATCCGTCCTCGCCAGGATCTGCCCGTACACGCCCTCTCCACCTCACCCTCCGCCTCCTTCCATTCCTCGGCCGGCAGCTACGGTTTGGCCGGCCGAATAATTCCTCTGGCCAATGCAAAGCAACTGAAGCCATTCGCAACCAAGGACATCAAGGTTCTGCTGCTGGAGAATGTGAACCAGGCTGGTCGTGATATCCTCACCCAGCAAGGCTACCAGGTCGAATTCCTCAAGTCGTCTCTCCCTGAAGACCAGCTCATTGAGAAGATTCGGTAAGCCGTGATCAATTGCCATCGTTGAAAAATAGCCAGGCTGACTATGTGGGGGGATAGGGATGTGCATGTCATTGGTATTCGTTCCAAGACGAAGCTCACCGCGCGGGTGCTGAAGGAGGCCAAGAATCTGATCGTAATCGGTTGCTTCTGTATCGGCACCAACCAGGTCGACCTTCAATATGCCGCCGAACAGGGTATTGCGGTTTTCAATTCTCCATTCAGCAACTCTCGCAGTGTTGCAGAATTGGTCATCGGTGAGATCATCGCCCTGGCTCGTCAGCTGGGTGACCGTTCCAATGAGATGCACAACGGCACCTGGAATAAGGTGAGCAACAAGTGCTGGGAGATTCGTGGGAAAACGCTAGGTAGGTATCCCAGTAGAACAGCTTTGGTGAAGAGGCGGCTCATGACAATACTACAGGCATTATCGGTTACGGTCATATTGGCGCCCAGCTGTCAGTACTTGCAGAGGCCATGGGCATGTCGGTCATATTCTACGACGTGTTAAATCTGATGGCTCTGGGAACTGCACGACAGGTGGAGACTCTGGAGGCTCTCTTGGCCGAAGCCGACTTTGTCACTTGCCATGTGCCGGAACTGCCGGAGACGAAAGGGATGATTGGACAACCCCAGCTGGAGCTGATGAAGGATGGAAGCTATCTGATTAACGCCAGCCGTGGCACTGTCGTGGATATTCCCGCTTTGATCCATGCCATGCGCAGTGGCAAGATTGCCGGAGCTGCGCTGGACGTGTATCCCAATGAACCGGCCGGAAACGGTGACTACTTCAACAGCGATCTCAATATGTGGGGCAACGATCTGCGCTCCCTCAAGAACCTGATCCTGACTCCTCACATCGGCGGAAGTACCGAAGAGGCCCAGAGTGCCATTGGTATCGAGGTTGGCCAGGCCTTGGTCCGCTACGTCAACGAGGGCACGACGTTGGGTGCCGTCAACCTACCCGAAGTCACGCTTCGTTCCTTGACCATAGATGAACCGAACAACGCTCGGGTGATCTACATTCACCGGAACATCCCTGGTGTCCTTCGCAAAGGTGAGAGTTGGAAGGTAATGGTTCGGATGCCGACAACGCTGACTCCTTGCTACAGTGAACGAAATTATCGGCGACCACAACGTCGACAAGCAGATGACCGACAGCCGTGGAGATGTATGTTGAAACCCGTCCATGCTATGATATGTTTCAAGATTAACCGTGACTTAGGTGGCTTACCTGATGGCTGATATCAGTAACGTGGATACTGCCATCATCAAAGCTCTGTATGAGAGCCTGGAGAGCCTTTCCTGTATGACCCATGGATCTTGGAGCCGTATACTTTTCTCGCTAACTGTCTGCCAGCCCGAATCATGACCCGGATTCTATACTAAACCATTGACTTTCGATGGCACTGTTTGCTTTTAATCAACTTAGCCCGCACGAACCAACTTTTTTATTCCAGTTGGACACTTTCAACTAGGCCCACGTGGAAAGATTCGCATATGCAAATATTTACGAGTGATGGGTGGAAAGCTCTGCACGGTGAGACAGGATTCTGAGGGATATATCAAGGCCGGATCTAGAGAAAAAGTCGTGACATGAATAATTCTTGATTTCATTTAAAAGTACAAAGATTGAGCGCCCCGCACACTCTGGCTGTAGGGTAGACTGCATTGTGCACTGAAAATGTGTTGGAGGCTCATACCAGCCAAAGCGAGCATCTTGCGGCGATGGTGGTGTGGCGGATAGGAAGGCATGCGATAGTTGGATGGTTGTGCGGAAGTCTTATCCCCTTCCCCCTTCTCGGTAGCTGGGGCTGCGACTTCGTCTCCTAGGCGAATGGTCCCGGCGCAAGTCGTGTCGATCCGTCGACCGCCTGTCTGAATTCGAGTGTGAATTGTACCCGCCGGGATCGCGTGGGCGGTCGTGAGAGCCACCGTAGCTCGGTACATAAGAGTCCATATTTCCAGAAAATCGACCGCCGGGACGATTCGAGCCGTATCGATCCCGTCGCTGGTCGTCTCTTCCAGATGGTCTGGTAGGTTGTGATCCATCCCAGTTCGGGTGGTTGGATGTAGGAGGCTTCGCGGGGAGTCCACCATCCCTTTGCTGGGGGAAGGGCCCGCGCCGTGGAGCGTTGCCGTGGCCTGGTCTGCCGCCACGGGCTGCACCAGGAATTCGACTATTTCTCGGCTCTGGTCCGCGAGGGCCACTCGCCCAGCCGCCACTGGAATAACTGTCTGTAGAGCCACCCGGCGGAACAGGCGCCACGGGGGGGCGTTGGTTGCGGAATTTCTTACGGTCAAATTCGTGAGAATCTTGGAAACGCGGGAGCTCGCCGGGGTTCGCAGGCAGTGGTGGTGTCGTGAAATAGGGATGTTTCAACGCATCTATAGCATTGATTCGTTTTCGCCAGTCGAGTTTGAGAAGCTCGCGAAGTAGTGAAATGGCCGAGGGACTAAGTCTAGGTCTCTGTTAGAACGCCCATGCTCTCAACGGAACAACGACGTGAATGAAGTTTGACATACTCCTTGAAGACTTCGGCAAGATTCCCACGTTTGTATCCAAAGTTTTTCACACCCTCACAGCCGGGAAGTGAACTCCACCCGGGCATATTCTCTTCCGTAGGCGTTCCCACGAGACTGAAGATCAACTGTGCCTGATTGAGATCACTACTGCCGGAGAGAATCGGGCTTCCTTTGAACATCTCGCCAAACACGCAGCTAGAATTGTGAGAACGAGAGAGCAACAAAATAAGAGGCCTTGGATGGCTTACCCGACTCCCCACATGTCGATTGCAGTGGTGTAGCGTCGCAATTGAAGCAGTAACTCCGGAGGACGATACCACCTTGTGACGACAAGAGCAGTGTACTCTCTTTTTGCCTCTCCTCCGCCCTGCCCAGGCTGAGGAGGAGACTCATCGTAGGGCCGTGCAAGTCCGAAATCAGCGATTTGAAGAATCCCACCATTGCTGATCAGCAGGTTCGCCGCTACCCAGGAATCAGTTCCGATAAAGGCAGAATCGAACTTGGGATGGCTCACCTTTCATGTCGCGGTGTAGGATGCGGCTCTGCAATTCTGTCAAAACAAGCTTTCTCTTGGTGGGAACCGAGATATTCGTACCGCGTGCAAGTACCGCAATCCTTCGAGGAGTTGCTTCAAATAGCATTTGATCTGTGGCTCGCTAAATTGCACCGCTGGGTTTTCCAGAAGTCCGGATAGGTCATGTTCTAGGTAGGGCATGACCATGTACATGCTAGGCTTCTTTTGCCTTTCGCCTGCGATCAAAGTCAGCCCATCGCTTCTAGAAAGCCAACAATGAAGCGAACCTTTGCTACGCTCAATCGCCATCTCTCTGAGCTGTAGAATGTTCGGGTGAGAAAGCGCCTTCAAAAGTTTGATCTCTCGAATCGCAGTGATCGGGAACTGAGAAGAATAAGGTAAGCGCCCATGGCCGTATACGGCAGGAGATAGTGCACTTACACCATCCTTTTCATTGTGCATGAGAATCTTCTTCAGCGCCACAAGCGAATTGTCTTTTCTTGACTTCGCTTTATATACCTCCCTACCAAGATGTCAGCCGCCTGGCGCATTCCACGATATCCCGTGCCACCACCTACCCAAAGGTCCCTTCGCCCAGTTTGCTCACAAGTTCAAAGTTGTGGATGCTCGAGCATCCAGGGAACCGAGGCTGGCCATTGCTATCATTCTCGAGGGATTCAATCACCATATTTGCTCCAGTTAGCCTCAATTAACTAAAATGAAGCGCGCGCTGTGCGAGAGCAGGATGACCCTAGGATCGCGTCGAGGAACGGCGCGTGTTCGAACGGGTGGGTTTTCATGAGATCAGATTGAAGTCGGAGTATCGTCGATGCACCCAGTCAGCTGGATCGGGATTGGTCGCGATGACAAGAGTCCTTGGAGGGACCGATACCCTTCATAGTAAGACAGAGGCGCGAGAAGATCGAGTGGGACGGAGAGCCGGGAATGGCTCTGTCGGGAAACGCAATGAAAGAAGGCGAGGGACGGGACTTGGTCGGTCACGTGCCACCTTCTTTCATCACTCGGGCCACTCAGCAGTCCGTCACTTCATTCACTTCTTCCTCTCCCGCTTCGACTCGAAACCACCTTCGACCACGTCCCTCCGACAGTCTGTCCTCACCACCTTTTCTTCCACAATGCTGCGACAAGTCAAATGCTAACCCTAATATTATCCACACAGGAATGGCGGGCAATTCACACCACCCGATTCATATCCACAAGGCCCGCCCGCTCTATCGGTTCACGGCAACTGCCCTGGGCGCGAGCATGTGGTTCTTTGTAGGCAGACCCCTGCTTCTCCATCACAATTGCTGCTGACCCGGGATTCTCGATTTAGCTCATGTACCGGGCCAAGAAAGACGGGCCTGCTCTTCTAGGTTGGAAACACCCTTGGGACCACTGAAGATCGATTTCATCGTCACGACCCTGGGCATCATTCACATCAATTTACGCCCCCTCCATTCAAAGATCCCAATTATACTTGCGCCCATCGATGTTGCGGACCGGAAAGACAGTGTGGCATGGTTCCGAATCCCAAGTCGTTGATTATTCTGCTTTTGGTGTCCATTTTTCTGTACTGCAGCCGGAGTGTATCATACCAATTCTCAGTCAATTGATTTAAGAGTGCTTCTTATTTCCACCGGAAACAAAAAGCGAAGTGGCCGATGAAGGCCATTCCGCCAACAAGATTTGTACATCTATCATTCTATGCCACGGACGGTATAAAATACAAGGGATCTATCACATACCCATCTCCTCGCGAAGAACTTTATACTCACGACGCTTCTTGCGATAGCTTGGCCGTAGACGTGTGTTGGCGTATCCGAGGAATCGTGCCAAATATGGAAAGACGTTTCTTTCCGCCATCCAAGCCACGGAAAAGGCGCCAAGCGCAAGCGCAAGCAACCACCCTTTGAAGCCGTCGGACATGAATGTCAGCTGCATCACTTCCAGCACCCAATGCGATGGGCGGAAGAGCATATAGCTGGCAATCAGTAGATCCACAATGATGGTGCAAAGAAGCGGAGCTAAACCCGTGTCAGTGTATATAATTCAAAGTATCTTTTTTGTTGCCGCTGCTCACCGTTCAATCGCAATGGCTTCCGGAATGGCGGCCCCACACTGAGTACAATACTAGCCAAGATGTACTGGTAGCATGAGAACAAAAACAGGGAGGTGTTCTCCGAGTTGTCAATGCTGCTTTTCTCCAGGTCAATCCGGGGAGGCTGGAACCTGCGAAGGGTGTTAGGAACAATCCATGAGACAAGATGTGACTGGTGAATGGCCACTAACCAGGGCTGGTATTGGACGGTTTTGAAGATTGCAAGTTGAGACAAGATGACAATTGCGATCTGTCCCAACAATGGTGTCAACACCTTCCGCGAAACCAGGTCTGCAGTTGGGCGCTTCCGGGAGAGCGTGGGATAAGGACCGGTCCAGCCCACTAGTTGGTCACAGTCAGCAGGTTCGAGCATAGAGATGGAGGAGTGATACTCACTGAAGATGGCAAGTGGAAGAATGAGGGCGAGGTCGATGAACAGGAACTAGCAAGCGATCAGTGTCTTCCTAAGGTATCTCCTTCCTTTTATCACTTACTTGAAAGTCACCAAGGTTGGACGCCGAGGTATAAAGAAAACTGACAGTGGAGAACTGAATCGCCGAGTAAAGACTCATATACTTAAAGCAGCAGAAGCTTGTCACCAACGCAGCTCGGCCCTCCCTAGGGTAATCAGCGGCTGTTCATTTCAAACTCAGGACCTCTTGTAATGCAACTCACCGAATCAATGTTGGGACACAGGATATTTCAAATTGGCGGCTGGTGAAGGGCGCAGCGACAGACGCCTCGGCGTCCGACAGCGAAATGCCAACATCGGCTGCTTTTAATGCACCGCAATCGTTTGCGCCATCACCGCAGAAACCACAGCAATAATCAATCGACTGCAGCTTTTCCACCAGCTCGTGCTTTTCGTCTGGCGACATCCTGGCGAACACTTTTCCGCAAACAAGCATCTGAGCAGAGCATGAGTACTCGGAACTGTAATGGCAAGGGTTGAAGGATCGAAGAGCAACTCACCCTTTTCAGAACATCCTCACTGCCGAAATCAACCACCCATCGGAACACGTCTCCAGTGACCGCAACGCAATATTTGCGCTCATGGAAAGCATTCCCCGGCACAGATAAGTCCTCTACAGAAGAATCCAAGGGCTACTTCTCTATTAGAAAGAACTGATAGCATGCTGGAGAGGGAAGAAGCTTACCAAGAGAGTCCTTGCGTCCAATTTGAGGTCTGGATTGTCAACATTTTCCCAACAAAGGGAGGTCTTGGAATCGGGGCCAGCATCTTCACTTTCGATTAGCATAACGGAGAGATTCGAGGCATTTTGGAAGAACCGACCATCGATGAAATGCGGCATGAAGCAGAGTTCATCTGGACCCACCATGTTGCATTCACGAGCAACGCTGATTGCCGTCAGGATATTGTCGCCTGTGCACATGATGTTCCGAATTTCCGCCTTGTTCAGCTCAGAGATCACGCTGGAGGTACTGGGTTTCAGTTTATTTTCGAAAATTATGAAGCCCATGAATTCGAGGTTGCATTCCGCCTCAGCCCGAGTCAGTTTCTGGATCTTCCTCCAGCTGAGTTTCCGTTCGTATTTGGTAGCACAAGCAATCACACGGAAGCCTTTGTGAGTGTAGTGGTTGAGAAGGTCGTCGTAATCGGACGGCACTGTCGATTCATTGAGCTATGATGCATGTGCATCTCAAGGAAGATCATTGACTTACAGCTTTCGGGCACACATATATCCCGAATACTTTCTGGGGCACCCTTGACAAATACATTGACACCGTTGTCTCCGAACTGCCTGACAACCACGCTTGCACGGCGCAACTGGGAAACAAACTCGAAATTTCGAAGAACTCCAAGCTCTAGAGGATCCTGTAATAAAAGGTCTTAGCAGCGCGCCTCATAGTCTGCGCAGAAGAAGGGCAATAGACTGCTCACATTGGAGTTGTTCGGCTGGTGGCTGTTAGGATACACTGGGAAAGGTGGCTTCGCCACGGACGGTGCTATCGTGTCGTATTTTGGGTTTGTTTGCTCCGAGACATGGCCGCCTCCTTCCTCATATGACCAACCTGTAAATTGAAACATCTTGACATCGAGAGGATCGCCGAGTAGTTCATCATCCACAACTCGGAGGGAGTGACAGGTGGCCATGGTGTATACGATCTTTCTCTGTTTATCAAGATCGTCTGCGGCGTCAGTGTCCTTAGACGGGATAAGAAATCCAGCTGATGTTTCCGACAGCAACTCCGAAAATCTGCAGATGATTCCGTTATCATTCACGAATCTTGTCTTGATGAAACAGGCACCTTACCTCTGTTTGGAAACAACCGTCCTCGCCCCAAGCACATCCAGCCCATCTTCAGTAAGAGTTCCTGTCTTGTCAAAACAGACAACGTCTAGTTTTCCTCCCACATTGACCCTATCGTTTCTGATTAGACTTTTTTTAGAGGGAAATAGATGCATCAATCTTACTTTTGGGGGCTGATGCAAAATATATTCTGTTTTTTGAGACGTGACAACGCAAAATTCGTTCCAATGGTGAGGGTTGCTGGCAGAGCTGGCGGGACAACAATCGTGATCAAATCGAGTGCTCGCACAATGATCAAATGCCAGGCAAGCTTTCTTCTGTTAGCATCTGGAAGCCCACTATTTTGGGGCCTACTTACACCTAACCGGACAAAATTGACAAACGAAGCAATGAAACCAAGAAAAGCAACCATTGCCATGACCGTGATATACCGGAAAGAATCCCGGTAGAATTTGAAACCAGAGGGCTTCGGGAAGAGCATCGAACGTACCAAAGCACCCTTCGTGGTGAGGAACCCCGTCCGAGCAACGACTGCGAGAGCAACTGCCTCGTCGTCATCAACGTGCTGAGGTCGTCGTGCTCGAATGACTTTGGTTCCGCTAAAAAGGAAATGCTTCGCCACATGAGGGTGAACAGAAGGGGTGCTCAGGTCAAGGCATTTAAGTGCATCATCTGTCAAGGGCATTTTGGAGACGGGCACGGATTCACCTGCTTTTATATTAGAACTTTTTCCGGGGCAGCACAGGTGTTCCTGATTACAAACCGGTGAGCATGCTTTCGTTGACAATACAGTCGCCTGACAACAAGATACAGTCGCATGGAACCTGATTCAATGATGGGTCGGAAAACTCAAACACATCACCTGGGACGAGATCTTGAGAAGGAACAGAACGCCCTGCAGCAAATGCGGTCAGCGAAAATGCACATGTGCACATCAACTGCCAGGCTATGAAGGACGTGAACTCACAAAATCCATTTCGAAGAACCCGAACATCACATTCAAAGTGAGAAATTTCCCGAAGTCTTTGCATTGTCTGTTCAGAGCTTAGTTGCGGAACAAAGAGTCTCCTTTCCACTCCAAACTTACCGACCGCGTCTCCAGAACCGTAGCCGCAATGCTAGAAACGGAGATAAGGAAGATACAGACGGCATAGTAGTAGTATTCGTCCATCGACCATAGAATCAGACTTGCAACTTGGAAGATATAGAACGGATGAAAAGCCTGCCCTTGGTTAGAAGATCTCTGGGTGTTCACTGCTCCCCAGTGCACGTACCTCGTCCACGAGAAGCTGTGGAACACTCTTTTGCTGAATGTCGATGACGTTGTGTCCAAAGACCTGCTCTCGGCTGTCACGTTCGTCGGCATCCAAGCCTCCCCGCATGACTTTGACATTCGTCCATGCAGGATCTTTCCAGTTACCTATCAGGCTGAATTTATCCTCAATTGGATGATAGTAGAAACGAAGATATCTGTAGTCGAGGAAGCGAAGAGATGTCACCGTCGGATCACTATCCTCATCCAAGGCATAGCGCAATGAGTCCACGAAAACGGTCGAGAGTGGACGTCCATAGGACTGAGTCCCGACATCATGAACAGTGAACTGATTCCATTGGTCCTGAAACCAGTTAGATGGAGAATTGTCGCCTGGGGATGGGGAGATAGTCACCTCAATTGCGATCCACTGGCATTTTCCCAGAGGCATTGCCTTACCAATCAACCGAACGCGCCATCGCGGTAACCAATGGAACAGAAGGTAGGCAAACCCTCCAGTCAAGATACACAGGGCAACATAAACAGCAAAGCCGGTGATGCTAGTGGAGAAACCAGCAAAAACAGCGGTCAGGTCCTCCGACGCGATGTAGATTTTCTGGTTCAATCTTGCGCCGGTCCTTCGATCGCGGCCATAGGAGCTGGCGGAGAGATGACGCGAAAGAAGAGGGTGCTCAACAGAGTCTCGGGACTGCGATAACCGCTTGGACACAAACGAGGACCGGGCCGACTCCAGGTCTGCGTCACCAAACCCGTCCACGGATATATCCTCGGCCTCACTGGCCATGTCCACCGCATCTTCAGGCGGCCATTCGGCAAAGTCCTCCTCATCCTGAAAGTAAGTGAAGCTGACGGTCGAGTCTTTTCGGGCGCGGCGATGAGCAAATGAGACGACACTCGACGGGATGCTCTCTGAAATGGGGCCGTCAAACACCTATCCTTCGCGGTTAGTGATTGAACTGCGTAGAGGAGCAATGCAAGCGGCCATACCTCATTCCGGGCCATTTCAACCTCCGACACCACGCTCACACTAGACCCATCAGCAACGGGCAAGGAAAGACGACTCGAAGATAGCTTACCTGCTTCGCACGGAATCGCGCCGACGACTCGCTCTGGGCATCGCGAGATCCACGGGCCCGGAGCCCGGGGGCGACTGCGGAATATTGGTCATGGTTGGTGGTCGTGTGGGAGGTGCGGGAGATTAACTAGCTTCGGCTGAAGGACGGGGGAAGGAGGGAGCTATGGATACGACCACCTGGACAGGGGCATGGCAGACTGAGAATTAACCCAATACCGACGGTCAGCTGGACGTTGGGTCTTTGTGGTGACTCTGGGGATTGACGGAAATCCATTTACCTCCAGATGGGCTCCTCTTCGAACGACGCTTATCGTCATGTGACCGGCTTATCGGACATAGTTCGGTGGCATCAGAGGGAGAGAAGAACGATAAAAATAGGGAGTCGGAATCGTATTGGGTTTGCTTCTGTCTCGCGCGGAGACTCCTTTGAAGGGGCATTGCAGGTATGACTTTGGTCCATCGGCCGTTCCGATCGCGTTCTAGATCGTGGTGGTGCCTCAGGCCAAAGCACATTTGAAGAACAGGAAAAAATCAGAGACACGAATCAGAATAATCAGTAATCCCAGTCCGCCTGGATTCTCCATTTCGATCATCCCTCGGTCAGAATCTGCCCAGCCGAATCAAAATCCGGTTGCTGTTGCTAAAATTGTACATAGGTTCAGATCTGTTGGGTGTCCCGCCAAGGCGGCGCTAAAAGCCCACCATCTCTGCCGTTCTTTCTCTCTTCTCTTTTCCCCCCTCCCCAGCAGAACTTTTTTTCTCTTGCTTTTGCCCTTCCCACCACCCTCTCTCCGCAGCCATGTCGGAGCCCATCAGGAACAAGAAGGCCGACTTCCCGGTCGCCCCGTACGTCTAAAAATTAATAATAATCAAATTTCTGTGTGGACTGACGAATCCAGGACCCCGCAAAACACGCCGGCCAACAATGCCCCGATCTCCTCCCACGCCCAGCAGCCCGGCGTATCCAGCATCACAGAAGGTAAAGTTCATCTCGTCCATCTCGGTAACACGTCTCTAACCCCCTACCAGAAACCCTGGACAGTGCCGCGGCCGCCTCGCTCTTCGCCCGAAACCCCGCCCTTGTGTCGATGATCCAGGGCAAATTGGGTCAGCTCGTTGGCCGCTCGTCCGGCTACATCGAGTCCCTGCCTCCCTCCGTTCGCCGCCGCGTAGCGGGCCTGAAGGGGGTTCAAAAGGAACACTCCAAGCTGGAGGCCCAGTTCCAGGAAGAGGTTCTCGAACTCGAGAAGAAGTTTTTTGCCAAATTCACCCCGCTGTACGAGCGCCGGTCCACGATCATCAACGGTGCGGTGGAGCCGACTGATGCTGAGGTGGATGCTGGCAAGGAGGATGAGGAAGAGGAGGCCGAGACCAAGGAAGGCGAGGAGGAGCCCAAGTCGGAGGAGTCTGAGACCAAGGGCATTCCCGAGTTCTGGCTGTCGGCCATGAAGAACCAGGTCTCTCTGGCCGAGATGATCACCGAGCGGGATGAGGAGGCCCTCAAGCACCTCACGGACATTCGAATGGAGTATCTTGACCGGCCCGGATTCCGCCTCATCTTTGAGTTTAGCGAGAACGAGTTTTTCACCAACGAGACCATCTCCAAGACATACTACTACAAGGACGAGAATGGCTATGGCGGCGATTTCATCTACGACCACGCAGAGGGTTCCAAGATTGACTGGAAGGATGACAAGGACCTGACTCTCCGCCTGGAGAGCAAGAAGCAGCGGAACAAGAGTGAGTGCGCCCGTCCCCCGTGTGGCGGCATCTCAGCTAACATGACTCTCGTAGATACCAAGCAGACCCGTGTTGTCAAGGTCAGCATGCCCACCGAATCCTTCTTCAACTTCTTCTCCCCCCACAGCCGCCGTCGGATGACGACGAGTCGATCGCCAGCGACATCGAAGAGCGTCTGGAGCTGGACTACCAACTGGGCGAGGATATCAAGGAGAAGCTGATTCCCCGCGCGATTGACTGGTTCACCGGTGAAGCCCTGCAGTTTGAGGAGTTGGGCGAGGAGATGGACCCGGATGAGTTTGACGATGAGGAGGATGAGGACGACGACGACGAGGATGAGGACGATGAGGGATCCGACCGCGAGGTGGATGATGACTCGGACGAAGAGGATGGCACTTCCAAGCCCAAGAAGGAGGCGGCTGAGTGCAAGCAAAACTAGAACCCTCCGCTGCGATGTGCTTTGTGACGCTTTGCTATGTTTTCTCCTTTTTACTTACTCTCTCTCTCTCTCTCTTGCTCTCCCGTTGATCTCGCCCCCCTAATCACTACACCTACCATCCTCCAATCGAGACTTGACATAATGCGCCTGCTCCGAATCCTTTTCAGTAAATCATAGATCATCATGCCTTCGTAGTCGATACCGTTGTCCGCCTGCAGACGTCACATGACCCGAGGCGGTGGGGACCTGGTCAGGGGCTCTCGCTCGCTCGCTAAACGGCCAGCTGTTAGTGACGGACGGACTGACTTTCCTTTTCCCCTGCGCAGTACTATTATTATTCTTGCATCCCTTCCCCCTTTCTTTCTTTCTTGCTTCTCTTGACCCGCTATGAGCCGATGAGGGGTCACAGAGCGACCCCTCGTCTTTGGTCTGTTCCATCTTTACCTTTCGTGTCTGTCGCTTTGGGTTGATTGGCCCGCCGCCCAGCCCTATTACCTTCCCACTACCTGTCTGTCTGTCTGGATTGCACTCCAGACCGCCTATACTTGAACCGAGCCCGCGTGAGCTATGGTGCACCTCTACGAGGTCGGGACAAGGGCCTGGCAGCCCGACCCGACGGAGGGTTGGGTAGCCTCCGAGCTCAAGGAGAAGAATGTCGATGGAGACAAGGTGTCCCTGGTGTTTGAGCTGGAGAATGGCGAGGTGAGTGTCCCGTGGATCTCAACTCCAGTGTGTGGGGAGCTAACCACTGCTCCGAATGCGCAGTCCAAAACGGTCGAGACCACGCTGGACGATTTGCAGCTCGACAACAACCCGAACTTGCCCCCGCTGATGAACCCGGCCATGTTGGAAGCGAGCGAGGACCTGACCAATCTGTCCCATCTGAATGAACCTGCTGGTTTGTCTCCCATTGGACCCATGATGACCGTCGGCTGATACCCTCCAAAGTCTTGCAGGCGATCAAGCTCCGATATTCCCAGAAAGAGATATATACCTACAGTGGCATCGTCCTGATCGCGACGAATCCGTTCGCTCGAGTGGATTCGCTGTATGTCCCACAAATGGTGCAAGTTTATGCTGGGAAACAGCGCGCCTCGCAGGCGCCTCACCTATTCGCCATTGCAGAGGAAGCTTTTGCGTAAGAATTCCTTGACTATAACCTCTATCAAGTGCACTTGGCTTACGCAAATTCGCTACAGAGACATGATCCGCGACGGCAAGAATCAAACGATCGTGGTTTCGGGTGAATCTGGTGCTGGCAAGACCGTGAGCGCCAAATACATCATGCGTTATTTTGCGACTCGCGAGTCTTCCGACCAACCCGGGAAATACACTACCAGCCGGGCAGACGCAATCAGCGAGACGGAGGAGCAAATCTTGGCCACCAATCCCGTCATGGAAGCTTTTGGTAACGCCAAAACCACCCGAAACGATAACTCTTCTCGATTCGGTAAATACATCGAGATCATGTTCGACGAGCGGACGAACATCATTGGCGCTAAGATTCGGACCTACTTGCTTGAGCGGTCGAGACTCGTGTTCCAACCCTTGAAGGAACGTAATTACCACATCTTCTACCAACTGGTGGCTGGTGCTACTGAGGAGGAGAAGCAGGGGCTGGGACTCTTGTCGATCGAGGAGTTTGAGTACCTCAACCAAGGTGGAGCCCCAATAATCGATGGTGTGGACGACAAAGCCGAATTCGATGCAACTCGCAAGTCCTTGTCCACCATTGGTGTGCCCGGAGAGGCCCAGACTGAAATCTTCCGTGTCCTCGCCGCTCTGCTACATCTCGGCAATGTCAAGATTTCGGCCACTCGTACGGACTCTTCGCTCTCGCCAGAAGAGCCATCTCTTGTGCGCGCCTGCGAGATGCTTGGAATCAATGTCAATGACTTTGCGAAATGGATCGTTAAGAAGCAGCTGATCACTCGTGGTGAGAAAATTACTTCGAACCTGACCCAGCAACAAGCGGTGGTTGTGCGGGACTCCGTCGCGAAATTCATTTACTCGAGTCTGTTCGATTGGTTAGTAGACAATATCAACCGTGGCCTGGCCACTGATGAGGTGCTCGACAAAGTCCAAACATTCATTGGTGTCTTGGATATTTACGGTTTCGAGCATTTCGCCAAGAACTCCTTCGAGCAGTTCTGCATCAATTACGCCAACGAAAAATTGCAGCAAGAGTTCAACCAGCACGTATTCAAACTGGAACAGGAAGAATATGTGCGGGAGGAGATTGACTGGACGTTCATCGACTTTTCGGATAATCAACCCTGCATCGATCTGATCGAAGCAAAGCTTGGTATCTTGTCTCTTTTGGATGAAGAGTCGCGGCTTCCCATGGGCTCCGATGAACAGTTTGTTACCAAGCTCCACCACCATTTCGCCGCCGACAAGCAGCAATTCTACAAGAAGCCCCGATTCGGGAAGTCTGCCTTCACTGTTTGTCACTATGCTGTTGACGTCACATATGAGTCGGACGGCTTTATTGAAAAGAACCGTGACACTGTTCCGGATGAGCAGTTGGACGTTCTGCGGAACTCGTCCAATGGTTTCATCAAAGAAATCCTTGAGACCGCTGCAGCTGTTCGTGAAAAGGACTCCGCTGCGGTTTCGTCCAAACCAGTCGCAGCCCCCGGGCGCCGAATTGGCGTCGCGGTCAATCGCAAGCCTACGCTCGGAGGGATCTTTAAATCGTCGCTGATCGAGCTGATGCACACCATCAATTCCACCGATGTGCATTACATCCGCTGTATCAAACCAAACGAAGGCAAAGAGGCTTGGAAGTTCGAAGGGCCTATGGTTCTCAGTCAGCTGAGAGCTTGTGGTGTCTTGGAGACTGTCAGAATCAGTACTGCTGGTTACCCCACTCGCTGGACATATGAAGAGTTTGCGATCCGTTATTACATGCTCTGCCATTCCTCCCAGTGGACATCACAGATCCGCGACATGTGCCACGCCATCTTGCGGAAAGCGCTTGGAGATGCCAATCACCAAAAGCAAGATAAGTATCAGCTGGGTCTGACGAAGATCTTCTTTCGGGCCGGCATGCTTGCCTTCCTGGAAAATCTGCGGACTTCCCGGTTGAACGAGTGTGCGGTGATGATCCAGAAGAATTTGCGATGCAAATACTATCGGCGCCGTTATCTCGAGGCCCGCGAGTCCATCCTCACCACGCAGGCTTTCGTCCGGGGATTCCTGGCGAGGCAGCGTGCCGAAGGAATCCGCCAGGACAAAGCGGCTACCACGATTCAGAGGGTATGGAAGGGCTCGAAAGATCGGAAGCAGTATACCAAAACCCGCAACGATCTCATTCTGTTCGAGTCTATTGCCAAGGGTTTCCTTTGTCGCCGAAACATAATGGACTCCATCCACGGCAATGCCGCCAAAGTCATCCAGCGTGCTTTCCGCTCGTGGCGCCAATTGCGTTCGTGGCGTCGGTATCGCCGACAGGTTGTCATTGTTCAAAATCTTTGGAGAGGTAAACAGGCTAGAAAGGCCTATAAAACGATTCGGGAGGAAGCTCGGGATCTCAAACAGATCTCTTACAAGCTGGAGAACAAGGTGGTGGAATTGACCCAGCATTTGGCGTCGCTGAAGCGCGAGAACAAGTCCCTCGTCTCGCAGTTGGAGAACTACGAAACTCAAGTCAAGTCATGGAGAAACCGACACAACACGTTGGAGGCTCGCGCAAAGGAGCTTCAGGCCGAAGCCAACCAGGCCGGTATTACGGCGGCTCGGTTGGAAGCTGTCGAGGAAGAGATGAGCAAGTTGCAGCAGAGCCATACCGAGGCCCAAGCTACCATCAAGCGTCTCCAAGAGGAAGAGCGGGCTTCACGCGACGCTGTGCAGGCCACCAATGCCGAATTGGAGCGTCTCAAGCTGCTTAATGGTGACCATGAAAAGGAGAAGTCTGCCCTCCGCCAGCGTGTCTCCGAGCTTGAGGAGCAGCTTGAGGTTGCCAAGCGGTCTGTGCCGGTCAACGGCCTTAATGGTGATCTCCAGAATGGCGTGCCGCAGAACCCTGCTCCCGGCCTGATCAACCTTGTTTCTTCCAAGAAGCCCAAGCCAAAGAGACGTAGTGTGGGTGCTGAAAAGGTCGACACTGGTCGCTTCAGCGGTGCATACAATCCCCGCCCGGTATCGATGGCAGCTCCTGGCACTCTCGCTCGCGCGGGTACTGAGGGCGCACCCGGCGCTGACTCGGTCGAGTATGAACTCGAAGATCTGCTCTCGGCGGAGGAGGATCTGAACGAGGAGGTCACCATGGGCCTGATCCGCAATCTGAAGATTCCCCCTCCCAGCTCCACCCCGCCACCCACCGAGAAGGAGGTCCTGTTCCCTGCCTACTTGATCAATCTGGTGACCTCGGAAATGTGGAACAATGGCTTCGTAAAGGAATCCGAGCGGTTCCTGGCCAATGTCATGCAGTCTATTCAACAAGAGGTCATGCAGCACGATGGGGACGATGCGATCAACCCTGGGGCATTCTGGCTGTCGAATGTACATGAGATGCTTTCATTTGTCTTCCTGGCCGAGGACTGGTATGAAGCACAAAAGACCGACAATTATGAGTATGACCGTCTGTTGGAGATTGTGAAGCACGACTTGGAGAGTCTGGAGTTCAACATCTATCACACGTGGATGAAGGTCCTGAAAAAGAAGCTGTACAAGATGATCGTCCCGGCTATCATCGAGTCGCAATCTCTGCCGGGCTTCGTCACCAGTGAGAGCAACCGGTTTTTGGGCAAGCTCCTCCCTTCAAACAACAACCCGGCGTACAGCATGGATAACCTCCTGAGTCTCTTGAACAATGTGTTCAAGGCTATGAAAGCATTCTACCTGGAGGACACCATTGTCACGCAGACGGTCACCGAGCTTCTGCGCCTTGTAGGAGTCACCGCTTTCAATGACCTTCTCATGCGGCGGAACTTCCTGTCCTGGAAGCGTGGTCTCCAGATCAACTACAACATCACTCGTATCGAGGAATGGTGCAAGAGTCACGATATGCCAGAAGGGACGCTGCAGCTGGAGCACTTGATGGTAAAGTTCTCTCCTTGAGACTCTTTCAGAATCCCTGACTAACTCCCCATTGTAGCAAGCTACCAAGCTACTTCAGCTGAAGAAGGCCACTTTGAATGACATTGAGATCATTCAGGACATCTGCTGGATGTGAGTCCCCGCCCCCTTCACTGTCATTTGAGGCCAGTTCGCTTACTCCCTCCTCTAGGCTCTCTCCCAACCAAATCCAGAAGCTCCTGAACCAGTACCTTGTCGCTGACTATGAGCAACCGATTAACGGTGAAATTATGAAGGCTGTTGCGTCCCGGGTGACGGAGAAGAGCGATGTGCTTCTGTTGACCCCGGTGGACATGGAGGACAGCGGCCCGTACGAGATCGCCGAGCCCCGTGTCATCACGGCGCTGGAGACCTACACTCCGTCCTGTAAGTTCTTTACTTCCTTTCCTCTTGGTCTTACTGACTGTCTGGACAGGGCTTCAAACGCCGCGGCTGAAGAAACTGGCGGAGATCGTGTCTGCGCAGGCGATGGCGCAACAAGAGAGGCTCGAGCTGGAGAATGGGGCGGTCGAGGAATAGTTTTGTATATTAGACATGATGATCTCCTTGGGATTTCCTGCGAGCTACGGATTACGACTAGAGTTGACAACTATCTGCGTTGGGCCTGGGTTTCCATGGCCTTCTTCACAGGATCTTTTCCTAATGTACCTTCATTGTAGTCTCTCTCCCAGGCGGTGCCGGACTGAGTGGATCCCGCCCGCCCATAACACACACATTATTATTCCTTTCTTCCATTCGGTCCGGATCCAGCCATCATGTCGCTGAAAAAGCTCAACTTTATCACGGGCAACCAAAACAAGCTCGCCGAGACGCGGGCCATCCTCGGCAGCGTCATCGAGGTCGACAGCCAGGCCGTCGACGTGCCCGAGATCCAAGGGACCATCGAGGATATTGCCAAGGAGAAGGCCCGGCGCGCCGCAGAGGCAGTAAGTAGTAATGTAGGAATACATGGCAGTAAATTCTCGCATTAACACGAACACTAGGTTAACGGCCCTGCCTTGACGGAAGACACCGCGCTCGAGTTCCACGCGCTCAAGGGCCTCCCAGGCCCGTACATGTACGTACATCCCACATCCCTTGGAACAGTCCCACGAAACTGATGCAAACCAGCAAACCGTTCCTGGATACGTTGGGCCTGGAAGGGTTGAACAAGATCCTGGACTCTTTCGATGACCGCGGCGCTGAGGCCGTTTGTACATTTGCTTTCTGTCGGGGACCGGGCGAGGAGCCTATTCTGTTTCAGGGCCGGACGAAGGTAAGGGCTTCTTCCCTGTCTAGCTACTCGGACGATTGTCTAACTATCGGTGATGCGCAGGGTACCATTGTGCGTCCCAGAGGCCCGACCAACTTCGGTGAGTCTGATTGATTGCCGGAAATGGGCAAATGCTAACTTTCCAGGGTGGGATCCCATCTTCGAGCACGCGGGCAAGACATATGCCGAGATGGGGAAGGAGGAAAAGGTAACAGTCAAATCCACCCCGAGATTATGAATTATGTGCTAATGAATATCAACCAGCACCGCATCTCGCATCGGTACAAGGCGCTGGTGCAGTTGCAGCAGTGGCTGAGCCACCAAGAGTAGATTAGATAGATAGGATGGTAATTCAGTCCGCATTTTGCTCGGCCTGGGTCCTTTTCCAGGTGTCCACCCAGGTCGTAATCCGTGCACAATTGCTATCCACATCGTCGTCCTTTTCGCTGTTCAACTCGACCACGATCTCTTCCTCGAACGCCTCGCGCGCTTCTTCCAGCAGAACCCCAAAGATCTCCGCGTCGAGGTTTTCCTGTAGTTTCGCTTCGTGGTAGCCCCTAGAGGACGACCTTTCAGTACCGCCTAACCCAATGAGATAATCCGGAGGACATACCTTGAAGAAAGACGGTCGTATAGAACTGATGTCGATGGGCAGCGAAGCACCACCACTAGATCAATCCAGGACTTGGGGAAGAGGTCGCACGCATGCCAATCGATCAGGTAGCCGCCCTGCAGCACTTCATCCTCGATCGCATCCAGCAACTGAAGGGTCAGCGACGGGACGGGCTCCGCCAGGAAGGATGAATACCTTGTCCTCATCCACCACCCAGCTCTTCCGCTCATCATCGTAGGTCTCGTAACAGTCGCGCTCCTTGGCGACCTGGTTGATGGACAGGTGCTTCAGACCGAGGTCCTGGGCCAATTGTTCGCAGTGAACGGTCTTGCCCACCCCGGGGGTTCCGGTGATGATCACATTCGGAGCGGTGCGCATTCTTTGAGACTTAGGGAAGTGACAAAGGTGGTGGAGGGCGAAGATTTCCCCGGATCGATTGGTCGGACGAATTTTGCGGTCCGCTTATCTTATCGCCATGATTGTCGGTCTACACTTGTTCGTACTTGAGAGATTATTACGGTAGATTATTTTCTAACTACAATGTGTGGACTGAGTCTATGTAACATCCGGTCATTAGTGATTTTGTGGAATCGGTCGGTTGCGGACTCACTTGAGCAGCTCGAAGAGTTTGTACTTCTGCAGGTACGCCGTGCCTCGCCGGTATGCCTTGAGCAATCGAGTAGGATCGTTGGGTTTGGTATAATTGTTAATTATTTTGTTCATTGCCGGCGATGTCTTGAACATGGGATCAAATACCAGCAGGTTGGCGCTGCCATTGTCTCGGATCTCGAACCCAACGATGGTCATGGAATGTCCTGTTCCGCGCATCAGAGAGGGGGATTGCAGAGGAAAGACAGGTAGAAGGTATTACCTTGGTGCTGGAAGTATATGGGTGGGAGGTCCGTAGTAAATACCTTGGTCTCTTCATCTTCAAGGGAACATGCAGACCGGAAATAGGATGCCACGTCCGTGTAAAGCGCATCGTAGGCGCGCATGTCCTTGCTCTCGGTTAGACTGCTCGCTTCGCATCTATTTGGGTGGCATTAGCTGGATTTGGGAGACTGGCCGGGCGTGTTGGACTCACTGGATCCCGAGGCTGAGGAAAAGTGCTTGTGCCTATCACGGTGTTAGAGACAAACGGGCATATCAAAAGTCCAACCCGACCAACCTCGGGCGTCCCAATAAATTTACGAGTTCCACGAATCCCGCCAGTCTCAGATCTTCCAGTACTGTTAAATCCCATATCCCACGCCTGCTCAATCATATCCTGCAGTTCAAGGATCGTCGGCCCCCTCTCCGGGAAATGCTCATGTCCCAGACTCTTCGTTTTGATAATATACGAAATGAGCATCTGGATGTTCCTATATCCACAGAACCCGCCTTCTCTCGGCATCTTGCAGACATGGCGGACTTTCGGGCTGCTTAGAAATGCGCGCTGGACGGATTGGTCCTGCTCGCATAGCCGGGACAGCACGGGAATCAGATGTTCTGTTTCATTCTCAACTTGTTCGTGCCGGGCCAGTCGACCGTCGGGTGTGATCTGGGTGACTTTGGTCTTGTGCCCTCCTTTCTCGAGCATCTTTCTCAGCCATGAAGGCATCTTCTTTTCGTGGGCATGGGGCCCCAGTTCTGCACGCTGGGCACTCAGTCAGTGGAGGGGCTCTAGGTCAAACATGAAGGGGAAAATACCCCAAGTCGTTTGACGCCGTCCGCTCCGGCGACCTGCGGAGGGCTTCGTGGTCGTGTCGGTTTCGCAGTGTTTGCCCGTGAGAAGTCGCGCTTCGCACCTCGTTTGTTTCCCTTGCGAGAATCTAGGAAGTCGAGCGGGTCGTCTTCGTCCACGGCGTCAGAGTCATCGGTGAGCGGGTCGATATATGGTTGGGATGCACCGCTGTCCTCGAGGGCAATTCCCTCCGCGATATGTAGATCCAGATGTGTCGACAGTTCGGCCGTTGTCACTGTCTCCCCGCAGCCGTGCGGGCACTCTATGTACTTTTCGGCGGACTCATGGCCCACGGCACTCGGGAGGGGATGTGATTCTTCCGCCAAGGCCGGGTCCGTCTCTGGATGGCAGAATTCTATGTGCTGAGCCACGAAGTCGGCATCGGCGTCAGAAAATGGGCATAGTGGACATGTTGAGGTATCGTGAGGAATGTCCATGGTGGATTGGAGTGTGAAGAGTGGCGGGATACTAGAGAAATATATATTCCGATACGTGGACACACCACCACCACCATAAATCAGGAGGTAGAACCACCCCAAAAAGAACAAGCAACCTGCATCACCGACCAAATAGCATCATACATCCTCTTCTGTCTCAGGTACTACTCCCGTATGGCCCATCCCGCCTCGGTAAGTGGTGTGCCTGGTGCCTGCCGGAGTCGGCATGTCACATGACCGCATGCGGCGAATGCCATTCTTCACGGGACTCTCAATTGCTCCTCCGACCGGGTGTACAAAGCAGTGAAGGATAGACGCAACGCAATAAACAAACACCGGGTCGAGAGATCTCGCCTCGGATCGCTACACTAATCCTAGTTCATCAAGATGGTCATCTTCACTGGCGGGGCGCCCCCCGACGGATGGCGTGATTGGCCCTCCGATATCGTTCCCGCTCCGGGAAGGCGGAAAAAAAGTCGACGGGCCCTTGAGTCAGACCCCGTCGTGCCCTCTCCTCCATACCTACATGTGTGCGTCGACACTTCCATGACCATGGATTCCGCTGCCCGCAACCTAGAAGCGAGCCAGAATCCCCTGCCGCGCCCGTCACCCAGCAATTGGGTCGTGCAAAAGTTTGGCGGGACCAGCGTCGGCAAGTTCGCGTTGAACATCATCGAACAGGTCGTCGAGTACGTTGGACTCTCTCTTTTGCTGTCATGCGCAGTGTTGCTTACGATTCTCTTCCCCCCAGACCCAGCCTGGTCGACAATCGAGTCGCCGTCGTCTGTTCGGCTCGAAGCAACTCGACCAAGGCCGAAGGCACCACCAACCGGTGAGTCACCCCAGACCCTTCCAAACGCACCAATTCTAACCGCCACAAGATTGCTACGGGCAGCGCGGGATGCGGGAATCCCCCACTCGCGCCAGTATGAATCCCTCGTCGACGCCGTCCGACGGGAGCACGCCCTCGTCGCCGAGGAACAGGTCAAGTCACCGGAATTGAGACAGCAAGTGATCGCCGATATCAACGAGGAATGTGAACGGGTCCTCAAAGTCCTCGAGGCGGCGCAGACCCTGGGGGAGATCAGCGCACGCTGTGTGGACAAGGTCATGAGCGCGGGGGAGAAACTCAGCTGTCGACTCATGGCCGCCTTCTTGCAGGACCGAGGAATCGACTCGCAGTATGTCGATCTGGCCGAGGTGATTGATTTCCCCATCGGCAACCAAGGTCTCGACCAGGACTTTTACAACACGCTGGCCACCGCCCTCGGCAATAAGATCGAGGCCTGCGGACACCGAGTCCCCGTGGTCACCGGGTACTTTGGAACGGTTCCGGGCGGGCTGCTCGATCAGATTGGCCGAGGCTATACCGATCTGTGTGCGGCCCTCGTCGCCGTTGGAACCCATGCCAAGGAGCTCCAAGTCTGGAAAGAAGTGGACGGCATCTTCACGGCGGACCCGCGCAAGGTGCCCACGGCTCATCTGCTCTCGACGATCACACCCGCAGAGGCGGCGGAGTTGACCTTCTACGGCTCGGAGGTCATCCACCCGTTCACCATGGAGCAAGTGATTCGCGCCAAGATTCCAATTCGCATCAAGAACGTGATGAACCCGAAAGGCCGGGGCACGGTCATCTACCCCGACTCAACGGCCGAGCTCGAGCGGACCACTCCCGGGCATGATCCCCGACTGTTCCGTACTCGCAGTCCGAGCTTCATGCAGAGACCCAAGCGACCAACCGCAGTGACCATCAAGCACAAGATCCTGGTGATCAACGTCCACTCGAACAAGCGGTCGCTGTCACATGGCTTCTTTGCCGGCATCTTCTCGGTGCTGGATAAGTGGCGCCTGTCGATTGACTTGATCTCGACGAGTGAGGTTCACGTGTCCATGGCTCTCCATTCGGAGATGCCCCTCCTGAATGGTAACGGACGGGACGAATACCAAGTCATTGACGACGACCTGAAGGGGGCCTTGAATGATCTCGGCAGCTACGGGACGGTAGATATCATCCCGGAGATGGCCATTCTGAGTCTGGTGGGCAAGCAGATGAAGAATATGATCGGCGTGGCCGGCCGCATGTTCACTACCCTGGGTGAAAACAACGTGAACATTGAGATGATTTCACAAGGTGAGTTTACAATCCTCGATCTGGACCCTGGACAGGCGCTGATCCACCTGTAGGTGCGAGCGAAATCAACATATCTTGCGTGATCGAAGAACGAGACGCCGACCGGGCTTTGAATATCATCCACACCAGCATGTTCACCTTCCTGGATTAGCGTGCGTCGAGTTGAGAGAGTCGTTGTCATTTGAGATATCCCCTTGGTTTTTTTTTTGTGATAGAGAAAAGTGGCATTGCAGCCGCCCTGTCTCCCTGGACGATCGCCGCGAGTCAGGGGCTGATGAGCATCCTCTTTTTCTTTTGTGGTACTTGATGCATGGGCTTGGCGTTTTCCTTTGCTTCCATTCCATGGCGCTTGTCCTTTTGCAGCCAGCCATGATCACTGTAATTAGTCTCCTTGGTTCACGGCGTTGCGGCATACAGCATGTGCATGAATGAAATGTTTAGATCGTATTTCTGGTCCGCAAGCAAGGTTCCCCCGTACGGTTGGCCATGGGCGGACTCCTGGGCCGGATGGCGCTGATCGACCCGCGCGCCATTGACAGCCAGCAAGGGGGTGAGCCGACGCAGGCACTGTCTTAGAGTTGCAGCGATGGCATACCAGGGGATTGGGCTGGCCCACCCCTATGGACGGGTCGAGGACTTGCATGCTGGCCGAGAGAGCGAAAGAGAGAGAGAGAATGTGTGCGTGGACGTATATGTGCGCATGGTCTCATGGATGCGGCGTGATTGTAATCATAATGACCCAATGCATTGATATAACCGACAGTCCCGAGAGTCGAAGTGGAGAGAAAGATCGTGTCAAAGGATCGACGAATAGCCCGAGGCGCAAGGAGCGTGGCTGATCCGTACTGTCATGCATGACAATACCTGCATTCCCCATCCCATAGTAAAACGCGCGTCGGGCTCGCGTCGCAACCATACCTGACCGTATTGTGCCCTTGGATCCTGCTCATTATTCAGTCGTCGGGCATCAATCTCATCATCTTCTTCTTCCCCCCACTTAATTCGATTCTCTCTTTGCACCAGAGAAGTCTGCAAGTGACTTGGTTTCTTCCTTGGTCATTCTCATCCAACCACAAACCCAACAGGACTGGATCAGGGTGTCTCCCCAAGAACAGAACAGGATCCCAAGTCCTCTGCGCCCTTTTCCACCCTGTTCGACTTCTCTCGCGCTTACTCTCTTCCCCATTTCGCCACTTTCTCCTTCCTACCCGGTCGCAGTCGCCTAGCCACTTCCCGATCAGGGGCCTCCTGAACGCTGATTTGCATTGACTCCCCGCTGTGCGACCTGATTCGCCTGGCCAGATTGCACTTGAGCCAGCTTAGCGCCTTGGACCCCCGACGCCAGGTTTCAGCTTCACTCGCCTGACTGCATCTCGGCCTAAGGCTGCCGCTCCTCGCTCTTGGTCTGCGACGGGTGCGACGTGAATCGTCCTACTTCTGGATCTCGTTGGACCCCAACCATCGGTTAGATCTTGGTACCCTCGGGGCTGTTGTTTGACGCGTCATATGGTCCCTGCTGGCGACTGGTGACGCTCTGCCTTCGCTCCCGGCTGTGCAGACTATGGGATCGACGCGTTCACCGACAGCGCGCGCCCCGTTGAAAGAGACGGGCAAGCCCCGTCTTCAACCTTCACCGCTCCCTCTGCAACCCATCGAGAACCCGTCTTTGAACCCGCCTGCTGGTGGTCCCCACCGGCCATCGCCCACCAAGACGCTGCACACCAAGGGCGGCTCGCACCCTGGTGGCAAACTTGGTTTCGTCCCCATCTCTGCCCCGACTCCTCCCATGTTCACCACCGACTCTCCAACGAAGAAACCGTCATTTCCCATCTATTCCCAACCAACCTCCATGCCGCACTCGGCTCTCTTCACTACTTTCTCCAGTGTCGGTCCCGAATCGTCAAAGGAAAACCAACCTTTGGAAGAGCCATCCAACGACAACTTCGCTGATTTCCCTGAACCATCCTATGAATCAAAGCTTCCAATGAAGCGAACACTCATGGAAGCAGCGCCCCTGAAGGAGCGCGCGGTGAAGAAGCAGAAGCGCGAGGATCCTTCGGTCATGCATCTACCAGAACCGCATGAGATGCCCCCGATTGAGGATGACGGGACAAAACCACCCTACAGCTATGCTACGTTGATTGGCATGTCGATTCTCCGTGCGGTCAACCGCCGTTTGACGCTGGCGCAGATCTACAAGTGGATCTCAGACACTTTTTCCTATTACAAGAACAGCGATGCAGGCTGGCAGAATAGCATTCGACACAACCTCAGCCTTAACAAAGCCTTTATCAAGCAAGAACGGCCAAAGGATGACCCTGGTAAAGGCAATTACTGGGCCATTGAGCCTGGCATGGAGATGCAGTTCCTCAAGGATAAGCCTCTGCGCCGTGCCACCATGTCTAGCGTCCCTCTTCCTGCCGTTCCTCTGCGTGATCTTCCGCAGCCGCAAAGTGCCAGCACTACGACCTGGATGGTTCCCCCCCAGCAGCCTTCAATGCCCAACCCATCCAAGAATGTGGACTTGTCGTCTGATGCCACATTGCCCGCATCCGATCCTGCCCTGCAGGAAGACACGGGCGACGAGGGCGTCCATCTTGGTGCACAAACTACAGGACCGCCGCGCTCTTCGCCACCACAGGCTATTCGTTCCTCCCCGCCAGTTGCTCCGCCTCGATTTTCGCGCCAAGGTACTCCCCCAACCCCCACGAACCCGGGTTCTGCGGTTGCTCCACGACCACGGAAGCGTAAGTCGATCACCATGAACGACAGCGGGTATTTCTCTTCATTGGAGTCTTCTGCTCTGAGACCAAACAAGGCTGGTCATATCCTGACTTCCGACTTGGATATTGACCCACCACGCATCAAACGGGGTCGTGCAGAGGAAGAGATTGCGCGAATCCGAAGCTCATCTCATGACATTAGCCCCGGCCAATCGGGCAGCCGCAAGGATGCCAGTGCGTTGATCGGCTCCTCTCCGCTTCGCGGAGAGTATGTGAGCATGCTGCCGCCGCCGCCGCTTACTCCGGTGATCAAGTTCAAGAAGCCTGCGAAACCACCACCTTCCGTGTCTCCTAACACGAATCTCCGCAACCACCGCCGCAAGATCCAGCAGATGGTCAACTCGCCCATCAAGCATCTTGGTCTTACTGACGAGGATTTACCCTGGAGCCCGGCTTTCAACTTGCAGGATGACAGTTACACACCACACGACCACTTTACCGCTTTCGATGTCTTCGCAGAACCAACTGGATCTTCGACATACGGATCACCCGAGAAGCGCTCAGTGAAGCGGGCCCGGACGGATAATGGCAACACCGCTCTTACTGATATCACCTCCGTAAGTGTGAACAGTCGGGCGGGTGTGCCGACTCTCACCAGGTCGAAGTCATTGGTCTTCCCCGACTCGCCTTCGAAGATGCCAGATACGAGCCGCCTTGGTGATAATAGCCAAGAGGACTTCTTCTCGTTCCACCTCTTCGATGAAAACAATGAAAGCGCTGGCGAAGTAGATGGGGTTGATCTCTTGCAAGGGTTTCAGAAGATTGGCGGCACCAGCAAGGAGGACACACTCAAGCCTAAAGCACTGCATTCAAGGCCGCACTTGAGCACCCGAAGCAACACCACTTTGTTCTGAGCCCTTCCGCCCCATTGTTTGATTTTTTCTGCTTGGCATGATTCATTGGCATTGTTCAACTCCCACCAACCGTTTGCTGTGTTTTATTCTTGCGATTTCTGTTTTAAGTTTTTGATTGGACTGCGGTGCTTGTTTCCAGGTTGTTTTATTGGGTCATGGTTTCACTTGGGAGTTCTGAGGCTTATGGCTGATGGTGTCGGTTTTGACTTGTCCTTTTACCGAGCCCGGGATGGCCTGGTCACGACCTTAATGAAAGATGTACATGAGCATGCGATGGCTTTATGATTGGGAAAATCGGGGTTGGGATTGTTTTCATGGCGGGATTGTTTGGGCAAGGGAACATGGGAATGGGATCGGAGGCGCTCTTGTTTTGATTAATGCAGCTTAGGATTTTACTTGTTTGAATCGAAGAATTTGAAGTGAAAGGGTATATCCGATTTGACCTGATGAAATTCTAATGAGACGAAAATCCGAGAGAGTTAACACTGCCTAACGCCACCAGCCCGACTCTAATCAGTACTCGCACATCCTCGACAGCCGCAACTGACACATTGGATGTTCTGGTCCTCCTTGAGCTGCGCCTTGGGCACACGGCATATACACGTCGCGTTGAAATTGGTTTCTTTCGTTTGAACGCAGCGCAGGCAACACAACTAGAGTATTATCAGCAGCTGTGGCATACGGGATGAGAAATCAAGACGAGGGATTTGGGAGACTGACCTTCTCATAGCCCTGCTTCTTCCATTTGGCAATCAAGTTGGCATCTGCGTAGTTATTCTTGAGCAACCAGTCATACAACTGCTTGGAGATGGCTTCTTTTTCGTAGTAAAGGTCGTAGATGTATCGTGAGCCTAAAACAAGAAGAGGTCAGTTATGCCCATCACCTTTTGTTGCAGGGTGGCGGAGAGGAACGCATACGTTGGTGGCTGATCTGGAAGATAGGCCAGAGCATCTCATGTTTCTTTTTCCCATCATGCGAGGCATTCTCTGCGTCCTTCATCTTATTGCTGAACTCCAGCAGGGTGTCTTCTATGTCATCGAAGCCTGCTGGTGGTGGCTTGCGATTACGCGAGTTGCGGATCGGAGGCATGGTGAGAGGACTGGAGAGGAAGCTGGCGGAAAGCTTGCGAAGCTGGCGAAAATAAATAGCGGAAGGGAAACGAGACGAGCGACATGCCCGGAGGAGAGGGTGTATGGCGCAAGAGAACTGACGGAAATCAAGCACGGAGGAGGGACGAAGCAAAGCTGATTATCGATGTCATTTTTGTGCCGTTCTCGACCGCCTTCAGTTTTCCCCCCAGCGTTCGCAACCACTGTTCTCTTCCTTCAGCTGCAAGAACGACGGACTCGCGGTCTACATTTTCCCATTCTCCCTCCTCGCACACATTATAAATCGCCCATCATGGACCCCCAAGCGCAGGTTGATATCTCCAAGCTCAGCGAAACCGACAAGAAGGAGCTGAACCAGATCCTGAGCAACGAGGCGCAGAAGTCCAACATCCAGCAGAGTAAGTGCCTACCGAGACTGGTCTTCGCCATCCTCTGCAGAGATACTCTTGCTCAAAGAGTATTTAACTTTTGATCCCTGAATTTCGCTTTACCGCATTCCGATGCTGACTGCTTCTCTCACTAGCCGTGCACCACTTGAACGATGTGTGCTGGAAGAAATGCGTCACGGGCAAGATCAGCTCGAGCACCCTCGACCGGACCGAGGAGGCATGCGCACAGAACTGTGTGGAGCGGTGGATGGACACAAACCTGTCGATTCTGAAGCACCTGGATGCTCTGCGTGGTGGACACTAGAAGGCCGTCTGTCAATGGCGGTGGACCACGAAAAGAATCAATAGAGTACCCGCCCTTGAGCTTGAATCGGGATTCTCATAGGGCTGACGGATTGTCTTCTCGCACCTTGTATATTAGAATTGAATCTCATGATCCTTCTGTGCATTTTTGCGTCTTGTATTCTCACATTGGAGCAGTCGTCCGTAGAAATTGGAATATAGGAACGTCTACAGAAGAAACAGCATCTGAATGAACATTTCTAAAGGACTTTGAAGCCAAAAAGCAAGAAAAGGCCGAGTTCTACATGAGCTACTGCCAACTCGCCATTCATGTCGGCCTTCCTCACTGTGACCGGAGACGCATCAAAACATACAAGGACACATACAAGGCATACGCAAATGCTGGGTCATAATTCTTGGAAAGATATGTTCTTTTTTAATCGTTCAGCCTGCTGCTATGACAGCCACTCGGCTGGTATTTGAGAATCACCACGGAGGAAAACAAAGTTCGCCCAAACCCACAAAGAAATCCATCTCTCCCCATCTAGACAATAGCCAGCTTGGTGGCGGCAATGTCCAGAGCATCAACATCAGGGGTTAGCCGAGCAAAGGCCTTCTTGGCGCCGTCGGGGCTGAAACAGAAAAAGGTTAGATGCCAATTTTTTTTTATTTCTTTTCAAGGTAACATACCGGACGAGGGTGTTGATCTTGATGGTGTCAACATCGTACAGCTTCTTCAGGGCCTGCTTGATCTGGCGCTTGTTTGCCTTGACATCCACGATGAAGACCAGGGTGTTGTTCTCCTCGATCTTCTTCATGGCGCTCTCGGTGTTGAGAGGGTACAGGATGATCTTGGCGGCATCGAGGGTGGGCTCGCGGGGAATCGACACACGGGGGTACTTGGGAGACCGCGAGAGCTGGAGGGTCTTGGGGCGGTGGAAGGTGGTCGAGGTGCGGACCTTGCGGGACTTGTGAAGCTGATCGGCGAAAGCAGGTTAATATTTTTGACTGTCTGGCATCGGAATACTCAAAAAAGACGTACCGAAGAGCCCTTCGCAACTGCCTTGGCGGCAGCGTTAGCCCGGCTGCTGGTCTTGCCTGTCATGAAGAATTCGAGTCAGTCATTTTGTTGTGCACAATGCGGGATTCGGGGAATGCGATCTGATGTGGACGGGGATAGTTTCTTCGAAGAGGAGAGGGAAAACATATGGCGACAATAGAGGGCGTTGGCGTCCTGTTCTTGTCGCTTCCTCTCATCGCCAACGCGGTCGGTGTCTTTTCTTAAAGAAATTTGCCCACATCCACACCCACGTCCACAGAGCATCGCAATTCCACTGCCGGCAATTTGGGGGAATATGAAATGACAGGAATGTAATGCTCGCACGTACTCGGCTTGGTCTGGGGGGCCATGGCTGTCGTTGGTCGTGGTGATTGTCGCAGTGTCGGGGAGATCGAACAAAATTGGATGTGTCTGCGTTAAGCGAAATCCATTCTGTGTGGGTCAGGTGACTCTTGCGAAATATGCTGACTCAGCCTGTCCCAGACGGGAAGTGGAACTAGTTGGTTCTTCTTCACGATTTATGTACAACAGTTAATTCATCACTGGTGATGGCCTCAGCGAAACGTCGGTCCAAGCGACCGACCATGCTCTCCCATACTCGTCCGCCAACGGTCAAGTCTAAACATGCTGCGCTTTCCGCCAAGGCTACCCGTACTCTAATCCGGTCTCATCATCAGCTGCTCAAAGCTCGCGCGCAAGCCGAGGCGGCCGGTGACGAGGCTCGAGTCAGTAGTATCGATGCCCAGATCCAAGCAAATGGCGGTCTCGAGAGCTATCAGATTGCCAGCAAACTAGGCCAATCCCTGGAGCGTGGTGGTGATTCGAGCAAACTTCTGGTCGACTGGATCAAGCCGCAACTGAAACAATGGAAGGCTTCGATCCCCAAACTTCGGGTACTGGAAGTCGGAGCGCTGAGCACGAAGAACGCCATTTCCTCAACACCGGCTTTGGATGTCTCTAGAATCGACTTGAATTCCCAAGAGTCGGGGATTCTCAAGCAGGATTTCATGGACCGACCGCTCCCTTCTACTGATGAGGACCGGTTCCATATGATCAGTCTGTCTCTGGTGCTCAACTACGTTCCTGATGCGACGGGACGAGGCGAGATGCTGAAGCATTGTGTCAAGTTCTTGACCTCTACGTGCCCCATTCAGTTCACACCAAGCCTGTTCCTCGTCTTGCCTGTTGCATGTGTGGACAACTCGCGCTACCTTACTGAATTGAGGCTGCTTGAGATATTGGCTAGCTTGGGATTTTGTCTGGCGCAAAGCAAGAGAACAGCAAAGCTGATATTTCAGTTGTGGGAATATACTGGCGACAGGTCACGAAAGTCTTTCAAGAAGGAGATGCTGAACCCCGGCAAGAAAAGAAACAACTTCGCCATCATCCTAGACCGATGAGGGAATCGTTGATGGCTCTAGAATCATTGCCAATATCCGCGATAAACCATGACGGAGATAGTCGGCAGACATCATGTCCTTCGGCAAGAACGCCCACACAGTCCCCACAGCTGCCAGGATCGAAGACGTGACGAGCAGCACCCAGTCCAAAATGCGTTCCCCTCGGCTGATCTCCTTCCCGAAGATCTTGAGGTAGAATGCGAGTGGAAAGATGATGCAAATTGTGAAGCACAGAAACGATCCCAGAAAAGCCATGATTCTGTCAAAGGCTGGGAAAACCACGGCCAGAAAGACTATGAGCACCACAACAAAAATCCGGACGAAGGCTCGTAAGACTTGAAGGATACTCTGTCTCCGCGAACGAGTTTCGCTTGATGCTATCTCTGTAGCACCTAGTCCGAAGAGGACTTCGAATGTCGCGACGAGAGGTCGGGCACTACGTCTAGGTTAGCAGGTGGCGGTCTCGGAAGACCAGAAACAACTCACTTCAACGGCACTTTTGTGATTGGGATGATCGAAATGAATATGATAATGCAGACGGATAGCGCTTTGGGGTACTTGGGGATGGTGAGGACGTTTGCTGTGATCTCATCACGAACGAGATCGCCGAACATCACCCAGCCTATGATGGCCATGGAGCAGTCAAGAGAAAACTGTCCGAAGTTAGAGATAATTTAGCAAATTTTGGTCTCCTTCCACTAACTGTAAATAAATAGGTTGTCCACAGGCTTTTGCCATACTTGTGTGGGTGCCGCATGTCTCGATAGATATTGGGAAAGACTCCATGGCCACCCCAGGGTGCTTGTCAAATCAGCCTTCGGACTTCTTTTTGAGGAATGTACTCACACATGATGAGACCAAAACTTAATGGAAGTGTGGCCCAGTTCTCAGGAAACAGAGTTGTCGTGGCAGGCTGGCGAAGGGAGCCTGGCGCATTGGGTTTGATCAAGCCATCAACACAGATGAGAACCACAACTGGAAGGACGTCAACGCCATATCTTGGATAGTGTAAGGGACGACTTACTTGATGTGCAAGAGACGATGCCCAGGATGCTGGTCACACTCAAAAACCGCAGCGGAAGGAAGTTCAGCGGCATGAGCGCAAATCCACAGACAATCTTCCACTGTAGGATGGTCAAGGCTGGGACCAGTGCATGCAAGCTGTCTGCAAAGAGAACTACGAGGGCTACACAGGCGCCAAGGAGTTCCAAGCAGAATAAAATGCTCGTCACAAGGCGAGCATGATGCCCAAAGCTGATATAGGCCAGATCGGCGTAGGTAACGAGGCTACGATCGACATCGAGGCATTTCGCTAGAATCTTTGCTGTATATGAAGTTGTCACTGCCGAGTAAGCCAGGAAAAGTAGCCCCAGCAGCCATCCGGCCTGTTTCATCGCCAGTGGGAGACTCAACAGGCCGACTCCGATCAACACATTGACGGAATTGAAAATGGTCTGGGGCACGGTTGATTGACCGACAATGACATCTTCGTAGGTGCCATCTTCATGCTGGATATGCTTCACGAGTAGCGGCTGCTGGTCTGGATATCCTGGGCCTTCTGGATGGGTCTGCTGTTCGCGGTGGAACTGGATTGCATTCCTTCGAGCGGACTCACTGGCACGCGAGGAGATCGTGCCATAGGAAGTTGCAAAGCTCCTCTCTAGCGATGATGCGAGAAGTCCAGTGCTGGGAATGGCCTTTTTGGATGGTTCTGGGCGTTGGCTTTCTTGATCGCTTTCATCACCGTAGGAATCACCGGGGAGTAGAGGCCGTTCCGCATCAGACGATGGGTGACCGAGGGGGTGCTCGCTTCTGAAGCCGGCTGCTAGCCCTGTTGCAACGGCAAACTCGTCATCTGAGTCTACAGATACAAAGGACGACCGACGTGGTAGCACCTCAGGGAAGCCGGCGGCTCTTTGCCATGACCGTGCGAAGTTGTCGATGCTATTCGGACCGCCGACTTGTCGAAAGCGTACTGAGAAGGAAGAGGATCTGACGAATCGAAGTTAGATAATCCTCCGAATTGACAGAGCGGGATAGCTGCAGAAGTACCGTCTCCGTCTGTCTAGAGCCTCGGACTCGATGATCGGGGTCCCGCGACTGAGGTGGCCGTAGTCGTACGAGCTGGGTATGGTGGTGCTTGGCAACCCGGACACAGTATAATCGCGCCCATCGCTCTCATTTGCATGATCAGGCATGACGAGCAGGAAGCAGCAATGAGATCACTGAGGTGGACTGAGGCCAGAAGAAAGGGGGAGAGAAGAAAAGGGCACACGAGACCCCCCGTAGTGAGCTAGTTCCATAGATAAGAAGTGGTGGGGAGAGGATGCTGATAAGAGCAGGACGGGCCACCTAGGAGTGTTGCACTATATACCTAGCTAGGCACACATGGATACATAGAGTAACATTATGGAAGTCCGTCATGGCTGGACAACCTACCTCTCTATGTGGACATTCTTATACCACGGAGAGTCCTATGCACCCCTTGGTCGCACTGCATGTACCTGGTACCTGGCAGCCCAGCCAATCCACTGCGGCCCCGCGAGTACCGGGTACCCGCCATGCAATCCATGTGTGGGATTACCTCAGCACAAGCCCCTCCAACACAAATTTACGCCTTTCCTCTCCTTGTGTTCCCTTCATCTGTTCATTCTTTCTGCTTTCACTGCGCAGGCAAGTCTCAATTTTCTGTTTGTTGTTCCCACACAACAGGCAAGGCCTCTGATACTCTTTTCCACGGTCGCTCTCTCGCCTCGCCCAAGATGAGCGCGCCTCAGCCGAACGATGCTGAGAAGAACATTGAGATCTGGAAGGTGAAGAAGTTGATCAAGCGCCTGGAATCGGCTCGTGGCAATGGAACCTCCATGATCTCCCTCATCATTCGTATGTCTGCTCTCAATCTCTTTCTGTGAAATAATTGGCCACTGACCCGCCCCAGCGCCGAAGGACCAGGTTTCTCGCGCGGCCAAAATGTTGGCTGAAGAATACGTATGCCCTCTCCTCTCCTCTTTACCTGTCTCATGGCCTAACGCCATATCCTAGGGTACCGCCTCCAACATCAAGTCCCGAGTCAATCGTCTCTCCGTCCTGTCGGCCATTACCTCCACGCAGCAGCGTCTCAAGCTGTACAACAAGGTGCCTCCGAATGGTCTAGTCGTCTACTGTGGTGAAATCATCACTTCGGAAGGAAAGGAGCGAAAGATTAACATCGACTTTGAGCCCTTCAAGCCGATCAACACCTCGCTCTATCTGTGTGACAATAAGTTCCACACCGAGGCCCTGAGCGAGCTGCTCGAGTCCGACCAAAAATTCGGTTTCATTATCATGGACGGAAACGGTGCGCTATTCGGTACTCTCAGTGGTAACACACGAGAAATTTTGCAGCGTCTCCAGGTCGACCTGCCCAAGAAACACGTGAGCCCATCTTCCCTCAGATTGCCCTTTTCTGCGTACTCATACACCCTTCTCAGGGCCGTGGTGGTCAATCCGCGCTGCGTTTCTCCCGTCTCCGTGAGGAAAAGCGCCACAACTACGTGCGCAAGATTGCCGAACTGGCTGTGCAGAACTACATCACCAACGACAAGGTGAACGTTGCTGGTCTGGTCTTGGCAGGTTCCGCCGATTTTAAGAACGATCTCAACCAGTCCGACATGTTCGATGGCCGTTTGCAGTCCAAGGTCATCAAGGTGGTGGACGTTTCGTACGGTGGCGAAAACGGGTTTAACCAGGCCATCGAGCTTGCGGGAGAGACTCTGAGCAACGTCAAGTTCGTTCAAGAGAAGAAGCTGATCGGCAAATACTTCGAGGAGATCAGCCAGGACACGGGCAAGATCTGCTACGGTGTTGAAGACACGCTCAAGGCAATGGAGCTTGGCGCCGCGGAGATTCTGATTGTGTACGAGAACCTGGATGTTACCCGCTGGGTCATGAAGAATGCTGCCGGTGCCGAGGTGGTCCTGCACACCACCAAGGCCCAGGAGGCCACTCGCGATCTCTTTATCGACAAGGACACGGGAACTGAGATGGAGGTGATCGATTCAAGTTCTTTCCTAGAGTGGCTGGCCGAGTCATACAAGGACTTTGGTGCTGCTCTTGAGTTCGTCTCAGACCGATCCGGCGAAGGTAACCAGTTCGTCAAGGGATTCGGTGGAATCGGTGCCCTTCTCCGGTACAAGGTCAACTTTGAACAACTGGCTGATTACTCTGACGATGATGAGTTCTACGACGGTGTGTCTACCCGGTCCGAAATCTGGGACTGAGCTGACTTTTCTCTAGATTGACGGTTTAGCAACCTCGCAGAGAGCGAGGATGAAAGGCCAGAAGTTCCCCCGGCGGGTCTTCTGACGGCTCGCCCGGATCAGCACGGCGGCTCTCGTTGTGGAACTACAGTATCCGTAATGGATCGTCTGAAAAGGCTTGTTCCAAGCTCCGTAACGCTGCTCAGAGGTGAGATTTGCTTCCACTTTTTTTTGAAACTACACACTGACTTGATTCAGGGCCATCCACGCTCCGTATGCAGCACGCTGAGATAACCTCGGTGTTTTAAGAAAAACTGAGGCGCAGATTGCAATTTGAAAGATTGGATGTGATTCTGTTCACCAGAGAATTTGTTTTGCTTGTGCAGCTCTGTCTGCTGTCGTTGTGCTAGACTTCGCTTCTGGCTCTACACTCATTAGTTTACTAGCTCGTTGTATTGCCGTGAAAAAACAAAAGAAAGCAACCTAAATGGTTCGATATATTTGACTGAAATACGTGACAGCCCGGGATTCACCTCGGTGCAGACCGGGCATCTCTTTTTTTTTTTTTGTAAAACACATATTAAAGGTATATGGCTCAAGCACGATTCCGTTTCACTCCTTGTTCGTGCAACCATAAGGCGTAACCAGTCGACATCTTATCCACGACTTGGGCACGACTGGTCCTTCCAAGTCCCTAGATCTCTGCAGGACTCGGTCACATTCCGTAGCTCGGCCAGCACCTTCAAGACCGCATCCTTATTCTCATCGGATGGAGTCCTGGCACACTCCACAAAGAAGATATATTGCCAGGCCCGCTTGAGACTGGGTCGGGTATTGATACTTGTGAGGTTGAGACCGTGCGCCTTGAAGATGAGTAGCGCATCCGCCAAGGCTCCGGGGGAAGAATGGTTGATCGTAAACGAGATCAACGTTTTGTGCGAAGCGGCCAAATTCGTCGCTGCCTGCTCAACAGCCAGCTGCGCAGTGCGTTCCGCGAGCACATTCCTCAAAATCAAGAACCGAGTGGTGTTATCCTCGCGGTCCTCGATGTTCTCCTGCAACACATCTACGCCGTGATGCTCTGCCGCAAAGCGAGAGGCAATCGCCCCGCCCCGCTCAGCCGTCTCTTTCGAGACGATCTCCGCAGCCTTGGATGTAGATGAGACATCCTGTCTCTCGACGCCCTTGAAATATCGGGACAAGAAGGTATCGCATTGGCCCCACGCCTGCGGGTGGGTGTATAGTTTTGTGATTGAGCCATCGTAGCCGGCCCAGCCAGAGGGAAAACTGCCTTTGCGGACCAAGAGACAGTGGTGGACGGTCAAGTAGTATTCACTGCAAACTTTCACGTCGTTATAGAGGCCATTGCGGTCGGCTAGAAGGTCCAAGGTTTGCACGACAGACCCATTGGTCGAGTTCTCGCAGGGGATCACTGCGTAGTCGGCGGTTTGTTGTTGGACCGCGGCGAAAGCCTCGGCGAAGGAGACGCAGGGCTGCAGCTCGGCGGAAGTCTTGCCGAACGCCTCTGCGGCGGCCTGACGAGGGAGTTAAGTATGCCACCGAACAACACGGAAATGGGAGATACCTGATGGGAGAAGGACGCGGCCGGGCCCAAGAAGGCGACCCTTAGTCGCGCCATGGCGGGAACAGTCGTGAGGGTCGGATCTATCATGGCGAAAGATGCAAAAGCGGTCGGCGGGGGAGCGGGACTGACAGACAAACACGACAAACTTGAATGTTTGTTTCTCTCTCTCTCTTGCTTCTTCTTCCTCCTCTTTTCCAGAAATGCGAGGAAAAAGTATTGGGCCCGCCAGACGCGCTCTATTTCAGTCTCGCGCCAGTTCGTCGCTGGCCGAGCGCCTGCAAGGGCTGACGACCAGGACGCTCCCCTTGACCTACGACTATCTACATCCCCAGCCATCACATCTGCTGAACCTGACACTATTGGATCTCCTACGCCAGCCCCCTTCAGACCATCATATCACTCTCCCTTCGATCAGGAACCCTCCTCGCTTGCCCCCCGGCCACCACTTGATCTACTTCCCGCCGCAGGTCCCCTTGTCGCAACTCCTGCCCGATGGCACGGATACCCTTCACACCCCTGGTGAGCCTTTCGATCGGCGACTTTGGGCAGGCGGAAGTGTCAAGTTTGCCGATCCTGGGCTTCTGCTCAATGGCCGCCGGGCTGTGTGTATTGAATCCATCCGGAATGTGGCCGTGAAGGGTCGCGAAGGGGACGAGAAGGTGATTGTCACCATCGAACGGCGCATTGGCACCGTTCCCGAAGAGGAAACAGCCGAGAAAACCTGGGAGCGGATCTGGAAGGGGAACGCAGATGACCCGGGGGAGTCGGCGGTCGTGGAGAACCGGGATTTAATCTTCATGCGGCCCAAGAGCGAAGAGCAGCTTCGGCACGACCAGGAACAGTTTGGCGCGACGAGTAGGATCGTCAAACGTGAGAAGAAAACTAACTACACTTGTAAATCTAACCAAAAGCTGACTCTGAAATCAGCGCCGGCAGACCCAGCATTTCGGCATGTCATCACGCCCACCCCGGCCCTGCTGTTCCGCTTCTCGGCGCTGACGTTCAATGCGCACTCGATCCATCTCGACCAGAACTATACCCGCCAGCGTGAAGGATATCGCAATTTGCTGGTCCATGGCCCGCTGACCCTCACTCTGCTGCTCAGTGTACTGCAGAGACATGTCGACCATCCGATCCGCAGCATCGAGTATCGCAATTGGGCGCCGGTCTACGTGGAAGAAGAGATGGCGATCTGCGGCAAGCGCAAGAGTACCGGGGCGTGGGATGTGTGGATTGAGGGCCCAGACGGCGGACTGGCCGTTCGTGGCACGGTGACTACATAGTTGTTGTCGTTCTGTTCTGTAGAACTACATCCGCAGTACATATTGTATAGTTGCAGCCAATCAGGCCGGCAGCGCAGTAGGGTTTAGGCCCCCACTGATAAATAATTCGTTCAGCTCCAGCTCGTGTTGTCTTGTCCACCATGCGCTCAACATGCCGAACACAGGCAAACCCAGTCCGGGATGCCATCTCTGTCGCACGAGGAGGGTCAAGGTACGTGTTGTATGTATGGGATGGACGGGTCTGACATGCCCGCCAGTGCGACTTGACCCGCCCGGCTTGCCAGCGCTGCGCCAAATATGGCATAGACTGTCCCGGCTACCGCGATAGCCTGGACTTGATGTTCCGCAACAGGGGCGTGGACGACGTGAAGAAGCTCGCCAAACGCCGCCAGAAGGTGACCTCGCCAAGGACCCAGTCCGAGAGCCCGCTGGTAATAGCCAGCTCTCTGAGCCCGAGTCCGAGCTCTGTCGCAAGTCGCCCTTCTATTGCGCTCATCCTGGATTGCTACTCGGTTCCGGTAAATGGCGAGCGTCTTTTTGGTCATGTCGATTTTCTGCCTGTCTTGCTCTCGGAGGCGGATGAGGGTTCATGCTTGCTCTATGCGACAGATACCCTGGCTGGCGCCTACATTGCTAACCAGACGGACTCGCTTCCGGAGCGGGAGAAAGCGTCTAGGTCGTATGGGCGCGCGCTGGAAGCAGTCCGGGCCGCTCTTATGAGCCCTACCGAGAGTATCAAGGACGAGACCCTGGTGTCTGTTTGGGCTTTGGCTGCCTATGAGGTTTGTATTGCCCTATTTAATTTTTGTATAAAGAAAAGCCAATTACTGACTTTTGCGAATCTAGATCCTTGTTGGCTCAGCTCAATCCAAGCGTGGCCCCGGGCCTGAGGCGTGGCATCTTCACATTGATGGCCTCAACACGCTGCTCGCCTTTCGGGGTCCCGGGCAGTTTGCCTCCAAGCGAGGCAGGAATATCTTTTGGACCATCCATTCACATATTGTGAGCGAACTACCATTTCTGACCTTACAGCCACTGACAGGAATGGCTGCTAGCTTATGCGCTCTATCTTGAACAGCGTGGTCTGTCCTCCCGAGTCGCGCGACTTATCAGCCATGTTTGCTGCTGCCACCATGCCCAATCCCGACAACCACGAGATGTCAATGACTTTCGTGTCGCAGTTTGTTATCAGTGCCAGCGATATCATCACGGCATCGATGGTCCAGCTCCGGACACAGTTTGTTACGGTTCCTCAATGTATCACATACATCCACTCCTTGGACGCCGCCGAAAGCATTGTCCCGCAGTCAATATATGATATCTATTCCACCGGGGATACCGCCTACGCCTGGAATATATACCGCACGACGCGGATGAGACTGCACCACTGCATGCTGATGTTAATCAACTGTGCACTGGCTGACTTTGCTATCGATGCCTGGGAAGCGGTAGACGACCAAGAGATCCAGATCCTCGTACGACGGCGACAAGAGCACACAGAAATTTTGCACTCTATGGCGCAAGAGGTCTTGAGTTTTGTTCCTGCCGCCGTTATACAAGCGGTGCGTTCGAAGCCTCCGTCTCCTCAAGCTGCGGAGTCTATTCCAGAACCGGCTCAGCGATCGATCTGCTGGGCGGACGCTCTCCGTCTTGTCTGGCCGTTGGCCACCATCTACAAGCTACCCATGGTACAAGAGGAACAGCGGTGGATCGCAAGACAATCATGCTATGTGATTGGCGAGCAATGGGGGATTCGGGAAGCGTTGAAGCAGTGGTCCAGTCCAGTGGCGAGATTACCCCAGGCGATGCTCCCTCGGTCTAATTTTGACCAAGATGATTGGCAAGAGTATTCGCCAGGTAGAAGCCTGACGACCAGGGAGGTTTGGGCATAATATCATTGTATCATAAGTCATTCAGGGGTACATTGTCTACGCTAAACACGAAGTACAAGTTTCCCAATCTGCTTCCCCTGCCAAACATACTCGACCGCTTCTTCGGCCTGCTCGAATTTCCAGACCGAATCAATAAGGTCATCTAGCTGCATCCGCGAAGCGGAGACGGCAGAGCAGAAATCTTCCATGTCATACTTCGATCCGGCATTGATGCCCCTATATGTCCGTTCGCATTAACCTCTCTACTTCAACTCAGACATCACGACTTTCACTCACCTCAGAATAATTCTCCGATCAATGATAGTCGGGATAAGCTCAGCCAACTCAGCGGGATTTTGCTTTCCCAGATACCCAACCTGGCTGATAATTCCACCACGTCGAGTGCATTTCATACTCTTTACGAAAGATCCGGTACCTCCATTCTCAACAACGATATCAACCCCAACACCGTCGGTCAATTTCAGAACCTCCTCATGCCAGTTTGGGATCTTGGCATAATTCACGGTCAAGATCGGCGGACTACCATACTTCTCCTTCATGCTTTGCAGCTTCGCATCGCTGGACGAACTGAGAATAACTCTCAGGCCTGCAGCTCTGGCGAGCTTGAGCGCGAACACACTCACACCCCCAGTGCCTTTACTCTATTCAGTGATAATTCGAATAAAAATAGAGAGAAGAACATACCTTGAATCAACACAGTCTGCCCAATACTCATCCCCTTCAATGCAGACCATGCCGTAACACCAGCGCAGGGGATAGTCGCAGCAGCAGTCCAGTCCAGGTAGGTGGGCAATTTACACAATTTCTCTTCATCGAAGACAATGTGATCCGCCATCACCCCGTCCTCATTAGCAGCAAGCCAAGACCGACCCAGTTCTCGGCCAGAGATATACTCCGTGTCAGTGACGGGCGCAACTCTGTCGCCTACAACAAGGGTCTTGACTTTCTCGCCAATGGCAATGACCTCGCCCGCTGCATCGTTGCACAAGATTCCATTAGGAAGGACGGGCCATGGGTTCCCGCCGTTGGCGATGTTGGCGTCCCTGTAGTTGAGGGCAATGGCGTGGACTTTGACCAAAGCGGCAGTTGGGGATAGAGGGAGTGGTAGGGGCTCTTCTACAAGCCGGAGCTTGGGTGTGCCTGGTGTATAGTCGTCTGTCCGACGGAATGCGCGGCGGAGCTGGGGTTCAGAGGACATTTTAGTTTGAGTTGTGATAGTTCTGGTTTTGATGATCTTGAGATGTTGAGGGATTCAAACGAATATAGACCACAGATGAGCGATAAATTTTCTTATATAGAATATGAAAGTGACTTACATTAATAAGGGGATTAATAATGGTGTTAACGCGGTGCCCTAGATCAGTAGGATATTCTGATCGACCAATGTTGCCTTAGTCACGGGAAGCTGCCTGATTGGCTACAATGTGAACAATGATGTTGAGTTCCTGTTGACTCGGTGAACTGGGCAAAGGGACATTGGAATTATTTACAATGATGTGTCTTCTTTCTTGACGTGTTTGATGAGGCGGGAATACGGAAATAGTGATTGGATAGTTATATAGCACACGAGGCACAGTTGGCAAACGGGAAGAGAAAAGCATGGAACTTGGCACAAATGATAATTTTTTAAACTAGTTATACCTAAAGGTATGTATACGACTCGAAATTCTTACATCTGTCAATACTCCATTGGCGGCGACGAAAATGCATACCGAATTGCCTGGATCACGTCCTTCGGGCTTAACATCATTAGCCAGACTTTGGGACTGAATACGCTACCCTGATAGCGCGGAGGCAGTATAGCAGAATTCTGTGAGCCTGAGTCTGTGGGCATGTAATCGGAGTGTCTGATCTTGTACGGCGAAGCTCTGTAGGCATAGGCGAACAGGCACGACAGCGGTACCATTTGAAGGCAGATGACTAGCATCGGGATGCCGATGATAACATCCGAGTAAGTCAATTTCGAGGTAGGGGTCATGAGATTCGTGCTGCGCAGAATCTGGAAGATAATCTAGAAAGGAGGTAGTTAGCAGATTGTTGACAATGGGCAAGAGCCGGCAGCAATTTACCTTCTCAACAAAGGTTAGGAGAACAATGAGCTTAAAGGCCGCAAGCTTGAGCATTACGCGGTACTGTTGTAGTTCACTTTTCTTGGCGAAGTAATATCTGAAGACGGCTATGACTGCAAGGCCGAGAGAAAGGTATTGGATAATAGAGAGCTGGAATAGACGTCGCTGATCAGTACACTTGCGTCTTGCGCAGAAACGGATAGACCGATAGACTCACCCACAGATGAGCAAAATGGGTCTTGTTGCTCTCCAGACAGTAGACCTGAGCAGCCTGGGTGATATCCGTCACGGCCCCTAGGAGCAACGAGACAATTGGATATTGGAATACCATAACGGACCGTTTCTATATCGCGGAGATGATTAGCGCCAATAATCTATAATGATTGTTGATACTCACTTTATGCCACTGAAGTTCGTCAAGGCGCTCCTCTTCAACATCGTTATACTGGAATGGCTGCAGCGGCTTTGAGGCGACGTCCTGTCTCTCGACGACCACCGAGAGGTATTCGTTCAAGAGGAGGAAAAAAGTGCCGAGCGTGATAGACTGACAAAAATCGGTCCAGGCAAAGATATAAACATAAGCATTGGGGAAACAGATTGATAGAAATGAGATGACCGAGTAAATGGGGATGAGAATCGAGATGCGCATGATCTTGCGTTGCTGGTTGGGGTTGCTGTAATGGGACGCGTGGGTCAATTGAACCATAAAGATAATTAAGCAGGCCAACGCAGCACAAGCTCCAGAGAATATCATGTTGAAGTGGTGGAAGGAGATGTTGGACACGAAGGGCTCGGGTGCATCTGTACCGGGGTTAGTCTGTGCTGGCACCTGGTAACATTCTCAATACTGACCAATTTTGAAGGTCGAAGGCATGGGACAGGTGTCATTGCCTGAAGAGCCGCTGAAAAGATGAAAGAGGCCCATTTTGAAAACTTGAGGGTGAAATCCAATGGACTCGATATAGATCAGAGGAGAAGGAGGAGGAAGACGTTAATTGAGAAGGAGATGAGTGCTGGACCGAAGGCCCTGCTTTATACTTGAGCCGGGCGGACGAGATCATCACTGTAGCTTAGTTTTGACTTTGCTTGTAGGGCCATTGACTCTAGTTGAAGCTGGTGAGCCAAACCCGAATGGACTTCTGGATCGGGTTAGGGGCCAAGCTGGCGATAGTGATTGGACGAACTGCTCGAATGGATTTCTCAATGGGGTTAGCCCCTTCCTAACCTTGTTCTCAGCCTTGAAGATGTTCGTCCGATCGATCACTACTTAACCTTCAGCCCCCGGGCTAAATTTAAATAACTGAAGATCTTGCTTGGTTTGATGACGCTGAGGTTGTGAGGGGTCAGCTGTAAGAGTCGCATCGCTGTCCCGTTGCGGTTAGTGCTGGTCGTCCAAAGCGAATGTTGCGAGATGACAATACACCTAGTTTGGGGCTGAGCATGGTAAGAATATCCAAGGATTGAGAAGTTAATTCTAGGCAATAATTGGTCAATTATCATTCGGCTGTTCGTATACAAACTACTACATAGTTGGTTCCCTGGGCAAACATCGGTTGACCGGAACGGAGAAACCACGGCCGAGAGAGCACACGTTTTATTTCCCTTTCGTTTTCTCCCGCTTTTCTCTTCCTTCCTTCCTTCATCCGCTCTCTTCCTTTCCCCAACCAACATAATAATAATACTCCGATGGGCTCAACCCTTACACTAACCATCTAGCCTTAACATCCTCTCTCAATTGCCGAGATGGATATTTTCTGGGCTGCTCCGCCTGTGACCAGGTTAGTTTGGGATCGCTGTTACATCACGCTCGATGACTGACTCGCTTTCTTTCCCAGGACGCTCACTGCTCTGGCACTCGTCCAGTCTGCTCTAGTACATGGCGGCGCTCTCAGTGGATATCATGTTGTCTTTCTGCCGCACTTGCTTTGGAAACTGCAGCTCTGGCGCCTGGTCACGCCATTCCTACTAACGGGCGGCAATATCTCATTCCTCCTGGACCTTTACTTCTGTATGATGTCTCGAGGCTATGCGATCTTGCCAGCGTGCTAATACGCGGTAGTATACCTCTACGGCAGTTCTCTGGAGACTGGTTCGCCCCGGTTCACCGAGCCCGGCGCTTTCTTCACCTATGTGGTCTTTGTAGCTTCTGTCATCATGGTAAGTCATGGCTCACTGCCGGAGTCTCTAGGCCCCCTGTTTCATCTCCCTTTGCCCTTTACCTCGCATATCTGCCCGCCCAGCCTTACTCTAGCTGAAGCGGTTCCTGGAAGCGAGGGAGAATACCCCTGCATCTCGTGCAGCACCGCCTATTCGCAATCAAAATGGTGCTGCATGCGGTGCGGGAATGGTGGGATTGCCTCAATGATAGCCGCCGTGATCCTATAAATTCACGGCGGTGGTAAAGGTGCCCTACATGCCTCTATATATACTCCTATCTATTTTTTTTTCCAATATCATGCATTCGTTGAAATCCTTCCTTTCCCTTCGCGGTAGCCAACACACGATCCAATCAGAAAACATGCTAACTCGTCGACAGCTCACTGCAGGCTACTTCCTGGGCGGGTTGGTCTTTACGTCTGGTGAGTTTCTCCCCACCATCCAGTTCCGCTTAATCTCAAGTCACTGATTGGGAAATAGCATTGATCCTGGCCTTTGTCTACACCTATGCCCAAGATAACCGGGGCCGGAAGGCCACGTTCTACGTGATCCAGATCCCTGTCGAGTTCCTGCCATGGGCAATGCTTTTGATGGCCTTTGTGAGCGGCGGTCCCTCTACCGTCCTAGCTGAGGCGATGGGGATTGTCGCAGCCCATCTCTACGACTTCCTCACCCGTATCTATCCGGCCTTTGGCGGCGGGCGCAACTGGATCACCACCCCTGCCTTTGTGCGACGGTACTTCGGCGCCCACACTCCCGCCAGCACCTCCCGTGCATATGGTACCGCCTTTCGTCAACCCCAGCCGTCCTCGGGGTCTTCTTCTGGTGGCTGGAGCTCGTCTCTCCAGAACCCATGGAGCGGGCGTGGCGCAGGACGGAGACTCGGGGGTGATTAGCCGGCATCCATCCAATTGTATCAAATACCCTGAATAGCATTAAATGGACCGTTAGTATTAGAATATTTATCCTGATTATATAGAGTAATTATTTCTACAAAATACGGCTACCTTGCCATTCACGTGACCTATCACACGCTAAACCAAATCGGGCGATGGAGCTGCCGCACTGCAAAATTTCATCCTCCGCTTTTTTCGGTCCTTTACTACTCGCATCTTCCTCCCCCGTCCACCCTCACCATGGCCGTCGTCAAGAGCAGCCAGGAGATGGACTACGCCATCAAGCCTGAAGCGCTCACTCCTTCTATTCCCACTTCGGAATGGCCGCTGCTCCTCAAGAACTACGATCAGTGTACGTTACCAAAGGAAAAAAAAAAAAAAAAAAAACGCGCCAACGCTGACTTCTTGTTTTATATAGTGCTGGTCCGAACAGGCCACTTCACCCCGATCCCTGCCGGATCTTCGCCTCTCAAGCGTGACCTGAAGTCCTACATTAGCTCCGGTGTCATCAACCTCGACAAGCCCTCGAACCCGTCCAGCCACGAGGTCGTGGCGTGGATGAAGCGGATCCTCAGGTAACACGGCCCTCCATGCCAACAGGGACAAAAATACTGAGCATTCTTCTCTTTAGATCTGAGAAGACTGGCCACAGCGGAACCCTCGACCCCAAGGTCACCGGCTGTCTGATTGTCTGCATTGACCGCGCGACCCGCCTGGTTAAGTCCCAGCAGGGTGCCGGAAAGGAGTACGTGTGTGTGATCCGTCTGCATGACAAGGTCCCCGGCGGCGAGGCGCAGTTCCGTCGCGCTCTGGAGACCTTGACCGGTGCGCTGTTCCAGCGTCCTCCCCTGATCTCGGCCGTGAAGCGCCAGCTCCGTATCCGTACCATCCACGAGAGCAAGCTCTACGAGTTCGACAATGACCGTCATCTCGGCGTCTTCTGGGTCAGCTGCGAGGCTGGAACCTACATCCGAACCCTCTGCGTGCACCTGGGTCTCCTCCTTGGTGTCGGTGCTCACATGCAGGAGCTCCGTCGTGTGCGCAGTGGTGCGATGGATGAGAACCACGGCATGGTCACCCTCCATGATGTTATGGATGCCCAGTGGGTGTATGACAACCAGCGCGACGAGTCGTACCTGCGCAAGGTCATCCGTCCCCTGGAGAGCCTGCTCACCACCTACAAGCGTATTGTTGTCAAGGACAGCGCCGTCAACGCCGTCTGCTACGGTGCCAAGCTGATGATTCCCGGTCTTCTGCGCTTCGGTTAGTTCGCCTCATCTGCTTGAGTATCAATCTGCTAACCTTTTCCTCCAAGAGTCCGGCATCGAGGTCAATGAAGAGGTTGTCCTCATGACCACCAAGGGCGAGGCTATCGCCATCGGTATTGCGCAGATGTCGACCGTCGAGCTCACCACCTGCGACCACGGTGTCGTCGCCAAGGTCAAGCGCTGCATCATGGAGCGCGATCTCTACCCGCGCCGCTGGGGTCTGGGACCTATTGCGGTGGAGAAGAAGAAGCTCAAGTCGGCCGGCAAGCTCGATAAGTACGGTCGCACCAACGAGGCCACACCTTCCAAGTGGAAGAGTGAATACAAGGACTACTACACCTCCGAGGACGCCAGCGCACAGCCGGCAATTGAGGCACCGCAAGAGACCCCGGCCCCCCCGCCAGTAGAGGAGGAGGCCGAGGAGAATGACACGGAGGACAAGAAGAAGCGCAAACACGAGGGTGAAACTGCTGAGGAGCGGGCTGAGCGCAAGCGCAAGAAGAAGGAGAAGAAGGAAAAGAAGGAGCGCCGCAAGTCCAAGAAGGAGGACAGTTCGGACAGCGAGTAGAGGGACGCTCGCAGGAAATTTCCTGTATCATATTTGTTTCTTTCTTGATTTTGGAGTATTTGGGTGAAAAGGGAATTTAGGAATCCAGTTGCTTCTATTACATTACTTTCTAGTCATGTATATGCCCAGCTTGTACTACTACTAGATTGATTGTAGGGCTTGTACGACTGTAGCACCTGACCTGCGGGGTGATGGTCACCGCTCCGCATTCGTTCGCTCACTCACTCACTCACTCACCTCTGACTTCACCATCCTCCTTCTTTGACACATCCACTGCCACCATGGCTGCCGAACTGACTTCCACCAAGCTCAACCCAGAGAGCCATCTAATCCTGGTAAGTCGTTCCCGCCCGCATCCTCGAACCCACCCCGGGTGCTCATCACCTTCTTGCTCTAGGACCAACCACTCCTCCGCCTTCCACATGAACTCGCCCGGAAGAATTTCAAAACAGTCCAGCGCGCCGTCGAGCGAGAGAAGGAATACGTGCTCCCCGCCCTGAAAGATGCCGCCAACGCCTCTCTGAACAACACCCACACGCCCGACCAGACCCTCGCCGCTCTGGATGCGATGATATCACGAATGCAGGGCCTGAAGCGGAAGATGGAGAATCTACAGGACGAAGAGAAGAAGATCCAGATCCAGTCCCGAAAGAGAATCCAGCATCTGGAAACCCTCCATAAAATCCCGAGCCTGGCCGATGTGAAATACGATCAGTGGTCCCGGGTCCGGCTGGATCGGTTGCTGGTCGACCACATGTTGCGCTCGGGATACTCGGAGAGTGCGAAGCAGCTGGCGCAGGAGAAGGGGGTTGAGGATCTGGTTGATCTTAGTGTCTTTACGCAATGTCAGCGAGTTGTTGAGAGCTTGCGTCGTGGGGAAACGAAAGAGGCGTTGCAGTGGTGCAGCGAGAACAAGGCAGCTTTGAAGAAGAGCCAGGTGCGTTGCGCTGCCAGAGACTAATGTCCTTCAAAGGCTGACACGTTTGAATGCAGCACAATCTTGAATTTGAACTCCGATTGCAGCAATATATCGAGCTGGTTCGCACCCAAGACAAACGGAAGAAACTCGAAGCCATCATACACGCCAAAAAGTACCTCATCCCGAACCATGAATCTCAAAAGACCGAGATTCTTCGAGCAGCAGGTCTGCTGGTTTTCACCCAGGACACCAAGGCTCCACCATACAAGGTAAGATGACCCCAGTCCGCAACCCCGACTTATTTTCTGATTGATATACTAGTCTCTATTTTCACTGGATCGCTGGAATTTTCTGTCCGACCTGTTCATCCGGACGCACCATGAACTGTTATCACTGCCATCGCAGCCATTACTGCATATCGCTTTATCTGCTGGACTCTCAGCGCTCAAGACTCCCCTGTGCCACTCGGCCTTCACTTCATCTAGCTCCAACTCACAATCCACCACAACATCCGTATGTCCCATCTGCTCAACCGAGCTGAACGAGCTCGCCCGCAAAATGCCATACGCACACCACACCAAGAGCTATGTGGGAGAAGACCCGATTGTCTTACCCAATGGCCGAGTATATGGCCAAGCTCGACTGATGGAGATGAGCAAGAAGATCGGGGCCGTGGAGTCTGGCAAGGTCAAGGACCCGACCACGGGCGAGGTATTTGACGAGAACGAGATGAAAAGGGTCTATATCATGTAGACAGCCAGCGCGGAATTCAATTATAATCAATCACTGTCACTGTCCGAATCATTCCTCGCCCGCTTCTTGCCCCCTTTACTCGGATGTTTCGGTTCCTCCCTTTTCACTTCAAAGACATACATCCGCGCATTCCTATCCTCGCCTCTCCATCCGCCTCTCCCCTCGTGGTGCTTCGCCTCGATCTCGCCCACCGTCCGCGCATGGGAATACCCCTCGTAAGAAGTCCAGGGGAACTTGAAACTAGTCACAACCTGTAATCCCGCATGTCGCGCCAGATCCTTGATATTCCACAGCGTGTATGGCTCAGCCTCGAACAACGACACGAGGATCTGTCCCGGCCCCGTCCGGACGCCCAGTCCAGAGGTCTGCTCATCTTCCTCTTCCTCTCTTTCCGAAGACCCATCTCCATCGTCATCCTCATCCTCCTCAAAATCATAATCCTCCTCATCAACCGACTCCGGCGCGTTAGACAAGAGCGGCACACAGCTCTTAAAGAACGCAACGAGCAACTCCTGGTTCGCGCGCACCTGCCGATTCACATCGGTCGACAACCCGCCCACATGGGGAAAATTGAAGCAGATCACATCCCACGGCCCACCCGGCGACGGAGGCAGTTTTCTGTCCTGGGGTTTCCACGCAGGACGCTTGCTTTCTTTGCGCGCGAATAACCCCGAGCGAATATCTTTGCCGCCGCCGGTAGGGGAGCCAAGTTTGCGGGCGTCGACGCCAAAAAGAACCTTGGGGCCCTTTTTCTGTTGGATTTGGGCGGGCGTCTCATTGGAGCCCCCCTGCTCTTCTTCATTTTGAGTGCTAGAGCTAGTGATTTTTCGAGAAGCAGTGACGATATCGTTGATATTTGACTCCGCCTGTGGGTATTTCCCGTAGAGCGTCTCCTTGGAGTCGTAGCATGTTGCGCAGAGGTTGCGGCATTTGTACTGGGTAGCCAGGGAGCGGGCGAATGAGAAGTCCCCTGCAAGTAGTCAGTTTTTGGTTCCTATATCTTCTCCGTGTTGTATGTCCTTCTGATATCAAATGTAGGTAAATAGATAGCTATTCCACCTCCGGAATGATACATTTCATATCGATTCCAGCTTTATGTTCAAAACACGCCCACGCGCGTATACTTTCTGGGGTTGTTGCTGAAGACAGAAAAAATGATGCTCACCTTCGCCAATCAAGAGAATCCGATCCCGGCGCAGAAATGGGACAATCGGACGTTGATTCTGATGTTGCTGCTGGGTTTTGGGAGTGGCTCCTTTTTGTGACTGCGACTGTGACTGCGATGGTGGTGTCTTTGCATGACTGGCATTGGGACCTTTATATCCCTTGGTCGCAGACCCGGATCCAGACTGCCTAGCCGGGCCGTGCGGGGGGCGTCCTTTCGCTTTTTTATTTCGGGGCATTGAGAAGCCAGATTTTCTTTAGAATATATCTTAGGGATAAAAAGAGAGAAGGGAGTTAGGGAGATGTAGATGCACTCAACCGGAAAATCATGGCGGTTGAAGTGGAAGCCTCGATCCGCCAATCAGCCAATCAAATTTCCGAGCGGCGAGTTTCTCTGTCCTCGCTCCTCTCTACAGGACATTTTGCTAGAAATCTTTACTTTGAATAGGGAAAGTCAAGAACAAGGTCTATTGCCAAAAAAGAAAAAAAAAACCACAGTAGCTATATACACAACCCAGATTCGGGGGTCACTGCAAACAATAAAGAGCAGCCATGGATACACATGGATGCAGTGCACAGGAAAGTAAAAAACACACGACGATCTCACACACACACACAAAAACAAACGATTACTAAATAGTACTTGATATCCCAAAACGGTGTTGAAGAAAAAAAGAAGAGGAAAGAGGAAAGAGGAAAAACTGCTCACGAGGCTTTCCTCCGGAGGGAATGAGAAAGTTGAAACCCACTAACACCGACATCGAAGAAACAACCCATGCTCTTTCTCTCTCCTCCCTAGGGGAAAAGAAAAGACGTTCATCATAATGTCACATGCGAGAGATCCTCGCTGGCAAAAAACTTGCAGCAGCGAGGATACGAGGTAATGTCCGCGCTGACCAGTCAGGCGCACACAATGGAGGTGATGCAAAGGGATTTTATATGTTAAGAGCGTAGCGAGTCGCGCATACTCTGGCTGCTGGCGCTGACGAGCGGGTTGGCCGTGGGGAGCACACCAACCTTGGGTCTGGCGTTTTGCTTGATCTTGGCGACGGCGTACACAATTCCAGAAACGAAGCCCACGGCAATCGCCGACACGCTGGGGAAAGTAACCGGAGCATCGAAGAAGACCAAGCCCGACACGGCAATGGGCAGCTTGTTCAGGGCACCGACCATCGAGTAGGTTGTGGACGAAGTGACGCGCACGCACCAGGCCGAGGTGTACGAGATAAACACGGACGACAGACCGGAGAGGACCATGGCCATATAGATGCCGTTGCGGTTAGACTCCGGGAAGTTGCGGGCCAGGTTGGCGGACGACCAGTCCTCGATAAGGAGGGTGGCAACGAGAAGGACCGGGATCGACAGGAGGTTGTTGTAGAACATGGCTAGAAAAGATGACATTAGAAGGGTGAAAAAAAAGGACAGAGAAAGAAAAACATACTGTCAAAGTCCTTAAAGTTGGTCAACTTGATCCGTTTACGCATGCCCAGAACGTAGGACGAGGTGCACAGGCAGTTGATCAGCATCCACACGTAGCCCGAGTTCAAGGTCGAGACTTTGCTCGAGGTGTCGCCGCTGCTCTCGACGGCATGCTTGATATCGGCCCAGGCGGCAATGAGGGAGCTCAGGACCATCAAGCCGAAGGAGAATAGCGTCAGACCGGTGACTGAACCGCCGAACCACAAAACCTCGCCGTACGCGATGAGGATGATGGTCAAGTTCTTGAAGATGGTGTACACGGGAATCGACAGGAACTGAAGGGCCTTGGAACCGGTATAGATCATGCCGATCAGGAGCAGGGTGATGGGGAACCATTTCCTGGCCTCGTCCGAGCTGAAGTCACGGAAAGTGATCAGGCCCATGGATTTGCACGTTTGGATCGCGACAATGCAGACGATGGACTATTTAAATGAGTAATCTTCCCGGATACTTGGGGAAGATCATACATACCTGAACCATCAGCAACAAAAAGTTGAGATTGAAGTCCAGACCCGACAGGACGTATTTGTTCATGACGGTCATCATGATGGACGAACCGCAGTAGGCCAGCACGGGGAGCGCAGGATTATTGGAGATCGGGTTATGAGGAGCCACCCTCGGCTGCGGCGGCGGAGCCTCGAATTCCTTGGATCCCTGGTCGAGTTTGTTCATCTCGACGGTGTAGTCGTCGGTCTTCTTGTCTTCGACCATGGTGAAGGTGGTGGTGGTGGCGGCGGGGGAGGGGGTGGAAGATGAACGGCGAAAGAAAAGAAGTCGATATCGATTGGGGAAATCAATAGAGAAAAGCAAACGAAGCGGGCGACAGACCGAGTGAAGGAAGATCACCAGGAGAGAAAAAAACCCAAGGGAGCAACACACGAGAAAAACGCCGCGAGCGGCGTCGGTGACTAAGCACAGGGGCAGCTGAGTCAGCAGGGGGAATGATTTGCCAAACTATTTATAGGTGGTTGTTGATGGCATTTCGGGGTGATGATTATTATATGGTCAGGTATTATTGCAATTGAATAATGGTCGCAATAATAATATAACTATGTATCCCTATATTATCGGACTTGTTAGTTACCTAATCTGGTACTAGTGGAGTGGCCACGAGGATCGCCATGCAAATAGTCAACCTACCTGACTCCCCGGCTCAACCGACACCTACACGCCACAATGCCCCCCGACCTCGCACCCCAAGACGCCGACGACGAGGCCCTCTTCGCAGCCCTCGAAAACGAAGATGACAGCTGCTACCGCGACCAGCGCATCCAACAACTCAACGCCGAGTTCGCCGCACAGAAGACCAACCGCGACCCCTCCAGCACAACCACCATCCTCCACAAGGACATCTACCCGACGCTGAGCAGCGACCAATCGGTGCTAGACTTTACGACCTCCACAGCGCGCTGCCTAGTCCACTTCGCACACCCAGACTTCGCCCGATGCAAGGTCATGGACAGCGCACTCGAAAAGCTGGCGGGAGTACATTACGAGGTGCGGTTTGCGCGGGCGGATGTGGAATCGACACCGTTTCTGGTGGAGAAGCTGAAGATCAAGATCTTGCCATGTGTGATTGGATTTAAGGATGGGGTAGGAGTGGATCGGGTAGTTGGATTTGAAGGGCTGGAAACCGGGGGTAGGGATGGTGGGGAGGGATTTAGTGTGGGCGTGCTGGAGAAGAGATTGTTGTTCAAGGGAGTGCTGGTTAAGACGAAGTTGTCTTCGCCTGAGAATGATGAGGACAGTGAGGGTGAACAAAGTGAGAGTGAGGGCTTCAGCAATCGGATCAATACGCGGCGAGCGATCCGGAGTGGGAATGCGCAGCGATTGAGGAATAGGGTGGACGATGACGACGACGACGATTGGGACTGAGGATTGGGGGTGATGGCGTGATGATTTTGTACTATATTTACGATACACTGCATGATCAGGGCCCGCCATGACTATAAAAACGGGGCCCGCAAGGAATTGGCCCTCGAGAGACCGAGAGCTACACGAAGCAAGTCAAGCCAGATACGAAATGGATAGAACGTCACTAGTGCTGCACCATTATAGGAGTACAGACAAAAGATAATAAAGAAACCGTGAAAACACAGAGCCATCTCGAAAACGAGGCGCAGGAAACAAGACCAGAAGCGCAAGAAACAAAGCTCCCTAGAGTTACAACAAATGCCCGCGAAAACCGGAGGAGGACCACAGAAAAACACAAACAAGGAAAGGATTTCTATACACGGAAGAAGAAGAAAACGGTGGTGGTCGCAACAACAACTATAACAACAACAGACAAGGATCCATCATAGGTGTCAATCAATCAACGACGCCGGGAGAACCAACCCCTTGAACAGTGCAGAAGCGCAAAAGCCAGACCGAATCTAAATGGCCACGTTCTTCATCTCCCCGAGCACCTCCGAGTCCATGACATTCGAAGATCCTGGAGTGGGGGGGTCCGCCTTGTCTGTCTCCGACGATTTCTGGTCACTTGTCTTGTCGGAAAATCCCTCGTTTTCTTTGTTGGAAATCTGTGGCGTGGACACCTCGAGCAGGTCCTCAGTCTCGGCGTCTTCGCCATTCTCCTTGGGATCTTCCGAGATCGTCGGCGCCGTTTTGATGGGACTCGTGGTTGTTTCTTCTGTCACGCGAGCAAGAGGACTCGACACACCGAACGGGGTCTTGGGACTGGGGGCCGGTTGGCCCTTGTTGAAACGGTGCGGCGAGCGGCCACGCTCGTCAGCTCGAGTCGGACTACCGTAAGGCGACTCACGGCTACTGGACCGGGGACCCTGACCGTTCGCGCCTACACCATTCGGAGCCTTGCGGCGAGGGAGGCGGCGGCCGAACTTCTGATCGGTTCTCCAGCGGAGAATCTCCAGGTAAGGAGGCTCGACGTTTTGGGACTTGAACTCCTGCAGCTTGAGCTCGTGCGTCTCCTCATCGACCATGACCTTGCCGCTGCAGAGGTCATCGGCGAAGACGGCAAGGAACGCCGCCCAGGACCGAGCGACGACATATTTGCAATCGTAGTCACGGCCGAAGATGATGACCTGACCCCATTTGCCCGCGGGGCCGGGTGCCAGGTCAATGGCAAGGTGGTTTCCACCCCAATCACGAGCCATGGGGATCCAAGCCGGGTGAGCGTAAGCTTTCTGAACTGCACCAGGAGGCTGTGAGTCTTGACGATCAAGCAGATCCTGTCGCCACATCGAATTCGCAGGTTGAGCCGAAGCAGCAGCGGCGGACGAGCTGGCCGCAGCACTGGACACGGGCGCGGTGTTCAACATCGACGCGCTCAGAAACTCCTCGTTGACCGTCTTCCAGTTCTTCCATTCCTGAACGATCTCCTCGCAGTCCAGCAGCATACAGCTGAAAATCACACCAGTCGGCAACCCAGGCCGTTCTTGGCCGTCATGAAGCATCAATGACTCCCTCACCTCCAGCGGCAAACTGCAGTCCAGCTCGTGCTCCAATTCATTAATATCGTTCTGTGTGCACCCCTCGCCGAGATTGTCGAAGAGTTCTTCATAGTTGTGCTCGAGCCAGCGCTCGATCTTCCTCCAGGAGTGAGCGACCGGTGGAGGCGGCGGGGCCCCGTCGTGGAAACTCTGCATCTGGATCTCGGCTGGGCCGTCGGCGTTGTCGTTGGAGCGTCGTTGTTTCTGGGACGCGGACGAGCGCATGCCCGGCGAGTAGGGACGACTTGGGGAGCCGGCATCGTTGACTTCGGAGAAGCCTGACCCCTTGGGCTGTTCGTCGTCGTAGGGGCTGGTAAGGTCGGGACGAGAGTCAAGGGCGCTGGTTGCAATGGAGGTGAGTGGCTCGTGACGGGCGCTTTGACTGAGAGGGACGTGTCGGCCAGTGCGGTAGGGGGAGTCGTGGGTGGCATGACGGTCATTCGAGGTCATGGTATGCCAGAAGTCACGCCAGGCGGAGCCAAGCCTGGAAGGTGAAGAGGGTTAGCGATGGACAGCATCGAGGAGAGGTCGGGGGTGGGAGACGGACATATTGGACATGTTGGACATGGTGGTGGTGGTGATGTCGGGGAGGAGAAAAAACAGGCACAGGGCTGAATGACTAGTCGTGGAATCAAACCGGGGCAGGCCAGGTAGTCATTGGAGACAGGGCACCTGGTCCTGGCCAAGTCGAGTTAGACAGCGAGGGCAGTGAGCGACGGTGATGTGGTTAAGCGAGAGTGAATGAACGGCTGTTGCAGGTGAGTTGGGGGAATTTTGCGGTTGGACGAAGAGGTCTGTTCCTTGGTTGGGGTTGGCAGGGGGTGAACGTAAATTAGGTAAGTGAGCGAAGCAATTCAAGGAACTGGGGGTTGGAAGAACAAGAGAATGGATGAGTGAGAAATCATAATAAGATGATTCCCCCTTTCCGTGTTCAGGTATGCAGATCCGATGATGTCGGCGCCCATTTCATCTACACTCCCACTACTATCCACAACAATGCCTTTTTCGGGGCTCCAGTATTCTATTGTCTCCGCCTACGGCAGTCGGTGGCAAATCTCGTCAGCGTTGCACTTGCACTCAACATAGTCGTAGTACAAAGGGGCTGCCACGTTTTTTCTTCTTTTTTTCTCTATTTCCACAATTTCTGACAAGCCACCGAGCTATTGGGATCAGCGGCACCAAGGCGTTTGGGCCGGGGGTCCACCTCGAAATCTAGATAGATGCCTACAGAAAGGGAGAAGATCATAAAACGAGTGGACGGCATGACAATTCACACCAGTAGTAACATATCAACAGGATACAAAAACGACGGTTAAGGGTGAATGCAAATCATCCTCCGTGGACCAGACACGAACAACAAGCACTTGGGGGGATATTCCAGACTCCGAACGATGCAAAAAAGAGGCCACGCACAAGAGAGAAACCTCGTCAATGTACCGAGAAGCACGATCCGGGGATCACATAGTCAAAATAAAAGATCATAACTGACCGCGGACCTGCCAGAAAAAGTGAAAACAACACCAAGCACCTGGTCGTGAGAGAAAAGAAAGACGAAACGCAACCACCGACCGAGGGACCTGGGCCTCCAGGATGCCTCGAATAAATCAATGCGTGCAGAATCACAGTACAAAGTAGAGAGAGAAGGAGAGAGAAACAAAACGAGTGTGGTAGGGTGGGTAAATTAGGCAAATGAGCTCTGGATCCCGCTCGGTGGGATCCCCGGCGCCGCATCTAGCTTCAAGATCCTGCGTAGATCATCCTCCATCTTCTTGGTGTCTGGGGATTGCGAAGGAGAGGGTGAATTTGCAGGTAGACGGAGTGAAGCGGACGGGTACTGAGGCTGCGGAGACGCATAGTTTGGCTGATTATGCCGGGGAAACTGTGCCGGCGGCGACGGGGTTGCAGAGTAGGAATGGTGAGAATTCGACGCGGGAACTTCTCGTCTCAACGGAGAATTGGAATTGTAGTGGAATTGTTGCGGGCCACTGGGATGGGCGTAGACACCCGGATGGCGGCCAGCGTGGTTGACCACGGGTTGCTTCTGGGGATTCGCATAGCCATTTGACAATGTCGCAACAGGACCAGACGTCGTTCGCAGCGGGGTCGCGTAGTGCGGAGGCCTGGCATTGGCGCCAAAACTCCCGCTTTGCTCGTGAGCCGAGGAGGAAGAGCCGGGGGGCTTCTGTGGACGCGGGTTGAGTAACAAATGCTTCAGCTCCTCGGTCTTCAGTCTCCTCTGATCTTCATTAAGATCTGCGGGGGAGTGCGAGGGAGAACTGCTAGCCCGGAAAGCGTTCATACGATCCTGGTAGGATGGAGCAAAGGACGGGCCGATGGGTGTGCTGCGCCCGGAATTCTCCATCTCGAACGAGAATACCCCGCCGTTCGGGGTGTTGTCGGCATTGGAATAAAGCAGCTTTGAATCGGTTTGCGGAGAGCGTACCCGGCTCATTTCTGGGCTATGCGCGGAGTTGGAGTTCCTTGCTTGCACAGCAGCCTTGAAAAGAAAGTCAAGAGGGGTCGGTTTCGGTTCATCGCCCACGGTTTGAGGACGAGACCTGGGTTTAGAGGGTGTAGTCTCGATTTCAGGATCCATATCTGCATTATCGCTGTCCGTCTCCAGGGTAGGCGCAAGATCAGAATCGGGAAACGACTTGGAGAAGAAGCTCGGTATCGGGAGCGCGGACGGCGCCGGCGAGGCATGGAAGGTCGGCCCCGCATATGCGGCGCTGTCTTTCAGCTGCGGCGTCATGACGCCGGGCTGGGAGGATGTGTGTCGATGGCCATTGTTGTTGGGCGCTGGCGACGGTCGACTAGCCGGTTGCTTCTTCGCCGACCGCTGCGCCTTCTTCTTTGACGAAGTGACCGGGTTTGACGAGTCGGTGGTCGTGTCTCCGGAGCTCACGTTCCGCGGTGGTGATGATGGAGGGGTGCTGAGCATGACAGTCTTCTGAGGTTGGGGGGTTGTGTTTTTCTTGGGCTTTCGGTTGTTGCGTGAGGCCTTGGGTGTTGGCGGCTGGGGTGATTGAGAGGTCGACATGGCGACTGTGGAGGGGAGGATGGGTGGCTTGAAAAATAGGCAGCCTGGGTTGGAAGAGATAAACGAGAAAGCGCAAACGCTAGAAACAAAAACTGGCAGACAAATCGGTTATATCACGGCGCAGCTGTCGACAAAGATCAAATGGGGGTCCACGCCGAATTCAGTGACGCAGCGGACAGTCAGGTATGTCGGAGAAGAATCTAGTTTCAGAGAGAAATAACAAAGAGCGAAAGTCAAGAACAGAAACTCCGAGAAAGCCAGTCTAGCATGGAAGAAAGCATGGTTGATGAGGTTAGATGTTGGAACAGAGCGGAAGAGAGTCAGTCACCGTCGAAGTGACGGAAGGCGAACCAGATGACTAAGAGACAAACATCATCAAACACGCCGAATCAGGCAAGACCAGAGCTGCACCTTCTTACCTTCTGACTGGTATTCTTGGATTGGGGACCCCGGAGACACAACCCTTGTTCCAGCCTGAGTCTTCTCTTGTCCTCTTCTGGTCTGCAATAGACCACCCGTTCTCAGAACAGTCCAAACAAAGCTACCTCCCCCCCACTCTACTATCGCCATCACCCCGCGAGTCCACGATCCACAAACCATGGCGGACGTGGAGATGAAGGAGGCCTCCGCCGGTGCTTCTGCCAAGGGCAAGGCCGTCTCCAAGGGCTCCGACAGTGCCGCTGATGGCAAGAAGAAGTTCGAAGTGAAGAAGGTACGCAACAACAAACACCTCCAGAGCTCCATCGCAGAGCCTCAACTGACTATCGTCTCTTTAGTGGAACGCTGTGGCGCTGTGGGCGTGGGATATCGTCGTGGACAACTGTGCCATCTGCCGCAACCATATCATGGACTTGTGTACGTGCCTTGATAATCTCCGAAAGACCGCTCGCTAGCTAACTAACCTCACACTCACCAGGCATCGAATGTCAAGCCAACCAAGGCTCATCAACGACGGAGGAGTGCACCGTCGCCTGGGGAATCTGCAACCACGCCTTTCACTTCCACTGCATCTCGCGATGGCTGAAGACCCGCCAAGTCTGTCCGTTGGACAACCGGGACTGGGAGTTCCAGAAATACGGCCGGTAAACGGTGGATACGAAGTCCGAGGATACTACTCATACAAATTCGAAGAAATGGCTCATGACACAAATACCTGCGTTGCTATTGCTTGCTGTCTTTCGAGAACCGCCCCCGTAGAACTATTGTATTTCTTCTTCAAGCCACCTTAACCCCGTCCACCACAACACCCAGCCCCCCAGCCCTTCCATCTGTGCGAGCTAGCCACTTCTCAGGGTTCTGATTGTAGAATGGCCAGGGAGGGACCACAACCACGGCTGTGGCGAGCGTGCCGGCGAGACCGATCCATAGCGTGAGGTGGATGTCCTTGAAGATGTATCCGACGACGAAGCTGACGGCCTAGATAGACTGGAGTCAGTCTTGACACCGACACACAGGGTTGTCCATGGTGTAGCTTTGTAAACACAAACTTACCGCGGAGAGAATCAAGAGCACCGTTGAGAGGATCTCAGCGAGACGCTGGCCGTGGAAGTCCTGTGTTCGTTAGCTTAGGGTCCTTGAACCACCGCTGGGAGCGGTCCTGCGTGGTTGATGGGGAATGCTATGTGCAGAGAAACATACAATCAGACCTTCAAAGGCATCCTGGATCGGAGCCAGTAATTCGTCCATGGTGGCGTTGGTGAGAGTGTCGCGAGGTGCAAGGACGCGCGCTTATCGCAATGGTGGCATCTGCCGCATCACCGCCTTTGGTATACACATACACAGCACTACTCTTTACAACTACCACCCCTTTTTTTGTTTTCTGGTTTGACTGGCTCAATATATTGTCTGCGTTTTGGAATTTATTTATTTATTTTGATATATTTGGGACACTCAGTCCGGCAGTCTATGTAGCACTTTGTTTTTGGCCCGGATTATATCCATCATCTCGGACACAGCTGCCGAGTGAGGTCAGACATGCAAAGCCCGGAGGTATGTTATCGCATCAAGGGGGAGGATGCGATAGGATCCAAAAAAGCAGCGGTGAAACTGAAACGAGGAATCTTGCTTTGACACGAAGCTTGTGACGTAGGACCTGGCCGGTTGCCTAGAGTTCTCCCAGATCCATGAGAGCCATGACTGGCGCCCACTCGATGCTGTGCACGGGGGACTCCTGACCGGAGGCGACAGAGGGGATGAACGGCGAAGTCTATCAGGTTTATTTCGGGATGACCGTCGCCCCATCCTGGGCGGGCTCGAGCAGCTTCCACTGGCATGAGATATTATTGGCCGCGAACTGGGCGATGATGCGGTCTGCGATCTCGGTAAAGCGATCAGTCGCCAATGCCAGGATGGTCGGACCGGCACCAGACAGACAAATGCCCAAGAGCCCCGGCTGGGTGGCAGGGGTCATGGATTGCAGAACCTCGGTCAGCCCCGGGATCAGGGTTTTGCGATACGGTTGGTGGACCTTGTCCTGCATGGCCAGGAAAATCATGTCGGGATCGGGCGGCGAACTCCCCAATGCGGCGGGCAGCAGGGCCGCGCGTTGTAGATTGAAGACCTGATATGACCCCCAATTAGCGACAGATCCATTTTGGTCCAAAGGAATACCTACCACGTCCGCTCGGGAGTACGACTGGGGCAGAACATTGCGAGCATTGGCCGTCGGCACGACAAAGTCGGGAATGATGGCGATGGCCTTGATCTCCTTGGCCCAGTTGAACTTTCGGTAATGGCCGATACCCAGCGGTGGTGCTGGAGGGCGATTGCCCGTATCGATGCCACCCGCGGGAGCCGGCAAGACCTCACTAAGGGGAATTTCTTTGCGCGCGACGTCCTCGGGCTTGAGCTCGTTCAGGTAGGTGCCCACAAAGCCTCCAAAGAGTGACGCAGCCACGTTGTCCGGGTGCCGTTCTGGAAGCGACGAGTCATCAGCATCCGCCTTACTTGCATGCAGAAGGGGGTCCAATCCTCCACTCACCAATCATCAGGCAGTAGTCGAGCAAGCGCTCCTTGCTTAGGCCCAGGCGACCAACCTCATTGCCTAGCATGACGCCGGCCACGACCGCCGTGCCCGAGGATCCCAACCCGCGGCCCAGCGGGATGGGATTGACGATGTGCACGGTGGTCTCGGCGGGGAATGCGCGCTGGTCATGGCAGCGCAGCACATACAAGGCCACGCGGGTGATCAGGTTGACCTCTGGGTCGAGACTGATGGCCTCTGTGCTTTTGCTCTGGTCTTCGTAGGTAATGGCGCAGTTGAGGGGTCGTTGCGACGCGGTCGTGGGGTCGACCGTGACGTGTAGTTCAAGGTGCAGGGAGAGGGCTAGGCCGATGACATCGAAGCCGGGGCCAATGTTGGCAGAGGAACAGGGAATGCGGATGACGAAGGAGGAGGCCATGGTGTTGACCATAAAATCGCTCGTATAATATTATGGAGTGGTGGTGGTGGGTGAAGTCACTCACTCTATAGGACTCACTGACTCAACCCCCGAAAAAGAAAAATTGGCCGACACCGGCGGGGTGGAGCAGGGGTGCTCCCCACGAGATCTGATCGGGTGGTATGTAGGAGTCCGGAGGGAATTAAATCATACAATCATCATTATCCTACTCCTCGCCAGATAATCATTCTAGTGTAGCAAGTGTGTCCGCCGTGTACGCATTGTATCCCGGACCTTGCAGATCGGCCAGTGACAATGATGCAACCGGTCCAGTGCAGAAAAGATTCGGTGAGCGAGCAGAGGGCCTGACCACCGGCCCAGAAAATGCCTCAGAGCAACAACTATTATTTGGTAAGAGGGAATCATCTAGAGTCTTATAGGTCTCTTAATCGACAAAGTAGTCTCGCGGGGGTGACCACACCGGAGACCCGCAGAAAATTTTCACCTAGAGTTACTTAGGGTTCGACCGAGCCTTAGACTTTTCCTCTCTTCTTTGCCCCCCATCACTGTCCCTCTGGACTCTGTCTTTTTTCTCCCTCCTCTTTCAACCACATTTTCGCCTTTCAAGGTCTCTCTTCGTGTCTGGTCTGCACTGTTTCTGGTCGTGCAGACTCTTTCCCTCCCATCGCCTCTCGCCACCCCCAAGCGCAGCTCGCTGTCTTCGGGGATATCCGCTCGCCGTCCTCCCTCTCCCCCAGTCACAACCCTGGAGCATCCACGCTCCCATTTCTCCCTTTCATTCAAGTTGGCGGGACTTCGCTACATCCAGTCCTCTCTCTTCCACCCTCTCGCGGGCCCCAAATTCCGGGTCTTCTGCGGAGGCGACACTCGACCTCCCTAACTGGCCTTGCCCCATCTTCTTTAGTTGTGGCCAACAGACGTGTGTCGGTGACGCCAGGCCCTGTGCGAGGGTCTGGCTCATGGATGGAGGGCCGTCACCCCTGATCCGACCTCTGAACCGACTTGCGTCTGCTCTGACGCTTGTGCTGCATATTTGAATAACCAACCTCAAGAAGCCTCGTAAGATCGAGGTTTGCCGATCAAACTGGCTCCCTAGTCGGCTTACATTGAAACATACCCCCGTGAACGAACAAGAAAGAAAGACCAAAAAATGACCGAGTCTCCCAAATCCGACAAGTACCCGGGTTTGACCCGGTACAGTACGCCCGTCCCCGAGCTGGACGATCATCGCTTCCACATGGGTTCCTTTGAGGCCCCGGGGGACACCACCCTGAGCCGACAGAACACTCACCAGGGACCGAAAGGAGAGACCCTGGACCGTGCAGATCTGCTCCACGTGCAGGATGCCCTTCGGGAGGCGGGGCCCGTCTACCGAGACTTTGAGCAAGCCATTGTGGACGACGATCAACCCGTCAATGATGTCAATGGAATGGTGCGGCGTTTTTCGGCCACCCCTCGCCGAATCAGCCGGGGCCAGCAAGATCGCGCGGGGACCGTCTCGCGTAAATCATCGGTCTCGGCTCGGTCATCCTCTCCACCCAACTCGGTGGACGCTTTCGCGGACCCGCGTCGTCGGGAGCGCGCAAACACCCTGGATAGCCATGTCGATCTCGATTTGGAAGCCATTTTGCACCGGACCGTCTCCGGCGGTACGCAGGCTCGCCGCCCGACTTTCAGCAATGCGAGCGTGGTCCGACCCCCTCAGCCGGGAGATATCCCGCTGGACTCAAATGAAGAGCCCTGCTACGAGCAGCCTGGCCGAATTCCCGTGATTGACTACGAAGAGCTGGAGGAATTCGTCGCCCTCAACCAGAACATCAAGCCTACTGGCGACCGTCGCAAGCACAGTTTCAGCTCTCAGAGCAAGAAGCCTCGCGTTTTCCATGACCTTCGCCCCGGTGCCAAAGACACCGATGATGATGTTAGCCCTTCCGATTCGTCTGATTGCTGTGTTCTTGACTCCGAGAAGCCCAGCAAGGTTTTCGACGACAAGGAGCGGGTCGAGACGTTCCAAAATACGAATGAGCCTCGATTTGGGTTCTTCTCATCCGAGTCGCAGACCACGGTGCATGCGGCGGAGCTGGGAGATCTGGTGCTCCCCGGTGACAGCTTCCGAGATTTGTTTCAACTGGGACCCGAAGGTGGTGTCTGGTGGCTTGATGTCATCAACCCAACCGAGGAGGAACTGGGCGCCATCTCTCGAGCCTTCTCTATTCACCCGTTGACAACGGAGGATATTTTGACTCAGGAAGCCCGCGAGAAGGTCGAGCTCTTCAAGCAGTACTACTTTGTCTGCTTCCGCACGTTCTACCAAGTGGACAAGAACAGCGAGGATTTTCTGGAGCCTGTCAACTTTTACATGGTGGTGTTTCGGGACGGGGTCTTAACCTTCTCCTTTGTTGAGAACCCTCACGCCGCCAATGTCCGGAAGCGTATTGGAAAACTGCGTGACTACATGGCTCTCAGCAGCGATTGGATCTGTTACGCGATGATGTAAGTCGGCCACCAGCGCCAGTTCATTCCCACCAGCTAATGTGATCCAGCGACGACATTGTCGACAGTTTCGGTCCGGTCATCCACGACGTGGAGGTGGAATCCGAGGCGATTGAGGACTATGTGTTCATCGCCCGAGTGGACGATTTCGAGTCCTTCCTCCCTCGGATCGGTGGTCTCCGCAAGAAAGTTATGACTCTGATGCGCTTGCTGGGCGGCAAGGCAGATGTCATCCGCGGATTCTCGAAGCGCTGCAATGAACAGTACTCGGTGACACCACGCGGCGACATCGGGCTGTATCTGGGCGATATCCAGGATCACGTCGTGACCATGATGTCGAACCTGGGGCACTTTGAGAAGATGCTCAGTCGGTCGCACACTAACTACCTGGCCCAGCTGAATGTTACCAACCTGGTGCTGGGCAACCATGTCAACAAAGTGCTCAGCAAGGTCACGCTGATTGCCACGATTCTAGTTCCGCTCAACTTGATCTGCGGTCTCTTTGGCATGAACGTCCCCGTGCCAGGAAAGGACTCGGAAGGACTCAGCTGGTTCTTTGGGATCATCGGGGTGATTGGTGGGGTGGTGGTCGTCAGCATGGCTGCTGCTCGGTACTTTAAGCTTGTTTGAGTTGGATTGTCTTTCGAACTTCTGGTTTTCTCCGATGGAGGGAATGTGAATCATGTGAATCGTCTTGTCTTTCTTATTTTGTATGCAAATTTTCGTTGATACATATATACATCCATTTCGAGCCTGTAAACCCGCCAGTTATTACTATTCTTGTCTATAGTTATAGGCTAGGTACTCACTAAACGTGGAGTCTAAACCCAAAGAGGAAAGAGAGCACCCGACAGTTTTATAATGCGGTCCCAGACGGATCCCCTGCCTGTGACAGTTGTAGTTGATCCGATTTCTTTTCCCATCGTAGCGGCTGTGGTTCAATACTCCGATCTATTTTCCCTTGGTAGTGATATCCAAGTATGAAAAGCCTGAGGAATAGAACAATATTACACGCAACACGAGCGCGCCCTAGCGCGCCCTTCGGGGGTGACCAAGAAGAGCGAGAAAACTCGCGACACCAGCTTTCGTAAGCCGTAAGCCCTGGAAGGAAGTGAAAAAGAGGGGTAAAGGAGGCTCTTGCTGACGCTTCAATGCCGCAGCAACTGTAACTTATATACCAGGATGAACCTGACCAAACACTGGGACGACCTGGAGAAGAATCTGCAATATCGTCGATGATATAGACCGTCCTCGTCATTGAACACTTCCTTTCTTTACCGGCAGACATCGTGAAACTCATTGTCTCCTATCTGACCTTCTTGGATTGTTTCGACTCAAAATGGCAGGGAACCATTCCCTCGCCGCTTTAATATCTACCCTCCCCCGACCGTCCTTCCAAACATGTCTTGCACAAATAGCGCCGTTGACATCGAAAAATTGGAAAATAGATAGGGGTCCAGAAAAGGCACTCCACATCGCTTGCGAGGAAGGATATGACGCGTTGGTCCTCAAATTATTACATGAAAGTCCAAGCTTAACAACCTTGACTTTCTTAGAGAAATGTTTGGTTGCTGCCATTATTCGTCACCAGGAGCCCACTGTACGGATTCTTTTAGTTCATCTACCCACCGAGCCGTACGCCTTCCTTTCTAAGTTGCGCCTTCGGAGGATCTGGTTTCAGACGGAAACGACTGTGGTGGAAACTGTACTCGAGTACGCCGCTATACATAACTACCTATGGGCTGTCCCACTGTTGTTAAAGCATGGAGCACGGCCTTTATCTCCATTTGGTATATAGGCACTTCGCGCTGCTGCTTTCTATGGACAGGATAATGGCTCAACTGACAATTCAAGCCCTGTCAGAAGGTTGCAGAAAACCTTCTAGTCAAGGTGGTGTGTTTCTTCGATCACGACCAACTAAGGCCTCAATCCTTAATAGAAACCTGCAAGGGCACTGTAGGTGTCTTCCCGCGTAGCATGTAGTGGGAATAGTGGGAATAGGCATAGATGGTGTGAGACAAATGTGATTCAAATCCCGCCGGTGTATTACTTCTTCAGGGGAGCGGGGTGCCGAGCCCCCTCCGGACAGGTGAGTGACGAGCCGAATCAAGTAACAACTTCAAATCATAGACCACTGGCTCTTTCGGTTCTGATTTCTTGGCTAACTACAGTAAGGGATCGTCTTCCGGCGTAGAGGATAACGAATGCGCAGAGACCCCACCGGAGCTGGCGGGCCAACTTCAGTCGAAACCGACTGGCAACTCGAAACTCTGGTTTGTGAATGAAGACAACATTTTTGATTCGTGAGAGAAGCTGAATTGTGCCGCGACTGGTGCAAAGCTCCAGTGGATTTGGAAAGTACGTTTAAACCACAACTACACGAGTGTTCAACACAAATGATCTACAATTGAAAAAGAAAAACCATCTTGGATGGATTTCATTCCATTGTCTTAATTTCGTTCCCCTTTTGCAACACCGTTCCGAGCTTTAGTCGCTCGAATAGCACCCTCCTGGATCCGCCAACGCCGATATCGAACCGCTCAATCGTTTGCTCAACGGCGACACCATCTGGCTCCGCTTTAGAGTTTCAAGTGATCTGGAATCGTCCGGATTTGGGTCTCTTGCAGGTCTTAAGATTCTTTCCTTTTTTCTCTTCTTCTTGTGCGTAGGGTCCGTTTACTGTTTTGCCTTCTTGCTCTGGTTTTGAAGAAAGGACCCATTACAGTCGCTCCAAAAGAGCAGCCTAATGCGGAGAATAGCAACGATGCCGTGACAGGCCTTGACTAGGCTCTAAGGCCCTTTTCAGAAAGTAGTACACCTCACATGGACATAAAATATACATCTAATTGCGGTAGCCTGCATATCGCTTCGGCGGGTGACCAGCATAAATGATATATGACGATGATTGATGCAAAACATGGTCATTGGTATCGGATAGTAGAAGCCCCAAAAGGTTTTGCTTCTGAGCCCACACATTACAGAATAAATGACCATAGAGAAGGATGCAATCGTCACACATATGGAGTATAGGCAAAAAGGGATTTCTCCATTCTTCATGTTATCTGAAGAAGACAAATTCCGACCAAGTTCCTGTGTTAGACAGCGAACTCAAAGGCATACGCAGTCACATTATCCGTCTGATAAACAGGGAAAGTAACAGTGTCCCCTGAATAGGTGTGACCATACCAGCCCAGGTCCGTTGGCCCATTGACCTCTCCATAGTGCACATCAGAGGCCACTGGAAAACCCCAGGTATGTACATTCAGCGTCCCGCTTACCTGCAAACCCAAGGATGATAGGGAGTTTAACTCCAACTCCCAGGTACCTGTATCAGCTCGCACACCGACCAGCACACGAGCGTAATCCGAGCCCACGGTCGCATAGGCGTCCAACTTCAGGTCAGACGAAGGAAGGGTGCCCACCCGATAACCAGTCATGTTTTGATAGTAGTACTTATACACCTGGTAGTCTCCGTTGGGATAGTAGGTGGATCCGGACTTGCCCAGGAGAGAGGCCATATAGTCGTGAAGGTCAGTCCCACTTAGCCAGTTCCCCCGCAGACCGCGTGCGTTGATGCGTTCCAATTGACTGATCCACCAAGCGGATCCGGCAGGGACCTGTTCGTCGTAAACAGCGTACTCATTGATGTTAATTAACTTCTCAGGGAGATCATATGTCTCGCGCCAGTAAATGAGACCTGCTTGCGCAGAAAGAAGGTCTCCGCCTCCTCCCTCCATATGCCAAGCATACTGATCAGGGATGGACTGATTACTGGCAACGAACGAAGCCCATGCCTTCCACCAGGTGTTGGAGGCAAGGGGTTCACCGGCACTCGCTGGACCAGAGAGCTCAACAGCAGTACCGAACTCATCCCTTGACCGCGGGTTAAGGGACGAAACATAATTGAGCATAAGAAAGGGGAGAGGGCCTCACCTGAACTTATAGTACGTCCTGCCCCACATCTCCAGATACTGTGTTTGATCACGGTTCCAGAATCCTGATCCGTCGGGTTCATTCCAAATGTCAACGACAAGCGCCGTAGTCATGTCATTGGCCTTGATATCAGAGAATAATTGGCTGAGATATTCATCCCAACTTGTCCAGTCTCCATCGTCTCCAGGGTAAGGAGCAGAGGAGTTCTGGGTTCCATCGGCGCCCCAGAGATCATGGATAAGGAAGATGAAAGAGGCGTCATACTCGCGTGCTGTCTTATAATTGGACAGCGCCGATGCGAATCGGTTCTGGATCGTATATGAGCATGCTTCTGGGGAAGGGCAGGCAGGCCTTTCTCACTTTGTATTCTGTCAGTCCCCAGATCCAGCCACGACCAGGGGCTGCGACTTGTGCGCCACCCGCACGTTCATAATTATACCCGATTGTCTCATAGAACTGCGACTGCAAGTCCAAAACAGAATTAGCGACACAGCACATGGCAAACGAATGGAAGGGCCGTACTGGAATCTGGTTCAGAGTGTCGGGAACACCGTATAAGAGTCCGGATGCAAGATGTTGCGGAGTACCGGTGTTGTTGCCAAAGTTGACCTGCGCCGTGACAGTATCTCTCTTCCGAACACGGCTGGCCAAAGCCAGCTGTATCAGGCCAAGAGCATAGATAACGTTCCAGCGCATCTTGACGGGTTTAGGAGGTGCTTTCAAAGTAGGAATCTGACGCAAGGAAAGATGTTGTGTCTCTCACACCCGATTCAATGGGAAGACGGAGCCATTTTATATTGCAAGATCTCGAATGTCTTGCTACCCTACATTCTTCATGCGGGGCACCTGAACTGAAGTCTGTACCATTCTTCAGGGATAAAGCATGGGCGGAGAATCCGGGGTAGCTTAACTGAGATAATCTCCGTGTGGGGTGAACTCGCCCGGCCTCTGTCCACTCCGTCCGACACATCGCTCCGGGTGAGGCCCGAGAAGAGCGGCATTCTTCGGCTCTTTCACTCGGGCTGGGGCCAAATTCTACCCCACGGAGTTTGCGCGTATACCCTCAACCCCGCCTTTCGCTCCTAAATCTCTTTATTCTGGATCCGAAATGGTCGGTTTGTCTTCCGTGAATCTACCCGTTTAGGGCATATTGGTGGTCCCACCGTGCAGATGGTGAAAATACACACAAGTCAGTCTTCTGCTGGCCTCTTTGCTATCCATAGCTGTTCGTTCTCTTCAACGTACGTAAAGTTCGTAGGAGAACTTTGATTCCCGGCTCACCGTTTCTACGGAGTCCAGCCTATGTCATACCATTTGGTAAAGCGAATATCGCTGAAGACATAGAATTCGTCCGGGAGGTCCCGTATACGCCAGAGTGTAGGTTGCAAGCATACGCTAATGATTTTACCTGCTAATCTGTCGCAGATAAACCACAGGAGGTCAAGGGTGCCCCTGCGACGCACAGACTTGCCATTTAGCAGAGGAAAATATCCCATACATTCTCGAAACCAATTCTAAGGCCGATATTCATCTTACAGTCGAAGAGGATTCGGGATTTGTCTTAAGCATCTAGTGTATGACGATGGCGAAGGAAACTCTTGCTTCGAGAAGCAAAGGGTAATAAAAGCCATCAAAAAGTAGTGCAAAAAATAAACAGTCTTATAGGGCAAAACGCTCCTTTAGATATAGACTGAACAGGGACTGGGGCCTCAATAGATGCCCCCGACGGATCTCTGAGTGATCAGTGGGTAGCCCCAATCATGTTCACTATGTGCTAACGAAGTGCTCACTGAGTGCTCACTGATCTGGCACCTGACGGCACTGAGCAACTCACTGTGTCTGAGTCCAGACTGAAAATTACTCAGTGAGCCTGACTGAGCGCCCTCACAAAAGTCGCGGCAGCTAAGAAGGGAAAGCCCACCGGGCAGAGGAAATCTGTTATGTAGAGTGACATACTCGTTATCAAATGCATACTCCTGTCAGGCAGCAAGGCATCAACATCGATAAGGCTGATTACGCCTCCCAAAGTTCAGCTGCTCCTCAACTTTCACCCTCTCGTCGACTACATGCAGCCACCCATTCCCAGACATTCTCAGTGGGTGTGCCCGACCGCTGTTTGTCCGTGAAGTGGTCTCTTCCTCTCCTACTCCCCTTATGCGCATCGTGCGCCCGACTCCCCTCATCTCACCTTCCATGCGACTACAACTCGCAACCCTGCAGTGCTCGCTAGCTGCAATCGCCTACGCCTTTGTCTTTCTTACCCCTCTTGTCCAAGCCGCAGCGGACGAGAGAAGCCCCGACATTCATGGGGCGATCATCGGCGAAGGCGCCGGCTTCCCGGTAGCCCTGGACTCGTTCAACGGGCTGGAACTGCGGAATGTGGATGCAGAGGACGAGTCCAATGGGCTCGATCTGGTGAAACGATATCCGTCGGATGCTATCTCGATGGCAAACAATAATTTTCAAGCCAGATCGATCGAAGTGGGCCAGATCCAGTGGTGGTATATCCCCAAAAACGTCGTTCACGGCAAGAAGGCCGGGCCGAGCAAGGGGTTTCCGCCCTTTGCTACTCGAAGTTTGGACGATCAGTTGGATGAAGAAGCACACAATGAGCTGCGGAAGCGAGCCGATGATAACAACCGAGTGCCCGTTTATCTGTCGTTGACGACGTGCCAAGCACCCTCCACCAACAAGACCGATGCCAAACCCTTTGACCAACTCGAGGTGTATGTGTCGTTGTCGGATAAGATTGAAATGCCTGGTCCAGAGCATCAGGGCAACCCGCTGCAGAACATGACCCGCGCGTCTGACGGGTACTGGAGCAGAGAGGTACAGGCCGACGGCGACGTATTCGTCGCCGTCGTAGCGCCCAATTCGACCGAATACTCCGGGGAATACGAATACCAGATCGCCGTTTCGATCGATTCATATTTCCACGTCGTCGACGATAAAGAACCCTTTCTGTACTTCATCGACGCAGATATGCGCGCCGCGCTGCTGGTCACGAACAACCTGACGGAAGCCGAGCCGGACTCGCCGACGTATCAGGAGTGGATGGATCTCGCACCGCCTTACACCATGTTCGCGCACGGTGTCAACGATTCCGCACTGGCGGGCCTGGAGCGATCGTATTGCGCCCTGCAAAAGTATGCCCTTCCCCAGGTCAGTGAAACTGAGGTGGGCATGACCAATCGCGGACTGGGGAATAAGCCCAAGCAGCAGTTTTATATCACGGGACTCAATCGGAGTTCGGAATATTATGGGATTCTGGCGATGGCGGGAAATTCCACGGCTAGCGGAAATAATATTGTTGGTGGTGGTGGGAAGTTGTGGAAGCCGATGAACTTTACTACCAAAGCTGGTGAGTTTTTGCACCTCTGGAGGGGAAATGGTTTTTGCTGATTCTGTTAGATGATAACTGCGCGGTTCTCTTCAACCTAACCTTCTGCTCAGAGGTTGCGTATGCCGTACCGTCTAACCCGGATCTCTCAGTCGAAACCCTCCGGTCTATCTACGATGATTACGCCGCGCAGATGTACAAGAACTTCACCTACTCGCTGCAGCAAGTCCAATGCAACACGACGCCCGAGTCCATGTACTCGCTCGCAGTCGGCTGCTCCAACTGCTCAACCGCCTACAAGCAATGGCTCTGCAGCGTCAGCATCCCGCGCTGCGCAGACTTCCAAAGCCAGGAGTGGTACCTCCAAGTGCGGAACGCTGGCCAAAATTTCATCAATGGCAGTTCCTTACCTGCAGATGATCCCCTCCGGCAATCAGTTGCAACGAACAGGTCTCGCAATCCCCTCATTGATACGGAGATCAGGCCGGGTCCCTACAAGGAGATTCTGCCGTGTTCGGATATTTGCTACTCGCTGGTTAGGGGTTGTCCTGCTGCGCTGGGGTTCGGGTGTCCCACAGGGAAATGGCTGAATGCGTCTTATGGCTGGCGGGATCCCAATGGGGATATCACTTGCAGTTACCTGGGAGCGGCTTATTACCTAAATAGTTCGCCGAGGATGCAGATGTGGCTGGGGGTGTACATGCTGAGCGGAATGTGGACGATTTTCTGGGCGTTTCTCTAGGTTTTCTGACGAATTCAAATAGGCATTGTACATCCATTCATTCATTAATTCCACTGCTGTATACCCTTCCTTCTTTAGTCTACTCCAAGGCCCTATAAAGAAACCAAGTGGCCCGAGGTATTTATTGTATACAAAGAATAAATGATGAAATCACCAATCCAACCTCCCAGAACTTTTCTCTTCCTCCTTAGATTCAAGAGCATGCTCACCCCACCTCCCCCTCCAAACGCCCAACTCCTCTCTCCACAGATCATTCACGCACGGATCGCACGAACTCCCACAGCATTCGCCTAGCCCCGGCGGAGGCGGCGGGTCATCGTAGTTGCGGGATGCGGCGCGGAGAAGCTGTTTCGTGCGTGTTGCTGTGAGGCGGGTGCGTTGGAGGGTCTTGAAGAGGGGGACTTCTTGGGGGAGTAGAGGGGTTCTCTTTCTTGGGATAGGGAGGGAGAATTTGCAGAGGAAGGAGTGGGATTTGGGGGTGGAGGGGTTTGTTCTTGGTCTTGGGTTGGGGACGTTTTTGGGGACTGATCTTGAGATGATGGGGTTGGATGTTGGGATGATTCAGCTAACGAAGTGAATGGGGAGAGGAGGGCTGAGAATATAGAAGAGGTAGAGTTTGAGGCTGCAATCGAGGCTGGAGTTGGGCTGTATGTTGGTGTTGAAAGATTGTGGGCGGGATTCTTGGAAGCAGACGAAGCCTCTGCCGAAGCTTCCTTGTCTGTAGAGTCCGTGCTCATTCTGTATGAACTGGTACTTGGCTCATATAGATGGATGTTGTTTTGCAGCCAGGTAGATGATAGTCTATTGAAGCATTAGCCCATCGTCCTGAGAAGTTCACGGTCCAGAACTCACCGGGCGTATGTTGGGTACAGACGGACATGAACCTAGGTACATATGCAGAAAGACAAGCGCATATTTAACGAACGCCAATTCCTGGGGGTTGTCGGGTGTATGTGCCCGATAGATAGATGGTGAATGAAGAACTCGGCATGTTCGGCATTGCTCAACCAGTTCATTCCCGAGTTTCCTGTTCGTTCCGACCCGGACCTACAGCACCGCGTTCCTACCAAATGCTTCGTTTTCGTTCTTCATTTTCTTCATGAATATGCTTAATAGCCAGACCAAAATAGACCGACATATTTCTATGGTCGTTAACACGGTATAATTATTGTACAAAAGTGGCATCCAAACGCCATCAAACAATCGTGGTATCATAATGCATCACCAAACCGCTAAAAATAACATCTGCACCCCTCTAACTGATCTTTCCTGGGGCATTGAGCAAATACCCTTGAACTGCCGATGATAGACAGCACGAAGGTTGAAGATTATAAGGAAAGAAAATTGCGGATCGCATAGCTCAGCAACATCATCACTTCCTCCTCGGGGTAGGCGTCCACATATTCTTCTCACCCGAATTGCCCCCCGCCGTCCGCGGGGTACTCCCACCAACACGATGTAGCAACTTCTGCGCCGCAGGAGTGAGCATCTTCTGGTTGTGTCCACTACCACCCGGAGTGCCGCGAAGACCAAAGTCCACTCGTGGACTACTAGCGAAGCGCGGTGTAGATGAAACAGGTGTCTTGGTGGATCTGGCGACCTTTTCAATGCGTTTGTTGCGCGCAACTCTGTCCACCATCCTGTGGTGCAGGGCTTCGCGTTTGCGGGTTTCGCGAAGCTGGAAGGGGTTCGGGGTTGTGTCTGTACTCGCACCCAGAAGACGCCAGTCTGCTTCTGTCTCAGCTAGTTCAGGCTCGGGCTCGTCTTCGTCGACAAAGGCGTAGCCGTTTACACGTGGAGTTTCACCCCCTGGAACGGCGGACGCAGCTTCCGACTCGCTGAGACGGGGTTTGCCCGCGATAGCGTCCTGGATGGCAGAAAGAGACGGCGAGGGCGGGACTGCGTCCGCGGCAGCCGCAGCATCCTGGTCAACGAGCCGTGTGTTTTGGTATAGAACTCGTTTAGGTCCCGCTCGCGAGGCCGCCTCTGCTTTCTGCTGGATTGTCTCATGTGTATCCTCAACCGAAGACGGGAGAAACATGAGCGAGTTATCCGGTCGAGCATCCCATCCATCCGGTCTAGCGGGACGGGAGTTCAGGTCCGTTTTGATAGCCGGTTGCTGGTCGTCGCGCTTGATCAGACTGCTCTCCGGGTTCCCGCCCTGAGCAGTGATGCGTTTCCGTTCACTTTCGTGGTGAGCGATTTGGCGGGCCGATGGAATTTTGTTTTGATTCCACAGCCAGGCATGTTTCTCACGCTTCTTTGCATTCTGCTTGTCTAAAACCTTGTTGAAGGACTCGTTGTCTTCGCTGGTGTATTTCGCCTGAAATGCTAGCAATCCCAAATTCGATACATCGGGAATATTATCCTGCTCCCTCTCTTCTGCTGTTGTGGCTGATGCAACGGACATGGGAGTCTCACCTCCCCAGCCGCGCGGTGTTTCACTCCCCCCAGCAAAGTGTTGCGGTTGTGGCGTTCGAGCGGGTGTTCTGCTGCCGGGAATCGGTGTTCGCATGACATCAGCGAGTTTCTTCTTCGCGCTCGTGATCCACTGCTTATCCTTGGATTCCAGCGCATCAAGGTACTCCTGCTTAGTCTGCGTCTCGAGCAGACCCGGGAAGAAGTCCCGGGCGATGATGTGTGATAGGGCGTCGGTGTAGATATCTTCGTCGAGGACGGTTGCGGGGCGTTTGATCCGTTTCGGGGGTGGGGGCGGCGGCATAAGCTGGTTGTCCTGGGACCGCTTGGCCAGCGCCTGTGATGATGGTGTAGGAGACGCCATGGCTGGGTCAGTGAGACCGAAGGTCAGACCAGCTGGAGGTGATGGAGAAGACAGACCGAGAGACGAAGTATGGGGCGATAGAAAGATAAGAGTCAGGTGATGATTGTGGCTTAGGTAATGTTGTTTCCGAAGACACGAAAGCTACAAGAAAAACAGTGGAGCAGCAAACGTGCTAGGATTTCCCATTCCCTTTTCTATATATGCCGAGTCCACGGTTCCCAGGATAAACAAGGAAAAACCAACACCAGACCAAAATTGTCCAATAATCGCTGAGAAATGCCTCGACCAAGATAAGAGAACGACCACGGCAGGAATTGATAGACCAGCGTGCAAAAAACCAACCCATAGATGACAAGGAAATGGACAAAGATTGACAGTAGATAAACAAAAAATCGTGGACTCGTGGATGATTCTATAGTGGGGTCAAGCGAGGGTGGTGGAGTGGGCGTGAGTAGAAAGACCAGAAAACATAAACGTTTGTCTTCCTGAAAGGGGGAGGGAAAGGAGATAGGCCTAGATGGCATTGGCGGTAGGGAAAAGAGAGTAGGAGGTGGTGCGGGTCTTCTTCCGATTGGGGTTTTTTGCAGGCACCATCGGAGGTCCGCCGGAGGGCCTAGAAACCTCGAAGGTAGACTTGGCCCGATCATGAATCGCAGGAGGGGTGGTATCGGTGTCTTCAACAGATGGGCTGCTGTCTGCCTGCAGCAGGAAGTGCGCTTCGGCCAGACTCTTCGTCTGGCGGTGGAGGGAGGATGAGTCCGGGCGGCTGGGAGGGCACACCACGATCTCGCCGGCACTCGTACGCTTGGTCGGCATCAGCTCACGGCTGTTAGAGAGACTATGCACCAGTTCGGGGACGCTGGTCGTCGAAACCGACGAGCGGTGCTTGCGCACGATCGACGCAGCGCGGGAGAGCATCAAGCTCTCTTGGGAATTGCACTTGCTGATCGGCGAGAAACTACTGCGCGGGGAAGAAACGGGATGCTCGGCAGAGGCGATTATTCCCTGAAACGGAAAGTGCCGATCTGATTCCGAATCAGCTGCCAGATAATCCTCATACAGCGTCTCATGGGTGATCTGCTTGCCCAGCGCTGATGGCAGGATCGAGGAACTGACAGGTTGGTGGAAGTAGTCCGGCGCACTCCGGACCATGAGGTCTGGTTCATACTCGGTTGAAGACGGCGTGATCGCCTGTTGAGAAGGTGCGGAGCGTGCGGAGGCTGGGGCCAAATCCGGGGTCGCAAGAGTGGTTTCACTCAGTGGGCTTGGTTGTAGGTATCGACTGGACGGGGCTGTCAGCCACGGACCTTCCGTCCCTCCAACCTTCTGGCGCTGCGACTCCTCCAGAGAAACGCGCGACCAATCGAAGTTGGAGGTGGACTCGGCCGCATGCTCGTAGCAGTAGTCGATGTCCGCGTCCCAGGAATCGTACAATTCATCCTCGGACGAGAGCTGGCCCACGCTGCGGGGGATCGGCCTCCGCTGGTTCACATCTTCACGCCGAGATGGGACTTGGTTCTCGGGTAGGGTCGGCGAGCCCAGCGCCTGCGAGAATTTGCGGGACAGCTCCTCGGCCACGAAGATCGACAATGGCTGTTTGGGAGCAACTATCCTGGGTGCGTGAGCGTCGGCCACAGGTGGACTCACATGGGAGACCGAGCGAGAATGGGAGTATCCAAGGCTGGACTCGGGGCTGTCCCACATGCGAGTTGTTTCTTCCTCCTCAGGAACATCGGCCAGGTCGTAGTGGCTGTTGCTGGATGCGGTCCTAACGGTCATATCGTCTACTAGGTACGATGATGGTTCCCCGTTCTGAATGAACTCCGGGTACGTCCTCGCGGAAGCGAGGCCCAGCACTTCATCGATAGCGCGCCGTGCAAACTCGGCTTCGTCATCCTCCTCCTCTTCAACTTCCTCAGTGGCTGGAGGCAGGTCAAGGGCAACCGCAGGTGGTGGTGTGGTGGGACAAGATCGGGGATATCTCGAGACTGGTCGCGAGAAGTTCTCATTGACGCGAGATTCCCTCCGCGTATGGCCCCCACGGTATGGGCTGGTTCTGCCGACCTCAGGGGAACCTGGCGGGCTGCGAGCCACGGCGTCCACAGTAGTTGCCGTGCCGTACGCGGTCAATTCGTCTGAAGAAAAGTTGCGGAAATGAATGTCTTCGGCATGAATGCCCTTGAGATCTGTTTGTGCGCGCTGAGACGCGCGGATGACCGAGAACTCAGTGATCAGATCGTTTTCTCGGGTTTGATCCAGGGACGGGAACTGTGCCGGGCTCGTGTGGGTGAGGTGATGGAAGTCGAATGGGTCGGAAATGAGGCTCTTCATGTGCTCATCTTTCCAGCATGTTAGATTTGTGAGGGACATGCCGGAAGGAAAAAGAACTTACGGTGATTCATACGCCGTTGACGGTGGAGACGGTGATGCGATTCGGTCCTCTCGTGCATGTGTCCCATCTCTTCTTCCTCGTCCAGCGTAGCAACGATGTTGACTTTGCTGCCCTGGCGGCGGAGGATGCGACTCGAGCGGGCCAGGAATGACCGCGATGTCCGGTGGTGCTGGTAGTCGGGGCGCGTGCCCGTTGCAGAGGCGGTGCGTTCATCCGGGGGGAAGCCAGAGGAGCCCTCGGAGGAAGTCATGGAGTTGTTTGGCGAACGGCGCTCAGAGGTAGTGGAGGTGGTGTTGCTTCTTGAGCGGCTCCCAAAGACCGAAAGGCGTTTCGGGCTGCTTTGTACGTGCGCGGTCGACCGGGAGCGCACATGGGCGGCATGCTCTGGGGCGTCGTTGGAGGAGCGAGTAGATGGAGGATCGCTACTGGCATCGTCGTCGGTCAATGGGGGCGCGCCCCGGTAGTACAGCATGGGGTGCATCGTGATGACCTGGAGAGACAAAGAGGGAGAAAAAGGAGAGAAGCTACAACATAATAATGATAATAATGAGCGACCGAATGAATGGATGTCTCTGCTAGTAGTAGGAGTGGTAGTAAGTAGTAGCAGGAAGAGAAGGAGAAGAGGAAGAAAGAAGAATAGTACGTATTTCAGGGGGATCCCATAACTAGTTTAGTACAGCAGTGACGAGCCGTTATGGCTCTCCACTTCAGTTAGGGCTTTGCTCTAATGTTCCAACAATCACCCCAACTGACTTGATTCCAGTGACCCGGAACCGAAACTCCTTTGGTGCTTAGTGCCCTGAGTAGCGCGGCGCCAGAACGTGTGGAGGTTGGCCCTTGCCCTAGTTTAGTAAGGATGGTCGTGCAACGGGCCCGTCTTGGGGCTTTTTTTCGTTCTGTCCCCTTCCTTCAGCGTTTGGGACGGAGATTCACTCACTAACTACGGCCTAAACGGACTAAACGTTTTTCTCCGCACTGGGTAAATCCCTCCCCAGCTAGCCACGGATAGGATAGGCCCTTATCGTCGCGCCGTTGGAAACATCTCTTCCCATAGCGTCAACCGTGGGCGGGCTGAGACCACCGGAGATTTCCCCGCGTTAGAACCTCGAGCGAAACATCTGTACTCGTACATGTTATTTATTGCAGGGTTCCGTCGTGTCACAGATCGCAAACCATCTCCGCCAGTGGAGCACCCGTTTGAGAAAATAACCAGAGTGTGCGAACCGGCAGTTGCCCGCGCCGTGGGTTTCACATCTGGGCTCCATCCAAACGGTACCATCTGTACACAGAAGAGTGTACTCCATCTCGGAGGCTACCGTTATCTTCGAGATCCACGCCTGGAGCTCGGCGATCTCGTTCTCGTCCCACCAGGAGCATTTTGCATATTCGGGACTCACCGGCGCAATCCTGGCAGTTTTTAGTCAATCTCCTGCAAGTCGGAGTGCGGCAAATAATGCTCGTGTCAATGCTTGCTGCGACTCGGTGCGGTCGCCCGGTTATTTTCGAAAACAAATCCGGTGGAGCAGGCCCACTGGTCAGGCCCGATTTCAACCACCAGCGTGAACCATCTTGACATGCAGATGGTGCGAGAGAGCCGGAAGTGGGCCGGGGAACAAAAAAGTCAAGAGGACGCCAGCGTCTCAGGATGAAAATACGACGACTCCTGACGATCACGCCCATCTAGACCTCGTGGAGCCGTTAGGTAAGTACCCCCTCCGACCGGGGGGCCGACAGGGCTCCCTAGTGGCCCGACTTTTCTAGCTGGTCCTCTCGGGTTTCTTGCACTCCACCGACCGTTCACGTCCCAAATGTAGGGAGTGAGAGCGACGGGGCCCAAGCGCAATAATGGAAAACGAGATCCGGCGGGCGCAAAGAATCCTTTCAGGATAGTAGAATATGTATCTTCAATGGAATTGTCTGCGAGATGTACTACTAATACATAATTAGGTGTAGGTACTCCAATGGTCAGGATCGATCTTCTTAATCTCAAATGATCTGTGATTATTGCCCCACGGGGCCCTAGGAGGAATAATGGCAACAACGTCATGTCCACAATGACGAACTGACAGCCTTGCCGATACTTCCCAAACCCAAACAAAGCAAAATCCTGCAACACGGGGCAACACCTAACAAATCCTCAATGACGAAGAAACAGCCACATAGCTATCTCGACGCCCTCCAACGAGCTGAGTGCCCACGGGATCCCGAGGCACACGCAGATCTAGCCCCAAGTTCCAACGGTCTGGATCCTGCTCGAGTGCCCTGTTGGAGGGAAGGGGGCGGGAATCATATGCAAATAATAGCAATGCGAGCACCTTACTTGGCGGGTTTAAACATGAAGGTTAGAATTAATGTCTGCATCATCGCTAACGACGAGGCTGCCAAAAAAAAAAAAAATTAATAGCGCCAATTCTTGCGTCAGAGTCTCTCGTATGTAAACCCTCAAGCAAAACAATTGTGAAACTACGTGGAACTCTATCCGCTCTGGGCAACTGCATCGAATCAGTCTAGCAGGGTTCGGTGGAATGCCGGCACTTGGTGCGGAGTTCGGTGGCTGTCTTAACTTAGCCTAAGAAACTCTGCACTACTTACAGTGTTGATCATTATCTCTTGCAGGGCAAAAGAAGAAGAAACACACCAACTCCAAGATCAATTACTTATTAGGTCTTCGACAAGCCGATTATAGTTACCATACATCCAGAATCCCTTTTTCCCCAACCCCAAACGCCAGATAGAGTCGATGTCCGGGTAAGGTAACGACTTCAGAGGTAACAATGGCGCTTAAACATCCGTACTAGAGCCGCCAACGGTTAGCCTGGCATTCCCAAACTCAAGCACTTGGAACGCTTAAGCAACAACGTTGCCTGTCGAGTCGACGCCACCATTACCACCGTCGTTCAAGCTGAGAAGAGTGTCATCGTCGCCAAGGACGACGAAGTTTCTCAAGAGTCATGCCTAGATCATCAGCGAGGGCTTTCAGGGCAACGCCGATGTCCTGGCGCTTGCCGATGGTATTGCCGCTAGAGCCAGAACCACCACTGCCGCCGCCATTGACGTTGAGGTCATCAGCGTTGGCAGCTTTGTCAACAGCCCGCGGGATGAAGTCCTTGGCAATTGAGGTGGCGGCCGATTCCACGTCGCTGATAACCTCCATCGTGCTTGGCGATTGGGGCTGCAATGTTCGTAAGAGCGGTACCAATAGTAGCGTAATGCATGACGGATTTGGAGCCTGGGGATATACTATTACCTAACTGAAGAAAGAATTAGGGAAGATCACTAATCTACAGTGGAAGACGAGCGAAGAAAACCTCAAAGAATTGTGGATAGCAGAGCAAAGCGAGAATACGAGAAGGCCGTTTCTCTCTTAAGTACCGGCAGACTGAGTAAAGCCCACGACGAGTTGGTTACGTGCTCCCGAGGGATGTGCGCCAGAGAGCACACCAGTATTTTCCGTCTAGATGGGCATGCTCTGGAAAGCTCGATGACACATGAGTAGGGCTAGCCTCTAGACAAGCTTCAATGGGATCCAACTCTCCATTCCTAGCGTCTACCTACCGAATTAGGTATGCAGCATGTTCTCATACTATTTACTATCTTTTATCTCAGAACATATGTGACTCGAAATCCTAAACCCAAGAATCAAACACTTGTCTTATCAGCCCCCAGTACCACTAATCCAATTGGTGGTGTGGTAAAGTAGCAACGGCCCTCATCAACTGTGAACTCAAAAATCTCTAATAATAATCGATAAGCACTCCAAACACAACCAACACTGTCGCCCGCATCCCACCGGCCCCAACATGCGAGGAGACGGCACGGTTCTGCACGGTCCTCCACCGAACGTACATGAGAATCACACTAAAAGCTCGGCCTGCATCGGGGGCCTTTCTTGTGGCGCGCTGAACTGTGGATTGTACCTGCATACACAGTACAAGGCTAGACTAGTAATATTATTGTAGAAATTGGGGGAAATATTGAGCCAGCATTGAGGTTTTGATTATTATTGGATTGGGTTGCATGCCGTCATCTGGGGGCGAGGAAGCGCGGGCCGTGCCTTGCGTGAATCCCTGTTTTTCTATGGAGGCAGATGAATAGGCTCGACCATGGTCGAGCTCGTACTACCACGAGTTCCACACCGCGTAGAGAAATTTCTGACATATGGTCTATGCGGACAACTTAGCGGAGAGGGGAAAACGCAAATCTGGCTATGGTCTCACACATGGCGACATTATTGCCTTTCAGAACAATGTATTAATAATGTGTTCTACATCTGAGATTTACTGTATCTATTTGAACAATCACATATAGACCGTCTACGACGCGAATCAAAATAAGTAAGGGAAAACTTGTGTTTATTGTCTTTCAAAACTTGAACTTGATCAAAGCAAATATGCAAGATATGAAAATGTACCATTAGCTAGAAATGTTGTGCATAAAATGCCTAAATGGATCCGACAAGAGCGTTTTTGGTGAGGTACATTCCAATTACCTCTTTCTCTTACAAGTGAAAATTGACCTCCAAAAACGGGCTCATCGGACCCAAAGCTCGGACCATGGGATCACCAACTTTGGATGCGCCAGTACTCTTATGACTATCCAAAGGTATGCGTCCCGCAAACTGCTCGTTTGAAACATGGCAAACTAACGAGCGGGATCGGACAACACCATCATCTTTCTATGAACAGGTATTCTGAGTTGAAGAAGCCGGATTAGTAGTTAGACGAGGAGTGGAGAAAATCTCTATATTCTTCATAAGGGCTTTTCTCTCCGGGATGCCGAGCATGGCAAGGTCACTACTAGCGCAGAATACAGAAGTGGGTCAGGGGCACAGAGCCCTATGTTTAAAACTTAGGCTCCCGCGCTCTCTCTTGACTTCTCTTCTTGCCTAGGCAGCAAAGAGAACTTTTGCTATTGAGAGAACAAGCCCCGGTACCATGGGATCCTGGGATTACTATTGCGCCCTCTGCGGCTCGACATTCTACGGCGGCGAGATATGTCCAAAGTCACGCAGAGCCCGCTTGCTTCGAGCCCGCCGTCTGTCCGAGGCCAATCGACAGATTGAAAAGCTCGTTGAAGAGGGAGCACCAATTCCGGAAGAGCTTCAGAGGGAGGTTGATGAGAACAAAGAAGAGCCAGGGGAAGGCGAGGATGATCCAATGAGCAAAAACGGCTTCGATGAAGACCACAGCTACGACCCTGATATTATCACGGAGAAAGAGTCAAAGTGGACTTTGGACCTCCAGTGCGTGGGCCTGAATTCCGATTTAGACTCTCTGAGCAAAGCATTCCTCTCCGGTATCGGCACTTGTGAGGATTACGGAGGTGTCAGCGTTAATGCTGGAGACGACCCAAACTACCCAGATGATGATTTCTTTTCGACATACTATGATTTCAACGTCGACGGCGGAACCACTGTCTACCCATTCCATCCCAAATGCCTTGACCTATTCCGTTTGTTGGTGGCCCACAAGAGTGGTTCTGGGGCAACCCCCGTGTCCGTTGATGGAAGTTGGGTACCACGATCTCTGGACCTTGATAAGGATACACTCTTCGCCATATTAGATGAACTCAGCAACGACTTTACTTGTCGTCTAGATATAAACTATGGAGACCCAGAGCCTCCTCACGAGCAGTTCTGGGAATCCAACCCAGGCGAGGAACTCTTCGTCGCAGACCCAACCTTGGATGACGAGCTTGTGCAGGGCATGATTCTTAGTGTCTGGCACGGTGCGGACAATCAACCTCTCACTGGCAATGCCACCCCGTTCGCTCAAACAGAAGACAGAGATGATCTATTTGCGAAGCTGCCATTTGAGATGCTGTTGAACGTCATCTCGGAACTCGACTCTTCCTCCTTGCTGAACCTATTGAACGCTTCCCCCACGTTCACCGCGCTTTGGAGGGCAACAGTTCCTTGTGGCTAAGCCACATTGAGAAATCCATGCGTTGGTTCTTTGAGCTACACGAATTTCTGGACAATTTAACCAACTCGAACCACGACGAGCATGGCACCACTAGCTTCAAAGTCGATGCGCTCCATGACAAGTCACTACGACGCTTCTTTGTGTGGGCGAATCACGTCACAACACCTCGCGTTGGTAAAACGGGGCCTTTTATGGGCGTGGCAAACCGTCGTCGAATTTGGAGTGTGTGTCAACAGATCGTGGATCCCTACCTAGCTCGACTGCAATCTCCCGCAGCCGTTATAGAGGATGCCGATGAAGAAGCGGCTTAGGTTCGGGATACCCCGGTCTGCCCTCATATGCGGGCAGTGAGTCACCCGAGTTCAAAAAGGTAGAAAGGTAACGTCCAGCAAAGTCTTTCTGGGTACGGACTTGGGCGATTGTCTACAACAGATGTACGCTCAAGATATTTTGAAGGGATACAAGGTACGCTGTAAGTGTACAGGAGCAGGATCACCTGTCGGATTGAACATCCTCAAGATACACCAGGTATATCCGGCCCCCCATCTTAAGTTAAAGCAGGTGATATTATAGAAGAAGATGCTTGATCCGCTGCAGTATGGAGTGTAATCGTGTCAAGTATAAGCGATATGTTAATATTTTTCACACTCAAAAATCATCGGCAAAAGTACACGGTCTTCCAAGTCTTCTGTTGGAAGTAGAAACAGAATGAAAAAAGACGATATCAATATCACGGCCGTTCGTTCCTAGACGCCTCGCAAATAAAGAAAAGAAATCACTCCTGCATCTCTGTATCATCCCCGAACAGGTCTGCATCTTGGTCCTCGTCATTGCCCGCAGCAGCCTCCTTGTCACCCTGCGCCTCGGCTTCCTCCTCTTCGTCCTCATCGTCATCATCGGCGATGCGGCGAGCTGCTTTGCCACGACGACGCGGAGCATCGCCCTCATCGGTGTCCTGCATCGGCTGGTCATCTTCTCCAAACAAGTCATCCTTGTCTTCGCCAGGAGTCCCCACAGCTTCTTCTTCCTCATCATCTGAATCCACAATTCGCTCGCTGCTCTTGTACTTGCTCTGCGCTTTACCGCCAGACCGGCGTTCCAGGCGTCTGCGCTTTTTCGGAGCAGTCTCGCCGTCAGAATCAGGCGAGGCACTGCGCGTCTTGTCGGCGTCGTCATCATCATCATCCGCAACAAAGGCATCGCGGTCCTTCTTCTTGCGCTTGCCAGCAGCAGGCTTCTTCTTCTTGGTGCGTTTGACCTTCTCGCCGGTCTCGGAGTCAGCTGTCAACTCGGCTTCTTCACGGACGCGTTCCTCTTCAGCTCGCCGAGTCGCCAGGCGCTGCGCCTCCTCGACCATCTGCTGGCGCTCCTCAGCGATCTTCTGCTTGCGCTCGAGCTCGACTTCCTGCGCCTTGCGGAGTTCTTCCTCGCGCTGGCGGATAGCGGCTTCACGGGTCTCCCGCGCCTGCTGCAGCTTCGCGGCGTTCTTCTCCTCGTACTCCTTCTGGCTCTGCATGGCGCGCTCGAGCTGCTTGCTGATCGTGCGACCCATGTTCGCGCGCTGTTCCAGCGCAGCACCGGGGTACGGTGGGTTCTTTTCCTTCGATATGCGCTCAAAAGTCTCGACAGCTTCCTTCAGGCCGTCGGCGGCTTCTTGCACGTCCTGGAGCGTCTTCTGCGTAGGCTGTAGACCGTACGCCAGTGAAGCGATCTGGTTCTGCACGAAGGCGACGTTGAACTGAAGATGAAGCTGGTCCCGCGAGACGGACAGAGCGCGCTGGGCGTAGTCAAGGGCCGTCTTCATCGCGATCAAGCTTGACTCCTGCTTGCCCTTGAGTAGCCACACACGGCCCAGACAAGTCAGAACCTGCACATCGCGGGCACGATCCTTGGCCAAGGCTATCTCGTAGTTCTCAATAGAGCGAGTGTACTGCCGAAGCTCTGCGTAAACGTGTCCCAAATTGAGGTAGACACTGGCGTCCTTGATGGTGTCTCGGATGCGGGAGAAGATCTGCACCGCAGCACTGAAGTCTTTTTTGTCATCGACCAGAGCAATGGCCACACCCTGGGCGGCATAGGCATTCTTCGGGTCCAGCTGCAGGGCCTTGTCGAAGAACTCCACAGCCCGCTGGTAGATTTTGCGACGCTTCTCCTTTTCCGCGTCTGTTTCGCGGCGCATGTCGCGAGCGGAGACAAGGTGCACATTACCCATGCCCGTCAGGGCGTACCGGTCGTGCTTGTCGTAATACTGTAAAGTATGCTTGTAATGGCGCTGCTCATGGTCCTCAGCAAGGTTGGCTACGCGCTTCTTCGATTTACTGAGGTACCAGCCGAAAAGCGCCCGAACTTCCAGATCGGAGAAGTCGACTTCGTACAGCTTGGACATCTTCTTTGGGCCCTCATCCGTAGGGCTCTGGCGCAGGGCAATATACGTCAGACGCGCGTTGGCATCCGTGTAGTCACTGTGCCGCTCCAGCAGACCCTCGTAGACCTTCTTTGCCTCGTCCTGCATCTCGGCTGCTTCGTACGTACGCCCAAGGTTGTAACTGATGGTCGTAACCAGAGCGTCGTTGTCGGCACCCTCCTCTCTTTCCTTCGAACGGACGCACGCGTTGAGCGCAGACTGGAACATCCCACGTGCCAAAGCGATCTTCTCTTGTTGATACAAAAAGCAGCCCATGTTGTTCAGAAGCTGCGGGGGGAGCATCTCGCGAAGAGATGCCTTCAACTCGTCTGGATCCTCGATGTCTTCGGGCCGAGCCTCCTCGGGAATGGCGGCCAGTTGGATTTCCTCCAGCTGTTCCAGACACTGCATGCTCTTATCAGGCGCGGCGCTTTCGTAAAGTCGAGAAAGATAAACCAAGACCGACTCGTCAGGGGAGAGATTTTGCTTCTCATCCTTCCACATCGAGCGCACATCTTCCAACAGACTGATTGCTCGTTTCGTCTCGGCCGACTTGTCTTCCTTGCTGCCAGCTCTTTGCACGGCGAAGACTTCTTCCGCATGAAGCGCGGCGAGCAGGATCTTTGCCTCCGGGTTTTTGGATTGCTGGACAATCTTTTCGAGTCGGAACTTCGCGCCGTCGAAATCTTTGTTCGTGACTTGCATCTGAACTGCACCAAACTTGGCCGGAAGGTATCCCTTGTCGCCTCCACCACGGGCCTGGTCGGAACGATTGTAATACTCCGTAGCGCGCGCTCCATCATTCTCATAGTGAGACTTTCGTCCAAGGAGATACCAGCCGTCACTGGCGATGGGCATGACATCGGTTTGTTCAATGGCCTTGCGCGCGAGAGACTCCACGGTTGCGTAGGACTTGCGAAGAAGGAAGTAGCTGCCGAACATGGCGCAGGTCATCGGGTATTCCTTGTCCAGCTTGAACGACTTTTGTGTATATTGGGTCATGGCCACTTTATATAACGAGCCGAACATCGGGTCGGTGGTCGCGCGGCGAGAACTATCGTAGAGATAGTACACGGCGAGGAGAATGTTTGCGACTTTGGAGTCGGGGTTCTGCATTTATGAGCATTGTTCAAGAAAAAGTACCATGGAAACATACCAAAGCCAGAGCTCTCTCCCAAGCCGCCTTCGCTTGATCCTTGAAGTCCAGCTGCCACAAACAGCAACCAAGACCAATGCGCGGGTCGGGATCGGCCAGGTTAGGCACCTTCCTCAGCACCTTCTGGTATCCCTCGAGGGCTTCCTGGTATCGGCCCATCATGTAATGCGCTCGAGCGCGACCCAGGATCGCCATGATGTTACGGCCACCAAAAGCCTTGGATGATTCATCGAAGCATTTCAAAGCCTGGCGCAGCGCTTCCATTCTCTCCGAGGTGTCGGCAGTGCCGGGTCGAACAGGTCGAGGCGGGTGGAGAGATGCGCGGAGGAGACACAAGACACCACGCGCAAGGAACAGGGGCGGATACGCAGGATTCAGGCGCGAGGCCTCGTTCAAGGTCGATGTCGCGAGTTGCAGATAGTAGTCCTTGGTCTTCGCCTCGGTGTACAATTCACCCTCCGGCGGAACACGCGGAGCTTGGCGACTCTTCAGCATGAGCAACCAGCAGACCCAGCCCAGCAGTCCCAATTTTTCTTTCGTGGCACCATGAGCCACGGACGCCAGGCCCTTGTTCAAGATGTCAATGGCATGATCGAGCTGCTTTCGCTTCGCGTACGCGAGCGCGATGATCACCCAGAAGTTTTTGGCTGCTCGCTCGTTTTCCAGCAGCGTGCACAGCTCGGTTGGGTCTTCGGGCAGATCGAGAAGGCTGACTTCGACTTCGCTGTCGAAGCTGGACGCGGGAATGTCGAGGGCATCGGGGATATCCGAAAACCGAAGATTGGCCAGGGAACTGGGCAGAGCATCGCCGTTCAAGCCATTGGCATGGCCGTTCTGAAGAGGCGCCATGATGCGACTTGAGCGGCGAAAGGGAGGTGGAGGCAGAATAGGTCACTCGGATGCGACGGGCGGATGGGTGGATGCGAAGCAGGCTAGGTCATGATCAGGCCTTGGTTGATGGAATGGAGGTGAGACTGAAGAAGCCGGGTGCTGACGATCCGCCGTGGTGAGGGATGGGCGTCGTGGATCGCGGGAGGAAGGAAATCGCGCGGGAGAGTCTCGGAGCTGAATGAATGAATGATCAATGAGAATTGCCTTGTGGCTGGTGGGTGCCTGAGGCAGAACAACAACTATACAGCCACACTAAAGTTAATCATTCTCAATATCGATCATTCATTCAAGATAGTCATTTAAATATAATATAATAGTCATTTCTAAACAAGAGCCAAGTGTAGGTATTAGCGAAAGTGCCTCCACCGCCACTGGCTCTACTGCTTCGACCACATGGTCCCCCAGATGCGGCACAGGAATGCAAGACTGCCCAACACCATGAAGACGGAAATGAGCTCACTCCAATGGTGCAGACGAACATTGGACTCGACAAATCCAGCAGAGGCAGCCACTCGCTGCTCATCCGAGCACTGGTCTGTCGCCTCAATGGTGCCGGCCAGGGCGGACGGAAATCGGCCATTCTCGAAATACTGGTTCAGGAGCTCGTCTTTCTCCGTCCATCGGTCTCTTAGCCACTCATCAAATTCCTTCTGGTCATCAAGGGGAATGTCCGAGACTGCAAAGCGTCTCCAATGCATATTGACAGAGGTTGGTGGGCGACCTTGCCCGTATGTGGAGCGGAGGGTAAAGTACTTGTCAGGGTAGCTGCCCTTTCTGGAGAACGGGAATGCGGTTAGCATAATACACAAATGAAGAGAAAGGAAACATACGGCGGTCCTTCGTAGGCGATGGTACAATCATACACCCAGTCGACCGTCCCTCGCAGTTGTTGCAGACAGAAGAAGAGACCCGTCGACCGGGGCAGAATCGCATGTCTCAACGGAGGGAAGTTTTGTTTCGTGCCGTACTCATCGCTCCGCCGCTTGGTGTTGTTGGACAAGTTGGTTCCCTCGGGAAAAATCATCAGCCACATGGGATCATACTGCGCCTTGCTCGAGTCCGATCCCGTATGCTGGGTCTTCAGAGTCTTCAACTTCTCCAGACGATGCTGCAGCCTCGGCTTGTCGGACTCCCACTTGCGGGCCATGAAGATAAAGCCGTAGAACATCATACCTTGTCCCATGACGGGAATATACTTGAGGGACTCCTTCAGGATGATAAAGAGGCGCCCGTGCATCTGGTTGGTATATGCCTGCCACCACAAGTAAATCCAGTCGGTGTAGACCTGATGGTTTGCGATCAAGACCAAACGCTCGGGGAAGCGAGTCTCCAGCAGACCATCTCTGGAAAGATGGAGCTGGCCTCGGACGCTCGCATCACCACTCACACGGAATAGGGTTGGGGCGCCCCATTGGGTGAGTGCGGTGATGACCAGACCAAAACACTCCTTGGTGTATGCCATGTAGGAATAGTAGCGGTGCTTGTTGATGAAGTAGAGCGGAGCCCCAACCAGCTGGGTGGCAAAAACCACGACGCAGCAGCAGTTGAGCCAGGTTCCCAGCAGCAACGCCCGGAGAACCTGCATAGGGATGCCATATTTGAGACGGGGCTCCGTGGGGGAGTTGCTGGACAGCTTCTTGAGCATATCGGCGTCCATCTTGACGGCCGGTGCCTCTACCTGTTGGCCCTCTACTGGAGCCATGGCGAGGGGAGGAGGGGGTGTCCACACAGCCGGTGCTTTGTTTGTCTAGAGAACTGTTGAAACAATGTCAGCCTTGGGTCGAACGACGAAGTAGTCAAGGCGGGCACCAACCGACAGTACACGGTCGGGGGGGAGGTAGGAAACGAGAGTTCGGAGAGCAACCAAGGAGAGACAATCACCCAGCCATCAGAACACCCTCCCTAGGTAGGTAGAGTAAAGATAAGTAACAGTGGATGTGGGGGAGAGCACGGGATCCTCCCGTTCGCGGGCACTCATCACGTCAGAGGGCCCAAGGCGGTGATCGATCCAGTGCTCACTCTTCTTCCACTCACCAACCACCACGACATCTGACCAGCAACAGGCACCAGGCGCTGAGCGCCAGCCTCTCCAACACTCTCTCCACGAATGACCCAATCATCATGCAGCGCGCCTTTCACTCCCTCCGAGTGCGCGCCTTCTCCACATCGGCGCGGCGTCACGAGATCAAGGATGTTGCATCTCTGGCGACGCGCTTGATTCCCAAGTACCAAGGTGGGTGTGGACCAGTCGCAGCCGGATAAAAGCCAGCGCTGATGATCTTTTAGAGTCTTCCGAGGGCGAGCTGCTCTCTCTGCAGTGGCCGGCACCACTGCGCAATGTCCTGATCGTGCGAAAGGACTGTGCCCCGGCGGTGACAGATTCCCTCGTGGAGTTTGCAAAGTATGTGTGTCCCTACCTCCTCTGGATGGCGCATAATTCTGACCCTCGTCCAGTCACATCTCCTCTACATATCCGTCCATCTCCGTGGTCCTTGAATCCAAGACCGCCAACGAAGTCCATTCGTCCTTACCATTCCCCGTCTATTCGGCCTCGTTGGACGATCGACCGACTGCCTTTCATGATAAGGTCGACCTCACTGTGACCCTGGGGGGAGATGGCACGATTCTACACGCATCCTCGCTCTTCGCGACCTGCTCCAACGTCCCGCCGGTCTTGTCATTCAGTATGGGAACGTTGGGATTCTTGAGTGAATGGAACTTCTCCGAATTCAAGCGGGCCTTTCGGGAAGTTTACATGTCCGGGGCTGGCGGCGGGGACCGGGCACCCGTATTGGACCGTATCGAAAAGACTGCGGCCCAAGAAGAGCTGCGGATGGGCCCTACCGGCTGGTCTTCGGTCCGGGGCAAGTCAATGGGCTCGACCCGGGGTGCCCGCATCCTGATGCGCAACCGATTGAAGGTCGGGCTGTTTACTGCCGATGGGCAAGAGACGACGCCGGTTCGCGGCAAGACCGACCATGGACAGGGCGTCTACGTGATGAACGAGCTGCTCATCCATCGTGGCAAGGAGCCACACCTGGCCGTGGTGGACGTGTACGTCGGGGGCCGGTACCTGACCGAAGCGGTGGCCGACGGCATCATCATCTCGACGCCGACAGGGAGTACTGCCTACAGCCTGAGCAGCGGCGGGAGCATCGTGCACCCGCTGGTGCCCTCGATTCTCCTCACGCCAATTTGCGCGCGCAGTCTCAGCTTCCGGCCTCTAGTGCTGCCATCCAGCACACCCATCACCTTGCGGCTCAGCGAGAAGAACCGCGGACGGGAGCTAGAGGTCAGTCTGGACGGCGTCAACCTGGGCCAAGGGATGGCGGTCGGCATGGAGGCCCGAGTGTGGAATGAGGAGATGCGGCACGGCAAGAATGAGTGGCAGGGCGGCGTACCCAGCGTGATGCGGCGTAGTATGGGCGGCGAGGCGCATGAGGGCTGGGTCGGGGGGTTGAATGGGCTGTTGAAGTTCAACCATGCATTTGGCGAGGAGTAATCCGTCAATAATGTCGTTATCGTTAGACGTAAATAGTTAAATAGGTCATGAATAGTAAATAAGGATCCTGATGATTATTTACCTCGTGGTCCATGGTCGGGGGCGGCTGTTCTAAGCTGTCATTGGATGTCAGTGTTGATTCTGCCCCTTCTTCTGTGTTTCTAGCCCCAAACTCACTCTACTGACCCCTTTCTCTCTTTCTCTCTTTCCCCCCACCTTTCTTAACCATTACCAACCATCAACCACCCGCCACCCTTTGCAACTTACAAAGAAGTGAAAGCGCATCCTCGCAGTGCGAGGTCGGCTCTCCTTTCTTGCTCCCTTGGACTCGCCTCCAGCAGGTCCAGGTCAGTCCTCCCTCTTCCCCTTGAAAATAACCCCCCGCGTCCACCGCAATCTCCCGCCAATCTATTGGACACACCGACCGACTCCCGCCTCCAACAAATGCACCGCTGACCCTGCCACCGCAGTGCCCTGAACCAACCTGTCGTTCTCCAGCGACCTCAGGAGGTCCTGGCGCATTTTGGTGATTCTGTCCTGCGCTAATTGACCCGTGTAAAATGGCTTCGTATGGCAAGTGAGTGAGGCCCTGACTCGCCGAGAAGCTCCTCCTCTAACACCTGTGGCAGCCCCATGTATACGCCGGATCAGTTCATGAATCCAGGCCCAGCCCCGCGCCCGCCGGGGGAACGCCCCAAGTTGACGCTGCCCACCAGCAACAGCAATGTGGCCACCTCGTTCAACCAGATGTCTCTGAATTCGCCCTCAACCCCCGGATCCGCCAACTTGTCACTGTTTCCCAACACCAGTAGCCCATCCCTCACGCAGACCAGGAGCCAGCAGAGGGGCGAAGGCGGGTTCGCAATCATCAAGGAGGGATACGTCCGCTGCAAAGAAGACAAGTTCTTGGCCACTTGGAATCAACGCTATTTGATCCTGCGGGAATACAAGCTGGAATTCCTCAAAAATGAAACGGGCAAAGTGGCCATCTCCTTCCCGCTCTCGACGGTGACCGCCGTGTCGCGTTCCGAGGACACCAAGATGGCTTTTGAGATCACGCGGTTGGCCAACCCCAAAGACGCTCAATCCAAAACTGCCCTGATCACCCGCGACCTGCCAACCAAAACTATCACCTGTGAGGTCAAGACGGATGATGAGATTTATGAGTGGATAGACAAGATCTATGAGCGCTGTCCGGGCATGGGCGGGGTCAGCAACCCGACCAACTTCAGCCATCGGGTCCATGTTGGCTTTGATCCGCAGACGGGCGGCTTTGTTGGCCTACCTCCAGAGTGGGAGAAGCTGTTGACGGCCTCTGCCATTACCAAGGAGGATTACAAGAAGAACCCCCAGGCGGTCATTGAGGTGCTCGAGTTTTACTCCGATATCAAGATGCGGGAACAAAACCCGCAGTACTATGCTGGAATGGGTGGCGCTCCGGCTGGTCAAGGAAAGCCGTACGGCAATAACACAGTCGGCAGCTCGATCGCGCCGCCACGACCTCCCCCGCCAGGGCCTCTTCAGCGTCTGGACAGCGGACAATCCAAGCAGTCGACCGACGGCTCTATGCGCTCGGCCACCTCTTCTCCCGGGCAATCATCGAATAACTTGGAGTCTGACCGTGCAATGGAACAGCAGCAGCAATTGGAGCGTATGAAGGAGTTGGCCGAGCAGGAGCGTCGCCGAGTAGCAGAGGAGGCTCGTCTGAAGGAGGAGCAGGATGAATATAATGCCTCGATTCCAAAGACACGAACACCGATGGCCAAGCAGGAGCTCGGTGGCTACGGCGGAAGTGATGATCGCTATAAACCTAGCCGCCCAGCTCCGCAGGCTCCCGGTGGAGGAGCTCGTGGCCCTCCTCAGGGCCAGCTGACTGCGCAGCGTCCTGCACCGCCGCCCCCATCTTCTTCGCAGAATCCATATGGGCAACCTCCCCGAACCCCTGGTGGTGGATCCCGCCCCGATGACCGCCAGTATTCTCCCAACGACCCTCGTGCTCAAGCAAACCGCCCGCAGAACAATGGCAACAAGGGACAGCAGGCGCAAGGCCCACCGCCAACCCGGTTGCCGGCCCCTGTGCAACCTGTGAAGCCGCTCAACATTGCCAACAAGAATACCGGCAACAAGCAGACGCCTGATGGCGTCCGCCAAGCGGAAGCCGCCTTGACCAAGAAGCCGGAGCCCCGGCAGAAGGAGGTGCGCATGTCGGCCATGTCGGAGAACGAGGTTATGGATCGGCTGCGGGCAGTGGTGTCCAAGGACAACCCAAATGACTCGTATAGCAAGCAGCGCAAGATTGGCCAGGGTGCGTCTGGGTCCGTGTACGTGGCACGCGTTAAGGAGCACGCGACCTCGTCTGTGGCACACGAACTCTACCGGCAGTACGGCCCTCGGTGCCAAGTGGCCATCAAGCAGATGGATCTGCGCAGTCAGCCCCGAAAGGAATTGATTGTCAACGAAATTATCGTCATGAAGGACAGCCAGCACCCCAACATTGTCAATTTCCTGGACTCCTTCTTGCAGGAGCAGAGCAATGAGCTCTGGGTCGTTATGGAATTCATGGAAGGTGGCGCGCTGACCGATGTGATCGACAACAACCAAGTGATTCAAGAAAATCAGATTGCAGCAATCTGCGCTGAGGTATGTCCCCATCCATCCCCTTCAAGAGACCGTCGTTTCGCGTGCTAACTGCTTCTTCACCAGACATGTAAGGGTTTGGCCCACCTGCACAGCCAGAACATCATCCATCGCGATATCAAGAGTGACAACGTCCTGCTCGACCGCGCCGGCCACGTCAAGATCACCGACTTCGGCTTCTGCGCCAAGCTGACTGAGTCGAAGAGCAAGCGCGCCACGATGGTCGGCACGCCCTACTGGATGGCTCCCGAAGTTGTTAAGCAGAAGGAGTACGGCCCCAAGGTGGACTGCTGGTCGCTGGGTATCATGGCCATTGAGATGATCGAGTCCGAGCCGCCATACCTGAACGAGGAGCCGCTGAAGGCACTGTACCTGATCGCTACGAACGGCACGCCCCGTCTGAAGAAGCCCGAGAAGCTGAGCAAGGAACTCAAGGCCTTCCTGAGCGTTTGTCTCTGCGTCGATGTCCGCAGCCGTGCCACGGCGGACGAGCTCCTGGCCCATGAATTCCTGCAGACTGGCTGCAGTCTGGCCAGTCTGGCTGAGTTGCTGCGGTGGAAGAAACCCAGTGGCCAGTAAAGGAAACAAGAAGCATCTTATACATTTTTTTGGATCTGCGCACATACTTGATTGGGCCACCGACCTTGCCTTGACCCTTGACCATTCGGTGGGGGTCTCTTCGACTTTTTTGATCTCCTTCGACAACGACATCGCCTCGCTTTCGCTGCATTCACGACCAAACCCTGCATGAGAGGAGAGCTACATATCCTGCTGCTCGCTTCAAGCTCCACGAGCACATGAAACGAAATTACTTGCTTGCTTTTGGTTCATACACAGCCTTGTTTCACGCCTTTGGGAGACGCGTGGGTAAATGTGGCGTTCGTTTGCCTTCTTTCTTCCCTTGTTATGCGGGCAGCTTAGCTTGTCTACCATAATCCCCCTCAAACCCGCTCTGCACAAAAGACTACATATTTCCTCCCGTTCCTATTCCCCCTCTCCCTTTTTTGTTTCTTTGCAATTGCACCCATGATGTTGACGACCATGCCTGCTTTTACCCTTTATCTTCCTGGACTACTACTACTTACTATTAAAAGCGAGGATTAGTGAATCCATGATGACCTGATTTGGTTTCAACTTAGCATAACATACTCCCTCCGTACATGTAGATATTTGCTTTCTTCCAGTAGAGATGCCGAGTATAACGGAGAGAGCAATGGTACCATGATCTATTGGATATCGATCTATTGGATATAATCATAGCGACAATCTGGATGGGGCAAATGATACAGCAAGAAATCAAGCAATTAAGAATGGAGTCGAAGAAAATCCATCATCAATTATACCAACCCTCTATCCGATGTCCTAATCCAGTCTATCCTCTTAATTTCCCAACAAAAGACACAAGCAAGCATGTATAAGTCATTGGGCAATATATACCTTCTATCTAACACCCTCACTCAATGCAATATCAAGCCAAAAAAAAAAAAAAAAAAAAAAAAAAAAAGCAAGAAGCAAAAAAGAACGGAAAGGAGACTGAAGGAGGCTGCTGGAATGTTAAGACAATTTCTCCTTCACCTTATCGCCCAAATTCCCACAAGCTTCCGCAAAGAGCACGCCCTCGAGCACAGCCTCGCCTTCACCAGCAGCCCAGCGACCCGCATGCGCAAGACGCTGTTTCCACCCCTCCTGCTCAGAAGCGGACAGATCTTTCCACGCGCGAAGCTTATCCTTGTTCGACGAGGGGATAACATGCGCCGACTGTGCCGTTTCAACGATTACGCTGTGCTCCGGATTTTCTCCCACTCGGGGATCACACCTCACGATCACGGAGAGGTCCTTTGGAGACACGATGTCGAGATCAACGGGCGCCGCGCCGGCGGCGTGGACGCGGTCTAGGATCTGGCGGAGAGATTCGAGTTGCTCGGACTCTTCAAGCGCGGGAGCGGTGCGCAGGGCGGGGAAGATGCGTTCCAGGAGCGGATGATTCTTGCCGTGCGCGTCGGGGATATACGGACGAGTCCAGGACTCGCCCACGTAGTCTCGTGCGCCTAGGATGGACGGCGCGAGGCCGCGGACTTCCGCGAAGGATTGCAGGGCTGCGAGGATGGCGACGAGTGACATTAGGAATATGCCTAGGCCGTAGAGGAGGTCCCAGAACTCGGCTGGGCCCGGTTGGGCGAGGACGTAGCGCGGCGTGCGGGATGGAGGAGGGAAGGGTGAGAGGGGGGAGTGTGTGCACGACCACTGTGTTTCCCATGGACACGGAGGCGAGCTTGACGTTTTGGGGCGGGACTTCCGGGCCGACTGGGTGTGCGGGTGCGATGAAGGTCGAGAAGACGAGCTTGGTCATGGAGAAAGGGTGGACATCGCGGATGACGGTGAAGGGACGGATGGGGCCAAAGCCACGGATTGGGCCGAATTCCAACGTGAAGAGGGAAATCGAATTATCGCTACCGCTGGCGGCGATGATGGTCTGCTGCTGGCCCTGCGGGTTTGTGCCTAGCGGGCAGACGTCGAGGCCCAGACCGATCTTGACACTGCGCGGGAGGCGTTTTCTGCTCAGGATATATGCCTTGCTTGCCTTGTCATCGGGTAATCGGAGGATGACGAGCTCTGCGCCGCCGCGGTCCGGCGCATTCTGAAGCAAGAGCAGCGTTGTCGGGTTGAGGAAGCGGAGGGCACGGAACTTGGGGCGAGCAGTACCGCTCTTGGGCAGAGGGATGGAGAAGACTGTTTTCACGTCCGGCGCGGCGTTGGACCGCTTGGAAGAGGAGAGCTCGCCGACGACCACGTCCACGCCGGTGGTGTATGCAACGCGGAACTTGTCGTCTCCGAGACTGGCAAAGTCCAGATCTTCGGCCTCCTCGTTGCCACTCAGGCGGATGCGCCCAACGACATCGGATTCGCTGGGCGTTTCTGTTGCGCAGAAGAAGACAATTTCACCGGAGGGAGCGAGACCCGTGGTGATGGCGCCGATGCGCACATTCTCTGTATCATCGCTCTCCTCGTTCCGGTACTTCCTCCACGGCGACAAGCGCAGAACCCGCTGGTAGGTATCGGCTGAATCCGCACCACCCTTAATTTTGAACAGCGAAGCGCGCGACAACGGCGTCGCCTTGCCGGGGATTAGCTCCCCTTCTGTCCGAGCTTCCTCTGTCTTTGTCTCTTTCTCATCTGCATCTGGATTCTCAATCGCCGAATCCGTAGGTGGGAGCACAACAGCTAGTTCTCTGTGCGGGGCATCAAACCGAAACGAGCGTAGATGCTGGTTATTGTTCTTCTTCACCTCTTCGACTGAGCTATTGATACCCGCCAGCGCGACGATCTCATTCGCGTTGTTCGACTGCGGCGCGGCTGCCAGCGACGTCACCGAGTCCTCATCGCGCGAGAGCTCCAGCTCCACGGACTGCTTGATTTCGTCTCGCTTTGATGTATCCAGAAGAGACTGTAGGACGCCACCAGTTAGTGAGATACATACGGGGAAAGGGGGCAGGAAAAGACTTGCGATTTTGTTCCCGACGCCGCTGCGCCCTTGGCCGCCGCCTCCGCCGACCAGCAGGAAGCGGTTGTTGCGCGGGTCAAAGTCAGCCGCAAAGAGCGGACACGACAGGGTCAGCTTGGCTGGGTAAATGGTGGGCGCCATTTTGGGTGTGAAAAACAAGAAAGGAAGAAAGAAAGAGAAAGAAAGGACAAGTGGTGACGACGCGGCCCAGTTGCCCCGGATTGTGTTCTTGGCGGCCGTAACCCGCATTAGGGATGCCGAGCTGAGTTATGTATAGACCGGACTAAAGAGGGCCAAAAGAAAGTGAATAATAATTGTCATAGATTCTGTCTCTACTCCATGATTTTATACGAATGTCCACCACTACTCCACCTCTTGCCCAGTAAACTCCGGCAGCCGCTTGCGCACATCCTCCCACGTCTCGTCGCCGTCGACGATCGACTTGAGCGCCTGCAGGATCTCGTCCTCGCTGGCGCGCACCTGCTTGGTCGAGTCGCGGTCACGCAGAGTAATCGAGCGGTCCTTGACGGACTGGAAGTCCACGGTGATGCCAAATGGCGTGCCCAGCTCGTCGTTGCGAGCGTAGCGCTTGCCAATGGAGGCGGACGAGTCGTCGACCCGAGTAGAAATACCCAGGCGGCGTAACTTCGAGGTCAGGTCCTGCGTCAGGGGCTTGAACGAAGCGTGAGTCGAGAGCGGAACCAGCAGGACCTTGGTGGGTGCGATGGCAGGGGGGAAGGACAGGACCTATGGATTGTTAGTAAAATTTAGGATCAATGAGGGAAAACAAAACATACGCCACGGGCCTCGTCGCCCTCGCGCGACCAGTAGACGTGCTCGATCATGCTGTACAGAATACGGCCGATACCGAAGGACGGCTCGATGACGTTGGGCGTGTACTCGCGGATGTTCTCGACGCGGGTGCGCTTCTCGATCTTGATCAGGTCCTTGTCCAACTCGATCTTGGGGGTGGCAATGCCCTCGACTTCCACCTCGATCTTGCCATTCTTCTCGAGGTCCAGGGAGAGCTTCTCGCGTAGTTCCTGGGACAGCGCCTCGACCGCCGCCTCGACAGACTTGCTGTCCTTCTTGAAGCGGGGACCGAACTTCTTCTTGTCGATGTCAACCTGCCACTCCTCAATGCGAAGGGGCTCCGGGCGAGTCTCGCGCACAACGAGCGGCGCGCCGGTCTTGTTCTTGTGCACGGTCAGGTCGTAGGCGCTACGATCAGCACAGCCGACACACTCGATCCAGCCGTAGCTAGTCTTCAGCTCGGCATCCCAGCAGTCGGTGGCATAGTGGGCCATCTCATTAGCCATGTGTTGGCGGAAGCGTAGCTTGGAGCGGTCGATACCAAGCTTCAGTAGGAAGGACTGAATGCGGACCAGGAAGTAACCCAGTGTCTCGTTGTCCACGAGGCCGGTCTCGACCGCCTTGCCGACGGTCATCTGCACCGTATCGGTGCTACCAGACAGCTGCACGTTGCGGTCGAGCAGCGACAGCTCGACATCCTTGACGTCCGCAAAGCGCGGGTGCTTCTTACCACCCTCTGGGTCGACAAAGTGCTCAATCTCGGCCATCAGGAACTCACGCACGCGCAGCAGACCGGCACGAGGAGAGATTTCATTGCGGAACGACTTGCCAATCGAGGCCGAGGCGAACGGCATGCCCTGCTGGTTGAACTCAAGCAGCTTCTGGAAGTTCAAGAACTGGCCCTGGGCGGTCTCGGGCCGCAGATAGCCCGGCATGTTGCTGCTGGGACCGATGGAGGTCTGGAACATCAGGTTGAAGGCGACGGGCGGCAGGAGGTTGCCCTCGGTGGTCGGGTTGCGGATGTCGTACTTGGCGATCAGCTGCTCTAGTTCGGGTCCGCCGTAGTTATCGATCTGGGCCAGCACCTCCTCGTACTCCTGGACCAGAGCGTCGTCCAACTTGACGGCCTTGCTGGCCTTGACCTTCTTCTTTTTCTTGGCCTCCTTCTCCTCGTCGACCTCGACCTTCTGGCCGCGCGCCTCCTTGTCGCCCTTCAGGCGGGCCTCCAGCACCTCTTCGACCAAGTGGTCTGCGCGGAAAATCTCGCCGGTCTTGGGGTCCTTGCACATCCAGTCGGCGAACTTGTCGACGTGCCCACTGGTCTTGAAGACTTCGTCCGGGGTCAACATGGTACAATCGAGCTCGAGCATATCCTCCTCCAGCACGAAATGTTTGCGCCACAGGTCGGTCATGTTGGCGAGCAGAGCGCAGCCGGGGGGACCGTAGTCATAGAGGCCCGACACCCCACCATAGATCTCGAAGGAGGGGGTGTAGAACATGCGACGGCGGAGCATCGAGTCCAGCACCGTGCGATCGATGGACTGGCCCGTCTTCGTGTCGACGGTGGCCATCTTGGGATTTTTTTTGGACGGCTTGACGAGCTGGAGGGCGGGTATGGAAGTGGTAAAAGTCCGGGTTTGGAAGGGAAAGAATGGAGAAAGAAAAGAGCGGGAGAGTAGGCGCGGCAATTGAGTCATACACCACGACACCACCACAGCCGGGGAGGGAAACGACAGGGATGAAATCGAGAGACACCGAGAGAGGAACACACACAATGGAGAATGTGAGAACGAGAGAGAATGACTCAATTCCTCCATCGGACCGTTTGGCCCATGTGTTGCGGTTGATCCTAGGTCCGGCGAAATGTTGTTCCGTCTAAATTATTTTTTTGGTCGAGAAACTGACGGACGGAAGTACTTCTTCTCTGCACATACACACCCTCTCTCACCATGCCTCGCAAAGGCCTGAGCAGGCCACCCCCTGGGGTTTCGCAAGACGCAAAACCAGGCAATAAGCAGCTACGCAAGTTGGCCCACATCAAGCGCAAGAGAGCCAAAGACTCCACACGGCGCGAAGAGCGATACGCCGTCAAGAAGGAAGAAGCCAAGAATCCCAAGCTACGGGCCGACCGATTGCAGCGCAATATTCCCCTGACGCTGGATCGCAAGCGCGTGTGGGATGAAGCCGACAGCGACGCCGAGGAGCACGGGCTGGGACTCAGCGTCGACGTGGAGCGGATCAAGCGCGCCAAGCAGGAAGAGGAAGATGAGCTAAATCGGCCATTGGAGGAGGGAGAGGATGAGAGCGGGGATGCACAATCCGACGACGAGTCGATCGACAGCATGATTGCATCCAGCGACGGCGAGGACGAGGATGAAAACCAGGACGAGGCAGAGCCGGCTCACGGCCGAGGAAAATCTAAGCTCCCCAGCGCAACCGAGCGCGCAACAAGCCCAACGCATTCAACGCGCAGCACGAACCTGAATCTCGCGCCAGAAGCACTCGCCGCCAAATTCCCGACCCTCTTCTCCAACGAGGCCCCGCCAACCCCCAAGGTGCTAATCACGACCTCCATCAACTCCAACCTCCACCACGAAGCCGAAACCCTCACCGACCTCTTCCCCAACAGCGTCTACATCCGACGCACAGCGCACCGCTACTCGCACAAATTCTCCATCAAAGAGATCGCCAAGTTCGCCTCAAACCGGAACTTCACCACCGTGGCGGTCCTCCAAGAAGATCAGAAAAAGCCCTCGGGATTGATTCTGGTTCACCTGCCCGTTGGACCCACGTTCCACTTCTCCATCAGCAACTGGATCGATGGCAAGCGGTTACCGGGCCACGGGAGAGCAACAGAGCATTGGCCGGAGCTGATCCTGAACAACTTCCGCACGCCGCTGGGTCTCTTGACGGCGCATATGTTCCAACGGCTCTTCCCGCCGCAGCCGGAGTTTCAAGGCCGACAGGTTGTCACACTGCACAACCAGCGCGACTACATCTTCGTGCGCCGTCATCGCTATGTATTCCGCGAGAAGCGCGAGACGGAGAAGGCCGTCGTGGACACTGATGGCAAGGAGATGAAGGGCGCGGAGGGTATCCGTACCGGTTTGCAGGAGCTCGGGCCACGGTTCACCTTGAAACTGCGCCGTGTCGACAAGGGAATCCAGAGGGCGAGCGGACAGGAGTGGGAGTGGGAGGGCAAGATGGAGAAAGTGCGCACCAAGTTCCAGCTTTAGTTATTACTTTTTTACTCTGCATCGGTTTGGGAAGGAGTTCGATCTAAAAGCTTTTTATTTATTACTGAATGGACATAGATACATACACTCCCCAGTCCCTGGACCTCTGTTGCAATACATATCATTCCTAGGTCATATGATTGTGCCGCTGGGCCAGAAAGACCCCTACCGGTATGTCCGCCCATGCCTAGGACCTAACGTAATTCACCCACCCCAAATACCATAGTAAATGTATTGTTTTTTATAGCTGGATATTTCAACAACTACGACATAAGTTATTTGATTGTTTGCATGATATTATTTATAAGCATATCAAATAGTACCGACAGACTGGACTCGAAATTGAAGAATTATTTTACTATGGTGTCTTTGAGGTGGCCGGCTCACTAGTCGCTAGTACACAGTAGCGCGCCGAGTTGTGGAAACTCTCCCACTCTCCCTCTTTCTGCACAACGCCAAGCAGAGCCAATCCCCAATATGCCATTGTGCAATTGCACTCCCGTCGGATCGCCCAGCGCGTTACTCGTCCCGGCAGGACGCTCTGGCCAAAGCTGAATCCCACCCAGTCCGTCGGGTCTCGCACGGCCCCGGCCGTCGCCTCGTTGGGGTGTCTGCGTCGGCTCTTCCGTGTCTACTAACCTACTTTTGTTCCTTCCCCTCTGGCGTGCCTGGACTTGGGCATGGTTGGGGTCGGAACGGACCCGCCCAGTCGGGACCAGCCTCGTCTGTGATTCCCAGTAGGCTGGTTCAATGGACCCGTCACGATCCCGCAGGGACCCTCACTTGTCAGAAGTACCCGGGACTACTCTGAATTTCCTACAACCAACATACCCTAACTAACAAACGCCCCCTGCGCTGCTCCAGGTTCTCGGGTCCTTTCTCCACTGCCCGTCGTGGAGCACCGGTGTGCTGGGTCCTTGGACATATCAGCCATCATTTCCTTTACTTTCTGTGCTTCGTTCTTTTCTTCTCTGCAACTGACGTACTCCCGTCCCGTCTGGTCGGGTGCAGTTATCGTGACACTTACCCTTGCGCAACAGACGAAAACTCGGGTATGCAACTTCATGTCGACTAGACGGTCCTTCGTCTGTTCCTCCTTACCCCTCTTTCGTCTTGGTGGCCCATTCTCCCTCCTGTCGCTCCCGCCTCGTATAAACTCCAATTGAGTGCCCAAAAAAAAAAAAAAAAAAAAAAAAAGAACCAGCGTGCTTTTCAGTTCTAGCTTTTCTTCGAACTCACACCACATTCGTTCTCGATTTCATTCAAGCATGTCATGGACGCAGAACCTCTTCAGCCGTCAGAGGGCTCCAGCCCCGAGCCCATCCGGAAAGAGCAGCCTATAGAGGAGGCACCCGAGCTGGCTGCGGTGGAAAACTCCGAGCCGGAGTCGGATTGCGAGTCTGACGATGAGGTCTCAGTGTGAGTAGTAATACATGATCTTAAAAAAAGCCTTTTTACTGATGACTGCTAGAAAATCCACCAGATCATGCTCCCCAGGCACCCTCCGCGGCATATTCGAAAACGGGCGCCGATACTGCGACGACGTCTACTTCATGCCCAATGACGAATCCGAATTAACCCGCCTCAACGTCGTGCACCAAATCTACCTGATCTTACTAGATGGCCGACTCACCACCGCACCACTCACCACGGAATCACCGCGCATCCTTGATGTTGGCACGGGGCCGGGAGACTGGGCCATCGAAATGAACGCCGAGGCTCCAAATGCCACCATCATCGCCTCTGACATCGGCGTCTTCGACTCGGGTATCGCCCACATCTCCCTGCCGAACGTCTTCTTCCAGATCGCAGACGCCCGGTCAGAATGGACATACCACGAGCCCTTTGATCTCGTGCATATCCGCGGCTTGTCCGGCGCCTTCCAGGACTGGTCCTCCGTGTACAGAAACGCATTCGCCCATCTCAAACCCGGCGGCTACATCGAAGTCGCAGACGCGGACCCCGCCGCCGACATCCTCTGCTCCGAGTCCCAGTCCGACTCCTCCTATCTCCAGATCTACTCTGCCGCCCTCCGCGCCGCCGGCGAAGCATCAGGCTACCTCCGCGACGGCAGCCACCTGCGCACCTCCGCCCTGACCGCAGCGGGATTCGTCGACGTCCGCGTCCTGGAACGCACGATCCCCATCGGCCTGTGGCCGCACGATATGCACGAAAAAACTCTCGGCAAAATGGGCCTCATTGCCCTTCTCGAGGGGTTGGAGGCTTACGCTCTCCGCTCGCTTACCCGCTCCGGCAGCTGGTCGTTGCAAGGAGCTACTGACCTCTGTGAGAAGGTTACCGCCGAGCTTCTTTCGGCGGATCGGCTGTCCGTTCGTGTGCGTATCGTCACGGGGAGAAAGCCTATTTCTTATGCGCAGCGGAAGGAGGAGGTTTTGGCACGGGCGATGCGGAAAGCGGAGATGTTTACCGGTGCTGTTTCGACGAATGCCGACTAGGAGGAAGGATTGATGATGACGATGATTATGACGATGATGATGATGATGATGATGATGATTTTCTCCTATTCATGATGTACTGTATCCATATAAAACATCTAGATCTATGCATATTGCCTCTTGCTGTGACATCTTGTTTCAGCTCTCCATCTTATTACTGATTTGACATAAGTTGTATGATGAGGGAGTGAAACACCTAACTGGAATTGCACAATAACAGCTTCCCTAGATCCAGCTCTCACTCGGCAAATCGAGACAAGTGTCGGTGGACGAAGCCGATGAACCGTCCTTTGCTGTCCCAGCGGCCATGCCTGAGGCAGTAAGGTACCCAGGCACCTAGGCACACCCGTCACGGATAAATCATCTTCAATCCTCAACCCTCCGTCATAGCCATTCCCTTCCTCCCATCCAGTGGACATGGACCCCCCTCGCCGGCGCCTCTTCATCGCCTCCATCGGCAACATAAAACCCTACCGAAACACCCGGCATAGCGCGGGCCACCTCCTCCTCGACGCGATAGGCCCCCAACTGCCCGCGCGACTCAGCCCAGCAGCACAACCCTTCTACCAAACCTGGTACAGCCCCACGTACATGAACACATCCGGCCCGAAGCTCGTGCGGCAGCTGCAGAATTTCACGCAGCAGGGAAATGCAAATGCACACGCGACCACGTTAGTGATCCTGCACGACGAGCTGGAGTCGCCGCTCGGGAGAGTGCGTGTGAAACGCGGCGGGCCGGAGGTTGCGAGTCTGCGTGGACATCGGGGGTTGATTAGCGTGTTTGAGAGTCTGCGCGGGAAGGGATTGTATCCTGCGCGTGGGCAGGGTGGCGGGTTGGGGTTGTCGGTTTTGAGGGTTGGGGTTGGGATTGGCCGGCCCGAGACGAGAGAGAAGGGTGCTGTTGCGGATTATGTCTTGACGGCGATGGGTCCGACGGAGTTGGCGGCGGTGCATCGTGCTGCGGGGCCGGTGGTTGAGCTCATTGCGGAGGAGATGTATAGGGCTGACCCGGGGTCAACATGACAAACCTACGACATGTACATTATGTATTATAGAGGCGCTTGGTCGGTCAGGGCTAGAGCATTGTGTGTATTATACCCCCGGATTGAATTGGGATGGAAAGAAACTCCTGGACGGCGACGCGAGAAAAAAGGCATCGCGAAGGCTCCCCCGAGGGTGGGCCGCCATGTACAGACAGAGAATAGAAACAAGAAACGCCTGAAAGCCAAAGGAAAGACGGGCATGAAAGGTGATAGTAAAAGCAAGAAAACCAACTCAGACAGTGCCAGCAATGCTAAGATCGCGAATCTCCTGCAGGACCTCCTCAACGCGATTATCCAAGTCGCCCCGCGCATACTGGTCGCGGGTCTCGGCATCCAGATACTGCTGCACCTGGGCCATGCGCGAGTAGGCCTCTGCACAGAAACGCAGCTGGATCTTGACTAGGGCCTCGAAGCTGGGGTCGAGATAGGGGACGCGCAGGTCGATAAGTTGGGGCAGTTCGGTGAAGAGCTGCTCATTGAGCTGTTCGTATGCTTGTTTGGCCATTTCGGTTTCACGCTCCGTGCGTGGCAGCTTGGAGGCGTCCTTGTCGGGCTTCTCTACTAGTCGCTTCACCTTGGAGCGCATGGCGTCGTAGTCGAGGAGTTTGTGGTTGCGCTTTTTGATGCATTCGTTGACGTCGGGGAAGTAGGCGCAAAAGCGGGAGATGGGGTCCAGGACGGTCGTTCTATGCTTGTCAGAAGCGAAAAAGAAAAAAGTAGGACAGAAGAGACATACCGGTATGGTCCATCCAATGCCTTGATCGTCTCCGCATCCAAATCCTCCACAGCCTGCTTGTAGCTCCGGCTCACGCCATCCTTTGTGCCCGCGTCACCGTAGAAAGCATCGATGGTCTCGGCGATACGCATTTGAGAAGCGGTCATGGCTGTCCCCAATCCGTTAGCAACACCCTCAAATTTTGTCCCCTCCCAAAAAAAACACACCTCGTAACGAATCCAAATATCCCTTCGCCTCTTTTTGCAGTCGACCAGCCGCCGTCTCCATTGTCCGATACCGTCTACCCTCCTTCGTCAGCACCTTGAACAGCTCCAGTACACTCGGAAAAGAACAGAAGGTCAATAAAGGGAAGGAGGGGCCAAAAAGTCTGCGTACCGTTCCTCAATCTCATAGTCGCGGTCACTCGTTCGTTCCACATGGCCTAGACATTTCAGTCAGTAAGACGTCTCTCACACGCTCTCCGCATGTATCCGGTCTTCGCTCGGAGGAGAGAAGGCGTTCGTCAAGTTGGCGGGGGTACAAGATGGAGGGCCAACTTGGGGCGGTGGTGAACAGGGTGTCCAGAAGAAGGGCAACTCACCCGTCTTCATCATTACCTGCGTCGTGGCGCGGCCGACATTTTTCTTGAACCCTAGATGTCCACGCTCATGTCAGTCTCTCTGAAAGTTGTAGATCTCGAAGATGGGGCAACGGACCTGCCCACGACATGATGGCGGTGGGAGAGGGAGAGACAACGAGAGGATAAAGTAAAAAAAAAGAGTAGTCGTCAAGGAGATTTCAAGTCTCAGGCAGAATCCAAGCCCAAGACCAGAGCTGAACCAGATTGCGGCGATGGGAAAGCAAGTCAGGCTGAACGGCAGGCAGTCGTGGCTGAGGCGATTAGGTAAGATGGTCTTTTCCGGATGTGGCTACGTCATGAACTATACCTAATAGTATACAGCTGCCTAGGCGACGGAAATCAGGAAAGATATCATCAATGCAGAATATGTACAGCCATGGAATTGGTATATGCGTCCTGCTAGTGGATAAATGACAGAAAAGACAAGACGGGAGTGCATATCGGAAGCATCCACGGCGGGAAAGAGAGTCCGGTCAGCAGCCAGCTGCGCGATATTGCACTCATCTTTCGGAATGCGCAACCATCATCATATAATGGTACAAGAGAAGGGAAAGGGTAGATCGCAACACTGTGTCCGCCCGCGCCATATGGAGTTGGCGATGATCGAGTGGGAAAGAAATGGTCATGACTCTTCGTTGCATTTGAAAATGACAAACCCAAACAGCAGAGCAGGAAGGTGAAACACAAAAAGAGCTAAAAGATGGATGAAGAAAAACACAGGCTGAAAGACAGGAACAATGCGCCGGTATCACGAGAACAATAAAATAAAAAGAGGGCCTCCTTCTACTATTTAGGAGCGTTCGTGTTTTCCCTGGTTGTTGAAGGAATCCTCTCTCAGAAAACCACCCAGACAGGAGAATCAGAATCCTTCCTCGCCTTCCTTGCACAGCTTGATCTGGCGCACCCACTCAGACTTGAGGACCTGCGAGGCGTTGATGCGGCGGGAAGGATTCGGGTCGAGGATCGAGTAGATGACATTGCGGCAACGAGCCTGAGTGTGGATTAGTTTCTGTCTGGAGCCCAACAAAGTAGCAGAGCCTACCCGATGCAGTGTTTCGATGGGAGCATAGCCATCTTCGTGCTTGCGGCCCTCCAAGTAGCGCTGGTAAAATTCATCCTCGTCCTTGTGGGCCACGCGCCAGAGATGCCGGCCCGTTCGCATGGCCATATAGATCACGCCCGTGGCCCATAGATCGACCGCGCGGGGATCGAACTCCTTCTCGGTATATTCCTCGGGGGCGATGTACGGCGCAGAACCGCATAGCCCGGCGGTCATGTGGGCTTCCTTTTCCCATGCCATCCGGAAGCATTCACCATTTCCAAAATCGGTGATCTTGAGAGCACCGTGGGTGGTGAGCAGGAGATTCTCGGGTTTGAGGTCACGGTGGGCAACGCCCATCTCGTGCATGTACTCGACTCCCCGCATCAGCTGCTTGAAGAAGCAGTCGGCTTCGGCGACTTCGAGCTTGCCTGCCGCAAGAACTAGAGTGTATAGATCGCCACCGGCACAGTATTCCATCACCTCACAGTAATCTCCCTTGGCGTCCTGCAGGAGATCCAAAGTATGAATAACGTTCGGGTGACGAAGGGACGAAGATATACAGAACTCGGAAGTCAACCGCTTCTGGTACTTTTTGGCGGTCTCCTGCGGACGACGACGGAACTCCTTGACGGCATACAGCTGTTCACCTTTGGAGTCCTGGGGGTCGACCTTGTGCGAGATGCGCACGATCCCAAACGCGCCGCGGCCGACAATCTCCTGACACTTGCCATACTTGTCCACCAGGGACGCAGTGGCGTTGGGCCCGCCTCGCTTGTCGGCGGCCAGCTTGTCCCGTTCGTTCTTGAACTGGTCGATCCAGGTAGACATGAGCGATAGCTGCTGCTCGTCCGGGTGGTTGTCCTTTTTCTGTTTCCCGCCCAGCATGTCCCGCAGAAGATCGGTCAGTTTTTCCTGTCGTCGAGCACTTCGGAGGTGATGCTGGTGGGTGCCGGTGCCTTCGGGCAATAGCTCAAAGCGCTTGTGAACCGGGGCGGCGCCATCCTTTTGCTCTTTGCCGGTCTTCTTCCTGTCCTTGTCTGGCGGCTCGACGCCCTTCAGGGACGGTTGCCGGGATGGTGTTCGAGATGATGGTCTGGAGTTTGGTCGCGAGGAGGGTTTGGAGGAGGGTTTATCTTTCTCTTTCTCTTTTGCGTTGGGTGGTTTCACGAGGCTGTCGAAACTGCTGTCGGACAGATCGCGGGAGTCTGGGTTATGCGGCGGAGTCTGCTTCCCAGTCGAACTAAACATGCGTGAGAGACGGGCGGCCATGTTGGCTTTTGGTGGTTTTCCGGCGGGAGAGGGCGCGGGGGAGGGGAGCACATCGCCTCCCTCCCCGTTGACCGCAGCGGACAGATGCATGCCCGCCAGGGCGTGTGTTACCGGGGGTTCGCCATCCCCAGGGTCATGCGAGTGTTGAGATGCTGCGGCGGAGGAGACTGCGGACGGGACAGGTGAGGGAGACGGCGGAGTCATGTGCGGTGGATGGCGGTTGTAGCGCGAGGTCAAGCGAGCAGTCTCTCAACAACGGGGGATGGCTGTCCCCACGAAGGAGATGAGAGGACAGAGGCGGGTTAAGTGCAGCTCGCACAAGGCTTGCTGACACTGTGAAGCAACAGCCCGTAACACCGTGGACGAAATGATGGAAGAAACGAGAAAGAGACGGAGGGGCGAAAAATTGGAGGGTTGCCTTGAGATTGGTGGCCTGAGGCAGCCCACCAAGTGATGACCGTGACTGCGGTCGGAAGAACCACGGACAAGGTATATAGGGGACCGGTGATGCACCAGTAATAATATAGATATAAATATAGACAGAAAGTAACAAGAAGAGAAAAGAAGAAAGGCAGTCAAAATGCAGCAGAGGGCGGGAGCGAAGAAGTCGAAGAAGGAGAAAAAGGACAAAAATTGGCGATGCTGGGGATGAAATACGGGCGAAGGGGGGGAAACGGAGTGTGGGTGGTGTGGTGCTGGTATTATTACGTGGGGAGCGTTGGTTTCGTTCATCTCCCGCGCTGATTAAGACTGAGCGAAAAAAAAAAAAAAAAAGGGAAAAAAACTGTGGACACTGCAGCGATTGGTGGTATTTGTATGGTATTATTAATTATGGTACGGAATATTATTCATGCTCACTACGAATGATTGATTTGAAATGTCTGTTGCGTGTATTATCCGATGTCTGGCTCACGCAAGCACTGCATCATCGGGGCCGTGGCGCATGCTCTCTTGCCTCGAGTGTACCTGACGGGGGGCCGTGTTAAGAGTGAGAGATTTAAATTCGGAAAGAGAGGGGCCTCTCGTCGGTAGATCCTTGGATTGTCTCTAGGTAGCTTAGCTTAGCTTTCTTGCTTTGTGGGTAATATTTCATTTCATATTACAGATTGATTGTTCCTCGACTGATGCTGTGGGATACCGGTAGGTGGTCCCTCGACATCATCACCAACCCCGTCGACATGACTTTTTCCATGAGGCGGTGCCTGTCTGTGATTCAGTAGGTGGCGTCCACGAGAGTCCTCGATGATATGAGGGGAGGACCGATCGCGCACTGCGATCATCCTGCCCGGCCGATCGCTACGACAGTAGCAGCACTGGACTTCCCCCCCATCGGGTGGGGTCGGTCTGTTCTCACTGCCGGATCATCTGAAGGTGAAGCACAGCGTCATAGCCTTCATCTTATTGGAATGAAGAACTTGCACATCGACGTAGGTGTGTCGACGGGTGGACAAGTCCTCTCTCACTGTCTGCTCACTTGAACTATGACCCACAGTACTCTAGCCGACGTGGAACTAAATGACCTAAACGGAACCAAAGAACAATAAATACCGCGTCCCTTCCCGAGGACACGATGAACTAGCTACCCCGGATTAATTACTGGCAGGATCGTCAGCCTGCCAGACGGTGGAAATAGGCGTCCGCTGTACAAGTACCAGACCTCGGCTCTCGGGGAGGGGGTCAAAGAAGAGACTAAACCGCAAAGCGAGCCACATGCAGCTGGTGGTGAGGATAAACAATACGAGGCATTTTCGGCTCGCCAATCAAAGCAAGCCGAAAGGTGGCTATGCTCTGCAGGACGAGTGGCTACAGACAGAAGACCCGTCATTGTTGGTGGCAGCTTTATTTTCTTTTTCCTACTACGGTCAAGTGTATTACTGCATGTGTCTGTGTGGTCATGAAACATTAGGCCCCTCCCCTAACCAAAATCTATTGATCCTTGGCCGCAGCCACGCAAGACGGACTCGATGTGATTTATCAGCAACAGTAATAAACGTAAATTAGTTAACTAAATTCCATGGAAATAAATAATCCGGCAGAAGGGTCGTAGGCGAAAGGTTAACACCTCTCCTCCCCCGGTCTGTGCCCGCTGACCGCCAGTTCAGCTCTGAGGGGTTGCACAATTCCCCGCTATAACGAGCACCAACAGAGTACGGTAGAGAAGAGGGGTGGTAGGGTAGGTATATGCCTCATAGAGAACATGTTAGCAGGAAGAGAGAGCTCCGGCTTAAAGCTGAGCTAGCTATACCTTCATGCAGTGAAGATGAAAATCAGCGAATATCATGTCGCAAATAGGAAGCCAAGCCCTGCATGACAAGACATCCTGACGGGACTTTTCGGTGGAATCGATAATGCATGGGCATGATACCTACAGACCCGACGGGACCTACAGGAGGTGGCTATTGCGGCCACATGTGCGCATGCAGGGTGTTGATAAGATAGTTCTTTACGCACGTAAGGCTGATGGGGCGTTGATTCGGTCCGTGCCGGAGTCTTATTGAGCTGAGATATAGCTACTACTTGGCATGTGCTTTAACTGCAGCCGCTTGTATGACATGGCGCGAGCTATCTATTCCGGTCCTGACCAATCCAGACGGCCTTTTGATATGCCGCTGGCCTGATGACGGCACCGTTCCCAGTTGGTATTCAGAACTAGGGTTCGGATTCACGAACCGATACGTCTTCCCCGGCGGATGGGGCCAACAGTACCGGGTGAGTTGCAAGTCGAAGTATAAAGGCAGTAAGTAGGTCCCTATCTTGTACCCTGCTGCATGTGCCGCGGGTGTAGGAAAGCTAGAAGCTGCGGTGCATTCCCAGCAACTCCACAAGCTTGCTGCCAATCCCGACGTCTCTGGTGAAAGAAGGCAGCCAATCGTCCTTGGAGTGCAGCGCATCTCGGCCGCCGGGACGAGTCTTATATACCAGCCATGCCACGTCGGCAGTGACAGGCCGGTCGCGTCTCAAGAAGTCTGCTCATGCAGATTCGAGGATTATGACAGCACCCGAGTCTGCTACCATATCAGAAACAAGTCAACAACACAAAAGACCAGCCAGACAAAGAAAACGTAAACACGTACGACGAACTGTTCCAGCGATTCCTCAAAGAGCTCATTATTTACTCCCACGCCGCCGGGATGCTCGGTCGGAGACAGAGGATTTTTCACCACTAAACAGCAATCAACAAGGTATCATCGTTGGGTTCTCAATTTGACGCACCATATTCCACAAACAAATTAATGTAGATCTGCTGCAAGGCGATGCGCATGCTGGGGCTCTTGAGGTCGGTGAGCATGACAAATTTGGTATTGGTCGGGGTCTCGTAGTAATGGAGCTTGTATTGGCTGGTGGTGTAGGAGATAAAACTGAGGGCACGTCAGTCGCGTGTTTGTTGGCAGGCGAGACCGAATGGTCTTACTTGTCCTCCTCGCCCCCCAATTTGCGCACCATGTTCCGCAAGGAAAACACCGTGCCAAACACGAGTTTTGCGTCGTCGTCCGTTGATCGCACCGTCTGGCCGAGGCCTGCTAGGTCTGACCCGGAGCGCGAGCCCTTGCCGGCGAGCGACGTCGGGCGCGGCTGCCAAAGGCGTTTGTAGATGCATTCCGCTGCACAAATCAGTTTCGGGACAAGAGTTGAGACAGCAGAGAGCATTTACCATGACGGTCGAAGATGTAGAAGGAGTAGACGGGCATCGCGGGTGGCTTGAGTTGGGATGTTGTTGATGTAGGTCAGGGGAGGGAGATAAAGGGAGCACGCAGGCGGTGAAAAACAATCAATATAGAGAAAGATGTCCCGCCCTCCCCGCCCTTCGCTGCCCACGCCATGGCGGATCATGAGCTGCGCCCAGATGCTCCTTCGAAACTAGACGAGTTCCCTCCGCCAAACAGAGCGAAGTAAGTCTTCACTTCTTCTTTCTAGAAGTCATCTACGATTTTGGCTTGGCATCGATCGGCCCTGACAGATATATCTTCTTCTAGTACCACGCCTTCCTATGACAGTCTCCAGAGGCACCGGCGGCGAAACCCCAGGACCAGGCGTCCGGTGAAGGTCGGTGGTTTTGCTCCTGGCTGGTCGAGTACCGGGACTGATGCGCAGGACAGGAAACACTCAACGCTCGCTCAGAGTATACAACTAGCCAGGACGACGGGACGGCAGAACATAGGATCAATCAGTATGTGATCAGGCAGGAGATAGGGCGAGGATCGTTCGGGGCGGTCCATCTGGCCGTAGACCAGTTTGGCCATGAATATGTAGGTCTGGGCTGGGGAAGTCTGAAAGAGGGTTCGGGCCCTGCTAATCGTCTGCTGCCAGGCTGTGAAAGAGTTCTCCAAGTCCCGGCTGAGAAAACGGGCACAGTCGCATCTCTTGCGACGACCGCGAGGGCCCCGGCGGCCTAGCGCCGGCTTCAATTCCCCACTGCACAGAAATCCGTCTGAAGATGATGCCGCGCGAGCAGAGAACCCGCTGTATCTGATCAAGGAAGAAATCGCGATCATGAAGAAATTAGATCACCCCAACCTGGTGTCGTTAATTGAAGTGCTCGATGACCCGACAGAAGATTCACTGTACATGGTTATGGAAATGTGCAAAAAGGGAGTGATCATGAAAGTGGGCCTAGATGACAAGGCCGATCCATACGATGACGAGCATTGCCGATGTTGGTTTCGCGACTTAATTCTCGGCATTGAGTACCTGCACTCCCAGGGCATTGTTCATCGAGATATCAAACCTGACAATTGTCTACTGACGAACGACGACGTGCTCAAGGTGGTCGACTTTGGCGTGTCGGAGATGTTTGAAAAGGACTCGGACATGTTCACGGCCAAGTCGGCGGGCTCCCCAGCATTTCTCCCACCTGAACTTTGTGTCGCAAAACATGGCGATGTATCCGGGAAAGCGGCGGATATTTGGTCCATGGGAGTGACTCTGTACTGCATTCGATACGGCAGGCTGCCGTTTGAGAAGGAGAGCATCTTTGATCTGTATGAGTCGATCAGGAATGACCCGGTGGTTTACGAGAATGAGGCCGATGAGAGCTTCAAGGATATGATGGAGCAGATTCTGGAGAAAGATCCTTCGAAGCGCATCAAGATGCGGGATCTTCGGGTAAGTTCGACCACGTTTATTTCAGGGTACATTCTCATCAAAAGCGCAGGACCATCCTTGGGTCACGAAGAACGGAACCGATCTTCTGCTGCCGTGGGAGGAGAACACAGCACAGATTATCGAGCCTCCCACCGAAGAGGAAATGGATTCGGCCATCACGCGGAACATGGGTCGACTCATGACGGTGGTACGTCCGAGATTCGCCTTGAGTTGGGGCTATGCTGATTGTCATACAGATGAAAGCCGTCTCGAATTTCAGACACTTGGTGCACCCGACAAAATCAGAACCAGCCATGCAAAGTATCCTTGGTGGAGACTTTGATGCTCACTTCGTCGAGCCACCGATGGAGATGGATTCGGAGGAAGACTTCCCAGCCGTGGGTCAGCCTGAACCACATCACCTGAAGGCAGCAATCCGACACTCATTGCCACGGCATCCTATGCTGTCTGGCACGGGTGACCTGTCCAGCACAGATCAACCGCCTGGGTCTTCCGACTCGACCAGTGTTTCATCCCGACCAGAGCACAGTCCCGTAAGCAGCCAAAGACCCAGTGGTGTTTTTGAGCCCGAACGGAAAGACTCAGGGTCGATCCGCAGCGGTAGACCCTGGGAACAGATCCTGCGCGAAGCAAGACCCTCTTCCCAGTCGGCATCACCACGCCCACCATTATCACGAACCAGCTCGGCGACAACCACAACCAAGCGCAGTCTGGAGGGCACTCGAGGGCACGCCCGGGACCCCCTAGAGGAAGAATATCCGTATCTCTTCATCGGTCCATCCACATATACTGGCGCATCCTCCCAAGAACAATGCGAAACGGTTGAAGCGGATGCCTCTGCTCCAATCTTCGAAGAACCAGATAGCGCCATGGACAGTTCCCGACCAGTAGACATCCCCACAGGAGAACAGCCTGATGAAGGCCCGACTGTCAGCGAGTCACCAGGCGCGGCAGAGTTCGACATTTACGAAACAGCGTACCACACGGAACTCGAACGAATCAAGAACCGCAGCAACACCGTACCAACGGTATACCTAACACGACGAATCAAGAACCAGGAGGCGCTGATGAAGTTCGTCAAAGAGAAATCTCTGGATCTGAAGATCGGCCAGAAGATGGCGTACCCTTCCTCTCTGAGTACTCCCTCTGCGTTTACTACTGCGGCAAATGTGTTGAGGGATCAGGTTTCTCAGAAGAGGCAGTCTTCCGAGCCACAGCGACAGCCCCAGTTGCAGCCGCAGCATGACTCTCCAGAGGAAGATGGCCCAGCTCGTCGTGAACACCAACAACAGCATCACCCGCCCTCGGCGTCGCTTTCGTCACGCTCTATTCCCGATCCGGAGGCTTCTTCTTTCGAAGCGACGGGTACGTCTACCACTGAGGCTCAGCTGGGAGGTGAGAATTCCGCTGCGCAGCTGAGACGGCTTCTTGGACGGGCGAGGGATAAACCTAGTGATGAATGAGCGGTCAGCATGAGGTCCGCAAGCAAAAGGAAAGGATATGAGTACAAGCGAGATCTTCTCACTGCCGTTTGTTTGCGTTGCATGATTCTTGGATATCAGCGCCCTTCGCAGTATATATTTCACCTTCAGTTCAAGTCGATATCGATATCAGTCAATATAATATCAGCATATAATATCAGCTCTCAGCCTAGAGAGAGAAAAGAGAAGCACGGAATAATGATCCAAAATGGGCGATTGCCTTGATTTCCCGCCTACGCAACCTACTTGGGACGATCGTTTCCAAGCAAGATTCAAGACCGGCACTCCCCCCACCCAAGCAGAGCCCACTGCTATCTCGGATGATTCTTCCGGTCCACTCAGGCTATGTGCTGTCTGCGAGATGGTCTGTACGTACATGGTGCAGTGCATATCATACTTAGTATGGTTTAGTTCTGTGAACTGTCTATGTTGTGTAGCCATCGAACAGGACGATGCAGTGTGTATAGTCGATTACCAGTACAGTTCGTACATACGCCTGTTCAAGCTCAAATTCATGGGTGGGGATACTGTAGTTACTCAAGATGTAGGCGGTTGCATTTGACGCCACTTTAAGCATTGAGATAGATATTCAATTAGATCAATTGGATATTTATCCGTATCGCGCTCACCTAGTCCAGCGGGGGAAATGCCTCCCTGCTATCATATGCCAGCAAAGATGGCGCGGTCTGAAAACCTCCCAACCACCACCGAAAAGACCAAACAGATGAAATACTGTCTTTCAAGCAACAGCGACTAATCATGTAGTTTTAATCACCTCATTTAATATAGGATTGGTGTAGTCAGTTATCTTTGTTCCCATTTGGTGACGTAGATAGGGCAGCAACATTGGGACTGGTTGGTTGTCTCATTTCGTCGTCATGTTCACCTAGATACATACTTCCTATCTTTCCAGCTGAATTTACGGCCTAACTTGTTAACTTATTCCCGCCATTATGTTCTTCGAAGAGGTACTTCCTTCTACAACTCCAAGATACGAATATGAAGGTATCCAAGGATTTCTTCATATTTTGGAGCAGGAGCAGGAGCGATATGAGCGTGAGGGTTCGTTTAACCCTTATATAATCTTCGCTATTGATGAACACTCCTTCCTTGAGTGTTTCGTCGATTCCGAAGAAGATCTCCTCACGAAATCCTGGGAGACTTACGATCATTCTTCCCATAACATTCTTATCAAAATGGAGACAGCCAACCACGCCGTTGCAGCCGGTGCATTTGATTCTATTTTCTCAACCTGGGCCCGCAGAGTACGAGACAATCCTCTTGCGTGTACAGCCAGAACAGCAGTCCGGGGGCACACCAGGACTAAACGAGCAGATTCATCCTGGACACCAGTATTTTTGCCTGCTGGAAGATCCCCTAAGTGGCCAACATTGGTCCTCGAAGTTGCGTGGTCTGAACGACGACCTAAACTGGAACGGGATATCGATTTCTGGCTTCGCGAATCAAACGGAGACGTCAAAGTGGTTCTTTCGATCACGGTGCATCCTTGTGGGATAATTTCGATTGAGAAATGGGACCTCTCTCCTACGTCTAGCGGGAACGGCACAGCTCCTCGTCCTACACAGAAGATCGAGATTGTTCGAAAACCCACACCGAATTGTCCCAGAGTTAAAGGGCAGATCCAGCTGCAGTTTCAAGACATATTTCTTCGCGACAAGGAAGGGACGGATATCGATTTCATCATTTCCCATAGCGATATGGAGGAAATCGCGTCACAAGTATGGGGCTTTCAGTTTGAGCAAGAGGGATAGGAGGGCGAATGAGCAGGCCCTAGGCAGAGCACGCTGGTCTGGTCTGTGGTAAACTCTGAAGGTGTATCATTATCTGAAGCTTCGTATTGCTATTATTCGTCCTTGCCAATCATCGAGTATCACTACAAAGTCCGTTACTATTGTCCTCAACCCTCGACGCCTTAAAAGATGAACCATAATGGCATATGCTATAGCTATAAGTCTGAAATCAAAAGAAACCTGCTCTATAACAAGAATAATAGCGTCGACGATAACACTAATATCGCTTCAGTATGTCCCCAGATGATTAAGCACAAGATATGTAAACACCCAAAAACCACTTGGTTACCAAAGCAGACAATAAGCCCATCTCAAGCTTTAATGTTTTCGAGCACACTACCGTTGCTGTGCTTGATGTTGTACTTCTTGAGTGGACGATCTGATAGTAAGTATGATCGTGGATATAATGCCCACCTTCCGAGGCAAGTTGATTCCGTAAAAAAATAGTATTGTCAAGAACAAAGTGAAACAAAAAACATAGTACAAGACAATTGTAGCCTGTGCGAGTCAGGATTGCAAATCATGCACTGATGCAGATAGCAGCCCAAGGAATGCCCGACGGACATGAAAGAAATGGCGGTGGAAGAACAAAAACAATACAAACACAGTATAAACCACCATCATGTCATGTCATGCAAATTGGTTATGATTTCTTCGGACGCATCCCACGCCGAAGACAGAAGGTGGAAGAAAACACGCCTGGCAGAAGAAAGATAAGAAATGGTTGAGCATGAGCATTGTCGTAAGTGAAGACACAAAAACAGCATTTGCAGAAAAACATGGCAGGAGATTTGAGCAATAATTAATGCCCTCTCTTTGAAACTCATGAACACGTCGAGGGTGTACTTATGAATGCGCGAGGCACGAAAGAAAGAGGTCGTGGTAAAAGAGATAACGTCAAGCCTCGTCCTTCTTTGGGGTAAAAACAAAGAAGAAAGCAGAGTATGTCTCAACATCTCTGGAGACTCGAGATCTCTCAAATATGTGGCTGGAATATGCGATGGAAACAGGGAACAGGTCAAACAGGAACGCTGTCTATGGTTCTGGTTCATCATTGGCGGTCTGATCATTCATTCATGGCGTTTGATGGGAAATGGACATGGTGTGAAAACCATCAGTCATTAAAAAAAATATCATTGCGAGTGTTTCTCGGCTGGAGTCGTGCTCATTTGCCTTTCTTGGCCCGGTGGAGGAAGTGGTGTTGGTGGTGGATCACTTCGCGAGTCGCGTCGGGTGCCGCTGTCTGACGGGGAGAACCGGTCATGCGAGAATGAGCTATATGGCCGGTCACCCTGGCTGCTGTTGATGCGAGGGAATGGGTCTCTCGGGGCGAGTTGGAGGGTTCGCGGCGAGGGAAGCGTGTGGCCCATCTCGGTTGGCCGCGGTAACTCTCGCGAGCCCATGATGGGCAGGTCCCGGCGGTCATCCGATCCTGATGCTGGAGCTCCTCCTCCAGGGCGTGCAGTGGAAACACTAAACGGCCTCGGTTCTTGAGGCGCTGGTGGAGCAGTCGACATGGTCATCCTAGACGCACCCGCAGCGGGGCTCGTGGGCGATGGAGGAATCTTCAATCTGCCAGACCCCGATCTCCGCGGCGGAGGATATGTCTCCCCGCGAGCCTCCGCAGCAGCTTTACGCCGTTCCGTCTCTGCCTTGCTCGGACGGCCTCGTTTCCTGGGTGGTTCCCCCGTTGCAGATGCCGCGGTCTCCAATCGCGGAGATACTTGTGCAGCAGACGCGCCGCTCTCACTACTGTATGAGGCGGTGCTACTGATCGGCGGCCGGGGTTGAATTGCACGCGGCGCCAGAATGGGTTTGTCTGCTGGGAACAGCGGCCGTTTGCGCGCGGTGCCGGGGTCCATTGGGGCCGCTGGCGGACCGGGCATCTCAGGACGTGGTGGGTAAGGTGCTGCTGGGAGGGACGGCGGTTGAGGGGGCTGCTGGCACATGTTCCAAAAAGCCATTTGGGAGGCGTTGAGGGAGCGGCCTGCGGAGAGGGTGTTAGCGGGAGCACTCGGGACATGATGGAGGGCTCATACCTGGTGGCAGTGGGATGTCTCCCCAACTGGGAGTGATCTGAAAGTCCCTGATCATCCGGACCAGATGGCTCGAGGGAATGCCGGCTTTCTTGAGGATCTCGGTGAGCAGCGTGTACTTCTCCTCCTCGGACCAGGGCCTCTCGGGTGGATGATTCGACATGTCCAGCGACCATCCCCAAAAAACGAAACGAAAGACAAGAAGGAAAGAAAAGAAACAAAAACAAAAACCTCCCAAACGACAGCAGGGCAAGGCGAAGATTCACGTCAGGAACAGCAGCATGACTTAAAAAGAACGACGAACTCCTGAACAGAAACCAAAAACGGGACCAGGCATTCGACGGGCAAGCTGCAGGGACGAGAGATTACCATACCGGGCCAGGTTTCATCTGGGTTTTTTCCAGAAGCGATTCGAAGGCAAAGGGTGAAAAATACGGCTAGCCCCTGCATAAGGGGAATGAGCAAGTGGGGATTCTTAGTCGCAAAGAGCATGTAACTCCCGTTCGTGAGTACTGTAAATGATCGCCACGAATCCTAAGGTGGTTGGAGGTGAAACACCGCGCGTAGGGTGTGGCCAGCGCCAATCGATACCCGCTGCCAGGGACGTTGCTCAAACAGCGCAGGGAGCCGCCCTGGACTCGGCGATAGGCAGTCGATGGCGTTGGGGAGCGGTTCGTGGTTTCAGCGTGAACGGAGCTAGCACGACCTAACTAGCGCCCGGAGAGACAGGTAATGCAGTCATTGGAGAGTCCATCATAGTAGTGAAGTGAAGAAGAATATTCTGATTATTACGATTCTGCGGTTCACTGCTCTCATGGAAATCAGTGCATGAATGAAGGTGATCATGGTGAAGAACAATAGAAGACCCAGAGCCTCAATAGTCCCCCGGGCGGTGAGGGCGGTAAAAGGCCGACCGATCCAAAGATGCAATCCAGATCAGCTGTTGTTTCTCCCCTTGATTGCACACATACACACACACTCTCTCTCTCGTCTCCTAGTTTCTTCTTTCCCGCTCTTTCTTTCCCTTTATTCCTCTTTTGGTCATTCCCTCACACCTTCTCTTCCCATCGTCCTCTCCCTCCCCCTGCGCGGTCTCGCGCGATCGCGCAGTCCGCGTTATGTCGGCCGTTGACAACGCGGACTCCCAGGGCCCCAACTCCGGGGCCGCTGAGATGGCCTCGCCAAAGGGGAGATCTCCCTCTGTAGGCAATGGCTTGCCCGCCAAGTCCCGCAGTCACTCTCCGCTCAAGAAAGAAACATCCACCGAGGCGGACCCGAACAACATGGAGGTCCCGAAACTCGAAGAGAAAGTCGGCGGCGACATTATCCTCAAGCAGGAGCCCGGCCAACCCCCGAAGCTCACGCGCAGAGAATCCCAGCGAGTCGTCTCACGGCCCCCGCAGTTGTGGGCACATCTGCCTGACAGCACCAGCGACGCGCTGGCCACCTTTGAACAGATCGAGACATGCTGGTATGCGAACAAGTACATGGGCTATACGGAACATGCGATGGAATGTGATTGTGCGGAAGAGTGGGGTGAGTGAACCCCCTTTTGTCGTCTGGTGTCTCCCGCTCCTCGCGAGACATCGGAACCCCGCGAACATGGTGGCTAACCATCGCCAGAGCCGGAACTCGGCCAAAATCTAGCCTGCGGCGAGGACTCGGACTGCATCAACCGCGCCACCAAGATCGAGTGTGTGGGCGACTGCGGCTGTGGAGCCAACTGCAAAAACCAACGATTCCAGAAGAAACAATACGCCCAAGTGTCCGTCATCAAGACCGAGAAGAAGGGATTTGGGTTGCGTGCAGAGACAAATTTGGAGCCACACCAACTGATCTTCGAGTATGTCGGCGAGGTCGTGGGCGAGGCGCAATTCCGCCGGCGCATGAGGCACTATGATGAGGAGGGCATCAAGCATTTCTACTTCATGTCCCTGAACAAAGGCGAGTTTGTCGACGCTACGAAACGAGGCAATCTCGGCCGTTTCTGCAACCACTCGTGCAATCCCAACTGCTATGTCGACAAGTGGGTGGTTGGAGAGAAGCTGCGCATGGGCATTTTCGCCGAGCGCGCCGTGCAGCCTGGTGAGGAATTGGTGTTCAACTACAACGTCGACCGCTACGGCGCGGATCCTCAACCCTGCTACTGTGGCGAGCCGAACTGCACGGGATTTATTGGCGGTCGCACTCAGACGGAGCGCGCGACCAAGCTGTCGAATGCCACGATCGAGGCTTTGGGTATCGAGGATGCAGAGGCTTGGGACACGGTCGTTGCACGACGCCCGAAGAAAAAGAAGACGGAAGAAGACGACGAAGAATACGTGGACAGCGTGCAGGCCAAGTCTCTGGACGAGAATGGCGTGACCAAGGTGATGGCAGCTCTCATGCAGTGCCAGGAGAAGTGGATTGCGGTCAAACTGCTGGGCCGAATCCAGCGCTGCGAGGACGAGCGGGTCCGGAACCGAGTTGTCAAGATGCACGGCTACCAAATCTTGAACTCGCAGCTCAGCATGTGGAAGGAGGACCAGAATGTGGTTTTGCAGGTCCTGGACATTTTGGACAAGTTCCCCCGACTCACGCGAAACAAGATCATCGACTCGAAGATCGAGACGACCATCCAGCCACTGACAACCTGCGGCGACGAACGCGTGGAAAAAAGGGCCGTTGGGCTGTTGGCAAGCTGGGCGAATCTGGAGGTTGGATATCGCATTCCGCGCATGAAGCGAGGGGAGCAAATCAAACAAGCCGTCAACCAGTTCGAGCGCCGCGAGTCGGGGCGTGAAGAACGCCAACGGACTGCCACGCGGTCCCCATCACCCTCATACGAGACTTCCAATCGACCAAAACAGTCACGGAGGGAGCGAAACCAGCATCACAACCGGCCTCGGCAGAACCGCCGTCCACGTCCTTTGCCCGAGGGATGGTACACAGCTGAGGATGAGAAGGGCCGGACCTACTACTACTCGGCCACAGGCGATACAACCTGGAAAAGACCAACGGAGCCTCCGGCCCCGCCGCCCCAGAAGCTCAGGAACATGGCTCTGCAGAGCATCATTGACGGGATCATCAACTCGCAAGAAAAGACGCCATCGGAGAAGAAAACCGAGAGTCCGGCAACACCACAACCAGCCGCAGAAACCCCGGAGAAAAAGAAAAAGAAAGATCCGGATTGGTGGAAGAGTCTTTCTCTGGACAAGCAGAAGAAGCTCTACGAGAACACAGTATGCTGCCCCATTATGAGAGATATAATAACCAAACTAACAACGCCCAGCTTCACCCCTACATCAAGCACGTCGTCGACCAGTACAAGCATAAGATCCCCAAGGATCACCTGAAGCGGTTCGCGAAGGAGACAGCCAAGAAGTTGGTCGAGGGCGACTACAAGAAGAACCGGGTGACCGATCCAACACGGATCAGTGAGAAACACCAGCAAACCGTCAAGAACTACTGCAAGAGCTTCTTCGACAAGGCAGCCGCCAAACACAAGGAGCGCGAGAAGCGCAAGGCCCGGAAAGCGGGACAGACGGGCACCGACGGTCCTGCTGACGAAGACACGAAGATGATGTCCGACGATGAGGCCGACGCACCCGCTGCGGAGCCTTCGCCGATGGATGATGACGATGACGATACTGCCTCGGCGCCTCTAAAGCGCAAGCGACACGACGATGCTGCATCCCCGGAGAACGATGAGGAGGACGGTGATGGTGGTAGCTCCCCGTCGAAACGACAAAAATCCATTCCTCCCACGCCGCCCCCGCCTCCGCCACCTCCTCCCGAGGGCGATGGTGATGGTGATGGTGATGGTGATGTCGATGGAGACGGTGAAGACGACAGCAGTCCCGCGAACGCAGATGACCGGACCCCGTCTACAGGGACAGGGACGGGGACGGGGACAGGATGCGGCATCATGGAGCACGAGATGAAGCCCTCTTCGCAGATTGGCATTGAAGGGAGGGTATGACAGCCTGTCTTTGATAGGCATTGTTCCACCAGCATTTTCTTTTAGTTTGGGTCGTTTGGCTGGAATATCGAAACCAAAATGCTTTCTTCCTATGGCATTTCCATCCACGCAGCGAGCGAGCAAGCAAGCGAGACGAGACGAGACAAGACGAGACAAAAAGAGGCGCGGGCGATGATTACTTGATTCTTGAAAATTTCCCTTCTTCTTCTTCTTCCCTGTTCTTATTCACATCTCTTTTTTTGACATTTGATTTGATGCTTGCTCTCGAAATACCCCCGTCATAGTTGATCGCAATGCAGGAATTTGCTCGCTTGGAAGTTGTTCTTGTTCTGTTCTCTCTCTCTCTCTCTCTCTCTCTCTCTCTCTCTCTCTCTCGATCTCTCTCTGTAAATATACAGTGCCTAGTACGCGGTAACGGTGAGAACGAAGGTGTGTTGTAGTTATAGCTCGCTTCCATGTCCCGGAGAGGGAATGGAGGATTCGCATTAAGTACCGTACCATAACTATATCCAGAACCGATTCAAGTAAAGAAAAACATCTACACCCCGTGACTACAGTAACAACAGCCAGCAGACAGAGTAGAGTCATCATCAATCGTTCATTGCATCTATGTCTTCCTATCGAATTGAAAATCCAATCAACATAACATCACGACACCATGCACACAGAACATGACATAACGGCATAAACATGATCCCCCGAGCCTTATCAGGAAGAGAGCAAGCAAACAATAAACGAGTAACTAACCCCCGACATAAAACAAAACCCCCGGCGCTCTTCTCATCCACCGGCAGCGCATCTCGTAAAAAAGAAAGAAGAAAGGATCTAATAGAAACTCTCCACAATGCTCTCCTTATTAACACCCGCCCCAGCACCACCGGGCGCCATCTCGCCCAGCCGGAAAACACTCTCGATCACACTCAGCTCCGTGGCCGTGGTATCCAGACCCGTAATAGCCAGCCAGTCGTTGACGACCATGCCCGCGCCGACGACGGATGATCCGCGATTGACACTGCCGGCCACGAGGGGCACTTGCAGGAGCGAGGACAGCTCGTCCTGGTCGCGGATGGAGGTCTTGGGGTGCACGATGCCGCCTTGGTTCGAGAGGGCCATGTAGGAGCCGGTCAGGACGTTGTCGGCGACTGTTTGGCGGAAGACTTCGACGCCTAGCACGTCGGCGAGACTAATTTCTTATAGTTAGTATTGACTGGAACAACCAGGGACCAGGGGTGGTGGTGGGGGGTGTATTACATCTCCTCGGTCTCCCGCTCCAGATCGGGATGCACCAGCGCAACATGGTCATTACAGCAAATCACATTCCCCAGCGCCGACAGCCGCTCTTCTATCCGTTGGATCTTGACGCTGTCCGGGAGGGTGTTGCGCAGATGCTGCAGTTCCTGGTCGGTTGTGGTCGTTGGTACGAGGAGGCCATTTTTGTTTCTATTCTCCCCTCGGAGAGGGGCGTTGATCAGTATATTGGTATCCAACGTCGGAGTGTAGAAGGACTCACCCCACGGCTAACCGTCCCACGAGACGGGTCCCGGCGATAGTAGCGTGGCAGATGGGAATGACATCCTGGAGTTCGGCTTCAAAGACGCTGTAGAAGTTCTCCGAGGCGCCGACCGCGACGATGGCGTAGGAGTTTGTCAGGAGGGAGAAGACGCCGACTCTAATTGCGAGTTTTGGTGTTAGTGCGTTTTCATTTCCCCTCACATGGCCCGCCATATGGATTGTTGGGTTGCGGGTGAGAATGACGGTCACACTCACTCGTTGGAGTTCTCGAATTGAGCGCGCACAGCCATGCTGGGGGGATCTTCGGGGGTCGGGACTGGGTTGATGGTGGGTGTAGACGGAGGAAGCGGAGAAGAGGACGAGGCAGAAGCGAAGCGGGGATGATGCAGGTGGTGGTGGTGGTGTTGATTGAGGAGGGAAGCGAGAATGACGAGCGAACCGAACCTCCGGAATGGAGGAGAGAATTTCAGGTATGGATGGCCGAGAGCAGCAGCAGCAGAGGCAGAGGAATTAAATATGAAGACTGGATGAAGAAGCGACAGAAAAGAATCAAAAGCTCGGGCCAATCAGAGCGAGGCACGGCCACTGCCCCCGCGGGTGGAGCCGCTAGGCCGAAAGCGGCAGGGGAGTCATGCTGGTGGTGATTGACTCATGTAGATACCATTACTAAGGATGACTGGAATGACTAGTGAGGATCCTATAGTCGAACAGAAAGGCAGTTCCTATCACGAACGAATAAACACGAGACACCCACTCGGGGCCGAAGAACGCCGGAAAAACACAAGGCGGATCAATCAACGCCATCGCTCAAACATGAGATAGAGTACAACAGTGGTGGTGGTGGTGGTAGTAGTAGCAGTAGTAGTAGTAGTAGTAGCAGCAGTAGTGGTTGTAGTAGTAGTACAGGAGTAGTTAGTGGTGGTACATGCCATCTAATACCGACGCGATCCAGGAGGCGGCGGAGGTGGCGGGGGAGGATGTTGTTGATGTCCATGAGGCGGAGGGAAATACAGCGATGGTGGCTGCGGCGGTCCTGGGGGGGCGAGATAGTTGGGCAGTGGCAGCCGCTGGAAGTTGGAGCCCGGTGGCGGCGGAAGCTGTGGCGGACCACCATTGATAGTAAACGGATCAGGAAGACCCAGCTGGCCCCGTGCAGGCAGGAGACGGCGCGGCTGCTGGGTCGGGGTCGGACGGGGAAGAATAAACGATCGAGGATCGGTCGGCCCGTGGCCGCCTATCATCGGTGGAGGCGGTGGCACGGAAGACGGCTGGGGGAGCAGGGTTCGGTGGGGAGGCTGCGGGATCACGCTCGAATCGTGGATATGGGGGAGCTGCGTGTGGGCCGGCTCGGACAGGGCGGCATCGGCGAGGGCGGACAGCGCTGGGGGGAATGGGTCCGACGCTTGCTCGATGGAGGTCGCCGCCCAAAACAAACTCTCCAAGGCTTGCTGGGCCTTGGTGCCGGGAGAATCCCCCAACTCTTTCATTTGCGGGTTGAGATCTTGGCCCAGGCGGGCCCGCTGCAGGAAGTCCTCCCAGCCGTCCTTGCCGCGGAGGTAGGCGGCGGCCCCTTCAGGGTCTCGGATATACTGAGACACATACCCGCGCTCAATCTCTCGGGTGGCAGTTGGGGCAATGCGGAAGAGGTATCGTTTCTCCTCGGCTTCCATGTCGGAGTCGTTCGGCTGGAGGGTGTTAGTGATGGCGAACCAGGACGGAAACAAAAATGCTCACCTCGGTATGCTCGTCGTCCTCGGCGGCTCGGCGGCCCTCGACCAACATCATGTAGCTGCCTTGGGCGGCATGCAGCATCTCGTCTTTGATCTCTCCGAGTTGGGCCTGGACAGGTCATTAGCAAAGCGGTTTGGTCAGAATGGCACTAAAACATACTTGGTATCGGGTCTCTTTTTCGTTCTTGACGCCCTCGTAAACTCTTTGCAGCGACTCCACTCGGAACTTGTACTCATTCTCCAGTCTCTGGATGGCCTTGCGCTCGTATTCCGCAAGCTCCCGTTGTACTTGCAAAAACTCCGGGGTGTCCTCGTGGATACTGGGGTCTCTCGCCAACTTGTGCATGTGGTGTTCGGCCAGAAAGCTCAGCGCGACCTGTTGCGCCTGTCCCACCTTCTTAAACAGAGCAGCCAGTTCATGCTGCCGCTCTTTCAATGGCTGGGATAGCGGGATGGGCGATGGACTCCGATATCGAATGGCTGCACCATCCCAGATCTCGTCCTCAATCTTCCTGCCGCCGCCTCGGCGCATAAGGGTCGCGCTGCCTCGACCACGGCCGCGTCCTCGACCACCTCCACGCTTCACCACGACTGTCGATTGCACAAGGCCTGCAGCTCCTCCTCCGCGCCCTCCTCCCCGCCCGCGGCTTCCTCCGCGGCTTCCTCTACCACGGCCACGACCGCGCCCGCGCCCCCGACCTCGGCCTCCACGACCCCGTCGCGCACGAGCTGCACGAGCAGCGCCTGCGGAGATGTATGGTTGTTCCACAGGAGCAGGGGTCGCCTCTTCCGCAGGTGACGATTCAGTCTGGGTCTCGGTTTCACTTCCATTCTGTAGACGAATATCTGGGGTGTCTTGTTCAATTTTTGGCTTTTTGTTGGCAACATCCGAGTTGGCGACTGACTCGGCGCCGTAATCTTCGTCTTTCATTTCCGTCGACTTCCGCTTACGCGCGAGACGCGGAGAAAATACACCACGTGGAGGCATTTGTTCTGGTTCAGCGGACGCTTGACTGTCAGGAGCTGGCGTGTGGGAGGCTGTCTCCCGGGACACGGGTTGATCGACCATAGCCTCGTCATCAGCGGCTTGCGACGAACGACGAGAGTGATCCGCATCAAAGCTCCGGGGCGATTTGTGCATACGAGGATGCGCATCATCATCGTACATCTCCTCTTTGAATGAAGGTTCCGCGAATGATTCATCTAGGTCCATGTCCGCATCCGCGGACTTGGTAGGAGATGACTGTTCCTGGGACGATTCACCAGGGCCCTTGTTTCGGGCCGACTGTCTCGTAGTCCTCGAAGATTCAGGAATGGCCAAGACTCGCTTGGAGCGCTTGGGGCGCGGCGTCTCTGGGTTCTGAGAGCCGGCGGGAAGGCTTAGAAGTGCATTTGATGATGTATCATAATCCTGAACAGTAGGAATTGAGGCAGGGGAACTCTCCGGAAAAGCCCGAAGAGAAGGCATTTTGAACTTGATGATATGCGAGCGAACTTCAGACCTGCTCGAAGACGGTGTCTCAGGAGCAGAGGGATCTTCGAGACTCGTTCGAGTTGATCGAGGACCCCTTCTGCGAGGACCCAGGGGGCTGGGTTCTACGAGGGAAAATCAGTTTTTTCGGAACTGGAACGAGAATCAAATAAAAGAAAAGGACTTACCGGATGCGTTGCGCGAAGCTCTGGTGGCCATCGTGGGCGTGTGAGCAGGCTCGGGAGCCGCTCTATTTTTTCTTCTTCCCACCATCGCTACCGTCTGCGGAGCAAGGGATTAGTGTAAATTTGCGACCAAGTTACGATGACGCCGTGTGTGTGGTGTGGGTTTTGGGCGAATGAAGACAAAGTAAGGGAAAAAAAAAAGGCCGAAATAGGTGTTGCCCGGCAAGGCGAAAACAGGAGTAAATGAATAACGGTGGCCAAAAGAGAGAGCGTTGCGGATGATGGGGATGGGGATGGCAGTTGCAGGGGAGATGGTGGCAGGAAATACGAGAGAGGAACTTGGAGATGAGAGGAAACAAATGAAAAGGCAAAAAAAAAGTAAAAAGACAAAACGAACGAAGCAATGGACAAAGGGTAAATCACCGCGACGCCGATCTTCCGTGAATGTCACAGTCAATAATCGCGATTGCGAGGCGACAGTGAGCATCCGAGGATCATGGCAAATGGGTTGAGATGCAGAGATTGTAGACAGGGGGAGGGATGGATGGATGAAGGTATCGCGAGTAGTGAAGAAGTAACGCAGGCACGCGATAGATGAAAAGAGTGAACACGGGAGTAGAAAGAGGAATTGGGAGTCAAGGGACGTGCGCGGTAAGCCAAAACAAGTGGCCGAAACGACCGTCAGGAAGAGCGGGAGAGCGACAGCCAGACAATCACTTACCAAGGAGATAGCGAAGGGACGATGAGGGAATGTGACAGGAGTAGTCGTTGCGATGAGCAGTGGATGATGAAGTAGAGTAGAAGAAGAAGTCCGAGGAGGCCGTAGTTGGGAAAGGATCTACTCGGGGTGCAGGATTTGACTGGGTCCGGGTAGGGAAGTGGAGGCTGGACCAGGAGTAGTAGAGTAAGGAGAAGTGCAACAGAGAATACTGATGGGGATTCTGAAGGGAAAAGAAGAAAGAATTGAGAAAGAGAATGATGGGTGTGGTGGGAGAGGAAGAAGCAGAAGCAGAAGAAGAAGAGAGAAGATGCAAGGGCCGTTGCGGAAGAGAACGCCTGGTTGGTTCAGTTGGGGCGAGATCAGGACCACACCAGGACAACGACACTACCGGAGGTAGGAGAGAATCATATGGGGGAATGATAGAAGAGGTGGAAGAGAAGAGAACGGAAAGGTAATTATTCTTCAAGTTGGTGGCCGTGCTCTCCCCTGGATTGGCCCAATATAGTCGCCATCGCGTGTATTAATAGAGAGGTCGGTTTTCCCCCACACCAGTGTCTTAGATCCGTCGTCGGTCCTGGCCCGACTACTACTATCGAATTATTATTCCGTCTCAAGATTCTACTACTATTACTACACTCCCAGCGTCGTCGCAAAGGTCCCAAGTGGGTCGCTGGCGGTGACAGCGAAAGCGGACGGAGCCCAGTCCCGTTGCAGGATGATTACGACCACACATGGTACCACTACTATGTGAATGATCCCGGTCAGTCCGATCCGACAGGGGTAAACCATCTTCCATTGCCTCAACGCCCAGTCTCTGATTATTATTTACATACATATATCTGTACATGCCAACACAAATGAAAATTTGTACATAAAACGAGCGGATAACATCATCGTCAGTTCTCATCAGGGGATTCATTCAATTCGTCTCTCTTGTCGTAAAGTCCCGGCCCGGAATCCTTGCGCGCACGCATCGGGTAATCTGGCTCAGGCAATGGCGAGGGGGTTCGCATCGTCTGATCACGCAGGGAGCGAGCGGATCGCATCCGGGTCAAGGTCTGGACCGTAATCGTCTGTCCGGCAGACGGGGAGGCCCTGACCATCGTCCCGGGGGTGGGGGTTGGGGAGGGGGATGGGCTGCTGGAGCGGAATAGTGGGTGAATGTTGTCTTCTCGGTGAGTGATCGTCTCTGCGATGCTCAGGCTGCATGACGAGCCAGTGGGCGATTGAGAGCGTACTAGGCTGTCAAGCGACTGCTGGCCTAGTGGGCGGTGTTGTCGCAAGCTAGGCATACTGCGGATGCTATTGTGAGCTCGGACAAGAGGCCGTGGGTCGTAACGGCGCTCTGGCCGTGTTGGGTATGTTGGAGAGGGTTCAGGGGACGACGAGGCCGTGGAATCGGTGTCGAAGGAAGAATGTTTGGCTTCTTTGGTGTCTGGCGGACGGATCGTCTGGTCCGACTGAGAGCTTGAAGTAGACAAGCGACTTGAGGGCCGAGGAAATTTGCGCAGCGAAGACATTTTGGGCTCAAACCGGTAGTAATCAGATGCTGCTGCAGGCGGAGCTGAGATGGTACTCGATGTAGATGTTTGGAGGTATGGACGAGGCCATTGGAGGTCGGATTTGTTTTGTTGCGTGGAGGGCAACAGAAGATAGCCGCAATAGAGGCCTTGCGAGAAGATAGAGAACGTCCAGGAGACAAAGCGGGCGATAGACAAGGTTGACTTCTGGGGGGTTGTACTGCCTGATGCCATTGTTCCTGCACCGATCCCAGCAGCGAAGAGGAGATATGCCCCGGTGAGACAGAAGACTCCCATCTTCCAGCCTGCACATCGCTGGCCGGTTCGGGCATCTTTGTGGAACAGTAGGCTCATCACGACCAGGGCGACACAGCTCACGGCACTCAAGCCAACCGGAGCCAGACCCGTGGTAGTCGAATGTGAGGGCATAGACTGCAATGTCGCATAGAACATGCCATTGAGGATGGTGACGATGAACGTCGAGACCATTGAGGTCCCTGCTAGTAGATAGACCAGCATTGCTGCGAGCATGGTGGGTGTTGATAGAGAGCAGATGTAAAAAGTCAAGAGTACAGATACGGTATACTTCAAGGCATTCACGAGCGCCGACTATGCGTCCTGTAGCCAGAAGACTTAGAGAAGTCTGTGATCATTCCTTGCAGCTCCCAGCTCTGGGGGAATGTGGGCATGTATTTATGGGCCGCACGGGCATGGTTCGCGTGGGCAGCAGATGGATACATTACGGGACGGAGCGGTGCATCCCAGTAGCGTGGTAGAAAAGCAAATCAGACGGGGAAGCCGGAAGCATGTCTTCTGCAGAGAGGTCGATCTGATCCATCTACCCGGCATGGTGGTTTAGGTGTACTTGAATGGCTTCAGGCACGGGAGAAGAGGGCCTGCAGGAGGAGCGTGAGTCTATGGATCGTGAAATGGCAAAAAGTGATATATCGCAATTGGGTCGTATAGCGAACAACACAAACAATTTGGCCGCCACACTCGACCAGGATTTTATCCCGGAAAGCCAGCAGAGTGAAATTCTCATAGCTCGGTCAATCCGGCCGCTAATCAGGACTATGGATTTGATCAATCCGAAGCGTAGATCTCGGGAACTGGAAGTGGCGGATCCGCGTCTCAATAGTGCGGGCCGGGTGGATGTGACATATCGATCTGGCATGCGAACCACTCCAGTGGTTCCTGCACTTTTGTGAGATGATGTCCGATATGCTTTGCAAAGAATCATTAGCGGATCGAAACTGTAACCGGGGTCCTGGAGGCGAGTCCGTGTGCCTGAGACCCTGTCCATCGCAGCCTGTCGTAGTCTAGCGTGATCTATCATGGCCCTATCAGTCCATCCTGCAGACGAGAGCTGAGGAAATCAATCACTGTTATTGGAGGATCTGGTTAATTTGATAGAATCTGCGCTGCACCCAATGATTCCTTAACTGATTGCTCCGAATATTCTGGTCAAGTTGTTTTGTTTGCCTCGGCGCTGTTGCCATTGGAGGGACCGGAGAGGAGGGCCTTGGCTTCGGGTGGTTAATGTGGCCATCTGGTATGATCAGCTCCGCGTGTCCATCTCACTCTGCAATAATGGTTCAGATCATGGACACTTCATGAGCACCCAAGAACCAACCAGTATCCCCGCTGGTATACTACAAGGCGGTGAGGCAACTGCCACCGCCTAGCCCAGCCCGCGTTTGCTGCGGCGTCACCTTCGCCTGCGCCCCTCTCTCTTCCTCGTCTGTTTCTGCCTTCGACATCAACCGGGTCCATCATTTCTTTCTCCCTTCTTTCCTTTCCATCTCTCTGACCCTTGTCCTTTTCTTCATCCCCTCCCGTTCTAGCTGTTCTCGCTTCAAGTGGCGGCAAAATGAAGCTCACTTTCAAGGTAAGTGTGACCCCGCCACATTTGTTGTCTCCGCCGACGGCTGACTGGTCTTGTTATCAATAGGATCTGAAGCAGGAGAAGTTTGTGGTCGACGTTGAACCCTCCGAGACGGTATGTTTTCTGTCGTGGAGGCGACTCGCCGACGTCACTCCAGTGCGGGGCTCACCAGTTTTCATGACAGGTTCGCGAGGTCAAGCAGAAGATCGCCCAGGAGAAAGGGGAATATGAGGCCGACCGGATGAAGGTTATCTACTCTGGTATGTTCTCCTCGCGGCGAGATGGCCTCGTGGGTTGGATTTTGCATCTGACGCAACCTTCTCTGCTGCAGGCAAGATTCTCCAAGATGATAAGACGGTCGAGTTCTACAACATCCAAGAGAAGGACTTCTTGGTTTGCCTGCCCTCCAAGGTAGGTCTGCCCTTCAGTGTGGATTATACTAGATACTAACGGCTTTGCCACCAGCAACCCAAGGCTGGCGGCTCGTCTACTGCCTCCCCGGCACCCTCCACCCCTGCACCCAAAGTCCCTGCGTCGACACCGGCAGCCCCTCCAGCTCCTGCGCCCGCCGCCTCCACTGCTCCCGCTGCACCTGCTACTCCATCCCCCGCCACTACCGGCGCGGCGCAGCCGGCCAGCCAGGAGCCTGCCTTTGGTGATCCGTCTGCGTTGACGATGGGTTCTGCAGCGGAGGGGGCAGTGGCCCAGATGGAGGCTATGGGATTTGCCCGGAGCGATATCGACCGTGCCATGCGTGCTGCATTTTTCAACCCTGACCGTGCCATCGAATATCTTCTGACCGTGAGTCTTTGTGCTTTGAAAAAAAAAAATTCAACAAAAGTGGCCCCCGCTAATGCCAAACCTAGGGTATTCCCGAGAACGTCCAGCAGGAGCAACAGCAGCAGCAGCAGCAGCAACAGCAGCCGCAGCAAGAGCGCGCTGCTCCGTCTGCCCCTGCCCCCACGGTCCCCACATCCGGTGGTGAGGAGCCCGTCAATCTGTTCGAGGCGGCTGCTCAGGCCGGCGAAGGTGGTGGCCGTGGTGGAGCTCGGGCTCCTGGAGGCGGTGCTGGTGGTGGTGCTGCTGCTGCAGGTGGCGAAGCCCTGCCCAATCTGGACTTCCTGCGCAATAACCCCCATTTCCAGCAGCTGCGACAGCTCGTCCAGCAGCAGCCGCACATGCTGGAGCCGATCCTGCAGCAAGTGGCCGCCGGCAACCCGCAGATTGCCCAGATCATCGGACAGAACTCGGAGCAGTTTCTGCAGCTGCTGAGTGAGGAGCTGGAGGATGAGGAGGGTTCTCTGCCGCCGGGCGCGCAGGCTATCTCGGTCACGGAGGAGGAGCGCGATGCCATCGAACGAGTACGTTTTCTTTTTTTCAGTTTGCCTCCATCTCAATTAACATACTCTAGCTGTGCCGTCTGGGCTTCCCGCGTGACTCGGTCATCCAGGCCTACTTCGCCTGCGACAAGAACGAAGAGCTAGCGGCCAACTTCCTCTTCGACCAGCCGGACGAGGACGAGGACTAAACACCAAGTAAAACGCCGAACCCTGCATCTTTCCCATCTTCTCGCCTCTTATGTCTTGATGAATACCTCTCTCATACTGTCCTGTCCTGTCCGTCCATCTGTCTGAAGTTGATCATGGCAGAGTTTTCCCACTTACTCACTCGCCTCGCCTCTCCTCTCCTCTAGCTGTCCTCTCCTGGATGCAGCGCAGCACCTAGCCTGGCGTTTGAATTGCTGAGCGTGTGGACTTGACCGACTTGGCTTTTCTTTGCATCACTGGGCTTTCCCCTGTTACGCGCTTTTTCTTTCTCCGGATACGACTGTGATCATGTATTTAATGGGCAAAATGGGACTCTCTCGCTTGATTTCTGTCTTGTCGGTTTCAATTTGTAGATGGCTAGCTCGTTCTACTGTGTGCGCTTTTCCAAGCCTTATTTTATGTAGATGCATATCTACCTATTTTTCTCATCATCCGAGCTAGATCTGACTACTTAGTTATGTACCTAAGGTATGATTTGATCCGGTGGAGTGATCATGAGAATAAGAAAAATGTACGGGTCTGCTGACTGAGATAACGATGTACCCGGGAGTAACTTATTGTCGATATATATATTGGTCCAGTGACGATGTACAGTTTTGTACCTTGGCAGATGATCACAAGGGATCGCCACCATTCTTCGCGAGTCATTTGCACCTAACTGCAGACTATCGAATCCGAATTTCTCGGAACGAGTCACTGTCATGCTATTCACTCGCCCATCCTGATGAGCGCTGGTGAGGTACCTGGTATCTATCTAACTGACCATCCAATATCGAACATACCAAAAAAAAAAAAAAAAAAAAAAAAAAAAAAAAAAACATACACAAGGAGCACGGCTCAATAAAAAAGAGAAGGGATATTTCCTGAATCTGTCCCAACCCAGAAAAGAGACAGAAAAAAGCGTTTTAGGATGAGAAAAAAAAAAAGAGTAAATAACTTAATAGGTGAGGTATAGAAAGAGATGCCGGAAAGATTTAACGAGAACACACCCTCCGCACAGCCCAAACGCGCAAACCACGACGCCCGATGACTCTCTGCAACGTAGCGACGATGCCATCATCGCCAAAGTCGAGGTCATCCAGGTTCAAGTGTTTGCGGTATAGCCAGAGCGGAAGGAGCTCCAGGTTCGGGGAGCGGGGAGCAGGGGAGATAGCATATGGATCGAGGAACGTCGCCGAGGCAGGAGCGACCAGGAAGACAGAGGTAGGTTTTGAGCAGGCGGGAACGGCGTTGTCGAGACGGGTGATCATCTCCAGACCGGGGATACCCATCAGGTCATGGGTTGTGATATCGGCGGAGGCGTTGGAGGGCTTGTTACCTAGAAGCCACAGCGGCGGGGAGTAGGTCTTCCACCAGAAGACATCGACGCCGGAATGCGGGGAGGCAATGGTGTTCTCGACGATGGAGCGCATGGCCAGTTGCGTGGGCACGATCCCGCCCTGGTGGTAGACGCCCATGAGGAACCCCATGGCGGCGTTGAAGACCACCCACACGGCGAGCAGGAGCCGCGACCTGCGCAGGCGGATGCAGCTAAGGAGGAGCGGGACGCAGGGGAGAAGGAAGCGTGGTTCCTGGTGCGGGAAGAGGGATAGCAAGACCGTGGCGGAGACGGCGGACAAGGCGCGCACATTGCGCATCCAGGATGGCACGAGCGGCCAGCTGAATAGCGAGGTGACCATCACGATGTAGGCTGGGCCGAGCAGTTGGAAGAGGTTGGCGAGGAAGTGTTGGTGGCGTGGGTGGAGGCCATGAACGGCGAGATTGGATGGATCGGTGTTGTATAGGAGATTATTGAGCGGGGTGATGACGGGCGAGCGGATTATGTCAAGAAAGGAGGCTGTCGGACGGTAGAATGAGGTGTCGGTGAATATAGCTATCGACGTGAAGAGAAGTCCAAACGCGAGGAAGACTGCTAGGGAGGAGGGTCTATAGGTAAACAAGGTGAATTAGCCAGGCACCAAAAAACCATCGAACCAAAACTCACTTGCGCCGAAAATGCGGGAGCAATTGCAAGCCCGGAAACAGCAGAAAAGCCGGGAAGGTGATGCGGTTGAACACGCCCACGACGGCGATGAACGAGAGCACGGCGTAGGAAAAAAAGGACGAGTATTGCTATCAAATAAAGTCAAGGATTAGCTCCCAGCCAATCCCCTTACACACACGCGCACAGGAACACTCACCTTATTCTCAACAATGCGGCGAATCAGCACTAGTCCCCAAGCGACCAACAGCGTCTCGAGGGAGTTGGAGAAGGTGTGCGTCTGATACGTCCAGGTGACATAGGACGAGGCCACCAGGACGACGGTCGCGCGGCGATGGCGGGGCGAGGGCACCAACTCATAGACCGCCCAGTCTTCCAGCACAAAGCTTAGCAGGAACATGCCCGCGCGCAGCGCGTAGTATACCAGTCGCGCCGGTGGGTTGCCGGTGCCGATCTCGGTGTAGAACCACTGCAACAGGCTCATGGGCAGCTCGTAGATTGGCCATAGTGGGAAAATGCTGCGGATGGGGTGGTCGGAGGTAAATTCCCAGGTGAGAGAGGAGGGATACGAGAAGATGCGGCCTGTTTGGGGTGGATGTGAGCGGATGGACTGAAAGGGGGTGTGGTCTGGATGTCTGGGGCGCCTTGTTGGGGTGCTTTTTTCTTTTCGGGGGGAGGGGGAATTTTGCGCATTGCTCGTAAACATGGAAGACGAGATGGAGACGCGTCGCCATGCTGGGACAAGCAGAGAAAACGTACCTGCGAAGACCTCGGGGCCCTGGAAATGCTCATCGGGATGCAAGTAGCTGGGCGAGAGCGCGAAGTAAACACGGATCAAGAGCAGCAGCAGGTACGTTCGTCTCCACATGATTCTGAGAGAGCGACCAGGACATGCTGGAGAATTAATAATTAAAGAAGAGAGGGCATGAGCATATGTGAGTGGGAAGAGGGAAGAGAGCAAATGGAGCCTTAGGGGGAAAAAGAAAGCAAGACGCGCATTATTATTATGACGATGATATCATGCTCCGCTGAACACTGTACCGCCTATACTACCAACCACCCCCTGCATAAGGATAATTATTATGTCTGTCTCTATGCTTTAGTATTTGTATTGCGTACCGAACTAGTTGTCTATCCTATTGTTTTGGTAGATGGTGTTTTTCTATTATCGAGTTGGTTGTCGAAACCTAGTTGTGTACCTCTCAGAATATATTTATGAACGGTGTTACTTCTTCCCGAACTTCCATGGAAGCTATCGAAGAATAGTATTTCAGACTAGTTATCATTTTGCCTAATCATAATGATCCAGTCATAGTTACCTCCTTTGACTAGGCAGCATCACACCGTGGGAACTACTGACCGTTTGCGCAGAGCCTCGTCACTGACTAACAGCCTCCGCCTCTTCGTTCTGGGGGCCACCTGCTACTAACGACCGACACCTCCCTTCGACTCACCCTTCTCCTTCTCCATCCATATCGATCCCCCCCAGACTTGTCCGTCAACTATTTCAGATACTCTCTCCCCCTTTCTGCCATAACCTCACCGTCAGTCCCACCACACTTCGCCCCTCCGGCTGTCCCCTCCACAGACGCTGACCTGACCCAGTCACCTCCACATAACAGCAACATGACCTCCATCATTCTCACCAGCTCCGATGGCGTAGACCTCACGGTCGGTAAGTTGCTGATTGGACTTTACCCTCCTTGAAGGTGCCTGCACTAACCCAGACCCCCACCAGAGCGCGCCGTGGCCGAACGCTCCGTCCTGATCAAGAACATGCTCGAAGATCTCGGCGACTCCGGCGAGGCGATTCCCATCCCCAATGTCAGTTCTTTTTCTCTCTGTGTCTCCGATCAGCAGCCGCTGACGTCGTGAATAGGTCAACGAGGCCGTCCTGAAGAAGGTCATCGAGTGGTGCGACCACCACAAGAACGACCCCCCGACCGTGGGCGACGAGGACGACAACCGCCGCAAGACGACCGATATCGATGAGTGGGACCAGAAGTTCATGCAGGTCGACCAGGAGATGCTGTTTGAGATCATCTTGGTATTGTTCCCTACCTTCCTACCACCCCTCCGGTTTTGTTCGCCGTGCTAACATACTACCCCGCCCACCAGGCTGCCAACTACCTTGATATCAAGGCTCTCCTTGATGTCGGCTGCAAGACCGTCGCTAACATGATCAAGGGCAAGTCGCCCGAGGAGATCCGCAAGACCTTCAACATCCAGAACGACTTTACGCCCGAGGAGGAGGACCAGATCCGGCGCGAGAACGAGTGGGCGGAGGAGTATGTCTTTCTTTCTTGCCCTGTCATTCTTGAAGATGCCGCTGCTAACTAACTTATTCTTGCTAGTCGCTAAATCTCTCTTCTTCACCCCTCTCCTTCGCTCCACACATTTACGATTTGTGATTCCCTTGCCTGCAGTTCGAAGAAATGTTCTGATCATGTTGTGACTCGCGGGTGAAAGAGCCCGATGGCGTTAGGGTCAGCCGCTTTTTTCTCTCTCTTTTCTCGCTCTTTGTGTTTTTCATCTACCGATCGACGCTTGACTTACTGGGGAACCATTGCTCGGTATTTTCAAGGCGGATCACAGTGACAGATCACAGTGATAGTTGCTCTCTGCCCTCATGGATAAAAAAAGAAGTCCATCTGTCCCCGGCAACGAGTTCTGTCTAGCTGCATGAAGGGACGATGAAGTCATTGCTCAACCATAGTCCGTGGTGTGTCGTAGTGCAGTGTATGTAGTCGTAGAGCATAGTAGGCAACTATCTCCGTCATCCGACAGAGCTTACGAAACGAAGAAAGTAAAAAAGAAGAGAAGGAATGCAAGACAAAAGGACATTCAATTCGATTCCATCAGATTTTTTGACTTTAGGCAGAACATCATTCCTCGCCGCTCCAACACCACCATTCCACCAGCGAAGACAACATAATGCTTAACTGCATCAAGCCCAAAGATGTAGTATCAGTCGTCCATGAAGAACGAGGCAGTTGACAATAGACATCGCATCACAAGAATTTTCCCGACCGAACTTGACGTAGTTTCATCGACTAGAGCAACCAAGCCACGGAAAAAAAAAGCAGCATCACATCACATCACATCACATCGCATCGCATCACGACTTCGAGAGAATCGAATCGAAGCACATCGCAGAAACAGAGGTATCGAAACGAGCCGAGGACCGGAGGAGCGGGAATAATTCGAGTAAGAAGTTTCGAATTTAGATGTTCAGGCGGGTCTTGCGCCAGTGTCGCCGCTTAGCGTTGTATCTGTGAGAAGAAGAGGTTGTTAGTTTGGCTGTGTCTGGATGATCCGGCAATTTTTGTTCCTCGTTGGGTTCCATCTTCATTTTCATCTGCATTCCCCAACTCCTGTCTCCCTCCCCAACCAGCTAATCTGTTGTAGCCCGATCGATCCGTTCATATCCACCGCGAGGAACAGGGGTATTTTGCAGCAGGAGGATTTACCTGATGGTGTTGCCGGTGCGCAGGCGAATCCACTGGGGGATGGGCCGGTTCTGGCGCTGGGCTTTGGCAATCTTTTGCTTGGTGCGGAAGGACTTGTGGCTCTAGACGGGGTGAATTAGTATCTCGCAGGGCGTTCGATATGGTGACCAGCACGTACCGGCATCTTGAAGTATGTCGCGATGGCGAGCTGGTGGATGGGGAAGAAGTTGTCGGGAGTTCGGGTGGTTTGTGTGCGGCTGGGGCTTGGCTTCGCTTGAGCGGTCATGTGATGAGAAAATGGGTGCCTGAGGCAGGATAATTTATTCAGGCATCACTTTTATGATCCAGGCATCCGCCAGTACTAGGTATTCCCTGCCATGAGGCTCTCCCTCCCTTCATGACCCCTACGATACCGACCGGAGTCAAATATCGGTCCGCACGCTGCGAAAAAGAAACCCTCTCCCTGTCGTGCTTTTACATTACCCAAATCCGGCATAGCTCACGTCGTGTCCGTGATTAATTAATAATTAGTGCAGCCTGGCTCGGCTGCTGGCCAAACCCGGCGCTAAGCTCCCAGAGGCAAAAGGGCTGTTGAAAACTTCCATCTGGTCGCCTAACCGAAGAGTCATCGTGAATTAGGTACTAGTGGGATTACGTGTCCCGGGTGTTTCACCACGGCCGTGCTTTCATGCCGAACATGTCGCACATCCCAAGGAAGGGCGGTCCCTGGCATGCCCTTGCGCCGGAATGTGGTGTACCTACAGGTCCCTCCTCGAGGAGATATACCTACCGTAGCTACCTACGCGTCGGACTAGAGTACTAGTATCTAGAAACTACAATCCCAGGAATATAGATCGATCGGGAAGGGTTCGACCTAGTTCCACGGTCTGTGCATGCATAGTGTCCCGGAAGCTAGGCCCTCCGAATGATTGATCTCGGGTACATTTGTTCTCCGAGATTCCTGCCTGCTTATCATTAATTTGGCTGGCTGATAATCCCTGGACTCCCTTGGATCCTGTTTGTCCTGTTTCCTTCTTTTCTTTCAACTCAACTCACCTGTCGCCAAAACTAGATGGAGTAGCTCCACCCGGTGAAGAAGTGACCCGCATCCTCTTGTCGCGTCGTCGCTTATTCAACAACAAAAATGCAGCAGCCGGAGGAAGGTACTGCCTCCGTCGAGAAGGTGGTGGAGACTGTGACTGCACCAGAGTCGGAGGAGAAACCGCGCGACCAGACCCCCGACTCCGATTCGACCCTCTCGGCCAACGGCAAGGAAAAAGAACAAACCTCCAAGGCCGCCCTGACGATCGACGACGATGCGGCCTTTGCCCACCTCCCCGAACACGAAAAGGCCATCCTGAAGAAACAGCTGGATGCGCCCGTCGTGAAGATCTCATGGTTCGGCCTCTATCGCTATGCCTCACACATGGACATCCTCATCCTCGTGGTGAGCGCCATTTGCGCCATTGCGGCCGGCGCGGCCTTGCCCCTCTTCACCATTCTCTTCGGATCCCTGGCGACCAGTTTCAAGGCCATCGCGCTCAACCATACCTCCTACGAGGCCTTCTACCACGAGCTCACGAAGAATGTCTTGTACTTTGTGTATTTGGGCATTGCAGAGTTCGTCACCGTCTATATCAGCACCGTCGGCTTCATCTATACCGGCGAGCATGTCACCCAGAAGATCCGCGAGCACTACCTCGAAGCGATTCTGCGCCAGAACATTGCCTACTTTGACAAGCTGGGCGCCGGCGAGGTTACCACCCGCATCACCGCCGACACCAACCTGATCCAGGACGGCGTGTCCGAAAAGGTCGGCCTGACCCTGACCGCCGTGGCCACGTTCGTGACGGCCTTTGTGGTCGCCTACGTCAAATATGCCCCTCTGGCGGGCATCTGTACCTCGACTATTGTGGCGCTGGTGCTCATCATGGGCGGTGGTTCCCGCTTCATCATCAAGTTCAGCAAGCTCTCGCTGGAGAGCACCGGTGCCGGTGGAACGGTTGCCGAGGAGGTGATCAGTTCCATTCGGAACGCGACCGCATTTGGCACCCAGGATAAGCTCGCCAAGCAGTATGAAGCGCATCTGCAGGTCGCCGAACGGTGGGGCATGCGTCTGCAGATGGCTCTGGGCGTGATGGTGGGCGCCATGTTTGGTATCATGTTCCTCAACTACGGTTTGGGTTTCTGGATGGGCTCGCGGTTCTTGGTCGACCAGAAGGTCGACGTGGGCCAGGTCCTGACGATTCTCATGGCTATCCTCATTGGCTCCTTTAGTTTGGGAAATGTCAGTCCGAACGGACAGGCCTTTACGAGTGCGGTGGCTGCTGCGGCGAAGATCTTCAGCACGATTGACCGCGCGTCGCCGGTGGACCCGACTACGGACGAGGGCATGACTCTCGAGCATGTCGAGGGTGATATTGAGTTCCGCAACGTCAAGCACATCTATCCCTCTCGTCCGGAGGTGACTGTCATGCAGGATGTCTCGCTGTCGATCCCCGCTGGAAAGACCACGGCGCTGGTCGGACCCTCTGGTTCAGGAAAGAGCACGATAGTCGGCCTGGTCGAGCGTTTTTACCTGCCTGTTGGTGGCACGGTGTTGCTGGATGGCCATGATATTCAGGAACTGAACTTGCGTTGGCTGCGCCAGCAGGTTTCGCTTGTCAGCCAGGAGCCGGTGCTTTTCGGAACTACCATCTATCAAAACATTCGCCACGGTCTTATCGGAACTCGATTTGAGGAAGAGTCGGAGGAGAAAGTCCGAGAGCGCATCGAGGATGCGGCCAAGATGGCTAATGCCCACGAGTTCATCATGGGTCTTCCCGAAGGATATGAGACCAACGTCGGTCAGCGGGGTTTCTTGCTGTCTGGTGGCCAGAAGCAGCGTATTGCCATTGCTCGCGCGGTTGTGAGCGACCCCAAGATCTTGCTGCTGGACGAAGCCACATCAGCCCTGGATACGAAGTCAGAGGGTGTTGTCCAGGCGGCACTCGACAAGGCCGCCGAGGGTCGCACTACGATCGTAATTGCGCACCGCCTGTCCACCATCAAATCCGCGCACAACATTGTGGTCTTTGTCAACGGACAGATTGTCGAGCAGGGTACTCACGACGACTTGGTCGAGAAAGCTGGTCCCTACCACAAGCTGGTGGAGGCGCAACGCATCAACGAGGAGAAGGAGGCTGATGCGTTAGCTGAGGAGTCTTCGGACGAGGACGACGAGACCGCCATCACCAAGAGGCAGATGTCGCGCGTCAAGTCTGTCGCCAGTGGCGCGAGTGTGTTGAAAGATGAAGAGACTCTTCTCCCCGAGGAGGATTTCAGACGCACCGAGACTCGCAAGTCGGTTTCGAGTGTTATTCTCTCGAAGAGGGGCTCAGAGGCTCGCCACAATTACTCCTTGTGGACTCTGATCAAGTTTATCGCCTCTTTTAACAAGGAAGAGTGGAAGTATATGGTTGTCGGTCTCTTTTTCTCCATCCTGGCCGGCGGTGGCCAGCCCGCTCAGGCTTTCTTGTACGCCCACGCGATCAGCGCACTGTCTCTGCCCTTGACTATGTCCGCGAAGCTGCGGTCCCAAGCCGACTTTTGGTCGTTGATGTTCCTGGTTGTTGGCATTGTCCAGTTCTTTACCTTCTCGATCCACGGCATTGCCTTTGCCTTTAGCTCTGAGCGACTTATCCGCAAAGCGCGCAGCCAGGCATTCCGGACCATGCTTCGTCAGGATATCAACTTCTTCGATAAAGAGGAAAACAGCACTGGTGCCTTGACGTCTTTCCTTTCGACAGAGACGAAGCATCTATCTGGTATCAGCGGACAGACGCTCGGTACAATCCTGATGACCTCCACAACCCTCATCGCAGCGATGGTCATCTCCCTCTCCTTTGGGTGGAAACTGGCTCTGGTTTGCATTTCGGTCGTTCCCGTCCTTCTTGCCTGTGGCTTCTACCGGTTTTACATGCTCGCTGCGTTTCAGCGGCGCTCCAAGGCGGCCTATGAAGGGTCTGCCAGCTATGCCTGCGAAGCCACCTCGGCCATCCGCACTGTGGCTTCTCTCACGCGCGAGGCAGATGTTTGGGCGGTGTATCACGGCCAGCTTGAGGACCAGGCTCACTCGAGTCTTATGTCGGTCATCAAGTCGTCGACGCTGTATTCCATGTCCCAAGCGCTGGTGTTCTTCTGCGTTGCTCTGGGATTCTGGTATGGCGGTACATTGCTCGGAAAACACGAATACTCCACCTTCCAGTTCTTCGTCTGCTTCAGTGAAATTCTGTTTGGTGCGCAGTCCGCGGGGACAGTGTTCTCGTTCTCTCCGGACATGGGCAAGGCCAAGAACGCCGCCGCCGAGTTTAGGAAGTTATTCGACCGCCGCCCTGCCATCGACACCTGGTCCGACGAGGGCGAGCAGCTCGACACCGTCAACGGTGTCATCGAGTTCCGCGACGTGCACTTCCGCTACCCGACTCGGCCCGAACAACCCGTCCTGCGCGGTCTGAACCTGAGCGTCCAGCCCGGCCAATACATCGCCCTAGTCGGACCCAGCGGATGCGGCAAGAGCACAACCATTGCCCTCCTGGAGCGATTCTACGACGCCCTCTCCGGCGGCGTCTACGTCGACGGCAAGAACATCGCCGACCTCAACGTCAACTCGTACCGCAGCCACCTGTCTCTCGTCAGCCAGGAGCCAACCCTGTACCAGGGTACCATCAAGGAGAACATCCTGCTGGGCACAGACGCCGAGGATGTTCCCGAAGAAGCCCTCGTCCAGTCCTGCAAAGACGCCAACATCTACGACTTCATCATGTCTCTCCCCGACGGCTTCAACACGGTGGTTGGCAGCAAAGGCGGCATGCTTTCCGGCGGCCAGAAGCAACGCGTCGCTATCGCGCGTGCCCTCCTACGCAACCCCAAGATTCTTCTTCTGGATGAAGCTACCTCGGCTCTGGACTCGGAGTCTGAGAAGGTCGTCCAGGCTGCCTTGGATGCTGCAGCCCGTGGCCGTACCACTATTGCCGTCGCGCACAGACTCAGCACCATCCAAAAGGCTGATATTATCTATGTTTTTGACCAGGGCAAGATCGTGGAGAGCGGCACCCACCACGAGCTGCTGAAGAATAAAGGCCGGTACTACGAGCTGGTCAATCTCCAGAGTCTGGGGAAGACGCATTAATTTTTGGTTGTATTTGTTGTGTTACCAGCGGTTTCTTCCTCCCTTTCCTTTTTGTTTCTTTTTTTGGATCTAATCATCTTATACCCCTTCTCCCCCCTCTTCTCCTCTCTTTGGTTTCATACCACCAAAGAGCATCCACCCATCTCATCTCGTATATCTACGGCTTCTATTTTGACCTCACCTTACCCTCTCCATTCGATGTATGCATTAATTATATCTGTCCGCTCCTGTCCTCTTTTTCTTGCTTCTTTCCTCTCTTCCCATATTTTCCCGTCTCCTCTTGGTGTTGAATAGATCCGAGTCTATCGGGAGTGAAGGGAGTTGCTCCGGCTTGGCTTTCCTATGCTGTTATGAGGATATCATGCTTGCATGCTCTTCTCTCCACTAAAAGAAATACAATGATTAGAAAAATTTATCCAAAGTTTTACACCGAGAGTAGCCTTCATGAACTCTGGCCCGAGTATGTAATTCCCAGTTCCATGTACCCATCGCGTAACGCCGGAATTCGATAAGAGCAAACAGAAACAAAGAAGAGCATTGCTCCTACTCGCAGAAGCATAACAAACTCTCAACTCAGTCCTTCTCCCCAACGCCGAACTCCCGATGCACATCAACTACCCGCACTCCGCGCGCATCAGCAATCATACCCATCAGTCCCTGCCCGACATCCTTGATCTCGTTGTACTCGTGCAGCAGACGGATGTGCTGTTGGACCGTAGTATTTGGGTCATTCTTTCTATTTAGTAGATAGTAAGTGTTTGGTCCCGGCTCTGCTGGATATGTCTGTGTGTAGTGTCTTGAGGTACATACAATTCGGAGGTGATCTCAGCCAGCTCGGCTTCCAGGTGGGCCGTCTGGGTTTCGAGATCGGTGATTGAGGCACGGAGGATTTCCTGGGTGGGTTGTTAGATTGGAAATCATCAGGAGGGGTGTGTTTATCTGTCTGACCAGGTTCTGTTCTTTCATGGTGAGAGTGACTGAGTGAGTGAGTGATGGTTGATGGATGGGGCTTCCTGTTTCGGCAGTCAATAGTTCAGTACCAATCAACGGCCAGGGGATAAGCTTAATAAGCACAATGGAATTCATTCCAGGTTCAAATGTTCAGGATTGATTCCGGGAGTCTTGGATTCTCTGAAATATACTTTTTTGTTAATTGGTTTCATTCTCCCATCTATCCTTCTCTCATTCAACCTTGTGGTGGACGATTGTCCAGCCTGGAAGTATACCCATTTGAGGGTGGATCCCCGACCAAAGCCGGAGGGAGGAGTCAGTGCCGCGATTCTTTTCTTTCTTCCCCTTCTTTTTCACTCTCTCATCTCCCTCCCCCTCCCTATTCACCCACCATCTCACTCACGATGGCCCGACTCGACTACTACGGGTCATTACTGGCCCTTTTCTGTCTTTTCGGCTCGACCCTCGCACATGGTGGCCATGAGAACGTCCCCGAGGGCGGCGCCATGTCGGAGGATCCTATCGTACGCGTTTTCCTCCCCTCCTCCTGCACTCCGCATCCGTCCCCTCCAAACAATACCAGACAGAAAAAGAAACACACCCAAGTTAACCAGATTGAATCCGATAGGACACGACACTATGGACGCACATGATCTTGATGGGTCTCACGTTCGGGCTCATCTTCCCGTTCGGCATGGTGCTTGGCGTAAGTTGGGACCTCACTTCCGCACGGCCTCCTCCGGATAAGTCCCTCTAATGCTCCTGCTCTTCCAGATCGTGCGCTCCCGGTGGCACGTTCCCGTCCAAATCGTCGGCACCGTCATCGCAGTGGTCGCCTACTTCCTCGGCCACGCCCACGGCGGCCGCCAATACTCGCATAACGCCCACGCCTCCTTCGCAAACTGGTTGATGTTGATGCTGGTGGTGCAGGTCGTGCTGGGTGTGTATCTGAAGATGCACCTGAAGCGGGCTGGACAGGCGCGCATCCGGTGGATCTTTGTTCTGGCGCATGGGATTCTCGGCAAGGCGATGCCCGTTGTCAGCTGGACGCAGATGCTCTTTGGTGGGATTGCGGCGCTGGGCTTCTGTCGCGGGGATCATCTCGGACAGTGCCTTGCTCATTTTATCATGGGCAGCGCGTTCATTGCGTATGGGATTCTCTTGACCATTCTGCTGCTCGTCGGCCAGTTCTGGTTGCGTCGGACGGGACGCAGCCAGGAGTTCTTCGATTCGTTGATTATCGCTGCGTGGGGTTGCGTCAATACCTTCACCGAGCACCGCTGGGGTAGTGCGTGGGTCCACAATGATCTCCAGCATACGACCATGGGGATCGTCTGGTGGTGCGCGGGTCTGCTGGGCATGTGGCTGAGTCGCAGCCGCAACGGCCGGCCCAAGCGGAACCTGATCCCTGCCCTGGTCATCTTGATGACCGGCTACGCCATGTCTGCGCACCCGCAGAGCCTGATGATCAGTACCATGATCCACTCGATCTTCGGATACACCTTGATGGCGGCCGGGATCACACGAATCATTGAGATCTCCTTCGTGCTGAAGGACAAGCCCTCGGTCAGCGCCACAGATGCATCGGAGACGAACAGCTTCCAATACCTTCCCCCCTTCGTATGTCGTTCCACCTTGGTTTCTTGAAAATCGAGCTAATGAAATCCCGCAGCTGCTGTACGCTTCAGGCTTCCTCTTCATGGGCGCCACAGAAGAGCAAATGAAACTCCTCAGCGACGCCGGCATCACGCACGTCTCCTACGTGCTTATCCTGTACAGCATCGCATTCATCCTCTTCCTCTGTACGGTCCAAACTGCCCCCAAAGCCTGTATCAGATACTAACCGCTCCACAAAGTCGTCAACGTCCTCCTCCACATCTACGCCACCCACGCCTGGCCCAACCAAGAAGACCAGACCGGTACTGGCGCGCCAGGCCACCACGCCCGCAAATCGTACATGAACGGCCGGGCACGATCTGCCTCCGAGGCGCAGCAGATCCACGACGCCGAGACCTTCGAGCTGCATGGTCTCATCTCCGACGATGAGCACGAGGATGATGATGTCCCCAGTGGCTCGGGCGAGCACCAGATGGGCCCGAAGAAGGCGACTGATGAGGAGAATCAGCTCATTAAGGAGTGAGACGTTTCCAGAGAGACTGATTGAAAATGCGTTCTCATCATAATATATCCACCCGACCTTGTCGCCGCTTTCTTGAATGTTTTTTACTACAAAAATTGTTCTCAGAGTGACAATTTATCTATTTTCTCTTCTTCTTTCTGGTCTGGGCGCGCTCTTATTTAAGAACTACTTACTCACCTTTGATAGAATTGAGTCTACTTGAACATGATCTTGCGGGTATGGTGATGCTGAATGACAGCTCATACTGGATCTTCTAAGATCCAATTTCTGATTTTGCAGGCAGTAGATACGTATCGAGCTCTATCGTACACGGGCGAGAAAAGACATGACATGACGGCATTAATTGAGCCCTTCCCCCCATAGAAGGGATGATGGCAGAACCGGTGAAACAAAGAAAAGAAAATGCAAATACACCGTGGCTTGTTCAGCTCGAACCAAGGAAAAGGCACCACCCACTTCCGACACGACAATCATGCAATGGTAGTAGGCGGCACAACGTCCGCATCCAACGGAATGGGATTAGCCACCGGCGGCACAGCAGCCAGGGCCTCCATCTCCGGCGGGAAGAACGGATGCAACGAATAAATAGGGCCAATGGAGCGATCACCGTCGAAAAGCAGTAGATTCTGCAGCGGCTGCTCCCTCGCGGAGAGAACATTGATCACGTCCTGCGCCAGGGCCCCGCCCATAAACGCCGCGACGGGACTCAGCTCGCCGCCGAGATTCTGCAGGAACTTGCGCAGGAACTCCGCGTCCAGCGTTTCCGGGTCGAGCTTGAGGAAGTGGTGCGCTTCGCGCGAGAGCTTGGTGAATTCGGCGAGTTCGGTCTGCGAGAAGGTCGGGAGGGCGCCGGAGCCTTGTTTTTGGAATTCCCAGAGTGCGCGCAGGCAGCTTAGGAGGGGGTTACTTGCTTGCGGCGCCGGGAGTTGCGCGTGAATTCTTCGGGGAGGGGGGATGTGTTGGCCAGGAGTAAGGGGGAGTATGTCTCGCGCTTGGTGATCAGCTCAATGGTCTTGTCGTTTTCTTTCTTGGTGGTGATGTCTACGACGCTGCGGGTGGGCGTTTCTTGTTGTTGAGGCGGCACGTTGGATTTGGCGCGCTCGATCACGAAGTCGTGGGTTATCAGGTCGGCGAAGACATAGCCATAGAACCCGTGCAGGCCTGCGGCGTAGAAGGGCTTTTGGGCGACGCGGCAGGCGGTGTTGATGGAGTTGTAGGTCATGAAGTCGAGGTCGGTGGCGATGGTCACGTCGAACTGGGCGAAGAACTCGGGTGCTTTTGTCTTGACATCGTCCGTGTCGATTTGGAGGTCTACCCGTGGGTTCATCTTGTGGATTTGGGGCCCGGCTGCTTGCGCGCGCTGTGTCGGGCTGTCAGTACTGGATTGATCTTCATGCGAGTAAGAGGGAGGGACTGACGTTCTGCCCGACATGCTCCTCCGACACGAAGAATTGCGCGGACAGGTCATCCTCCTTGACAATTTCATGGTCGATGATGGTCAGCGAGCCGATGCCCGCCAGCACGAGGTTCTTGGCTACTTCGTTCGCGAGCGCTTTCACGCTGATCAGGAGGATCTTGGCAGCTCCGATCCTGGGGGTGGGAGGTTAGTTTGAGGAAGAAAACAAAGTTAGCAGTGCTCACTTCTTTTGCGCGGAAACTCCCCACAGTCGGATCTGTCGGTCGTAGAGCGCAATCTCAGCTATTCATGGCACAAGAGTCAGTGGGAGGTGTTGATCCAAAGTGACGGAGCGTACCAGCGCTGATGGACTGCTCGGCGTTTTCTGGGTCCGCCATGGTGTCTTCTAGATTGCGTTTGGGAGAAGGAACCCAAGGTTGAGCAAGGAGCTAAGCTGCCGATGATGCCCAACTTAATCAGCTTAACTTAATCATCACGTGTGGCCGTCTCCTGCCTTCCCCCTCCTACCAGACAACCTTGTGCCCGTTCTGGGCTCTTTCTGCTTCTATATCTCTTGATTGTCTCCCTAAATCCACCTTTGATAGCCTACCCCCCTGGTCCTTCCGTTTGGGCCCTGAAGCATGGTAGGTTGTTGCATCATCGCCCCACTAACTAACCCTCCTGGCTAACGAACACCGCGAAAGTCGGGCAATTACGATTACCCCCCTGCTTCGTCCCGCCGTCCATCTCGGGGCTCTAACGAGCGACCACTGCCCCCCAGTGTTCTCCGTCTGCAACACCTTCGGAATTTGGTGAACTCGGAGCGTAACCGAACCAGCACCTACAATACCACCCGAGCCCTGGAGACGCTGAACCAAGAGGAGCATCATCTTGACCGAACCCGCGATCGAAGCAACTTCGAGCAGGCTCGTGCGGCAGTTGACCGACAGATCCAACAGTTTGAATTCAGCAACCCCGCAGAACGAATCCGCAACCTCTGGCACGATCAGCTCCGCTCCGAACGCTCCTCACCTTCGTCATCAAGCCCGACCACCCAGGAGATGGAACCACGATCCAGTGGCCGGGGCTTTCGGCGTCGTGTTCGACCAGAGGACCGTCAACGACATCGGGACCCTCCTGACTTCGCTTCCCTTCTCGATGAGGGGGTATCCCAGCCCAGATCGCCATCGCTGATCCCACAGTCGACTCACACGAGCCGTGATGGCCGAGGGAGACTGAAACGCCGCAAACTCGATGCAGACGATAACCGGGAGGGACTGCGGGGCTTCAACTACGGCCAGTTCGGCCAGGTGGTTCCGGGAGCGCTGAAGATGGAGATTGCCAGCTGTGACGGCGGGATGTATGACCCAGATGGGGACAGTTCCCTGCCAGAGAATGTGCTGCGAAGTGACCAGTCGGTCTACTGTACCAAATCGGACCGATGCAATCTAGTTCTACGTCACCGCGGCGAGGCGCCCTTCTGCTTGAAGAAAATCGTCATCAAGGCTCCCAGAACCGGGTTTGATGCTCCGTACGTTTCTTTCTGGTCATCTGACTTTCTAACAAGTGTTGACGAACTTTGACCTAGAATCCAAGAAGGCATGGTATTTGTGTCGATGACGTCGGATGAACTGCTCGCGCGCACGGCAGAGTACCAGATTCAGTACTCCAACACTCGACGGCGGCGTCGAAACCGTCGAAGCGGCATGCAGCCCTCCCAGGAGTATCTTACCGCATATCGATCCCCTCTCCAATCCCTCGAGCGCACGGTGCTGATGGGCCCTGACTCGTCCGCGTCGGACCCTGAGCTTCCTGCTACCGGCCGGGAGGCCAACGACCCGCAGGCAGAATTCCGTGTAACAACGGAATACGACGAGAATTCGGAGGAGACTGGCTTTTTGGAACCCGAAGCAAACGAGGATCTCACGGTCCTGCCCCTTTCCGAAATCGAGAGGATGAACCAAGCCGACCAGTCGTCCGATTTCATGTGTTCCGACAGCGATGAGAGCGAGAGTGATGATGACGAGGAGGATGGACACAGCAGTAACCTAAGCACGTTTACCCGCCGCCGCCTGGAGCTTCGACGTCGCATCGGGTCCATGCGCCGTCAATATTCTGCCGAAGAACGCGAGCTCCAGAGACGTCGCCAGGGCCCGAGCCTCATCGACCCCGTCCCGCCGCCTCCCCCTGCCCCGGCTCCAGATGCGGCACATGACAGCAATTTCTCAAGTCCCGAGGTTTTGAAACCGCACGCACGTTTCTTTATCGAGCGCGAGAAGAGCATGGTCAGCATCAAGTTTGATCCTCCACCGTATGTATTTATCTGCGCTTTTTTTCCTGGCCAGCATACTGACCTCTCTTCTAGATCTGGCCGATTCATTCTCATCAAACTATGGAGCCCCCGCAGCGACGGCAATATTGACATCCAAAGCATCATCGCCCACGGCTTCGCGGGTCCTCGCTTCTTTCCGGCTGGGGGTTTCAGATGAATGGGTTACGTAGTGCTCCGGGCATTTGGCCGATGTGTTTTTCCATATCTTAATGACCATAAATGATGACATGACCTTTTCGTTACATACTTCGGGAGATGTGTTGCTATGAATAGAAGTAGGTGTGCCAAAAAGCTTATTTAAGCCAAGTGAGGCTTAGTGTACCCCTCATATTATCGTGCATTATCTGACCCCCTATTTATCTCGTCTCCATATTTTTTTTTGTGACTGAAACAACCAAACAGCAGAAATTCTCAGCTATCCTCTCCCTCCAAAATGTCCCGCAAGAAGGCCCTCCTGATCGGCATCAACTACACCGGTTCCAAGCACCAGCTAAACGGCTGCATAAATGATGCCATGAACGTGCGCGAATACCTGGTTCGCGAACGTGGTTTCTCCCCAGACCCGCGAGAAATGGTTATCTTGACCGATGCGCCGCAGAATCGCGGCACGCCATTCTTCCCCACGGGCGCCAATATGCTGGCTGCCTTTCGGTGGCTGGTTACGGGCAATAATCCGGGCGACTCGGTGTGGTTGTCGTATTCGGGCCATGGGAGTATGCTACCTAGCTAGCGGTCTTTATTTACTGGGTGACCCTTGTGCAGTGGATGTTCTGACGTGATGGTACACAAACAGGCCAAGTGCGAGATCCGGATGGGGATCGAGATTCTGGGTATGGAATGATTCCTCGTTCAGCCACGACGTCCTGCGCTGACATGCATCGCTCAGCTTCGATGACACTATCTGTCCCGTTGACTTCGAACAGAATGGACAGATTACGAGCGACACGGTATGTTAGCGCATATCTACCCAGGAATCACTCACTCACCCCCCGCAAAGCTACACAAAGTGATCGTCTCCCCCATGAACCCGCGATGCCGCTTAACGATCCTCTTCGACTGCTGCCACTCCGGCTCAGCAGTGGAACTGCCCTACGTGTTCAAGCCCGACGCCGAGGGCCGGGTGAACATGATGGGCAACGTCAAAGAGGGTCTGTCGCTAGCTAGGGAGGCATCGGGTCTGCTCCACGGCGGATTCTCCATTGACAAGGTCCACGATGTCGAGGCGCTGATTGGGCGCGGAACGTCCCTGCTGCGTAAATTCCAGCACCCGGATGCGCCCTCTGATGAGAATGGACTCGCGGATGAGAATTTCGTCGAGGATTGGCGTAATGAGGGCAAGGATGTGTGGATGTTTAGTGGGTGTGCGGATGATCAGACATCGGCCGATACGAGTATGCAGGGTCTTGCGACAGGTGAGTGCTTGGATCGGATGGCTTCCCAATTTGAAAGGTGTGTCTGCTGACAAGTATACCCAGGCGCAATGTCGTGGGCTTTCATCCACACCATGAGGGCCCATCCGCGCCAGAGTTATGTGCAGGTGAGAATGGCCTACAATGATCATATTAGTATGGTTGATAATTCGCTAACCTCAATCTTTTTGGATAGGTCCTGCAAAATACTAGGAATCTGCTGCAGTCTAAGTACTCGCAGGTTCCTCAGCTATCTATTGGTGGTAAATATGACTTGAACCAGCCGGTATATCTTTAAAGAAGGTTCATAGCTTAGGACACCGAAATCCATACTTTGATACTATATTCATTTATCTACTATTCACTCAGCTATTCTGCCTTGATTATAGTACTGGTTATATTACCGTGAGATCTATATCGGCATTACGGTGATAATTACTGGACAGGGACGCTCAAAGGCCACTTTGATTCCTTCAACGTTGTACCGTCGGCTGAGGAACGCATTGTGTGGGTTGTGTCACAACAGCACTCAAGCTTGACCATTGCATATCAAGATGAACCCCACGAGAAAGTCGCTCACATCGTTTGGAATCTTGATAGCCAGTCTCCTAGGGGCGAGAACTTTGCGAAGCAAATAGGGAAGTGAAGGAAACGATGGCAGATACAGTGTCCTTCACAATGCTATCTAGCCTCATGAGGGAGGACGAAGTCTAGCTAGGGATTAAAGACGCTGAATATGAGGTGACCATAGCAGCAACTATTCTCTAGCGCTAGGTGATATGGTCAGTATTAGTGGTGTTATCGATTGACTGAATTGAACAAGACTAGCGGACAGACCGATGATAACGTTTATACGTATCAGCATTATATGGTTGTTTAGTTGAATTCGTTCGCGAAAGCATAAGAGAGAAAAGTAGTTTATTTATTCTTATCATTGCTATCCTTGTCTTGCTTCGCTGTCGCCCCCGACGGTGTACCCGAGGTCTCAAGAACGTATATTATCGCACAAAAAGTCATAACAACACCTAAAGAAGACATTATGAAATGAAAGGTATTGCCCCAGTGATTGATCTCCAAAATCCCACTGATCATGATTAGCGGCCCACAAAAGACCGCGAGTGCTAGGCTTTGCTTCACCTGCACACCTGAGCGAACGGAAGCCGCTCGGATAAGGAAGAGGACAGCAGCAACGCACGCAATATAAAAAGCCCAAAAGTTGGTAACGCCCAAGATAGAGGCCCGCCACTCGGCTTGGAAATCTTCTCTCACAGTTCGATACAGATACCGACCCGTTGGCTCCCCAAATATATTAATGAAACTTGTCATGTCTGCCTGGCGCAGGTCGCGTCCTTGGCCTAGCTGCCATAGATCGGCGATAGATTTCGCGGTTTCAGAGGAGGCATCATGTTTGTGAATAAGGAGATCGGCCAAATAAGCCCTGACTTGGTTGGGTCCGGCGCCTTGGAAAGGAGGCTGAGCCATCAGGAAGGAGGTGGACGGATATGTTCCGTGAGTAAGCTTGGGCTATGGCGTCTGGCTAGAAGTGTTTGGCAATGTGGGAATCACTACTCTGCTCTGAGAGGATGGAAGTGATTTATTAGGTGTATAGTAGTAAGCCGGAGAGGAGGTGGCTGTTAATAAAAGCTGTGTGTGGCTTAGACTACTAAAGGGGCAGGGATTCAGTAGTTAGTGAACTATCTGTCAACTACGCGAGCTCGTTTTCACTGCGATGAACGCGACGAATGGTTGGCAGAATCTAGCACTGGCTTTAAGCACTAATAATTACTCCGTACATGATTGTATCTCGGAAATGGCTAACTAGTGGAGGGAAGTGTTGCACAGTGGCGCGTCAGGTCAGGACTGACAGACCGACGGGAGAACCAGGGAATTCTGGCTGGCACTGAGCCGAATGCTGCGAGCGAATAGAATAATGAAGCAATCGAACGTCTTATTATAATCGAATAACGAGTGTGTTATATGAGGTAAAATCTAGACTATAGGAGTTCTGCCCCCAACCATCGCGAAGCCCTATCTCTAAGGCCAAAATCTGTCACGTGGGCGCCGGGCGTCAGCCCGGCTGCACTAGCTATCCTTCCAGGTCGCTTGATTATGATTGGCGATAATCAAAGATCGAATTGATTTATTTATTTCTTACAATGAAGACTAATAAGGGAGTGGATCAGAGGACCATTGAAAACAGCTCGTTGCAAGAAGATGTGGCCCACGAGGTCGATGGGCAGCCAAATAGAAAGGGAGGGAAGGGAGTTTGGCCTGCATAATCCAATAGCCGGTTAAAAACAAGGTCAATAACTTGGTTGCGTTCATTTGGGTGGAACTGGCTAAAACTGTCATGACCATCCCGCACTATTACCATTCCCGGTAATAACCGAAAATGGCAATACCCAAATAGGCATTATCCATGAATGGAAACTAAGGAAATCCACCAAATCAATACATACCTTAACCTTGATCAGGTAACAAAGCTAGAAAATCCCAAAAGCTTAGTGCGATCATTGTGTCAGAAACCATGCCGCGTCGGATTTATTATTGTCAACGACACAAATATGAAGGTCAATTTTTGTGAACAACGCTTGTACCAAAGCAGCTCCTCTCGCTCGAGAATTAAATGAAGTATCCCATTCAAGAAGCTTTTGTTCTCATTCGAGGTTACAGATACCCCATTGCTCAAACAGCAAAGAGCCAAGTAAGCCATTCCCCATACACTTTTTTTCGAACCCCACACCTCCTTCCCCCCCCCCGGCTGGGGGATCGCTTCGGTGTTCAAAAATGACGACGGCACAGGCCTCAATAACCAGTTAAAAATATACCTTCCAATGAAAGGGCTTATTGTGTAAGTTGCCAAGGAAGCAGCAAACTGAGATCCACTTCCCCACTTACGTGTTTCCAGAGAAGCCATTTTAGTCTCACCTACCTACCTACCTGGGTAATTTCAAATGAAGACAGAGATCCGGTGTAGCTTTCGAACCTCGGCCATTATTTCTTAAACAAGAAAGAATCAATTTTGGCAATGTGGGTGCCTTCCAAGTTTGTGTATCCCTTTGGGAGCCTTTCATATAAATGCTCTATCAACTGCAAGCTTTGTTACGCACGCAAAGTTTTATCGCTTCTCTTACAAGGTTGTCTTCTCTACGTTCCTTGATTGACACAACGACTTGAAGATGCACCAGACAATTCCAAGCCCTGAAACCTACGGTCCCGGATCCTTCGTGGATTGTGACTTTCTTGCAATTCCTAATGATGCTCGACGCATATTTAAGATTTTAGCCCAGGATACCCCAGGCTTTACTGCGGATCCGAACATTTCCGACCAAGTTACCTTTGAAGGTGGTGCGGAACCGATAGTTCCAGGACCGATCAAGGCCCCCGCCTTTGCTGCTGCTTTGCATGCCATGTGCGGGATTGTTGCCAATGAACTGCTCGATGAAAGAGATGGGAAGCAGCCGGACCGTCGTGTGATCATTAACACAGACCATGCTGCCTTTTGGCTAGGCACTGTCGGGTTCGTCAAATGGAACGGGATGAACCTTGCCGAGATCACGAAGGCGGGAAAGCTTGGTGAACTATACAAAACCGATTTTGAAAAGGGGGCATTTGCAACCCCGCTTCGCATGCGCGCTACCGGAAACTATGCCACGAAAACGCCCGGGGTGTGGTATCAGCTCCACGGATCTCTGAATGCAGAACCGGTTCTTCGGGCAATTGGAATAGATCCTGAGACACCATGCGAGACATCAAAAGATGCCTATGATCTTATCAGCAAACACGTCCAAAAGTTCACCGCGGATGAGCTGGAAATGACAAATCTCAAGCTTGGCCTCTGTGGAAACACATGTTATTCTCCAGAGGGTTGGCGGGCGACTCAGATGAGCAAGCAGCTCTCACGCCATCCATTGATCAACTACAAGCTCCAGTCCCACGCCATCCCTACACCACCTACACCCATTCCGAACATTTCCACCGACAAGCGTCCATTGGCGGGCATCAAGGTGGTCGAGCTGGTTCGAGTCATTGCTGGGCCAGTTGTAGGGACCACTCTAGCAGCCCTTGGAGCAGACGTCATTCGTGTGAATTGCAGCCGCCTCCCTGATTTCAATGTAAGTCTGCAAGTCTTGCCTTCACTTATTGGCTGTGCCTGGGGATACCGCGGACCTAACCATATGTGGTCCAGTCTCTTCAACTCACATTAAATACGGGCGTTCGAACGATCGACATTGATCTTACAAAAGAAGAAGACCTTGCGACCCTGTTAAGCCTCATCCATGATGCCGACGTCTTTGTGCAAGGTTACCGCCCTGGAGTGATCGCCAGCAAGGGATTGAGTCTCCCTAACCTCCTCGAAATCGCGGGTAAAAGAAATAAGGGTATTATTTATGTCGAGGAGAATTGCTATGGACCAGATGGCCCATTCTCTAGCCGACCTGGGTGGCAGCAGACTGGAGATGCTGCCTCAGGATGCTCCTATGTAACCGGGCGGTCGATGGGCTATACAGATGGTACAAGTGTTCTTCCTTCGCTCCCTATTCCCGACATGGTGACGGGGCTAATCGGAGCCCTTGGGACTTTGATGAGTCTTCGTGACCGTGCGCGAAATGGTGGTTCGTACCATGTCTTTGCCTCCCTGGCCGCCGCCGCAGCATATCCCTTGAGCCCCGAAATTGGCTTGTACCCTCCCGAGGTGGTGCAAAAGGTCGACAAGAAATTTGAATGGGAACCTATGGACTCATCAATGTTTGTCCTAGAACTTTTGCAGGTTGTTTTGAACGGCTGGAACAAAGTTTGGCCCGATTTGTATTCTCCTGGCTCGCAATTCACGACGACGCTCAAAGGAGACTGGGGCACATTCGACTTGCTTAAACCAGTGCTCAATTTGGCAGATGATAAGGTTTCACCGAAATGGTTGACAGCCCCAGTTCCACACTGTTACTATGATGCCAAAACCACTTCATGGCTCTGAAGTTGCAGACATGTCACGTCGAGAGGGTTTTCGGTTCTCGGAGTGATCAATTGATGGACACATGTCAATGTCTCTCCTTTGCTTACTCCATTTTTCCGGGCCATTGAATAATTCTTTGCGATTGCGTACTAAGAACTTGTCTATCATTAACGCTATGTGTTATTCGTACTTTCTTATGTAGATAATCCGTACAGGCCCCAAAAATTTCCAGCCACTCTTCTATCGCAAATACTTCAATTTTCTGAAAGTGATCCAGACTCCTTAACACAATACTATGTACTAAAGGCAACTGGGTTTGACATTTTACCTGTGGCGGATCAAATAAACAGATCACTTTTTGTCTATTCTCTAATACCTTTTTCAATCCTGGATGATTTCTTTCCTCAGATTTGAGATCTTCGCTTCATCAGATCGTTTTAAACACACCTTGTACCATAGGGCAATGTCGTACTTACCAGCAACAGAAGAATGTGATGAGAAACTTGAGGGCCTTTTAACCACTCTGCCACTTTTCTTTCTAGCAAACTTCTTCATGAAGTTTAGTATAACAATATACCCACAACACGTAAACAAACACATATCTGAATTAAGCTGGGCAACGACAATTAAAAGTAGTATTAAACGGTATTCTGTTTAGCAGACGTATAGAACGCTGAAGAATTTTTGCTCATCCCAGGTGTCACCTAGCCCAGACTTGCTGTAATCGCAGGATAGCGTAGTCGGTTGCCCATCCTAAATCCGTTTCTACTCCTCGAAAAAGGTCGAAGATTATCTGACGCTCCCCTACATCCTCCAGACAATTGCCTACAGCAAATAAGACGGGTATCATGGACAGCCGTACCGCACTATGAGGGCAGCCCATAGCGATACCACATATCTCGCGACTGTGATGGTCGACTTCTTTGGAGACTTCGCGGTACCCATGAAGCCGATCGAAGGAGACGCTTACGGTATTGATGGTGTCTGTGGGTTGGTTGAGCAAAAGTGCGATTCGGCCAAAGTGATAATGCTGGATCGCAGCAGCACAGGTCGGAAGCCCAAAAAATATCTCAGGAAATGGCGTGGACTTCGCGTCATTCGGCTTTGATATGTCCTTCGGAGAGTATATTTGTACAGACGGACGAAATGTTTCTGGCAATGTCTCAAACCAGACCTGGAGATCAAAACAAAGCTGAAGCCATGTGTTAGAGTCAGGGTCTATGGTTTGACCAGCGGTAATATTTCCTTGAGAGCCGGGCAAATCAAGATTGGATGGTCCGACCAATTGCGCCAGCTGAGCTCGTTTCACTTTCGCCAAGAGGTTCATTATCTTGAGAACAAGCCACAGGATACCATTGGCTGCCTGATCCTCTTTGACCAGACCCCCCTCCCTTAGAGGACAGATTTGAAACTGGCCCTCATCATTGATGGATATCCCGGCAGAGCGCCAAAGAGACAGATTTTCCGGGTTTAGCTGAGTCGGGGAGCGAGGGAAATAGGCACCGAAGAAATCTAGACGGGCAAAATTCCAGAAAGCGGCTCGAATGCCGTGAGAAAATATGATGTCTGTCATAGTATCGGATTGGGAGATATTTTCAAACAAGGGACGGATCCCAGATAGGTGCCTAGTCAGAACTGTAAGATTGTGATCGGTCGGTCTTTTAGAAAAGCAGCTTACCATGACCATTCATTCGCATTGGTGTCCATCAGTTCATATGTCGTTAGAAGAACAAGCGTTGCAAGTAGCTCCTCTGTGTTCCGCACAAAAGCAACATCATGCAGACTTTCAGTTGTCCCATTCAGTCGAACTTGAACAAGATTAGAACTCATCCACCGGTTGACTGCCTCTATCACCGATATGTTCGTGCCAGAGCCGGAGAAGGGTAAAGTTCCCGAGGTTATTCGGCTGATCTCCGATATGGCCATATGGTAATAGTTCGTTCCTTTTAGGAGCCAATCAATCCGATGAGCATTAGAGCCCGCGCTTTCTGACATGGATGATGTAGGTGTCTCTCCTTGTCTTTCCGGGTTGGCGCTCTTGGTCCGCCCTAAGTGCTTTGCAGTGATAGCTGCCATTGAATATTTCAAGGCAGAGTTATCAATCGCACGAATGGGCACATGGACCGAGAAAAATCTATTAGAATCCGACAGGTCCAGCCTGCTTTGGTGAGCACTGTCCAGACTCAAGGCGTCGTACATACGTACCAAGGCCCTATTACATCGGTAAAATGCCGAATTAAGAAAGAAAATTCGTGTGCCGTCCCCTCTATCGGATTCGAAAACACACTGTTGGAACAATCTTGTTCCTTTTGGTATGGTAGGGTTTCCGAGGAATATACTGCAGAATACCCCCGAGGCCCGGCCTGTTCGAGATTCCTTGGACTTCCCAGTGTGGATAGATTCCCGGCGGAAATATTCGATGACTCTGGGCTATAGTTGGTCGCTATCGTGGACTCATTTTCTCCATCAGTAAAAGTCGACACACCGTTAGGCTCGCAATCAGGGGGATGTTGGGGTGGAGGAAAGCCGCGAGACTGGGTTTTTCCTGATCTAGCCTCCCTGGTTCCTGGTCCAATCTTCGAGCTGGCTTTCCGGGTTGTGTTACCGATTTGAAGAGGCAACGAGGTTTCCACTTTTCCGAAATCAGCTTGGTTTTGCTTGGCGGTTGAATTCGTCTTTTGGTCAGTGGAAAGACACCATGATGAGAAACCACTCAGAGGGCTTGATGTTGCATCTTCTCTATCCATTGACCTAGAAACCTTGGCATTGGTTGGAACGGAACCTTGATAAGGAGCATAACGGCGTCTAAGCATTGCGCCTTGATCAATAAACTTGCGAAGCTGGTTGTAGCCAGGGCACTCGATGCCGGCATTGTTGCAACGGCGACATTTTGGGCGAGTTTCATCACACTGTCGAGGAGTCAGGGATGGGCCTCTTTTAACTGAAATTCAGAGCATTGGAACAGGAGCTAACCTTGAGACATTCCTTCTTGCATCGCTCACACTTCTTGTTCGATGGCGCACCAGGCATGGAAGCTCGTCGGAATTGCTAATGAGCTGAAGGGGAGTGGCCTGCCCGCCAAATGGAAAATTGCACTTGTAGTAAAATTTATCGGAAGTCTCGGAAGAAGATAAAGCGCAGGTTTCTAAGAAAATGAGAAGGAACGAAGTTAGAAAAGAAAGGCGGTGGCAGCCGAAGGTAGGTCTAAGCCGCGGCGATGGGATCTTGGGATCTGCTGGCGGACGCCATTTACCTGGTCGTTTTAATGCGGGGTAATACCAGTGAGGGTACTTTCAAAGTTTATTACGTAATACAATAGCAGGTGGGGCATAATCACTGAGGCCTCAGAAATAGCCGTGAAATATACAAGTGAACTAAATCAATTTGATATTACCGAAGTATGGGATAATCGGGAAGGTGACAGTGCTGAATGTCTGAGTGACGCGCTCTACCTCACGGGCAGCTACCTATACCCCGGAGGTCGGCGGCTCCTGGCACTGCGTTGACATTATTAATAAATTAGTGCCCAGGAGATTTTCGTATTTTGACAGGGTATTTCATACACGATCTACAGTTCCCAGCGTCGCTATATGAATACTAGACAACCAATATCCTGTCCCATGGAATCAATAATCAATTCCCTCGCTTCAGCATATTTAGAACGGCCATATTTTTGTTCCTGCATATGCGGTTAGTTTGCTTCTTTACCGGGGTACAAACCCTGGGCAACGTATGTAGCCAGTGATCCTTGTTGAGGAATCAGCCTTGGTTAGCGCTGATGACATGTAAACACCGCCATACCTAAGTTGTGCCTGGCAGGACTATTCTATACTGTTTTTGTATGACAATTAGCTAGTCGTAATTGTGGAGGGTAAAGTACTCTTCCATTCAGGGGTTATTTCATCCCCTATCTCCAACAATACATTCCTTTTCTACTGCATGGTCGGGTATTCCCTTCCCTTTGGCAACGAACACAGAAATACTAGACCTTATCATATTTGCAATTCAGATATCCAATTTCTGGAGGGCAAATGTCTTTGAATATATACACAACGTGCCACCAAGTCACTTCATCAAGTCCAACCTCCAAAACCCCTAAGCACTTCAATAGTCTAAAGACTCCTCCAAAAGCTTCCTCAACTCTCCCCTCTCAGCCTCAATGTCCTCACTCAGATTCGGCGCCAGCATCAGCACGCGTTGCTGGGGAATAGTCCCCTCAACGAGACCCTCCAAATCCGAACCCTTAAAGCCCAAATCCTTCAACCCACGCGGCTGGTCACCCAACTTAACTAAAAACTCCGCGATAGCATTACCAAGAACCTCACCTGCACTCTCACGCTTGACAGTCGAAATATCTACCCCAAAGGCCTCAGCAGCAGCCAAATGACGATCAGGGTTCGACGCCGCCGTGAAGCGGAAGACGGCTGGCGCGGTAACGGCAACGGAAACACCGTGCGGAATGATGGGGTGGTCAACCTGGTAACCCTTATGCTGGTAGCCCGGATTCTGGCTGGAGATAGGGTAGCTCATGCCGTGGCATAGGTGTACGCCTGCATTACCGAAGCCGACGCCAGCCAGTGTAGCGGCGAGGAGCATATTAGATTGCGCTTCGCTATCTTCGGGGTCTTTAACTGCGCGAGGCAGGTACTTGACTGTGCTGCGGAGGGCTTCCAGGGAGAAGATATCTGAGATAGGGTTTGCGCCTTGGTATGCTGGGCGATTGATTGGGTTTGTGGGGCGGGGAGTGCGTTCGTTGTATGGGATTGCAGTCCAGGATTCGAGCGAGTGGCAAAGTACGTCTAAGCCCGAGGCAGCATGCACGGCTGAGGGCATAGTGCGGGTGTTAAGGGGGTCGCAGATTCCGAGTGTGGGCTTAAGGTTGCGGTGTGCGATGCCGGTTTTGGCTTTCTTGGAGACTAGGTCGAAGATCGCTGTGCCGGTTGTTTCGGAGCCCGTTCCTGCTGTAGTCGGGACTGCAACTAGGGGGAGTAGTTTTCTATCGACAGGGCGGCCCTTGCCCAGTGGCGCATTAACGAAGTCTAGGAAGTCGGCGTCGGGGTAGGCATTGTATAGGTTCATTAGCTTTGCTGTATCGATGACAGAGCCACCGCCTAGGATTGGTTAGGTTGGTTGTATAACGTTGTTGGGAGATTGTTGTACACACCAATAGCAAGGAAGGCATCAGGGTTGTAGGGTTTGGCGAACGCAATGGCTTCCTTGATCCTTTAAATCCATGTCAGTAATGTGCGCCTCCATATAGCTTGCTAACACCTACGAGCTGTCCTTCGGCTCAGTGCGAACCTTGTCGAAGATCGTAAACTCAATGCCATTTCTAGTTAGACCCTCAATGGCCTGCTTCATAGCATCAAGCTTGGTGACATTGGAGTCGGTCACGACGCAGACCCGCTTCGCACCCATATTCGCAAAGTCCATTCCCACCTCTTTGGTCGAGCCAGGTCCGAATCGGATACTCGACGCAGCCATCTCGAAGGCATATTCCTTCTCACGGGCCGGATCCACCGGGGTTGCCAGGTGGCGCTTGACATGGGTCATGAGCGAGGGTGTCTGCTGGTGGTGGAAGTTCGGGTTGCGATGGCAGGGACAGTTTGGTGGGTGTGTGAATTGCACGGTGCGTAGGAGATTCAGGGCGCGATTGGCAGCTGAGGGAGCCACCCTAATTGCTGGGGCAGCCATTTTGTGATTCTTTGATCTGTATGACTGGAGGACTGGTTGAAGGAGGGAGGTGTTTTAAAAGCCGAGTGGAAGTCGGAGTTGGGGAAATGGAGAAATGCGGACATCAACCAAACAAACTGTCCAGGGAAGCAGTGAAGTTTGCCTAAATTGGAGAAACCGGAGCATTGGATCTTGTTCTATGAATGGCAATAAATGGAGTAATTAAACTTAAATTCGAGTACGCAAGTCATATATCTCGACTTAAGCCGTAACTCGTCAAATGTCCCTACCTATTTTAGTATTTACCCGGATAGGCAAGTACCCGGATAGGCAAACCCCGCCATCCATAGGGTGGGGAGCTTATTGGATAAATATAGTTTTATCCCGATAGTTTGAATTTCTTAGGCCAATCAGACAGATAGAGGGTAAGCAATTCCCTCTCTCGGTTTCGAACCTGGTCTCCCCACCCCCTACTCGCCTTGCTAGCCAAAGTAAGGTTAGCAAAAGCGCCTACGTCCGGATATCTCCGTTGATGGGGACTTGCTTGCTTAAATGGTCAGCCGTTTGTCTCTGACCATCTAAAACACTTTGTCTCTGTCATCTTTGAGGAGAGAATAAGGTGCAGGGGCGCATTTTTGTGTTCTTCCTTTGTGTGGTTCATCGTGGATGTTAACTTGAGATAATATTCTTCTCTAAGCGAATAGGTTGTAATTTATATCGATTGACACAGGCTCGATCATGGTCTTAATAAATACGTTATGAAATCAGGTGTGTTTAAAAAGAGTTTATGTGCGTAAATAGAAAGCCAAGATGTGCATACACTTCTTACAGATGCTGTAAATCATGACTTACATTGCGTTCTCACATTCCCTCTTTGCCTGTATCGCAACAGAATTGAATGTTACCGGTATTTGAACAAATAGTTGAGCTTCCGAGTTACGTGAGATCTGCAGGAAGCCTCGGGCCCTGGTATTTCATGTGGGCATGCACAAACCAATTCAACAGAGAGGAAATTGCCATGACTCCGATGACCACAGAAGTGTAGTCTGTGGATTTTGTTAGCACTAGGCGATTCTCGGAGTTGGGGAATATATACTCATGTTGCCACCATCAACGGGCATTTCAGCCGGAAAATTGTAGAAAACCAAAGTGATTACTCCAAAAGCCACCGTCATAGCATTTGAAACCCAGCCAAATAGACCTAGATTAAAGGGTCTGTGGGGTGGCAAGTAGGTTGAGGCTCGGCGACGATAGAGAAGCAGTGCAGCGGGAAATGAGAACGAGACCTGTTGCAACACTATACCGGTTCCAATCAAAGCATTAAATGCAGTGGATGATGCCAGATAAATGCAGCCAATAATAAAAATGATGGCCGAATTGGCTAACAGCGCGTACACTGGAACTTGTAGCTCTGGATGAATCCGACCGATATATCTGGAGAGGATCAAGGCGTCATCTCGAGCAAATGCCCAAGTTAGGCGTGAAGAGGTCTGTTGGCATCCATTAAGGGAAATAAAAGCAATGACTGCCAGCAGTGTAACGAATAATGTTGCTGCAGCGCCGGATTGCGTCGCCTGTAACCATATCTCGTAAATAGGAACACTGTGCCCGAATTGTTAGTCGTTTGCTGATTTTGGCCTTATCTTGGAGAAGGCCCACCCGGTTACTGTGTTGATGACAGCATTCAAGTCGGTCAGACTGTAGAGCATTGCAATAACAAAGGCAAATGAAGTGATAAATCCGATGGCCAGTGTGCTCATTAGGGCAAAAGGCACTGCCGTGTTAGCATTACTGCACTCTTCTGCCAAGTGGATGGCGCCGTCAATCCCGCAATAGATGTAATTTGGGTTTATCATGCCCGTCAGAAACGCAATACCATTTGACTTCCAGCCAGATTCGTTGATGAAAGTAGTCCATACAAACTGTGCTGATTGCATCTGGGGAGTGCGAACAAGGGTTGTCACCAGAATACTGAAGAATGATGATATAGATACGAAGACTGACAGCAGACATCAATTGGTACTGTATCACTTCAATAATCACGCGAAGACTTACAACAAATGTCATGCAGCCATGATGTTCTTCGAATTGCAAAAACGTTATAAAGCAGAACTATGATGTTTGTGGCCTGATAGATAAGGAAGTAATGCCATGTTCTTGGCTCGTAGCCTGGGTAATTGTAGATCGCCATCGAAACAATGAACTGCGCCGGTAGGATTGTGACACCCGCGCTTGTTGATATCCAGCTAAAAATATTGATCGTGCCACAGCAATAACTCTGATTTTATTGTCAGTCGCGTGGCGCTTAGCAATGCGGACATATCTCACCAGAACGCGGCTATATCTCTTAGGACTCAATATAGAAGTCCAATGATACTGCCCTCCGGCAGTTGGGTAGACGCTTGCAAGCTCTGCTAAGGTTGAGGCAAAACAACCCCCGAATACCATCATGATAACAATGCCGTAGAGGAGAAGGACAGTGCCACCCTCTACTATGCCGATAGACAGAGTGCCAACAATAGCTGCCCAGCTGTTACATATGTTCCATCCGCCACAAATAATCTGAAATGTGCTCAGCGATCTTTCAGTCAGCTGGGTGAGACCCAAAAGCTCCAAGTCTGCAGACCCCACAGTGCCTTTCTCTGGTGCGCCATCTGATAGGAGGTTTCCTCCTGTTAGAACATATGGGCATTCGTCAGCATGTCTCTGCATGTTGTTCTGGAAGTACGGATGCACCTTTTCGATCATCCTCGCAGTTCTTGGAATTCAAGAAACCTGACATATTGCTGGAACTTCCGTGCTCTTTATCTCATTGGTGGATTTAGGCAGCACAACGTGGCTTCCATTGAATTATGAAAATTTCTGCAGAGTAAAGCGTTAATCAGAGAAGACTAACTTGCATTGTGTGGCAATATTGACAGGTTTTTATATCTTCCCCTTGCCAGGAGATAGTAGCATAATACAAATTTAGTTATTTTCCTGAAAAGGAGATTTTTATTCCCACCCCGCATTCTGAGGTCGACTAGTAGTACCAGGTATGACGGCCGAGAAAGTCTGACTTGGCCAATCAACGCGGTCGCCTTGGCTGCCGAAACGCTCCCTACTGTACTATTAAATACCTGCCACCAGGGGGTGCCCAGTCTCCACCCAACGTTCCTGAAATGGAATATCTCCCGAATAGGTACGTTGAAAGAGTACCTGGTATAAGATTGTGCGGGCTTGCCGCGTATGAAAGACCGTGGCGCTTTTTATCCCAGAATTTTCCTAGGTGAGCAACAGTCTACCCCAAATAGGGAGATTGGATGAGCACTGATCCGAATGGATGTGTAATTGGTGGAGATAGGCTCATCCACGGCAGCTTCTCCGACATGGGAGAGTGGAAAGGCGCCTTATCTTCATACCATGATGACCACTCAGCGCAAGTCACTTGAGTACTGTTGATCAAGGACCGATCTAAAATATTCTGATAAGAGGGGGTATATCAGTTGGTTTCACGATGCTGGACTCCTCCAGACCCTTTGCAGTGGCCATACAGGTCCACAATGTTTAGCTTCGGTTTCTCATCTACATCATTGAATTTATTCAGTGGATGATTACTATCACAGATCAGCTGTTGGCCGCATCTGAAAACATCTGCTCGATCACCAAAGGAGCACTATTCACAGCGGCACGGAGTACGCAACTCTGTTATGCGGTTATGATGTATTTGTAGAAGGTGCGCAAAGGAATGGGCAAAATACATCCATGGACTGAAAATAGAAGGCTAAGAGCTTTGATATTGTGGGCCATTACAGTTGTCCGCGACAATTGAATTTCTCCGCGTCCTTGACGCAATCATCATCGAAAAGCTAGAACATGTCGGAATCCCCACATGGTTTGCTGCGAGAGTTTCAAGCGGTGATTCTTTTCAGCTTATCCTGGTCTAGCCTTGAAATGCATTGAGAATTGACTTCCGTTTTCAGAAAATATTTCCCCAGACAAGCTGGCATGTGGATCAACTCCTCAAAGTATATAAAACACCAAGATTATCGTTTCGGTATCCGTACATTCGCAACAGCTTTCACACGAAAAAAATCGGTCACTAGAGAAAATTCAGCAAGACACCCAAAATGAAAAACCCTAAACAAATTTGTCCAACAAATCCAGTGATTCTACCCCCCCACCTACACATCCACAAACCCTCCCGAATCTTTCTCCGACCGCTCCTACGGCATCTTAACATGGCACACATTAATCTCGCACCCAACTACTCCAACATCAGACATCACCTCGGGAATAGCTGTCTGTCCACCTCAAACGGGCCATCTCTGTCCCCATCGTCACCAACAGGCGGAAATATACTATATTTTGGAAGGGGAAGGAGAGATGACTATTGATGGAACAGCACACAGGGTTTCCAAAGGAAGCACGGTGTACATTCCTTCGAACGCGGAGCATGAAATTTTCAACCCCATGGACTCAGGGGATTTGCGATGGCTTTATGTTTTCCCTACCAGTTCTTTTGCGGACGTGGTGTATCGATTCTCAAAGGATCGGGAAACGAAGCTGTAAGTGACCTTTTCTCATCGAACCTTGCAGGGCTACTATGAGGACATTGAGAGAGGTCGCAGTTTGCGTGCCAACAACTCTGAGATGCTATCGCATCCTTGGATTACTGTGCATAGTCAACAATCAAGCAGAGCTTGGGCCTAGTAATGACGGTATCATTATGGGGGTAACCTTTGCTGGGCCCTCTCCTCTTAACCCTGCTCGGAGCTCGTTACGGGAAATCCCACCTTCAGGAGAAACGGCTAGACGAACAAAGTTCTAGGAGTAGTAAGAAGGCTGTAGTTCCAGTAGTAAGTTTTTGGGTGATGGGCCCAGTTTTATGACGGTTATAGTATACACATGCTGCCTTTACACCACTCAATAGTAATGCAGTGAGGAGATAGGATATTAAAGCCTCGGCGGTTCCATAGCCTGCCCTTCCTAAGTAATGCAAAAAAGAAAGCTATACATGCGACAGCCATAAGTAAGGTGGTCATCGTCGGGAGTCGCTCGATCGGGTATGGCCGCCTCAGGCGGTAGTTCACCACCCTGCGTACTCTTCACCTAAGACTGCCAGGAGGCTCAAAGTCACGTCGCCGCCACGCACAGCCAGCACGGCCACTGCCAGGATCATGTCTATTGCCCACAGAAAAGTATTGATTTATATTAGATAATTAGTGAAGAAAATAAGAATGGTCTGTTCCTCTTATGTCTTTCAGGGTTTATCTCCTTGACATCTCCGTCTCTCTGTAGGTTCAGTTGATTTCACCAGCTTTCCCTATTTCTTCACAATCGCGTCACCGTCTACCAACCACATTGGACAATAACAACTAATACCCTTCGTTCGTTCAGCTGTTTGGCCCGGGCGTGTAATTGTCCGCAAAGTCTGCTTTGTTGTCATACTCTGACCTGGCAAGACGCCTTAGGAAATTTTTGTCTACCAGCTCGGCCATAGTCATGGGATTGGTAAATTGTGTTCCCATCCCAGGTTGTTCAAACCATGGCGTAACTGGCCCAAGAGTGACCGGGAGCTCCTGAATCACCTCGTAAACATGATAGTTGTATGGGTAATCGCCGTCATTGTTGTCTAGGTTGTATGGGGGCAACGCCCTTTCAATGTAAGGCGCACCCAAGGGGCTAAAATAGTTGCCAGTTTCACCACCAAAACGGTCGACTTTTTGGCCAACTGGAAGGGTTGTATTGCCCAAAATTGGTGCTCCAGAATTGTCCAACACGAATCCATGTTCATCAGGATAGTGATACGACCCGTTGTCCCATGTCCACTTCGCAAGGAATTCGTACGGGCAAAGATCGCCAAATCGGGCATACGTCGCCAACTCTGTCGAAAGGGGAAAATACCTAGGAAGTTTGACCGGACCTAGGCGGAAATCACCGCAGACATATGATGCGTTGGAGAAAGTGATGTTGGCGCAGGGGTCTGGTTGGCATCGCAGAGGATATGGGGGTTCCTAAACCCGATTAGATCGCTTGCGCCTCCCACAATAGATTGTATCCTAATTATATATGTAACTTACCTTGACGTCGCCATCATCGGTCTGCTGCCATGCTTGAGCGGTCGTAAAGGCTGCACTAAGTAGCAGGACAGAGTGAAGTACATCTTGGTAGTACATGTTCACAAGAGAGATGGCTCTAAACCAACAATGTATTAGACTTTGTGTGTAGTAGAATTGGTGACAATTTAGCTCCTTGACGTGTGTGCGTCGTTGACAAGCCTTTATATTGAGCGCCTGTACAATTCATATGCCTTGCTTTCTTATGATGTCCACATATTATCGCTATACAAGACTATAGCATCTCGACATTTTTCATTGCCTCAACGTAGCCACCATTTTTTACTAAATTCCAAGCCCCACCATAGCGAACAGCACAGATCATGATGGAGGCGTATATCTAATGACACGATTGGCAGGAGGATTTCACCGGGGAATTGTATATAAAAATGGGGTACTACCTTGTCCAGAAAGGTCTTAATATCACTTATGTACATGCCATCCCTAGATGTCATAATAACTTCTTTCCTAATCAGTATTATTCTAACATACTTCGTATATAGTGTATAATAACCCGAAAATCGTGAGAATTTCCATGTGCCAAAGGGGTGGCATGTACCTAGGCGACCATAAACCCTTTCTGGACAACATAGTATAATGTAGAAATTAAATTGAATGGAAGCCCGTTCTTACATTCTTCAGGCTCTCTGAGAACCACAAAGGTTTAGGAATCTCAGCGCTCTGACTCAATCGTTTACCTTTTATGGAAACATCTCAGGGATATATTTGAGCCACATAGTATCTATTGTACATGGCCTAATTTTTTTTATAGACCTCCAGCATGTTTCTCCTGCTCAAAAAATGTAATAGCCGTAGGAGAAGTCATATATGAAGGTTGTTTAAGCCACAGGGCCCCCGAAAGTACAAGGAAGCAGAATTCTGGAAGCTCGCAGAAGAATTAAGAAAGTGTTGTTATGTAGACTGGTCGCTAAGCATCATTTTTGTTCAAGAAATGCTGTTCGTTTCACCCCTTATTCAGCCTGAGCATGTAGCATGCCCCCACCCTCCCAATGTTTCCCCTCCGAAACGCGGAATCTGTCGCTTCCAGGGACCTTGAATATCGCGAACTATGCTGCGAAGTCAAATTCTAGGCCTCACTACATAGTAGATGAAGCGATAGAGCCAACCTCATGGCATCAATTGAAAACGCCTCCGAGCAGCCTGACTAGAATAGTTTTAGTTCAAGTTTATTTCTATTTTAATAATTCATGTGCTTGCAGCATTTGTATTTGAATATGCATATCCTCATCCTCTTTATCCGGTTTGAGAGAGCGCTTGTGTCCTTGAGCAGATTCTTATTCGGCTTCGGAGCCGATGCCCCCGGTCCGATATTATGTATTCTTGTATACGACCCCGCAAAGCACGGACAGGATTTCCCTAGATTATCTCGGAACCCTTATACCCCGCTTTATGTAGTTTTCATTTCTCGTCGGACACGGTGCCGAGTGTCCGATGACGAGGACTATGCGCTGAAATTAAATTTGGGGGGTAAAAAGAGCTTCACCTCGGGAGTTACCATCAGGATAGTGTGTATATATATTCACATCCTTAATCTTGAATAGATGCAATAGGGAACCTTTCCCGAGAGCTGAGTGATATTCTTGCACCTTTTTGAATCATGGGTTTTGCTCACATTTGCGTCATCGCTCCCACGATATTGGCCGCTGTTCATGCGAAATCTGTTTCGCAGCACTCATCTGTCTGCGGCAGTTTGGTCAGCACAGATCTAAGTCCGGGATACAACGTCTCAGAAGGAGTGGCGTTCCCACCCGGCAGTCTGAACTGCTCGGGTATCATCAACGAATTGAGCCTCTGCCGAGTCCAAGGAACAGTCAGCTATGGATCGGATGCTGCGCCTGACCCCAATGGCCCCAATACTCTCACCTGGGAACTGTATTTGCCAATAAGCTCCGAGTATAATGGTAGATTCATGACAGTGGGTAAGGATGCGCCTGTTAACCCCTTCTCGCCTATAGCAGAAAAACAAACGGTTTGGCTAACCCCATTTGAATGATAGGAGACGGTGGATACGCCGGTGAGATCGACGAGGCGACGATGATGACCCAACTCAACCTGGGATATGCAGTTGCTGGGTGTGACAGTGGCCATTCGCTCGCTGCTAGTGGGAACACCACATATGCTCCGTTCCTTGCTGACAAGGCAGAAGTGAAAGCCTGGATCCACAACTCCATTGCCATGATCACAGAGATCACTCGGTACTTGACCACGAAATACTACGCCCAGAGCCCGAAATTCAGCTACTACTACGGTTGCTCTACTGGTGGCGGCCAGGGGTACGCCTTGGCCCAGTACCATCCGGAATTGTTCGATGGGATCTATGCTGGAAGCCCTGGGAACTGGTATAGCCACTTGATCCTCAGTTTCCTTTGGAACGGGCTGCACACGCAGGGGAGTGGATACATGAGCCAGGATGTCTTGAATTTCATTACCAAAAGTGTATTGTCCGCCTGTGATTCCCTCGACGGGGTTGTCGACGGGCTAATTGAGAATCCCCTGCGCTGCGATTACAACGTCACTCAACTGAAGTGCACATCCGGCCAGAGTCCTGCTAGTGCTAACGGGACCGTGGTATGTCTCACTTCTGACCAAGTCCAAGCCGCTCTGGCCATATATGCCGGCCCTAAAAACGTGGTCACTGGCGATGAGGTCTATCCAGGGATGAGCATGGGCTCAGAAAATGGTTGGCTTTATCAAGAAACAACTCTGTATGAGACCTATTCCGCACTCATACTGAAGGAGCTCGTCTTCGACAACCTGAGCTACAATGTCTCCAACTTCAACTGGGGTACGGACGTCTTCGAGGTCGACAAGATCGCGTCGCCTTTAATTGATGAGATATCCTCGGACCTCTCCAAGTTCCGCAATCATGGTGGAAAGTTGATCACCACCCAAGGCTGGGCAGATCAGTTCAACGCGGCCCTTTGGCCCATCCAACACCTTAAACAGATTCAGGCAACGATGGGGAAAGTAAATGTCGCCGATTTCATAGAGGTGTTCATGGTTCCCGGGGCCGGTCATTGCGGCGCAAATCCTGAATATCCGCATGTCCCAGGGACGTACAAGATTCTGGACGTGCTGATTCCGTGGGTTGAGCAAGGGATCCGTCCGACCCAGATGCTGAGCACAACTCCTCTGGATGGAACCAACACCACGCGTAAACTTTGCCCATGGCCGGAAAATGCAAGATATGTGCAGGGGGATATCGACGACTGGACTTCCTACATTTGTGCCTAGAGAGCATCTGTACAGACACTAGTCTCTTCCAAATTTGACCTAGAATAAACGCAGATGTTCACCGGCCAGCTAAGGTTCCCTTCTCTCTTTTTTATGAGTAAATCCGCGCGAGCTCAGCATTGCGCTACGGAGCTTCATTTCTCGGGCGAAATTCCGCATAGGCCATCGGAGTGGGCCCCCGAAACGTACTGTAGTCGGTTCCACATCTACGATGAGCCTACGACCCTCCGACTGGTAATTCGAGCCGATAACTAAATCTCGAGCTGGGTCAACGACCTTTAAAGGAAACCCGTTGTTAAGGTCCCCGTCTGACTTTGAAAAACTGTTCCTAGTTGTCTTTGACATATTTGAGGGTAAAATGCTCTCCAAACGCGCCATTCGCATTGGAAACGTGTCCGGCGCAACGGGCGACAACCCGCACGCTATGCGGCGGATGGCGCAAGATGGCAACGTCGATGTGATTGTTGGCGATTGGCTTTCGGAAATGAATGTCGCCTGGAATGCCATTGCTAAAGACCAAGATCCGTCGCTGGGCTACGAACCGGGCTTCCTAACGCAGCTGACTGAGTCGATCGACATAATCGTGGAGAAAGGAATCAAAGTCATCACCAATGCAGGAGCTCTGAATGTACAGGCTCTGGCTGCCAAGGTACTGGAGATATGCCATGCTGGGGGCCACAAAGATGTGGTGATTGCTATGGTTCTGGGCGATGATATTTCTCAGATGGTGACGGATCCCGCTAAGCGCGAGAACCTCCTGCATCTCGATCATTCCGAGTGGGCGCTCAGAGATTGGGAGCTTGAGCCGCATTGTGGAGTGGCTTACATGGGAGGTTGGGGTATCGTGGAAGGACTCAAAACTGGAGCGGATATTATTCTCTGTGGACGAGTCACAGACGCCTCTCCAGTCATTGGGGCTGCAGCATGGTGGTATAATTGGGCCAGGGATGATTGGGACCGACTTGCAGGTGCATTAATTGCCGGCCGTGAGTATCATCAAATGAAAAAGGATGGGCATAGAGGGATAGATAGCTGACAAGGGTGTAGATCTTATCGAGTGCGGGCCCTATGTGACAGGGGCCAACTTCTCCGGGTTCAAAGCCTTACTTCCTCAATTGGTGGACCTCGCATTTCCTATTGCAGAGATCAATGAAGACGGACAGTGTATAATCACGAAGCCCGAGCCTCATCCGGGGGCCGTGACGAAACACAATACCATCGCCCAATTCCTGTACGAGCTTCAGGGCGAACAGTACCTGAACCCGGACGTTGTTGCCAACATTCATGGTGTGAGCATTGAGCAGGTCGCCCTGAATAGGGTGCAGGTTCAGGGAATCACCGGATCACCCCCACCGCCAACCACTAAGGCGATAATTGCTGCCAAGGGGGGATATCAGGCGGAGGCTACATTTTACATTAACGGACTAGATGTTGCGGAGAAGGTAGAAATGATGCGCAACCAACTCCTGCATATCTTTCGAGACAACCACTTCAGCAAGTTCTCCATCGAGTTGTATGGGTCCGCTGCACCGGATCCAACAAGCCAACAGGCCGGCACCGTCTTCCTGCGTGTCTTTGCGCAGGCCAAAAAAAGGGAGGATATCTCTGCCGAGAAATTCAAGATCCCAATTTACGCCTTGAGAATGCAGAGTTACCCGGGATATCACATGAATCTGGATTTCCGAACTATGGACCCGAAGCCATTCATGGAGATCTTTCCTGTCGTCATCCCGATGGCGGCCCTGGACCAGCAAATCCAAATTCTAGGAGCCACCATCACCAACAAGGTTATTGACCCATCCGTCGTCACGGCCGAGTACCCAAAAATCCGGCATTCCTACGAGACTGCAAATGCGGTTGATCTGGTCGAGTTTGGACCTACAAAACTGGCTCCTTTGGGCAGTATCGTACACGCCCGATCCGGCGACAAGGCAGACAACTCAAATATTGGCTTTTTTGTCCGAAATAAGGACGAATACCCCTGGCTTCAGTCATTCTTGACAATACCCCAGATCAAGAGCCTGTTCGGAGATGACTGGATAAAAGGGGAAAACCATGTCGAAAGAAGGGTGGAAAGATGTGAGTTTGCAAATATACTGGCTGTCCATTTCCGAGTGTTGGATTTCTTGGATGGAGGAATTGCGAGTTCCAGCAGGATTGACGGTCTGGGCAAGGGCATTGGGGAGTACCTTAGAAGTAGAATGGTTCCTATTCCGGTTCGCTTTTTGGATAGAGGAAGTATTTAACACTTTTATTTAGCATGTTGGAATATAGAAAGCTGCCCGACTTATGGTGACAATTAGCATCCAAATAAAAGGAATCTGATAACCCTATTATGGTGTGTTTCATTCAGTCATCGCTCGCCGCATGTCTAGTTTCCAAGGAGCTGCATGCCACCAATCTGTCCTAGCCAGTCCTGTGAGAGTTGGCCGATGGGATCTTGACCAAAGGCAGACTCATGAAAATGTTGTAAATCATCAAAACAATCTCGAAATGCATCATCGACCGCAAGTAGAGAGGACTGGCCTGGATCGTGGAAAGGCCATCCACCGGACGTCAACATGTCCATTGTATATTCCGAAGTGGAGGTATTTGAAGACAGGCTGTGGCACAGGGGGGCAGGAGGAGGAGGCGGAGGAGGGCGAACAGGCTGCGGACTGGCGGCGGCCCCATGCGAAGTGTGGTAGTCAACCGCATCCTTTAGCACGGCGTCACTCAGTCGATCAAAAACGCGATGACAGTGTCGGGGAATATTCCCACGTTCTGAAACTGCAACCAGGACGTTGGAGCATGAGCGTGAAATGTTGACAATTTCCAGAATTGATGGGTCGGATTCTAGCATTGGTGATTTTTGGCCCTGGGGCTGGTTCTTCTTTGAGCGAAAGTGCTGTCCAGCAGCATAGACAAAAGAAAGACCGGCCATAAAGACGCTATGCAAGGTAACCCAAGTATAGTTGATCCTTTGTAATTCATGAAGATGTGCGTACAAACTGATCGCCTGCTTCGCAGAAACATAAATGATTGGCACCACCACGGTAGCTCTAGATGAGCTCAGTGGGAGAGCTGGAGATGGCCGGTATAACATGAGCAGAGCATTGTAATATATCATCTCATACCACTCGAGGGTGAGAAAGCTGGAGGACCGAGCCCCGTGTGATGCACCACTATTGAGGTTAAGTGTGCACGTTTTGGACCGCCATTCATCCAAATGATTGGCGAGCTCGGCCTGCACAGTCAAGGCAGAAGATTCATTCGTAGTGTGGCGACTTCGGTGCAGGGATGCCATGATTTTACCACAAAGGATGCGGTATCGAGTTATATGGACAAACACTGCTGTCCGGTGCTGCTCCTCAGTCGGTATTATTTCATCCCTTTCTGGGGGGTTCGTGGATTGTGCTATTTTGCAATCGGGAAGCGTGAGATCCACATCTTCTAGATGGATTGCGAAGGGTCGACCTAGCGTAATACTGACCACACTGAGTGTGAAGAACAACATTAGACTCATTGCTTCCCTTATACGCTGCGATTAACTTACCGATCCATTGCCAGTACACACCAGAAGCACCGCCGATGGATCATGAGAGTAGTACCTAGTGGCGTGTTGTGGTTTTCTCGGTACTTGTAAGCTTCCTCCCGATGGAGGCCCATCTCAAAACACATGCGTGCCGCCACCCCAACCATGTGCCACAAACTGGCGGAAGTTCTCTGAGTAGAGCTTGTCAACCGATACTGACAGAGGAGTAGAATCGCCTGCAGCGCTTCCAGGCCCCCTAAAGCTAGTATGTCGTTCAATCTTGAAATGGCTTGTGCTTGGTATATTTCAGCTTCAGGGAGTGATTGCCAATGAAGCTTTTGAACATTAGATGTGGAAATGGCCACGATCATATAGAAGACAAATGTCTCATACGGTTTTCTTTCCAAAGTAGAGGGCTCCGCATAGATTTCGCTTAGGTTGGCCATTGCTGATTGCTGGCAGAGAATCGGATAACATAAGTGATCATGTTCAAAGTAGGCCTCGTGGAGATCGCGAGCCACACTCTCCTGAAGGGGTGGCGGTCCTTCATTGCTCGCGGCTAATGGCCGTACAGTCTTGGCCGATAGCTCAGACACCGGTGCAGACCTCGATCCCTGAACATGCAGATGTCCACGAGAGGAGCTATCAGCTTCAACAGCAGATCTGATCAGATCTGCAAGAAGAACCCCGCTCGTGGAACCGAGAAATTGCCGCTCACCCCCTGCATTCAGGGATAGAAACGAAACCTCATCTGAGACTTCGTTTCGGCTCTCATTCGCGTGTGGGCTCATGGTTGTTGAGGAACTAGTGGCATAATTTGGGGTCGATTTGAAAGCCGCCAACCTCGCCACCAGCGCCTGGTTGGTAGCTTCTGTTTGACGCAATCGTCGCTCAAGCCTTTCGATGACATCTCTTCGGACAGTGGGCTCCTTAGTCCTGTCTGTATACACGCAGGCCACGCCAGCTTTGTCACATACCCCACAAGATGGCTGCACTTTGTCACATCTGGATTTCCGCCTTCGACACCGATCGCAAGCTTGCATATTCTGTGGGACTGTTTTTGGCTGGGGAAGGGGTGTTAGGGCAAGAAGTGGACATGGAAGACGGCGGAGGACGGCCGCTCGGGACGTTAAGACCGACGGGCTACGGCATCCGATAGCGACCACAACTGGGCCCCCACTGCCGTCGGAGTCGGCTTCCTCCTCCGACCCCTAACAGAACCAGGTGGGCCCAGCTAAAAGGCTTGTGGTGGGGAATCGGGAAATGAGTATATCTTTGAAAATTCCTTCCCCGGATCTTTGTACCCCAGACCACCACCCCTTTCAGATTTTCAAGCCCTGTATTCTCCCCATATACTTCCAGCCATGCAGGACGAATATCACAAGAGTCAGCCAGACAGGGTAGAAGATGTGGAGGTTGGCAGTAACGTATGCGTCGCGTCTTTTGCCCGTTGTTGGCGTCCAATGACTGACTATGAGCCTAGAAAGAAACTTGTCCCCCAGGGGAGGTCCAGGTCAACTCTGCAGAAGAAAGGCGCCTCATTCGCAAGCAAGACCTCCGAATCCTGCCCCTTTCAGCTGGAATATATCTTCTCTGCTACCTTGATCGCTCCAACATTGGTATGGTCGAACCTGATCTGTCGCTCAGCCAGTGGCTGCGCTGATGTGTCGATCAACACAGGAAATGCCAAGACTCTTAACTCAGACACCCGCAACGATTTGCTTGACGAAACGCACATGACGGACCACCAGTATATGTAGGTACACGCATGCATAATGCTTATCCCATGCGATAATTGCTGACTAGACATAGAATTGCCCTCATGGTTTTCTTGATTGCCTACGCCATATTTGAAGTCCCCTCGAACTACCTCCTCAAGAGGCTGAGACCAAGTGTGAGTCATTATCCCATCAATATTCACAAGCTGCAGTAAAACTGATTGGAAATGGTAGCGCTGGATTGCTTTTCTCATGCTGTCCTGGGGAGCAATCACCATGGGCCTAGGGGGTACGCATAGCTTTGCACAAGTGGCGGGAGTCCGTTTCCTTTTGGGAATGGTTGAAGCCGGACTATTTCCTGGACTGGTCTTCTATCTCACGTTCTGGTATAAAGTGTCGGAGCGATCACTGAGGGTAGCTATTATATTGGCCTCCGCCACATTGGCTGGTGCCTTCGGAGGAGCCATTGCGTATGGCGTAGGACACATGAATGGCGCAAACGGGCTCTCCGCCTGGCGATGGCTCTTTATCATTGAGGGGGCTCCCTCTTGCGCAGCTGCAGCTCTTGTTTGGTTCATTCTTCCCGACTACCCGGAAACCTGTCGCTTTTTGACTCCGGAAGACAAGGCACTGGCAAAACAGCGACTCTCTGTGGAGGGCGGCCAGGGTGCAGCTAAAGCAATGACTTGGGGCGATGCCAAAGCGGTATTGACAGAGTGGCGACTTTATGCCCACTACCTGGTATGCGAAATCGCTTGATAAAGAGCCGTGACGTTCTTATGCACTAAGCCGAATTCTTAGGTATACTTCGGTATTTCCACACCATTTTCGAGTCTGTCGCTTTTCACACCGACCATCACTGCGGGTCTGGGCTACGAAAACCTTCAGGCCCAGTTGATGACCGTTCCACCATATGCAGTTGCATATGTTATAACTCTTGCGGTCTCCTGGTCTGCAGACCACTTTAACGCGTATGTTGCTCCCTCCACCTCTCCCCGATGTCAGGGGTAAACCGGCGTTCCTAACCTTAAATATAGCCGTGGTATTCACTCGGCTATTTTCTCATTCATTGGCGCCATGGGCTTCCTAGCCTCTGCTGTTCTCCCTGCAGACGCTTATTTGGTAAGAACTTCCTGATAAAAGAAGACTAACGAATGCTGATGATTATATCATTAGCACCGCTACGGATGTCTGATTGTCGCTACCTCGGGTGCATTCTCATGCATCCCTCCCCTCCTGGGCTGGCTATCTTCTAATCTCCAGTCCACTGCTGGAATTGGATTGGCCATTGCATTGAACATCTCCTTCGGAGCACCCGGTCAAATAGTGGGTGTTTGGATTTACAAGTCTGATGAAGCGGAGAGAGGCTTTCCGACTGGGCACTGGACAAATGCAGCGCTCCTCCTGCTTGTATCTGTCGTATGTGTTCTTTTGAGGCTATATTACGGGTTGAAAAATCGACGATCACCCCAAAGACAGTTCAAATATGCCTACTAAGACATTCTAAATGATGTTGGTGGTATTGTTCTAGTTTTCGGAGATCAGATCAAATGGTGAAAACTATGAGCTGCAATGATAGTTTTGTGTTAAAATTACTTGGCTTTTTCCATCTTTTACCTGCTCGAGATAACGTGTCTGGAGTGCCCAGAAACATCGTAACCATTTAATGATGCATGCTAACGGTTAACAAGGATTCACACTGAGTCCATAGCTTAATTAGGAGCTTAAACACGTTCTACGTGACGTCTTAGGCGGAGCTGGGATATCTACCGGAGACCAGAATCTGTCAGAGTCTGTCCTGAGGAAGTACTCAATTGGCTTTCAAGATTTATACTGCTGGGATTACATGCGACTACAGTCGTTCTCGAAATCGCCTTGACCAATATACGCTTAGAAACTCTTTCCTGGCCCCACTGCCAAGGCGTTAGCCCAGATCATTTATTGAGCTGGCTGTTTTTAAAATTAGGGCGCAATTCTCTTTCACCATAGTCTGACGCTGTTGAGAGGTAGGGGATTTGGTTGGGGGTTTGCCGTATCCCATTGGTAGAATATAAAACCGGCGGATCTGCACGGTGCAGATAGATGCTCTCTGACTTTCACACGGAGACATGCCAACTGAGGACCACATCTTGTTAGCCATCGCTTTACCCAGATATTTGAGACATCCCGTGATCCTTTATGCCCTACAAAGCTCTGCTGCAGCATACCACCTAGCCCGTATTATCTTTAGACATAGTAACACTAATAAATCTTTTGTATAAATACGACAGGAGAAGTAAAATAGAGAATGTAAAGGCGACCCCATCACAGATCGTTCCGAGGCAAATTAAGCAGAAACCCATCACCCTCTTAATGTCCGCTGCCACAGCTCGTAACCTGACCCTAGTATTCATGATCCTTGAACAACGTAGCCGTATCCAGCACCATGCCGTTTGCACTGGCAACAAATTCATGCGTCAGGTGGGTGCAGTTGTGAAAGGTCAGCCTGCTCCACCCATAGGCTGTGTCTTGCGAGAAACGGGAGTAGCTGTTTCGCGGCTCGATGAGAGTATCAAGACCATCGTAATGGCCTGCAGCACCATTCATAATATACCAGGGGGAGGAAGGGTTGTCAAGCTCTTTCGGATCAGCAGTGAAGTTGGCAGTAGGGGCGTTACGCTCGTAGGCATGGACGTGACCAGACAGGACCAGGTCAACATTGTGCTCCAGGAAAAGAGGCTCGAAGACGTCCTTGCAGTCGAAGCAAACATCGGAGGGGTCGGTTCCAATGGATGCGTACCAGGGGCGGTGGCCAGCTAGAACATATTATCAGCTTCCATTTATCTTCTTCTTTTAGGCACCGAAAAGTGTGTCTTCGAACAAGGAAAAGGGTGACGGTGACATACCAACGATGATCCAGGGAGTCTTGCTGCGATCCACAGAGGCCAGATCCTTAGCGAGCCACTTTGTCTGGGCATCTTTCAGAGTGCTGAATGGCCCGGCATCTTCGGCTTCGACACCGTTGGGCTCGTCCGGGGCAATGAAGCCATGACCGAGGTCGGTCTCGGTGTCCAGCTGGACGTAGTGCACCATTCCGTAGTCGAAAGAGTACCAGAAGTTTCCAAGACCACCAGATTGGGCGCTTGGCATGCGGAAGTGGTTGATGAAACCAGTGAAATTAGTTTGTCCTGGCAGGCAAATCGACACGTTGTATGTGATACCGTGGACGTGATCAGTGGTGCCGCCGTTATCGCCTACACGTAGATTGGAGTCAACATCATTGAACCAACTCCAGTAGCGGAAGAAGCCTCTCAAGATAAAAAAGGCGGGGTTGGGGGGGGGGGGGGGGGGGTTGGTTTGTACAGTTCGCTTCGTGGTTTCCAGGACCAACCATATACGGCTTGACACCGGTAACCGCCGTCATCTCATCGTAAAATTGGTTCAACATCGACTCGTAGACCTTAGCCCCACCCTCGATAGTAGTGTTAGGGAGGAATCCCTGAATCTCTTCCTTCAACCAGTAGTCGGCGTAGGCAATGTCACCAGCTAAAAGAAAATAATATTCGTCAGAAATTGAGCACAGAAATGTCATCACACAAACGTACGATGCCACAAAAACTCAGTCTCGGCACCCTGAGCCTCTAACGACTGGATGGTGTTTTTGTCACCCGGCTTGAGGGGGTTAGCAGCACCGGTGCCGACATGAGTCGTCAGGCCATCCGGCCCAATTAAACCCAGATCGACAACGACCGCAATGGAGTAGGGCGACTTGTCACCTGCCGAACGGCTAGTCTTGAATGTAAAAGGAGTTTGCTCTTTGCCGTCCACAGGCACATAGTAGTAGACGGTGTTAGGCTCAAGGTCCTTGATGGACACATGGTTGTTGTACGTAGTCGAGGTGGGATAGGTGACGGAGACATCCGAGACAGCCACCTTGTCCATGTGATGTGGGCTCTTGCCATATCGGACGACGGGATGGGAAAGCCGGGAGTAAGTGTTCCAGCTGACTACCATGCCTTCAGGTCCGGCATAGGCAGAACGCACCTGCATAGGGCAAGTGTCATTCTTCTTCGGAGAGCAGGCGGCCTCAGCCGTGGAGAAAAGAGCGAAAGCTGTCAAAGCAGCAGACGCAAGGGTTGCGAAGCGGTCCATCGTGGTGATAAATCACAAACTACCGCTTCAAAGTCGACAAAAAAGCGAGGAAGAAAACTGAATAGTAATTGGAAGGTTCCTTGTCCTTATGTACCTACTGTCTGATCCTCGTATTCATCTCCCGTTCGGCAATAATGCACTTTTCATGGCAATTTGCCGCTGTTGGAACGAATGGTGGTTTGGTTCCTGGACCCTAATATCTATTACAGCTTAGGTTGGTTCCCCACGTGGGGCGCAGGACGCTTATATTGCAACACGTGGACCGCACGTGTCTCTCTAACTGGTCAGATTTCATCGAACCGCCCAGACCCGGCGTGAGCTTAGCCTATGGATGAAACTTGCCGACTTGGGTACCTGGTAGCGAAATTAGGTGCTCATTGCCCAGAATCGTAGCTTTGGTGTGGTCTGGGCACAACGGTGCATGACACTGGTTTGGCGTCCGAGCCGACTAACCTTGGATGCTTTTGTTGTAGTTCAAGGCTGTATATACATCATGAAGACCAAGCTAATTGGAAATCAACTTAGTTCTTCGCATAGAGAGTGCGCAAATTATTTCCGATGTCGCCGAATTATTCCCGGTCGGCACAAGCCCCATATTACAACATTCCCCCTCAGGAGGGACTTGACAGTGAAATGATATCGAGATACTCTTGCTGATGAAGATTAAGCTCCAGAATCGAACTGACTCGCCACCAACGGTTAGCGGGTGCAATCGCCAGGTGCTGAGATTGACATGGGACCGAAGTCTTAATAAAGTTGTCTGGGCGAGACAGAGGAAAGGGCGAGCCGTAGCCGCCGCTACTATTTTATTGTTAGTTACCCGCTAAGCATTGTTAGTCACCCTCCAAGGATGATATTGGCGCTCAGCCTCGACGAGCTGTTCTCCTCTTTCCCCTATCACCAGAAGTATTTTGCATCTCAGGTTTGCAGGGACATTACGGAGTGTATTGGTCAAGCCGATTTCGAGAATGACTGTAGATGGAGTAATCATTCTATTCAGCCCTTAGATGACCCTGACCCCAAACATGCTTAGAGTCTTCTGTGTATAGAATAAACATGCCAACATTCAGTATCAACTAAAACAAATGGGCCGTCATCTTGGTTTTGAGGATAGGATCGAGTGCTGGAACAAAATGCCTTAAACGGACATTCAAGGTGCAAGGGAAAATATATAGCGAAAGAGCTGATTATCCTACGAAACTGAAAGGAGGTAACGGGGGCTTATTATGTTTTCGGAGTTGGCTGATCTAATTTATTGGCCTTGCTGTAAGGGGTTGCGCATACAGTGGTTAGTGTGTCCATACCTTCTGCTAGCCACGAAAAGGCCGTGAACCCCCTTCATACCTCTACAACTACATAGTTAACACTTTTTGTCACTATACGGTTAGGGTTCATACCTTAAGCATGACCGAGGGGGCCTATAGAACAGGGAACATGATTTTTTCATGTTTTTCTTATTGCGAAAAAGGGCTTATTACCTTGGAATGAAGTTAGCGCACAGGAGACGGCCAATTAGTAGCCTTATATGTCCGCGCAACACGTAAAGAAACTGTTTCTGTTCCGAAGTAAAGGAGGCGCGCTAATGTTGACATTCTAGGATGAAGCTTCATTCCGGGCGTCTCAAGTATAACATAATGTCAGGAAGAGAGATTTTCGTACGAACTAGTACCCAGAGGCCAGATTAACGATTTCTAGGCCTGGAAAATCTGATAAATTAAACGGTGAGCTGGTTCTCACGCTAGCTAGCGACCGGGACCGGACAAGAACTAGCTTCGGGAGGATCACCGGGAGAAGCTCCGGTCGCCGAGACACGTGTGGGGGTGTGTTTCGATCACTATCCTTTCGGGAGTTTTACATTGACTGTCATCAGGTAATGTTCGAAAACCCCTAGCGAAGATCACGTCCTATAGATGCCCAAATTCCGTTTGTTGTCGGAAATTTAGAGCTTGAGAGTCGCAATTTAGCACTCATCACAAACCGAGGAAATATTACTCTCCCGATTAGCATCTGGTGATTCTTCACTATTTTTGAACTAAACATTCGACGCTACTTTACCGGAACAATGCATCCTACCTCCGCGTGGCGGAAGAGATGCCGGGTATTACGCGAGCAGTAGTTCTCTTCGTATAATCCACAAAGATGAATAAGAATCCCAATGAAATCTGCTAGAAATAATAATCTAATTCTGTTTCTAGAACCTCGAGTGGTCCTTCCTTTTTCTACGAAAAACATCGTCTCACTGCCTAAAGCCCCCTCCACCATGTCTTTGGATGACGAACTCATCACAGTATGTTGAAGTTTACACTTACCACAATTTAAAATCATCTGATATATTGGCTAGGAACCAAATGCAAAGCGGGCAAAATCCGGACAGTATGTCGAAAATGGCATCAAGAGGTCAACGCGCACGCCGACAGAACGGGTGATCGAGGCTCTCTTTTCAGAATCCGTGATGGCAAAGCTGTGGAATGTCGCATCCAAAGCCCTCAGAAGCGTAGGTCATTTCAGAACAAGGCTTTTTTGACTGTTTTCAGATACTCATCTAAGAACAGAGTAAGCCACCGGTTCTTTACCCCGAATACACCGGCAAAGATGGCACCACATACGTCTACCGATCTCTCGACTTTTGGACATCCGGCTTTTTCCCAGGATCTTTGTACCTTATCCACGAACGTCAAATTAAGTATCCACAGGCAATAAACCACCAATACTGTCCTCACCCCCTTCAAATGGCGCATCTGTGTCGGTTGTGGACAGCCAACCTACATCAGAATGCGCTGAAGCGTGACACCCATGACTTAGGTTTCATGATCGCACCGTGGGCCATGCAGGCCTGGAACATCTACCATGATCCGACTGCATACAACACTCTCGTCATGGCAGCTCACTCGCTCGCTAGTCGGTTCAACGCTACAACGAAATGTCTTCGAAGCTGGGACGTCTGCATCACGAACCGATACTCATTCACAGACCCATCACAGGATTTCCTGGTTATCATTGACAACATGTTGAACCTGGACCTTCTCTTCTGGGCGGCGCACGAGACTTCAAACAAGTCACTTTACGAAATTGCTCTGGCGCACGCATGCACGACGCAGAAACACCATATCCGCGAAGATAATACCACATTCCACGTGGTTAATTTTGATGCAGAGACTGGGGACGTCAAGGCCAAGTTCACGAATCAGGGATACGGCGATGACAGCTGCTGGGCTCGTGGGCAGGCGTGGGGAATCCTAGGTTTCATGCAAACATTTGAATGGACGGCAGACTCGTCATTCCTCAACACGGCGAAAGATCTGGCTGATTATTTTATTGCAAATCTTCCAGCAGATGGTGTTCCGTACTGGGATTTTAGTGTCCCAGTTACTGCGGCCAGCCCACGGGATACTTCGGCTGCTATGATCGCCGCTTGTGGCATGCTTCTTATTTATAAGGCGCTCAGAAACACCCCAGAGGCTGATCACTATCTGTCCGAGGCTATTAGCATTGTTGATGCCACCGTCACAAAGTTCTTGAACCCACCGACCTTTCGATTCAAGTCTACTCAGCATCCCTCGCAAGTTGCTGTTTTTCAAGACGGCGATATTGACGACAACGATGGTGACGGTTTCGATATTTTATCTATCGTAGATGTTTCCGATTCTAAACCCCGCGACACTATTTTGGATGGAGCAACTATTAACAACTTTGAGTTTGCACCAAGGCGTTGGTCCAACCACGGGCTGGTCTACGCCGACTATTACTTCCTTCGTTTCGGCAATATGCTTCTCGAGTTGGGTCTGGTCGATGCACCGGAATTCTCCATCCATCATAGAATATAACCGTGCCTGAACGTCGCACCAATACGCCTTCCACCTTTTTCGGTGCTCCACACTCACAATTTTTCTCACTCCGCCTCGAAGTTCCACCTCGAATTGCTCACTGCTCTCAGAACATGGCTATCTTTAACGCTAGTATCCGTCCGTTGTCTTGTGAGAATATATGATCTTTTGGCTTAGGGCTTGGCTGGCCACGTAGCGTATTTCGTAGCCGACGATTGATTAACTGCTGATATTTTCGACCCTTATGATCGGAAATTTGCGTTTAGTATCTTTGAAATACATTGGAGCAGAGCCTGGCTCCTGAGGCACTGATATTTTCTGGTTTGATGGCCCAGTTGGGACCGATATCGATTTTGCAAAATGTGGTACTGTTATGTACCCACTGCATTGTTATTTCCACCTGTTCCCAGGCTTCTCTCATCCTGAATCTGTGGCCCACCATAGCGGCTAACCCTCTGACCGGGGCTAGAGGCAAGACTAAGTAGATAGGACAAGTCCTCCTGTGGACTCACAATACCATCTGTAAAAAGCGTGTGGCCTTGCCACATAGTAGATTGCTGATGATGCAAGGACTGTGTACCCAGTGACGAGGGTGCCTGGCTCTCAGTTGCTTGGGCATAGTTGCAAAGGGGATCAGATCTCGAGAGTCCAATAAAATCTGGCTGGAACGCTGGCGGCAGTGGTGGGAAAGCTAAACTGTATGGGTCGAAGTCGGACAATTCCTGCATTGATCTCCTGCTCATATTTCGAGCTGGAGACACGGCGTTTGCAGCCTTTGGCAGGAATAGAGGTGCTACGGAAGAATCCATGCCGGTATTGAGTTGCTGTTGTGGCTGGTCTTTTGACTCGTCCGAGTATGCGGTCTGTCGGATGTCAAGGCTCGGACAGGGTGCAGCCATCAAATTGCTTGGGGCTTCAATAAGTCGCTTTGCAAAGCTTGAGGCAAGGTTATCGCCTTGGGAATAAGTGCTCTCACTATATCCCGTCCACCTCTTGGAAATCTCCAGTAGGCTTGCGATTAAGGTGTCGAGAGTGGGAGGAATAGGAACTTGATTATATCTTGCATGTGCCAAAAGCATCCTTCCTGCAATGAAAAGGCAGAAGGAAAATTGAGGATTCGTGAATATTGGCGAGAACGATAAGAACTGGTGGCCAATGGTTGCGATCTCAGATGCGGCTTCCAGACAGGTCTCCGCTGATGAGGCAGATGGAAGTTTGATTGGGCAAGACTGCCAGTGTGCCGGCGGATAGGCGATTCCTTGGTGCAATAGGATCACGGCAGTGTTGTGAGTGATGTGGGCCAGGGTGAGATTCGGATCCATGACTCCATCGCTATTGAGCACGGAGGCTTCTCGCCACTTCGGAGGTAGATACAACTTCCATCTGGACAAATAAACATGTTGGTTAATAATAGCAAAAATTTGATGATGGTTAAACACTTACTGGATAAGTCGCAAGTCGAGCTCTTTAAATTTCAGCAGCCATCTTTGGGCTTTCTCGGCATCCCCAACAATGAAAGCATGATGAAGAAAGAAATTAGTCACTAATGCGAGTGATTCGGTTGCTTCAATATTATAAGCAAAGGCGCCGATAGCGTCGTGGTCCTCTCCGTTCATCAACCCCCGGTTGCTGTTGACAACTGAACTGCTAAATGCTGTATCCTTTGAGTCCGAGATCCCAAAGTACGGCGCACAGACCTCCTGCTCTTTCTCCCAAAGACCACCTTCACAAGGTAGTCGACGCTTCACATCGGCGCTGGTGAGGCTGATTTTCCAGCCCGTCGATACGCTGCAAAACCTATCCATCAGAAAAACGGTCCAGAATACCCGACGACGCTCCTCGGCTTCGCTCCAAGAACTAGAAGGATTCAAAAAGACCATGCGTCGAATGAGTGTCTCGCCGGGGTTTGTTGCACGGTTCAGTACATCTTCCTCGACGCTTAACTGCAGTTGCTCCACTGTGCCCACCATACTTCCGACAATAGACCATGATGAAGGCCCGCGACCGCGGCCAATCTGCATTGAAGTCAGTTTGGATCAAAACGTGGCCGGAGGAAGGGAGGAGGAAGCTCAATCCTGACCGTTTCAAATGCAATAATGACCAAGGCTTGCAGATTCTCGACGGAGAAAGACTCGGTACTATCAAGTATAACTTTTTGCCGGCTCTTCTCTGCAATTCGTGATCTCCTCTTCCCCTCCCGTAAAAATGTACTCTGAGAGAAGCGGGCACACACCGCGATGATCGCATGAAGGATGCAAGTAATACGCGGGCGTTCATCTGGCAATTGCATACGCTCGCGGAATCTGGCAACATGTAGAATAGGTATCCAAGGATGAATATTCACGTAGTACAAGTCTACGAGCTCGGTCATGACATCTGCTGGCAAAATCGCAGAGATATCGCCATCGATGTCAATTGGTAGGGCAGATGGAGCCGTTTCCTTTATCTTCCGTCTTTTTTCTGCACGTAAATCTGCTTCTCTGTTCACGGCATCCATATGGGGCACACTTGGGCCGTTACTCTGCGCTGTTGGAGACACAGATTGAAGTAGAGAGGCCTTTAGTTGCTCACGTCGCTGAGCCAGATCGGCAATATCGGTCGGTCGGTCGGTGGGCCCTGGAAAGGGGGAGTTAGGATGGAGCGCTTGCCACATCTGCTGCCAGAGCATCTCCTGGCCGAGAAACATATTCTCAAGGGTTTCGATGCGACGGTAGAGCTGGTCAACCGCGCCTGCACGGAGGCCAGGCTTCAAGCGACGGTCATCATATACACAAGTGACCTTAAATCGTACACATTGCGAGCAAGGCTGAGCGCGATCACATCGGGCCTTTTTCTTGCGGCAGGACTGGCAGGCAGGCACCTCATCATCGGGCTTGGATGTTTCCGGTGGCTGTTGGCCATTAGGCTCGCCGCCGGGTGTATGAGTGGGTCTAGTCGGCATTTAGACCAGTTGGAAAAGACATCAGTTGTTTGCACAATAGAAAAGTGAACATAGTGATGCGTTCGAGATTCTGGGGGAGTTTCTTGCAAGCGAGCAAATTGACGCACTGCGGGGAAATTAGACATTGGTGCCTTGCGCAGTGGTCATCCGATTTGGGGGCCAAAAGTTTTTCCCCACGGGGAACCTTCGTTCACGCGTCTTGTGAGCCTGGGTGCCTGGCTCATTGAACCTTAGCTCTGTTTTAATTAGCAGAACACCATTCGCAGAACAGCGTGATGAGAATTTCGGGCGATGGGGGAGTTACCGGAGACTCTCCGGTGCGAGGTTACAGTACATACCCGAAAGTCACTAGTGCAGCGGGTGAGTCGTACATTGGCGTCCCCCCAGTTGAACATGGCCCGAAATGCTAGCTACCAGGATTGCTAGGGACATTTAGACCATCTTGGCAAATTCAGACTGTGGGACTCAGGAGCACTCCCATATCTGATCCGCACCACTCCCATGGGATTTGTCAGGGCCTAATTTCATCCTTAGTAAATGACTCAGTAGCGAGAGCAAGCTGATTCGGTTTAACTTTAGACCGTGATGTACACATGTACATTATCAGATCCTGGATTGTTCTAGTGTTCCATAACCCTCGGTGGTAATAATGCGTAGAATTGAATAGACGCTCGACGCCTACACCAGTCGGAAGGATTGAGAGAATATCTCTTGTAAGGCTCGCAAGTAGCCAACAATTTCAATTAGAATAATATAGTGTGCCAGTTGATTAATCTATTTCTAGACCAAGTAGTGATCTTTGCTAGCCAAGCGAATCTTTGATGATTTTCTATCCCATGTCTACAGTCAATACCTGAAAACCCAATCTTATTCGTATCGGAGTATAGGACCCAGATCTTTTTCGGTCAGTGCCCACACGTTATAGGGGCCTAGGAAACAGACGTGGAGAAACATAGCTAGTATCTAGGACAGAGATTTGTTGACTTCCCGACCGCTGTTCTGATGTAAAGATCTATTAGATCTTGTGATGTGATACAGGAGAACTTATATAGACTTTGGGGGTCGTAAAGCAACGACGGATATTAATTGGATAATTGAGACATAATAGGATGACAGATGAATAAGAGAAAGACCCTTGAGAACGGGAGCTTACATCTGTTGACCTGCTACCGTTGACTTGCGACCGTAGGATTTAGTGAATTTGGCTAGTTTAGCCAAAAGCAAAGTAGAAGTTGATTTACAGAGACGTAAAACAATATAAAGTACGAACTTGTGATTTAATGCCTCGCGTACTCGCTGCCGGACATATAAGAGCTGAGGAAGATGTAGCGAGCAACTCTCTCGCCGGATTTGCACTCACAGCCTTGGTTACATTTTTCAAAACAAAGATTAATATCACGCGCTCAGAGCGCCTCTCAATTTTTATACTGCCAAATATACCGGTGTGGTAAACCACGAAGCCTTCTATATATGTTTGTTATAATAGAAGTTATTGGCACCGCAGGCGTGGTTAAATCCTAAGTGATCGGCGAACGCGTCAGCTTGGAGCCGGTGAAGATTTGCACCGGTCAGGCCAGTCAAGTCAAGTGACACAGCTATATAGTTCATAGCAAAAGCTAGATCGCCTAGCCAGTATCAACAATTATTGGCTTGCACTAGACTAACTCCATAGTCTCCACTTGCAACCACCAATGGGGTGGCCATGTGGTGCCGGAAAATGAGTGCTAGACAATGACTCCGGCCCTTACTCCGGATCTCCGAGCTCGACCCACTTGACGACGGTTGTCTTTTGGCTAAGCAAATTGTCAAACATCGATGGCATGGTGCCTCCATGTGCTACCCCGGAATTCTGATCGCGGAGGCGGCGGCGACACAACGTCCCGGAGTCCTTACACTCCATCGTTTGCACCTAATATAAACCCGCGCGAGGCCGACGTCCTTGCAAGGCCAGGCTCGTTGTTGACGGATTGCATCAGAAGAAAAGGTACCCTTCGAGGTTGAGAGTTTTAGATCTCTACTCCTTCGTGCAACCTTTTCCATTCCGTCAGCTGCTATCTCCAAAGCGCCAACATGTTACAATCTACGGAAGCGAAACCTGCTCTGTCCGACCTCGATGAGTTCGAGGGTCTTGTTCTGGCAGATGTTACCCCTAAACTCAAAAAGTGGTGGTTTCAGTATCCATCCCTGCTCAAACTGAATCTGCTGTTACTTTGCGCCTTCCTGGCTCAGTTTACCTGCGGGTTTGACGGTAGTATGTTGAACGGCATGCAGTCCTTGCCTTCGTGGAAAGCTGCATTTGGTAACCCGGTAAGGTCGGCCAAGTGTCTCTGGTCCTCGTCTCGGCTGCTAACAGCCTGGACAGGATGGTGCCAAGTTGGGCACTATGGTCAATGCTATCAACATTGGTGTACTGGTTTCTGTAACCTTCTCCTCGCAGATGTGCGAGATCCTCGGACGAAAGAAACCCATCACAGTCGGTACAGCTTTAATTACTATTGGATCGGCTCTCCAGGGTGGTGCGCAAAGCTTGGGCATGTTCATTGCTGGCCGCATTATCATCGGTTTAGGTACTGGCATCGTGGCCGTCGCCGCTCCCCAGCTAATGACGGAGGTCGCGTATCCAACCCACCGTGGAAAGATTGTTTCTTTATATATGACCCAGTGGGTCGTGGTAAGTCTCGTTATCCACCAAAATAGATGCCATTTACGCCTGCAGTTCTACCAATAGCATGACGAAGCTAACGTAGCACTTCTACTTAGGGCTACTTGATCGCAGCTTGGACTACGTTCGGTACTTTCAAAATGGATTCCTCTTGGAGCTGGAGGCTGCCCAGTCTCTTGCAGGGTGTTCCGTCAATCCTGCAGCTGGTGCTCAGTGTCTTTGTACCGGAATCTCCTCGTTGGCTTGTTTTCAAGGACCGACAGGAAGAGGCTATGAATGTGCTCGCCAAATATCATGCGGGCGGAGATCGTAATTCTCGACTGATTCGCTTCGAAATGCTTGAAATCCAGGCGACGTTGGAAGAGGAAAAGAAGGAGAAGGCAATCCAGTGGAGAGAGTTTATCCGCACCCAGGGAAACCGAAAGCGTCTCTGGATCTTGTTGTTTATTGGCTACGCTGCTCAGTTGTCTGGCCTTGGCCTGACCGGATACTATCTCGCTAAGATCCTTGATAGTATCGGTATCACAGATGCAGAGACTCAGCTGCTCATTAACGCTATAGCAGCTATCTGGCAGTTATGCTGCTCGATTTTCTTCGCTATGCTTATCGACCGTTTTGGCCGAAGAGGATCGATCACCTTCGGCATGACTATCATGCTTCTTGTGTTTATTATCTGGACGATTTGTTCGGCTCTTAACGAGCAGAGGAACTTCACGGATCGCCCGCTTGAGCTGTCTGTTGTTGCTATGATTTTCCTATTCCAAGTTGGCTACCAACCGTTTGCCATTGCCACCGTGCCTTATGTTGTGGAGTGTTCTCTCTTCTCTCTTCGGTCCAAAACAGCTATGATCTTCCAATTTTGCGGATACACAGCCAGTTTCTTTACCAGTTATGTGAACCCTATTGCCATGGACAGAATTGGTTGGCGCTACTACATAGTCGCCTGTGTCGTTCTGGGATTTGAATGCGCATTTGCGTGGTGGTATTTGCCGGAGACTAAGGGCAAGGGCCTTGAGGAAATCGGCGAAATTTTCGATGGCGAGGAGCTCTTGACGGGTGCCCAGGCAATCACCAAACAGTATAAGGAGCAGCATGCGGCCAACAACCTTCGCGAGAGGAAGGCTTTTGCCGAGCATGTCGATGTTATTAACAAGGACTGAGAGCCAAGTGAACTGGTGAACAATGTAAATGTTTAACAGATCCGTATTCTGGGGGTCAGACAGAATTCGTCATAATCGTGTGTTGCTTGGAAACGTTCGAGCTCCAGAGATGGGACATTGGTGAATATCGTAAGGCATCGTAAGCGGTGAGAAGACTATACGCAGGCAATGATCTCATTTGCAATATGAGGCCTACGAAAAATTGCTTTCTTCTATGTAAGTGTATTCGGCTCAACATGCGGAAATCATTCTCATTCAAGTACCGTGAACAGTCGCGTCAGGCAGCTTTGCATCGCGATGATCCATGCGCTGAATATGGGCACGATATCCAATTTACCAATCCCTTTGCTCCAGTCCTTCTTGTCAATGGTGCTTTACATAATAGCGCCTGAGGGATTGGTCTATTATCTTATGGACATAACATACCGGTGTGGATCTCCAAAATGCGAAAAAAAAAAGAAAGTTAGATATGCTCAATATGCTTTAAAACTCCGAGTTTATTTACCTAATGTTTGCGCCACACTACTGTAATTCTGTTGTGACCCCTATAATAATTTGGGCAACTTCGTTTGTCTTCGTCAGCTGGGCCATATGTCCTGCATCTAAACGGACAATCTTGCTGACAGCTAATTTCGCCATCTGCTCCTGGACCTCAGGCAAGATTCCCTTGTCTTTCTCGAGAATAATATAAAGACTAGGAACATCGCGCCACCCGCAGTATGTTGTAACTCCGTCCCACTTAGCTGGCTGGCACTGCAGCTTAGTGATCCATTCTGTAGCCTCTGAATCGGCCATATCGTTGAAAAGAAGATTTCGAGGGTCAACACACGTGAAGTAGCTATTGTTCTGCCAATGCTTTAGTCAGTTTCATTATGTTCAACACAGTGGAAAGGTACAAAGATGGAGCCATAGTGAACAGATAGCCTGCGATACTCACGAAGAATTGCATTGTTGATGTTGGTTTCGTCTCAAATCCTTCCGACCCAAAAGCACATGACATGAAAATAATGCGTTTGACCCCACCCTTCTTGCCAGCAGCATGCATTGAGGTGGCTGTAAGGTCTCGCATAGCCGCACTACAAAGAAAACCACCTGCAGAATGCAGGAAGACAACAACACCATCCGACCCAGCCATCTCGACGGTAGCAGCAAGGTCTCGGGAAATAGCAGTGGTGTCATCTTTTACTGTGAGGCCGTCAGCGGCTGTTGTGCCAGTGCTAATAAGCCGCGTGGTATAAACAGATAAGCCGGCATTCTCGAGCTTTTCCTTGAGCGGTTGAAAGGCTGCGGGGCCTTCCCACAAACCAGGAACGATGAAAATCACTGGCGCCATGAAGTCTCGGGAGCCATAAGCTGCAAGAGCTTTTACGCTTATGCGAATACCGACGGGGTACTGTGGACGTATTAGATGTCAAAAGCGCGTGAAAAGACAACAATTAACCTGAGTAGTTTTTCTGGGGGTTGTTTAAGGTGATGCTCGGTACTGTGCCCACCTCATGGTCTGACTGCGGCATGTCGGAGCATTCAGCGGAGCCGTCTGCATCGACTCTGACACCCGACCGGAAGGTCGCACGGACGGATGGCCGAAACAGGTTAAGCCTTCTTTTCAGGTTTTCAATCTACGATAAAAAAGGTCACGAGGAGAACTTGGCCAGTAGGCGTAGATTCGTTAATGAAAGTGCCATCTTATGTCCACTCCCAGCGTCCAAAATCACAAGGGATGCGAGGAGTCAGTTGTACGCTAACGCTCCTCCCATCAACGCGAAGGGGGGCCATTTGCTCATCGAGCTCCTAGAACCCTCGCCGGTATGGAGTTCTGTGAAATGACCGGACGATATATACAACATACCTTTATTCCCACCACAGTTGGTCCTCAGCCCAGATATCGTTTATTTAGCATTCGCTGGCCATCGGTGCCCGCTATTCCTTGGTAGAGTTAGTTCAACCTTTGTGGTCTGCGTTAAGCAATTGTAATGAGCACTATGAACACTGATCATATGCTTCTCCGGCCTTGAACCCAGACTGATGTCTGCTATTTAGCTGGATGGAGAAATAGGGCACTTGCCACAGATAGGCGCAAGTGGCGCACCCGACGACATGCAATACCTTATAGGTCAAGGCCTGACAGAATGGCTGGCAATACTCTCCAGCTTCAAGAAAACAGGAGACAACCAACGACAGCAGGGAACTATAAGTCTGCTGCTACCAGATTTCACAGGGTTGGATACCCCAAAATGACTCTTATATAGGAATGTCGAACTTCAAACATTTGTAAACTCAGCTTCTCGGGCACTTGGGGACACAATTTTGCTGATGCAGCGGGACTGGATGATCTAACTATGCGAGTTGAAGCCTCCATTATAGCCTCGTAATTAGTCGGACGTCAGAATTCTCGTCTACCGTCGAAGCCTCCATTCCGCCGGAGCACACGCGTCCTTGAGAATCTGCCTTCCCGCGTAGTAGCCCGGAATTTACTGGGCTCTTTGACTTGGGACGATGCCGCATGTCCTTTATGAAAGGACCTGGCCTTCAAGCGACATATGTAGCATCTGAATGGTGCTTTGCTGAGGGTACCTGCTCCCGATTTTCACATCTTATCTTTGCCAAGGAGGACTCTGACGTAGCAGGGTGTGAGCAGCCTCCCGATGACTAGATTGAATGACTTGTTTGTGTGTACTGTCTCTCTCTCATCAGGGCAAGAATATACTTTTTTACTGCAGAAAATCTATACATAATCCATTGTTTGCTATCAATAACGCAGCCTAAATTCCGCATAATGGAAGTCGGCTGGCTCCGTGCACTTCCGAAAGTCTGCGAAGGCATATAATCCCAGCAACATACCTGAGAAGGCTAGCCCGATAGGTGGCGGTCTTGTCATGACCTTGTTACTCACTTTTCCCAACCACTGAGGTTCTAGCGTCTCATTCCCCGTCGCATCAAGCTCCTTGAACCCGAACTCATACTCAGAGTCGTTGCATCTGATCAAAAGAACAACATCGGAGTCAAATCTACGGAGCCTGCGCTCCACAATCTCGCATTCCGCTGATCTGAACCGAACAAGTCTTGCTCTGGCTGTGGCATCTCCGTTGGTTCCATCATGCACTTTGCGGATCCCAATACTGCTGTAAGTGAGGTAATTCCACCAGACCACCGATCCAGCTTCTTCACGCCCCGCTGTCGGGTGAAATGAGAGCTTGGTCTCCCAGACGCAGAACCTGTGCGTCTGCTTCCGCAGAAACAATGTCGGGCTGGCCGGCAAGGAGAGGTTATAAGGCCCGCCATGCAGGCGCAGACGACTTGGGTTGTTTATCATAGTAGAGTCGACCTTCTCCGCTGTATCTATGTAAATCTAGTGTTAGAGCTTAGTCTAACAAAACAAGAGTCAAAGAACTAGAAGAACGGATAACCGGAAGAGCTGTGTGGTGAAGATATCGGTGTCTACGTACTTTTTCTGTACCATCCCAACTTTAAAGAAGGCTCAGAAAAGTCATCTCTCCAGATAATTCGCGAGTGAGTTTCCGGCTCAGGGCCGACGCAAATTTTCTGTCCACGGTTGATGATGGGCCACTCATCGATCCATTGCACCCGGACAAGGAATGTCTCGCGCCCTGAAGACGATCAGGTTAGCAACTCCATTCAGGCTGATACCCTCACGAGCCATACTCACCAAAAACGGAATCTTGCCACACGCCGTCGCTCTTTCGAATCGGCCGCACTCCAAGAAGCACGGCCCACCATTGACCATTCGCATCCTCCACAAAGTCCGCATGCCCTGTGTTTTGTACCTCATGGTCGGTAGATCTGCTCAGCAGAGGGTTATTCGGGAAAGATGTCCAGGGCCCCAGAATTCCATGCTCGCTCCGGAACACCCATACGGAGTGCCTAGAGCCAGTGCCACCCTCTGCTGTGAGAAGGTAATAATACCCTCCGCGTCGAAAGATATGCGAGCCTTCGGCAATTCCAGAAGGAGATTCACGAATCATCACTGGTTTGGAGATCGAGTCACCCGTTTCCAAATTTATCTTGCAAGTGTGGATGGCGAAGTCGAGTTGTGATTTATCTGCATCAGGTGATCGATCGACCTTTACGTGAGTGGTAGACAAGTACACGCTTCCATCGTCTTCCCAGAAGAGCTGGAGAGTTCGTTAGCGTTGGGTATGTAGACGAGACATGTTCTGTGAAGTTCGAGATAGAATATTCGGAGACTTACATCTTGATCGAATCCCACCATGTCAAAGTACACAGGATCTGACCAAGATGACGAGTCCCATATGTTCGCTGTTTTGATATAGAAACCTCTGGGAAACGTCCGTTCGTCTTGTTGGGGTCGGAATCGGTCGAAGCTGGATGTGGCTAAGTAGAACATATTATCATGATATCTCAAGGTTGGCGCCCAAACCCCTCCTCCTGGCTCAGGGGCCGCGATGTGGATTTGACTCCTCCTAGTCAAGGCATGGCCAATGAGCTTCCATTGAATCAGGTCTTTGCTATGGTATATGGGGACCCCTGGGAAGTATTCAAAGCTGGAAGTCGCAAGAAAGAAGTCGCTACTGGCACGAGTGATAGAGGGGTCTGGATTGAAGCCAGGCAGAACTGGATTGGGGCGAGTCATATCTTGCAATGTCTCTATTTCGCTCAGAAATGCGAAAACCAGTGTATTTTTGTACAAAAATTGTTTGATCGGACTACTAGGGCATTTTGTAGGCACATTCGGCAGGCCTTGTGCCCTTTATCCTCGGACGTCTACCTTGGCATGCGGGTTGACCCACGGCAACTGCGTTTCGGCTATTGTCCTCCAAGCCGCGAGATTAACTGCCCGCAATCCTCTGCGCGTTTCGGTAAATCTCGCGGATCTTGGTTATTGCGGGGCACCGCGTTATTTCATCGACAACTATTTGGATAGATTGTTTAAAATTAGGCCGGCAGTTCAACCTTGCTAGCCATTTCCTCCTTGCCTCAATCTTGAACACATTGAGATTCTCTCCCCCACCCTAAACTAAGCGGTCAGGATATTTTATCCCGGTTGCTCTGATTTCTTGCCTAAGGCCTGTATTTCATTCGTCCCTGTTGCAAGACCCACATTAACAGTTTTGACGATGCGATGGTCTGGTCGGCCCATTCACCGGCCATTAGCCCGGTCTCCAAGCACCCAATGTATTTTCAGAAACCAGCCAAATTATTGCAAAGATTTGTTTAGATTTACCTTTCCGCTAGTCTCGAGTTTGTCATAGTCGCTTGCAATGCCGTGAGTCCGGGGTTTGGCCGCGAACCTCTGACGAGATCTGACACTCCGATGTTTACTCCGGATTATTCACACGACAAATTCAAGTTTCCGTGTGCTTTAGGCAGGTATATTTAGATATTGCTATCTGCAAGTTGTTGCTGTTCCTACAACCACCTAAGTGTTTAAGGCTTAACTTCGTTATCCATTCTTGCCAGTCATGTCGAAGGTCCGTATTCGGTCTGTTCATTCTGAAATATGATTATCAAAGCCCTTAATCTAATTTAATACGAGATCCCAGTTCATCTCCATTGCCATCTGGACAATGGCAATGCCATGGTTAACCATATGCAATGCGCGTACCTTGGATATTCCAGGCATCTTTGGGCCCATTCAACAATTTGGCTCTCAGACGGGTGTCGACGCAGCTACGTACTTTAAGGAGAAACCAGGAGACTTTGTCCATCCAGGAATTTGGCACAGTCACGAGGATCTTGAGCGCATGCGCAACGGTGTGCTAAAAAACAAGGAACCCTGGGCGTCCGCGTACAAAGTGTTCAGCGATGACTTTTACTCTCAGGCTAACTACTCCGTGCAAGGACCAGAGGCGTATCTCTCTCGTGGCTTAATTAGCAACTACACCTCATTTACTCACGACGTTCGTGCCGCATGGCAGAACTCTATCATGTGGTATATCACCAAGGATCAAGCCCACTGGCAGCTGACTTCCGATATCCTGAACGCTTGGGGCTCCGAGTTGGTTGATATTGTGGGCATTGACCGGTCACTTCTGGTTGGCCTTGAAGGAGACCTTTTTGTGAATGCTGCCGAAATTATGCGTTGGGAGGGTAACTGGACAGAGGCTGGCGCTGCCTGGTCTGGCGGTTCTGGCTTCAGCAACCAGTTGTATTGGCTTTTCTCACGCCAGGCGGCAGTGATCGGTCAGGCCAATTATGGAATGATTAGCATTAAGTCTCTTCTGAGCTTTGCCGTCTACCTCGATGATGTTGATCTGTACAACTATGCTATCAATGCGTACATAAACGACCGCTGTGCTAGCGTATTTTCGCTCTACAGTCCGACTACAGGCCAAAGTTCAGAGTCGGGTCGTGACCAAAGTGAGATTCAGTCCAACGTTGTCCGGAATCCTCCCTGTCAAGCTAATTTACGAATGACTAGGTCACGCAACCTCCGGCATCGGGTGGACAGCTCTTGCCGCCAAAACCGCACAAAGTCAAGGTTCCGACCTGTTCAAACTAGGAAACAATCTTCTTCTCAAAGGATCCGAGTATACGGCCAAATATAATCTAAACTACACGGTTGAATACGATCCATCCTGGTATCGTTGTGAGGCGGTACTCGTGAATGGACCGTGGAAGACTATTTCCGAGGAAAATCGAGGCATAACCAACCAACTGCCGATTTGGGACATGATATACTACGAGTATGTTGTCAAGCGAGGCCTTCATGCCCCCTACACTGCCGAGGCGTTCAACGCGGAGGGCTTCGAGGGCCAAGTCTTCACGAACATGGATGACTTGCCTAGCTGGGGCTCCCTTGTGTTTGCCTATTAGGCGGTTGCATCTCGGTGGATCTTGGTGGATTAAAACTTAGGTGAATTATGTACTGTACTCTAAGTTGTTAAAAAAAGTATTTACGCCTATCGATTTATGTCATCCACAGCTCTATAACAGATGCAAATTACGACTTGCTCTCAACGGTTCTATACTCTTAAAGAATAACCCAGGCTGAAAAAATCAGCTGCTGTTCTAATCTCATTGGGTGGCCCTCTTTATTATCCTATCAAGGGCTGTGTGTTCACAATGCACAGTGCTATGCTGCTCATGTAAATGGTGCTCTCAACCAAAAAAATAAAATAAAATAAAATAAAATAAAATAAAATAAAATAAAAAAGGCAAGGAAAATCGCTTCCTACCCAAATGGAAGATTCTAAGCATGGAAACTAACCGTCATTGCCGTCTCTCTCTCTCCGAGGCTGCTCGTGTGGGGCACAATTGTAGTATACATCGTGGTCGGAGGTGCTCCGGGAAATCTTCCGGTCGCAAAGTAGGTCGAATAACAAGAATGAATTCATAATGTTCTAATATTGACTCCCTTCAAGCCATCCTGAGTATTTTGAAAATATCTCTGCCTTGATGGCCGCAGAAATGGAATACGCGAGGTAAGTTAGTTCCTTGAGTCAGTTGCAGAGGCTCATAACGCTCATGGGTTTTGAAGAGTAGGAGACTCTGGTCTTTACGTATCTAAGATTATTCTCGGTACCGCTGGCTTTGGATCTTCTCGCTGGCAAGACTGGGTCTCGAATGAGGAAGATGCGCTGCCATTGCTTAAACATGCCTACGATGTCGGAATCAATACCTGGGATACGGTACGTTTTCTGCATGTTCATGTATGTGTTAGCACTGAAAGCTTCGTCTGCAGGCCGATGTTTACTCCAACGGTCGGTCTGAGGAAATCATTGGCAAGGCACTTAAAGTGTATGAAATCCCACGGGAGAAAGTTGTGATTCTTACGAAAGTCTTCTACGCACTTGACCCTGAAGGCCAAGGTCCAATCGCTAGTTTGATGGACAAAACGCAGCCAGGTTTAATCAATCGCGTGGGGCTGTCACGCAAGCATATCTTATCTGCAGTTTCCGACAGTGTGCGAAGACTAGGAACCTATATTGATGTCCTGCAAATCCATCGGTTTGACAAAGATGTCAATCCTACTGAGGTTATGAAGGCTTTGAATGACGTCGTGGAAAGCGGACAAGTGCGGTATCTTGGCGCCAGCTCCATGGCGACATGGGAGTTTCAAAAACTTCAATACACTGCTGAGAAAAACGGCTGGCACAGGTTCATATCTATGCAAAACTACTACAATCTCCTGTATCGTGAGGAGGAACGTGAGATGATCCCCTTCTGCCGAGACAGTGGCATCGGGCTGTTGCCATGGAGCCCTTTGGCGCGAGGTGTGCTGGCTCGTTCCTGGACGGAAAAAAGGACATTTCGCGAGCAGACAGACAAATTGTTACAGAGCCTTGTACGTCAGAACGAGAATGGAGCAGATATAGAGGTAATCCAGCGCGTTACTGAGATTGCAGAAAAGAGAGGTTGCAAGATGGCCACTGTTGCCTTGGCATGGTGTTTGCAACAAGGAATGTTTCCAATCACTGGCCTGGGAAGTGTGGAGCGTATAGATGAGGCTCTTTATTCAATCTCTTTCAAATTATCACCGAGCGAGGTGAAATATATAGAGGAGCCATACCGACCGAAGGATGTATCCTACTGATAGCACTCGATGTTGAGGGATTATTTCCCACTGTCGACACGAACGAAACACTGCTGTGGAACATTACCTCCCCGTATCTCACCAGAGTACTGCCATCGACAAACATATAGAGTATTGTGGGAAAGCGAATAATAGAGCAATGTGTACTTCGGTATTTAACATGAAGCGGATGTCGGCAACGGCCATTTGGAATATCCTGTGAGAGATAGAGCGGGAAAAGATCTAAATCTAGACACCAACCAGGGTGAAGAGACGGAAAGTTCCGTTAGTTCGTCCACTTGAACAAAATCAACATTTTGTTCCGCGCTTCCTTTTCGGGGTGCGGGATATTGTCCGGACTTTATCACAACAATCTCCACGTCCTTATACTCGCCCTGCTGCCACAGTTCACTTGATCTGGTATTCTGTTCACGAACATTTTCTACTTCCGTCATAACAGAATTTTCCAGAAAAATGCAGACCTTCAGGCATTCTTATGGAATGCTAATCCCGTATTGGTCTCTCATGTTCCTCTTTACCGTATACACAGCGACAACATCAGCTACGACGACAGCGGATCCCTTGGCGTACCGGAACATCAACGGTACATACCAAGCATTTGGTTCGGCAAACGTGACTACCCTGCTCGACTTTATCAATGCTCGATCCGATTTGAGCTCACTAGCATCCGCGTTGAACGTCTGTGGTGGATTTACAGAGGCTTTCAGCACTGACGCGACATGGGACTATACCTTCTTCGCACCTAACAATGATGCATTTGAGCAATATACCGGGAGATATTTTCAGGACAATGCTGAGACTCCGTGAGTGACAGAAGAGCTTATAATATGTACTGAACCATTCGCTAATACAGGCTCCAGGAAAGGCAAGTGGTGGATGGGTAACACGATCATTCATCATTACGTGCCAAATACAGCCCTAGATCTATCTGCTTTCAGCAGTACGTATCAGAGGTTCCAGGTAGGCGTAGCCCTAGCATCCGAAGAGATGTTGTTGTTCGGGACTAGCTCCACTAAGTTAAACAACAGACTGCCACCTATCTCTATGTTGGAGCCCAGATTGTCGATGGTGATCTCACACTCAACCAAGTGGCCAAAGTAGTCGAGGGTGATTTCCATGTTTCTAAGGTATGTATAACCATATTTGTTCATCCTATATTCGCAGTTTCCTTTTCCTCATTATTTCATAGGGCGTAGTTCACATAATTGACAGGATCCTGGATCCTTCGGCGCAAATATTTAACACTGACCTTCTGGGTGTCTCGCAAGGATTTATCGCAGGGAGCTGTTCGAATGAGGATCTTCCCTACTGTTAATGGGGATATCATACGAGGAACGAAAAGAATTCTGTGCCGACACTATAATTAAGGACCGAGAATTTACCCGCTTGAGCATTATGAATCTTGATACATTCGGCGTTTGATCAAAGTCGAAAATAAGAACTCATGCGACTGTAATTTTAGCATATTCAAGCTCTCTGGGTACAATTGGTTTCTTAGATCTGTTTTACTTGATTAGTTCTTAATATGGAGATCGAGAAACTTCTCATTTGGGCCTCTGGTACACCGGTGGTAAAGCCTGGTGAGGTCTTCAATTGTCAATCTATCTACATTGTCGACCGCTATGTAATTAGCAACTTAAATACCAACGTCTGATATGGTGCTAATTTTGCCGCTAAGGTGTTACTTTTGCCGTAACTCTCTCCAGACCAAAGCTCCTTTACACCCTTGAGCCCAGTGATGTTCAACCCTAGACTATGAAATGAGACACTGTATGTCTGCTGAAAATTTTTCTCGTTGAAGAGCAGAACCACGAATCCATCCTGAATCTTCCCTGCCCACACCTGGATCGAACCTTCTGTACTTGCAGTTTCGATATAGTTAACAGCTTGGCCAAGGGAATCCTGGTTCAAAGCAATGATGTTTTTATTTGTCAGGACCGCCGTGCTTTCATTCGAGAGAGTAGCAAGATCGGTGCTAATGATCAGGGGAGACTTCAAAGCAGCCCAGAAAGCAAAATGCGTTTGCTGCTGGTAGAATGTCATGTTTGCGTTGCCGATCTCCAGGCCATCCATATCTGCCCAGTGCCCGAAAGTCTGGTATTGGCTGATCTCCCTCATTTTCTTGATGATTGTCACAACAGAGCATCCTGCATAGCCTGTGTTCAGGCAATATGCAGTCTTGCAGGGACAGCCTGTCTCATTGATGAAGGTTGGCGTGATATCTCCAGATATCCGGTATGAGTGCCCGATACCTAGATGGATTGTTAACGTTCTCTTGACATTATACACAAGAAGGGATCTCACTTCCACCCCAATGCCACGGGAATTGATATCCCCATTCACAAAGAGCGTACATGATATCTCTCCCAGAGAGCTTCAATGCGTCGTTCATGGCTATAAGAGTCGTATCATGTGGATTAGTCTCATTTCTTCATATTGTTATCCATCAAGAAAACAATTACGTGGGAGCATGGAATACATACCACCAAAACGTACCTCCGGCGCTTCTACCATACCCGCAAATCCTCCACAGTTGTCGTACTTCAAATAGTCGATCTCCCATTCGGCCAATGTGAGAGCGTCTCTCTCCTCATATCCCAAACTTCCGGGATGGAAAGCGCACGTCATCATCCCGCTATCACCATAAAGGCCGATCTTAAGTCCTTTTGAGTGAACATAATCTGCAAGATTTGCCATCCCATCAGGAAAACGAGCTGCATTTGCCTGCAAAACCCCGTCTGAGGTTCTTTCTAATTCGGACCACCCGTCGTCGAGGTTGATATATTCATACCCAGCATCCTTCAGGCCGAGAGTCTCGAAGAGTTGCACTGTTTTCTTGACGACAGATTCATTGATGTTGGAACCGTAAGCATTCCATCTTCCTGACATTAGCACTGGTGACAAAGAGTACTTTTTCCGCCGCTTACGAACTCCATCCCATCTGAGGGGCTCGGCTGGATGAACAGCTGGCCCCGAGGCCATTTGCAGGAAGAATGACAAGGAGCTGCATCAGCAATACAGTCCACGAGCGCTTAAAATTGTATTGCATAATTTCTGAATAGATCTGTATGAAATAACAGGAGTAAAATTCAAATCGACAGAAAAAACAAATTAGAGTCTGAATTACTGCAGTGAAATGTCGCTTTTATCACTTTCCTTAGAATCAAGCCGGTGTATCCTCCGGTCCCGATGAAGCGTGGCAATAAGAGATTAGATTCTTTTCACCAATCTTTCCCTCATCAGGGGACGGACTAAGTGTCGGCTGAACTCCGCTTGCCCCTTAACGGTCAAAGTTGTTTACAAGTCATTTCTTATTTTATATATGAGCTGAGTACTACTTTTGCCCATTAGAATTTTGTGGAAGCAGTTTTGACAGTGCATGTAAAGCTTTCAACCTATCAAAGAAACCTATCGATAGAGGCTACTTCATCGGTGAATACATGAATTTCTTCCAGAGCCCGATCTGCCACGCAGTCCCATCGTGGTTCAGAACCACGTTCATGTCGTCATACTATTCTGTGATGATGACCCTGGCATTTGGCTCCTGCACTGCCATGTGGAATGGCACGTCGAGGCTAGCCTGATGACAATATCTTTTGTACAGGCGTTGGAAAAGCTCAAAGAAACCGTGCTCTTCTATTGAAATATTTTAAGGGATCAAAGAAGAGGTGGCTAATTGCTTTTTGATCTCGATCCAAAAAGTGTGGGGAGCAGAAGAGAATACTCTGAGGCGTTTTCCTAGGTCTTCCGGTGCTGGACTATGCTGCATACATGTTGCCCAACCACTTATATGTGCGTGAGTCTCCGCGTCTTTTACCACCATCTTCATGATATTTCAGACAATAGATCAAGGTAAAGTGAGGACTACGAAGTGATGACTAACCACTTCCTCGACGTTCCCAAATTCCTCAAACTTTTAACGCAAGTTAGAATCATCTGTACTCCATGACAGGCCACTAGTCCAAATCTTATTAACATAATCTTTAGTTAAAAATTATCATCACAAACCCGATAAATAATTCAGGCATGTTTTGAAGTCGTGAAGTGATGAGTAGACGGCTGCTGTGATTGATATGGTGTGAGATAATATGCTCCTTGGCCAGAGGTTTATTGTGTGGCTATCGTTAGTTAACGGGAGAAGGGATATTTTATATGGGAGGGGGAATCGGTTAATCTCGTGTTGAGTGGGATAGATCTGGCCGATCGTCGACGACGAGGGGCATAGCTGAAAGTCTTGGAGAAGGGTAGGGTTCATCACGTACTTGTAGATCTTTCGCATTGTTAGATATATATAGACAATATCTCTCTTTCACCGTAATTTTAATCTGCATGTTCCTCTGCACAGTGGAGTATTATGAGGCTTTCATAGGAGCCAATTCAGGCAATGCATCTCCGTAGGCATAGCGGTGAACTTCACTACATATGAGATGACAAAGATCGGCGAGGATTGCGTCATTAGAAGCGTTATTCTCTATTTGAATCAATAAATTCTTGAAATATTACGCGTAATTCGGCGGCGAAGATCTGCTACGGTTGGCATACTACCATTCATAAGAGGACTGACAAATCAAATGGATTAACCTTAATTGACATCGTTGCCTAATAAAAAGGGTGTAAAAAGTTGTCTGCACAAAGACAGACAGATCGAACAGCAAAAGAGAACAACCACAACATGCGAGAGCAGCGGAAGGACCCAGAGATGCAAGAAATACGCGTCAGATAAAAATACCGCGTAAAAGAAGATTTCTGGTCTCAGAGAGCAAAAAGTGGTCTTGGGTGGTTGAGATGGAATGTCTAAACTCGCTCCTCATTAGGCTAGACCACCGTACGTTACCCAAGTGCCCAGCTGAACTGCGTCATTGTGGAGGCCAGTCTTTGTTGTTACTTATAGCACAAGTAGAATAATGCCTAAATAAGAGAAATAAGGCGAAGGGAATAACTTAGAGCCAAATGGCTAAAGGCGCCTAAGTGTGAGGGCAGCTATATCGTCACGTATACTACGATAGAGCACAGGATGAATTACCAAAGGAAACATAACTCGTGAGAGGGAGGAGTATGTCCATGACCAAAAAGAATGCGGATATTTTTCAACCAGTGATATTGGCAAAGTACCCGCGCGGGCTTGCGATGCGGAGAATCTCCGGCTTCGGCATTTTACCGCTCTTCACCACGAAGAGAGGAAATAGTTATAACCAAGTTAATGATGCTAAGATTTCACTTATGCCAAATGTAAAAAAAATCACCAATCCAGATATGTATTCGAAATATCCTCCATTCGCTGACCTGCCTTTGCAAAAGGAAGGGCCACGTGGAAACGCTTGGGGACTATGGGGCCCAGAAGACCAAGTCGGAACTTTGAATCACCTTACCGAAGAAATTGTCGCCAGCGCCGCACGAGAAGGGATTAAATCTGGGAAACTGATATCTTTGAAGTATGTGAATATGTATAGCGTTTGAAAACAGCGCAAAGTTATTGATCCGAGGTCATATACAGTTGGACGTTGACAGGGTCATCATATCCTCTATTGAATCGGAAAACCCTCGACCTCAAACTTTTCGACAAGGCCCCGCTGAAAATTGCCCATGATGACGAGGTATAAATTTAAAGCACTACTGTTTCTGTCCATGAAAAGCCGCTGACGAACGCCTCCTAGTGGTCGTTTAACTCACAATGCAGTTCTCAATGGGATGGATTTCGGCATTATGCTTATCAAAACGAAGCAGTTGGTTCAAAAGTAGACCTGAAATAAAATATCAGATGCTGACTGTTATTTCTCGTCAAGCTCTATTACATGGGCCGAACTGCAGCACAATTCGCAGCTTCCCCAATACCCAACGGAATCCAGCGTGAGATACCATTCCTACCTTCGACTAACCAGAAAATGAAACTCAATGCTATCAGTACTGACAGTTCAATTTAATATTACAAAGATATCGCCAATAAAGGCATTGCAGGACGCGCGGTATTCATAGATTGGTACAAATGGGCCGAGAAGACCGGCCGCACTGTCGATGCCATGGCCACCCATCCCGTCTCTTTCGCCGAGCTCCTTGAAGTATTAAACGATCAAGGGCTCGCAAAAGAGGATTTTCGCCCTGGAGACATTATTCTTTTCCGCTTCGGCTATATCAGTCAGTACGAAAATATGACCGAAGAAAAGCGGGCTCGTCTCGATGAGCTCTATAAGAGGCAGAAACCTAATAATATCGGCATCCAGCCTTCCCAAGAGCTGTTAAAATTCCTGTGGGATAAGAGAATTGCTGCCGTTGCAGCAGATACACGGTCCTTTGAAGTTTGGCCCTGTACGGAGACTCGCTGGCATCTGCATGAGTGGCTGTTGGCAGGTTGGGGGATGCCGATTGGGGAATTGTTTTATCTTGAAGAGCTTAGTAAGGAGTGCGATGAAGCCAACAGATATACTTTCTTCTTCACTAGCTCGCCGATGAATGTAAACCTGCCCTCTTCCTCTCGATTTTGACAAAGAAATAGCAGACTGACCTTACATGTGAACGCAGGCACCCGGAGCAGTTGCGAGCCCTCCCAATGCATTGGCATTGTTCTAGGCTACCTGAGAGAATGAGTGGTTGGCTCAATTATACAATACTGAGCCTTTTAGAGTATTTTGCGCAAGGTTTTGTTTGCAAGGATGAACCTGTTAGGAGAGGAATGCATTTTTATTTGATGAGGTCGGGAACGTCCTGTAGATTAGTGAAGCATTTTGAGCAGTCCTTGAATCCTTGAACATAATTTATTCTCGCATAAAATACTCTTATTGTAGTAAATAATCTCAGTTCATAACTATACATTGGCTTGTGAGTGTTTCAGAAGGACCCAAGCAACAGTCGTGATTAGAGATATGGAGGCGCATTGAAGCTTTACATAAAAAAAAAATTGATATCTTCTGCTGGCAGATTATATTCTCTGCTAATTAAATCACCATCTATCCCCGGAGCAAAAATTAGAGCGTGTAAAGGTAAAGAGGGCTCTTCTCCCCCATTGCAGTTAGCTGCTCATTTGTAAACTCCTCTCGAACTTCACGTTCGGAAATAGAGCGCTTGATCCGGTTAAGACGCCAAAGACACAACTCAAGAACGCAGCAGGTGACAATTCCCAAACTGATGATAGCGATCGATACGCCGTAACCGAGAATGTAGTGCGGCGCCTGCTTGTCAAGAAAAATATTCGTGCCAATGAAGCCTGCACAGTTATTATTTGTTTGTAGGTCAAATCTGCGACAGTAAAAATAACTTACTTCCGATATTTCCAGCAGCTAGCAACCAAGCTATTCCAATTGACCGTTTCCAAGATTGAGGGAGGTTGTTCCCAGTCCACGCCGAGATACCGGGGAGCAAAGGGTAGATGCCAATTTGGGCCAGAACAATCGAAAAATACATGGCGCCTTTGTATAATTCGATATCGGACGAAAGGGTAAAAAGCAAAATGAAAGATATAAGCATCAGGACCATGGGCGCAATGATGAAGGGGAACCGCCAAGTAAAACGATCCGCAAGGCGGCCACTGAACCAGCTTGAGAGAGCACCGCAGAAATACGGTGGGATAGTCAAAAGCTGCGCCATTGACGCCTCAAATCCCAGTTTGTTAATGATAGTTGGCATGGTATAGGAAAATGCTGCGTTCGGAGCCGCATTCACCATGGCCAACAGCACGCCCAGAAGGATTTTCCAATCTAGCATCGTGCCGAGAAGCATAGAAAATGAGAATTTATCACCCTCACCCTCAGCATAACATACACCAGATTGTCGTAACCGGAGGTCGATAAAACGTTTCTCTTCTGGTGTCAGCCATTTCACAGTCTCCGGCCCGTCTGGAAGCAGAAATGGTAAACCAAGACCAAATGCCACTGGTACCAAACCTTCAATAATGAAGATCCAACGCCAGCCAGCAATGTTTTCGAGGCCTCCCATATTAGAGATGCCGTAGGCCAGAAGACCACTGAATGCCCCAGAAATGGCTGACGCTGTGTATAGAAGGGCCAGGCGTTGTTGGATTTCGTGGCGGGGATACCACTGAGTGACCAAATATACTGCACCGGGAAAAAATCCTGCCTGAATCCGGGCTGTCAGTCCTGACTGGGTGAAGACAAAAAGGGAGAAGTTTGGACTTACCTCACATAGCCCCAGCAATACTCGACAAGCCGTGAGGCTTGAAAAGCCTTGAACTGAGCCCATGCAGGTCATCACTATTCCCCAGGTGATGACTTGGAACGATAACCATAAGCTGGGACGGAATTTCTTCAAAAGTATGTTCGACGGGATCTCTGGGAAACGTCATCAGCATTCGATGTAGTGATGGTGAATTTTTGAAGGGATATTTCGAATCACATACCAAATATAATATAAGGGACAAAGAAAAGAGTACTTGCAATGTTGTACTGATTCCCTACCAGGTGCAAGTCATCATTCATTCCTTCAATTTTCGCATTTCCCATATTGTTTCGATCGACATGAGAGCACAAATAAAGGAATGCCAAAACGGGGATTAGGTGGAAGTCAATCTGTAGAATCTTCTGAGAATAGGCTCCGGAGGTTGGAGAAAGGAAAACTGAATACCTTTCGGATCACTTTCTTTCCTTTGGGGCCACCATATTTAAGCAGAATTTCGGCCTCTTCATCTGAAAATTCGGAGTAGACAATGGACCCAAGATGTTTGGCATGCAGACTATCCTTCTTTTCTTCCTCGATCGTTTCTTGTGCCATATCTCCTTCCAAGCCGCTTTAAACAGTTATTGACAATGTCTTGACCAAGATCTCAAGGCACAGAAGCACTCGTTCTCTTTATTTAAGGCTCAGCTCGCGGGATGGAAAAGGTAAATAGGGAAGAATATATGAAACATTTTAGGGAATCCTTATGCAACAAGGCTTCCTTTTCAATAGCTAAATCGCTGGTACCTTAGTCTCTGGAAGAAGGCTAGTTCATTGTTACCCCGTGGGGTAATCCTTGCCGGAAATTTCCCGAATTTCGAGAAGCAACTAACTTTGCTGTACTCCTTAAGTCCTTCGGGGAATTGCCGGTACTATTACGCGATTCTATCTCTCTACCTAGATTGAGAGATGGCCTCTCTCTGTGTAAGCTTTTGTACCCTAGCACCAAATACCACAATGCCGATTAAGCATATCAAACATAGTTTCGATGTCTGCTGCTGAAACGCTAACCAGGTTGTTCGAACGAACGACATCACAAGGATCTCCTGCTAATACTGCAGCAAAACAGTTCTCCGGTACGCTTGAGTTTTGATGTGATATTTTGAGTATTCGGTATCGTCAAGTCGCGAACGTTATACTGCAGTGTGACCAAGTTTTCCACAGTAATCCCTCGGCTCTTGCTTTACGGCTATTAATGAATAGTATATATTCCTCTTCCATGACGTTGTAGACGATCAATTGTGTTGAGTTAAATTACCTGCAAGTATAGGATTGTCCCACATTTCCAAAACAGTTCCACGTCAACCCGGATAACATACGGCCCTAATCAGCCAGAATAACTGAATCCGCTCTGGAGTACCTTCCTTTCATCTTCAGTTAGATGTAAAAGAAAAACTGCGTTGTATCTCGCTTTCTGAAGCTAACTTGCCAAATATCTTGTTTGCACGACCGAGCAAGAATCGGAGCGACAGTATGCAGAATACTCCTAGCATTTGGAAGGCCAGCAAACAACCCCCTGACTCGCGATACGTTACTTTGAGCCGATCCAACTAAAAGGGAAATATTGAAGCGATATTTGAGCATATATTTGCAAAAGAATCTTAATGACGGGAATGGCTGTACAGCCTACGGAGGTGTGTAGGTAAAGACAGTGCATAGTGGGAAAATCTGCTTGTATTGTGTGTCATGTGTGTTGGGCCAGTTGCACAAAAAAATGCGTCTCTCCTCTCTGTCTCGCTCGTGTATCTACAAAAGATGCTTTCTCCCTAAGTATTTGGAGATGGGCGAGGGGTGGTGAGATCAAACCTCTAGATATATCAGAATGAAATCGTACATATGTTTGTTTCTTAAGCGTTGTGCGCCAGTAGACCGTAGAGACCCCTTGCTCCTATGAAATTTTCGTGCAAACCGGCTTACGACCTCTGGTCAAGGAAGGCTTCACTCTCCTAGCTTCACCGATAGGCGGCACTCCAAAGAGCGTAGTAGGCCCTACTCGAGGAAGGCGCGCGCTCTCTACATACCCAGGTCCCTCTGCCATTTCAGGGTCTCGGTACGGCAGCTTATAATAGTCTCGGCATTTATGCTTAACGAGACAGACACGCAATATGATAATGCCCCTTTAAACAATAATTACAGGAATTGCAGCCCAGTAAAGCTCCCGTAGTAGAATCCACTAATATGCGTGTCTTGTAGATCGCACTCTCCCACTTCAGGAAGTCATTGCGCCATCATGCAGACTCGACATGTTCAGCCTCAGCCGCAAGACCCCCTTTATCAAGCTGCTCAATCTGGACTTCCTCATGATTGGGATACGCAACTTTGTGCACAGTATACCACGGCATCTGAAACAAACTGTCCAGCGCTTCAAGCGATCGACCCGTCGTATCCTATTCAAGCCGTCAGCAAATGTACTTTTATCAAGAATGCAGGGTGCAAGCCCGAAACCCACCGGCATAGCGAAGAAAACATAACCCAAAGAGAGCAAACAAATACAAGCGAAAAAGACAAAAGCACCCCACTTATCACTCGCAGCGAGTAGACTCGGCATAGCCCGTGAACACCCGAAATAGAATGCCCAGTGGAATCCCATCGCCACGGACATGTTGAACGAGCGGATCTTCGTCGGGAAGATCTCCGAGCCGATAAGGTATGGCATGCTGAACCAGCCGATGCTCCACGCCACGGCGTGTAGAAAGATCGCTACGATTGCTGCTGTCGACGCGTGAGAGACGGTTGGGGTACTGATGATGTATTCCGGGGTCATGTTCTTCGTCCCGCCGAGATAGCCACCCACGTACACGAGCGTTACGATTTGGAGGATGATTCCTGTTAGAAGGGAGCGGCGGCGACCGATAAAATCGACGATGAAGAGGGCGAAGATGAGGGTGCTGATAAATTTGACGACGCCGTAGATGCCCGTCGCGAGGAACTTGGCTTCATCACCGTTGATGCCTAGGTAGCCGAAGATCGTGGGCGAGTATTGAGTTATTGCATTTGCACCGGACCATTGCGAGAATAGCGTTGCCATGAAGATTAGGAAGAAGCGGCGTCTATTTTCAACTGGGATTAGGGTTTCTTTGAGGAGATCCCATTGGCTGCTGTTGCTGGTTGCTTCGGCTTCGTGGAGGATTCTTGCATCCATCCCCAAGATTTCGGCCTGGAGGACTGGGTGGTCGATAGGGAGATGGCGTAGCTTCGACATGGATGTCATGGCTTTCTCGCGTTGGCCGATATAGAGAAGCCAGCGGGGAGACTCGGGACAGAGGAAGATTCCTAGACCCCAGATTGCGGCGGGGAGGACTTGGAGGAGGGTTGGAAGCATCCATTGCGTGTCTGTGTTTGCGTACCTCTTGGTCACGCCGTAGTTAATGAAGAATCCAAAGACAACACCGAGTTGTTGACATGCTGCATATTGCAGGGTTAGAAGGCCACGGATAGCTTTAGGTGCTATCTAAACCATGTATTAGTTCATGAGCTTCCATTTTGCTATTTTCAGATTGAGGCTCCTCACCTCAGCGATGTAGATAGGCGGAATGACAGTCGTCGCCCCGATACCGATTCCCGCGATGAACCTGGATGCATACATCCCAGAGAGATTTCCACCATTAAGACCCTGGCCTAAAATGCCTGCAATGTAGATCACTGTCGCAATGAGGAGAGCCCACCGCCGTCCAAACCGATCAGTGATGGGCAGGCACTACTTCCGTCGTTAGCCTTGCACTTGATGCGTTGCTCAGGAGTCATACATACCCCAAGGCATCCAAAGACAGCACCCGCCGTTGCAATAGAGACCAGCCATCCTTTTGTATTAGCATACTGGTCCTCTGACTCTGTGTCAAGTCCAAAAGCCTTCATGAAATGATGTTGTACAACAACGGAGGCAATATTTCCTGGTTGATATGAGACTTCGTCCGAGACTGAGTGCTATCAACTGTCTTACCTTCATCGAATCCCTTGGATACACCTGAGAAAGCAAATATCCACGTACACATCAAGACATACCAATTGAAGATTCCCTTAGGCGAATCTTTGACTGCCTGTCTTGTCTCTGAGACGAGGCCCATGGTGTCTGTATGTCACTGAACAAGGGGTTGTACAGCTACCTCATGCGCAGGAATTGACACTAAGCAGGAAGAGCTAGTTCTATCTTTTTCAATTCCCATGTAATAGGCGGTTGTGTGGGGTACAGCTAAAGCAACGGTGCCGGAACTTAAGCCGGTCGTCGGAATATATCCGTTGGCGTTGGGGTCCACGCACTTTAGATTTAAAGGCTGATAGTCTCGGCACGAAGGTTATGCGTATTATGGAATTCCATTACACCTGATTTTCGAGCCCTGCGAGTTATGAATTTCTATCCCAGTCCGCCAGTCATACAAGCCGAGATCCTTGTCCGCATCCCGGATTTTTTACGATGCACCGGGCAACCCACAGACTGGAAAGGTGGATCGGCACTCCCGGCATCGGATATCTTCCTAGAGGGTCCGACATACATGGATAATGGGGACCTCTACGTGACTGATATTCCATACGGTCGGATATTGAAGATTGATTCGCAGAATCAAGTGACGGAATGTGTGCGGTATGATGGTGAACCCAATGGGATCGCTGTTAGAGACGATGGGTGCATGTTGGTCGCCGACTATAAGCAGGTATGCGGTTACTCTCAAGCATCAGCTACATCCACTGACAACTCCAGGGTTTGCTTCTATTTGATCCTTCAGAAGGAAAAATATCGCCCTTCTTGACTCGCCGAAACCTCGAACGCTTCAAAGGCCCGAATGATCTGGTGATTTCGTCCAAGAATGAAGTCTATTTCACCGATCAAGGCCAGACAGGCATGACAGACCCAACAGGTCGTGTTTATCGGCTTTCTCCGGACGGACGGCTCGACTGTCTCGTGGAAAATGGCGTCTCACCCAACGGAATTGTTCTATCCCCAGACGAACGGTTTCTATACGTGGCCATGACTCGGTCCAACGCCGTGTGGAGACTTCCCCTCAATGTGGATGGAAGCACGACAAAAGCAGGATGTTTCTTTCAATCCTTTGGCTGTGCCGGTCCTGATGGGCTAGCTGTTGATGAAGAGGGTTCATTATTCATTTGTCATCCTAGTCTTGGGTCAGTTTTTGTCGTTGATGCGGATGGGGTTCCGAAGGCGAGGATCGTTACTGCGGCCGGAGGTGGGAAGAACTTGACAAATTGTACCTTTGGGGGCGAGGATGGGAAGACTATCTTTATTACTGATAGTATTCAGGGGAATGTGCAAGTTGTGAGGTGGCATTGTCGGGGTGCCGTGAGAGCTAAATAGAGGGCATACAAGTTTTAGTTGGTATCGAGTTTCGAAAAGCCTTTTGAATTAAAGAATGAGTTGGATTTCAAATCAGAATTGTGTTATCTATTTGCACTTGCGAAGAGACATGAGATATTCATACAAGTTGTTGACCGCAGCCATGGCACTGGCGGTTTGTGCCTGTCGTGTTGCGGCTCCAATATGGGGCGTGCTGACGACATTCAGATTCTCCCACAGCGGCCCATATTTCTCCATACTTGGCGGTTCCTGCTCGTGACAGTCTAATCCAGCTCCCCAAAGATGACCTTCAGCAAGGGCCTTTGTCAGATCGGCCTCATTGACGATGCCACCTCTTGCCGCGTTGATCAAAATTGCATTCGGCTTCATCGATTGAATCTCCTTGTAGGAAATCAGATCGCGTGTTTCATTTGTCAAAGGGACATGAATTGAGAGTACGTCGGCATTCTTGATGACTTCCTGGACATCTTGAACTCTCTGGTGTTGAATGTGAGGCCATGCATTTTCCGGCATGAAGACATCGAAGGCGATGACCTTGGCATCGAAAGCGCCGCGGAAGATCTCCGCAACTGTGCGACCGATGTTGCCCATGCCGATGATACCGAGAGTCTTCTTGTGAAGAGTCAAGCCATTGCAAGTCTCCTTGGGAACTGGCTTGGTCATCTGACGAGTCGTGATGGATCGAATATCTCGGGCAACCGTCATGGTAAGGGCCAGTACTAGCTCGGCGACGTCTCGTGCGTTCGCGCCAGGTGTGTTGCAGATCTTGATTCCCCGCTTAGCACAAGCAACTTGATCGATCTTGTCGATGCCGACACCGTGCTTGCCGATGGCAATCAAGTTAGGGCAACTTGCAATGTCATCTGCGGTTAGGTATGACCCTCGAATCAAAAGTGCCGAGGCGTTTTGACGCCACTCGGAGAACCCCTTGTCCCCGTAATGAAACACATTGAAGAGGGTCTTTGCGTGGGCGAGGGCTTCTTCATTCCAGGCATCAAGGATATAGACGGTGGGTTTGGACAGAGCGCCAACGTTTGATTGGGGTTGATCGCCGTTGTCAATTACTCCCGGGGCCATGATGCAGAACTAAAGGCGGCAAGGTGTTCAAATCTGTATGGTAATACCGGATAGATGATGCGCGGGGTCCTCTTGAAATATACTTACATCACGCAGAAGCAGCATTCCATGCATCGGACTTCCGCCGTTGGCGGCCCCTCCGATGGATGTCCGATGGAGCCTAACGGTTACCCCACTATGTGGAGTTGACCATGAGAGGGTTTCATCGCAGGCTTTCGGCTATGAGATCCCGAATACCATCCGGAATCATCTGAGGAAGTTCGTGGATGATCGGGTCGAATTTCGGATTGCCCGAGACGGAGTCGGAGAGAGCCCAAAGCACACGGCGGAAGACCCTGAGGCCGACAAATCTCTCTCCCACCGTGGTCAACAGAGCTGTGCACTTATTTAAAATGCTTGCATCTGCAAACGTTGGCGAGGATCTCCCAGCCAGACAAACAATGACCACACCTGCCGCGAAGATGTCATATGCGTCCACAAATCCTCCTGTGAATTCACCGCAGTCGGAGCGTTGATATTCATTCTCAATATATTCCGCGCAAGTCGTCACAATATCCCTTTCTATGGTCTGAGAGCTGTGAATCATACTTGGCTCAACATTTGCGGAACCATTCGACTTCAGAATCTCGACAATAGCCCGACTTGACAGTTGCATCACTACTCCTTGGGTAAATTTCGAGGCGGATGCATCTGACTTGATGCTGCGGACAGAGTCTCTCCAGTAGCACATATTGCTGTAATGGAAGAGGACGCTATCTAATGCTCCATCACGGATTCCAGACATGAGCCGGGCATGCGCGATGGACTGACTTGCTAAGCCATTTTTCTTATGGGGCAAGTCACTCATATACTCCTCAGGGCCCTGATTGCGAATACAATAAGCATTTGATTTGAGGAATCACGATATGCAAGCAATGTTAGGGAACTTACTTGCACGGTAATGTCGTCATCTTCGATATTGAATGGCCGGTCCATTATCGTGCTTATTGTCCTATGTTATGATTAACACGGATTCATCATGCAACCACCGGCAAACTTACCGATCAACAGTGTAGAGACTCCAAAATATATTGCGCCGCATCAAGAGCGTGTGAGGGGGCATGTTGACGGTTGTATCTGGATCCTTGTGGAATCTAAAAGCAATTGCCTTCTTCATAGCCAGTCCAACAAGATGCCATGTTGAGCCGCCCTGTGGACTCTGCATGGAGTAAAGAGCCAGGGACAACATGCAGTGTAAGATCTCCACCCTGTTACCAGAGCTCATAATCCCTGGGAGAAGCTTTGTTGCTTTTCGGTGGAGACCACCAGCAAGCCCCTGGAGGCTTCCCGATTCTGGTGAAAGCAAGACGCCAGTGGCCACAGACATGCAAACAACGAATACCTTCGCAGCAGAGTTCAAAGTGTGATTGTCTACTGAACCATCGGAGTCCGTGAAGAATGCATCAAAATCCGCCCATAACTCCTTCGAGTCGATATGAACCAGTTGAGACCCCACCGTTTCAAGAAAGTTGGTAAGAAAAGGCACAGCCAACTGCCTTCGAAGACCAACACCCAGGTCGCCCATCGCGGCAATCTTCTGCCCATAAGGATCGATGCTCGACTGCGATGGATTTGCGCCAGACAAGACCAACGCAGCTCGAACCATCCGACCCATCCCGAGGTCCTCCGAGAAAGCACTTGTTTCATCTCGTGGCTCTGCCATTGCACTGCGTGACAAGAATCCGATCTCCCCCATCGCAGCTTGAACAGTACTCTCGGAAGCATCTCTTCGAGAGGGTCCCAACTCTTGCTGGACAATTAGGCTGCGGCGCGATGCAGGGCGAGGCGAGTGCGGTGGTTCAGCTGGAGCATTCCTTGGGCGAGATGCTCGCTGACGTTGTAGTTGGTCATTGAGATCATCACGTTTTCTCTTCAAAGTGTTGACATAGCTGATAGAGGTCAAAAAAGGTATTCATCATAGTCGATAGGAGGGTAGAAAGATTCACCTGGGGATGGTTGCATGAGACAGGTTGCCACCGCCATTGCTGATTGGTTCAATGGCGAATTTCCGGGGAGTGCAGTGTGCACTGACTTCGACACATGCTGTACATGCAGGTAGAACTCTGTCGCACTGTTTTCGTAAGCTGCGCGGCCCACTAGACCAGAACCTATCATGGAGAACACGGTTTGGACGAAGGAGGATGCCGAACCTTTTGCTTTCGTTTCCAGCATCTCTCACATGCTTGACCCCGTTGTTTCAAGGTTGAGCTATGTGTGCCCGGACTGGCTGGGCTACTTTGCCCCATGTTGGGGGTGTCGCAGCACTGCTGGTTGAGGTGTTGTGGACGGGAAGTCGGAGGTGTCAGCGGGAAATGTCCGGTTCCTTCGTTGGGCCGAGATCGGCTTCTTTCCGCTTACCAACATTGAACGCGACCTTCTCGCCTCGGCCTGAATATAATCACAAATAGCCAGATGCATACGAGCCGAACAGACTTCAGAAATTATCACCATTCTTCATCATGGAGCCCAATGTGGAGGGCATGTGGGACACCCACATTCACTGTCTTGACCCGGCCCTCTACCCATTCAAATCCACACGCTCCTATACGCCCGCCCCAGCGCCCTTGGAAGCTTTGATCCAACAAAGTCGAGCGACTCGGCTAGTCTTAGTTCAAGCATCTATCGAAAATGGGCCGTCCGGGTTGCTTAGCCACCTTGGCCGCATTCGAGCCGATTACCCACACATACTCGCTCGGGGCATCATATGCATGGATGAGAATTGGGGAAAGTTGACCAATGAGGATTTTGATCATTTACACGGTATGGGTGTAAGATGGTGTCGCATCCATGCCTTCTTTGGCGGAAGCGCAACCGATGCTCCCCGTATACAGGAACAGATTCGTCTCTTCGCTCAGTCATACCCATTCAAGCAATGGGGCTGGGGTCTCTCCGCACAGCTTCCTCTAAAAACCTGGGCCTCCTTGAAAGATTTCATCCTTTATGACCCGGAAGTGTCAGGCCTTCGCATTATGGCAGACCATGTTGCCTGTGCCTCACCGACTGATATTGGGGGTTCGAACCTCGATAACTTTGTACAGCTGCTCCAAGCCGGCAGGGTCATTGTCAAAGTTTCTGCATTATACCGCAGGTGCGGAAAGGATATAACCCAGATGAAACCAATCATTCAACGCTTTGCCGAAAGCGCATCCTTCGCACTGATATGGGGCAGTGATTGGCCTCATGTAGATGCCACCAACCGAGATGCGAACCCCCAAGCGGCACCCAAACTGGCAGACCCCAATAAAGAGCTAGTACTTTTGCAGAGCTGGTTGTCAAGTGGTCAATTCCAAAAAATGCTGGTTGACAACCCAGAGCGCCTGTTCGGATCTTGACTGGAGAGTGCTTTCGGCAGTGGGAAAGCGAGCTCTGTTAGCTGTATTTACCCTCTAGTTTAGCATGATCTACTGCCATTAATATCAACAAAAAGCTATTACTCATGATTAAGACCTTTTACTGTGACGGGGCTCGTGTTGTCTAGCTGGGTGAAATTAGCGGAGTGTCGGAAGTTCAGGGGGTCGCCACGACTTCGGGGATTTTCCGACAAGCCAAGGTTCCCCGAAATCTGGGGAAAGGAAAAGATTTTCAGTCCACGGACCATGCCACACCCCCTATAGTGCGTTGAGCTGGGGTAAAGATAAATCTCGCATAAATATCGTGGCCTGGCATACAAGATGTGCCACAGACAAGTGAATACCTCTGATCTCTCACATCTTTCTGTTTCTCCCCGGCCAAAATGACCACCTCGACTTGCCTTTCAGAGACATCCTTTAATGGCAATGAGACCTTAGGGAAAGATCAAAAAGACAACTGGGTGGAACAAACACAGAATGCAGACCTGTCTGATGTGGTTGCCATCTATCGCTCATATGATCCCGAGTTTCGTGCAAACACTGAGCGCCAGTTGCGACGCAAGATTGACACGCGGATACTCCCTCTCGTTGTCTTGATCTATCTCTTTAATTATTTGGATCGAAACTCGATCACACAGGCTCGTCTGTATGGACTCCAGGAGGATACTGGCCTCAAGGGGGCAGAGTACCAGACAGCCATTTCGATCTTCTCGGCCGGATACATCATCATGCAACTGCCTTCTACAATTATGATGACAAAATTCCGTCCTTCCATCTATCTTGTAAGAAATGCCCGAGCGTGTAGTTTTGCAGCCACTGACCTTGATTCTAGCCGACTTGTATCATTCTGTGGGCATTCGTTAGCGGATGCACTGCCGCAACATTCAACACATCTGGCATTTTGATGGCTCGCTTCTTCCTCGGATTTATTGAAGCACCATTCTTCCCTGGCGCAGTCTACTTCCTAAGCTGCTGGTACACAAAGCGTGAGATTGGTGTCAGAATGGCTCTATTGATCTGCGGTATTCTGCTCTCAAATTGCTTTGCTGGGCTGATCTCAGCTGGTATTCTGTCAGGGATGGGAGGAGTTGCAGGCCTAGCCGCTTGGAGGTGGCTCTTCATCCTTGAGGGACTTGCTACCATTGTGCTAGGCTGCATCGCTTTCTTCGTCCTTCCAGATTTTCCGGGAACTACAAAGTGGCTCACCGAGAACGAGCGAGTCGTGGCTCAGGCCCGTCTTGCTATTGACGCCGGTAATGACACCCTTCTCGATGCCGAGGAAGTATCTATACTGCGCGGTATCGTGTGGGCAGTGAAAGACATCCGCACCTGGATCTTCGCCTGTTTGCAAATGTCCACGACGGCGTCCATCTCATACTCTCACTTCTTCCCTACTCTGATCGAGCAACTTGGTTTCAAGAATAACACTGTTGTTCTATTGCTAACCTCTCCGCCCTATTTCGTGGCATTTTGCTGGGCGCTGGCGTGGGCATGGGTGGCAGACAGAAAGCAGATTCGTTCGGTGCCTTCGGGGGTGTCTCAGCTCACTGCCATGGTTGCAACCATTCTGTTGATCGCAGTTACGGATCGGCTTTGGGTCCGTTATGCCTTCACCGTATTCCTGTGCTGTGGTACCTTCGGGGTGTATTCTACGACATACGCATGGCTGTCCTCTACTCTGACGCAGCCGCCAATCAAGCGAGCTGTGGCCATTGGACTCGCAAACACATGCGCAAACTGTGCTTCTCTGTTTGCGAATTATTTCTGGTTGGATAAGTATGAGCCCGCATATCAACAGTCGTGGGGCTGTTTGTTGGCTTTCCAGGCACTGGGAATGTCTTGCATTCTGACACTTCGGTTCATACTTCAGCGCTCTAACAAGAAGTTTGAGACTCTGGCTGCTGAAACCGACTTGAATGATCCCAGCGCCATGGCAAATTTGAATGAGGATGAAAGAAATGCTGTGCAGAACAACTTCAGATATCTTGTCTAGTGGAAACAATTGGATTAGGTCAGGATATCGAAATGAACCATACAAAGCAAGATGTAGTAGGCCCGCAACTCACAATCTACTCTTAAGTTCTATGTCTACACAATTTCCAAGTTTGTAATTGACCTTGGAGGAGTCGGTAAATCCCCGCTGAAGGTGACTTCCGGTGATGTTTGTTCAGTTTGACGCGGTTCGGAGAGCAGCCGAGAGTCGTGACACCACTTTCCCCCGCCACCTCTTCCCCGAACACTCTGTGGTTTCACATCCCACACCAGTCTTGTTCAGATGAAGAAGAAGCCGTAACATGGAGGCAAATGAACTCGATGAGGGCACTTCTCACTTGATAGAAGATGATACCAATCGCCTTCCTCGGCTACCAGCATGTCGCTTTTGTCACACAAGAAAAACCAAGGTTCGTGACTAGCAGGCGAATCTCTGGAGATCGAAGCTAAATTGAGACTTAGTGCGATAATCTTCGACCAAAATGCAGCCTATGTGTCAAACATGGGCAAGAATGCATGACCTTGACAGTGGACGACAATGAGTCGCTCACTAGACAGTATGAAGTTTCCCTCAGAGGACCCGCCACCACTACTAATACGAACAAAATCATCAGATACATTGACGATCTTGAACAAGAAGTTAAGTCCTTTGAGGAGAAACTAGCGACCATAAATCAAAACGAGCCCGTCTCCAGAGCGTCCCCAGCGCCTGTAGGCCCGTCTAACTTGCAGGACCACCGGGAGCATTCCCCAAATTTTATTGAGGGGGGTGGGATAAGGTTGGTAGGCCCACATTCTGAAAATTGAGCTTTCCTGACACAAGACACAGTTTTATGCGTTATCTGGTTGCGGACTCGGAATGGCATGAACATGATCCGAGTCTACTACAAAACCTGTCCAAATGCTCAGGACCAACCGAAGCAGGAGTCAAGCCTGCTCCTCTTCCACCTCCAGACAAGGCGCGGTTGATTTTTGATAAGTAGTACGTCAACCACCAACATATGATTAAGATACAATACCCAAAAATGTTTACTGACCATAATAGTTTGAACGGATCTCATGTCCAGAACCCTTTTCTCCTTCGGCGCGACATTCAGAGTACCTATAGCAGAGTGTTTTTATCTACTTCTGAAAACCAACAGCCTGGATTTCCTGAACAACATGCAAGCCATGATCTTTTCCGAGCTTTCATGATTCTTGCTATTGGATCGGTTCTCCCTTATCGCAACGGTGAATTTGAGCATCATCCATATGGTTACTATCTATCTGCATTGAAATTTTTCGATGATAAGTTCCTCTCCGGAGGACTTGCCTCCATTCAAGATCTCCTGCTCATCGGCCGTTTTGCAATATACCATCACATCGGTGAGACCTTGTCCATCCCAAGCTAGATGTATTCAATCTCCCGGATATATTGCTCACTGATAGCTAATATTTGATCGATGGACAGGAACCTCTATCTGGGAGGTTACTCGGCTGGGTATGCGCATGTGTATAGAACAAGGTCTACAAAAATCAACCCTCCTTAGCCGCAAGATTGGGCTTTTAGAAGAGCAACTTCAACGACGCGTCTTCTGGGAATGCTATATGATCGATCGATATAGCTCAATCACATTGGTCCGTCCGTTTGCCATCGGGGACAAATACATTCACACTGGATTTCCGGTGGATGCGAATGATGAGGAAATCGAAGCCGCGGAGGCCTCCGGTGCCTTTCCTGACCTGGACTCTTTCGGTTCCACATATTCTCTCACCTCGGTTTCTACGAGAACCACCGAGATGTCTGTCTTCTTTGCTTGTCTAAGACTCCGACAAATTACTTCCCAAATTCATCGTGAATTTGGTGACAGAGCAATTCGTCGGGATGGGCAAAATGACGATACAGCGAGAGGGGTCATCTACTCTAGTCTGGACAAGCTGCTGAAGGAACTACAACAGTGGCGTTCCTCCACACCGGTATTCCATAACCCACAAAATCTCTATCAGATGCAGGAGTGGTATGACCTCCTTTTTCTGAGGGAACGACTGTTACTGGTCAGAAAAGCGATTGATATTGTCCCAAAGCGAGACAACATTCCACCAAGAGATCTTTTGTCTCTGTGCCTTGAGTGCGCATTCGGGGCCATCACATGCTTCTATCGACTTTTTGAACTGAGGAAGATCACGTTCACTCGAAGTTACTTTCAAATGCTCTTTACTGCCGGCCTCTCCGTGATGTTCTGCTTGTCAGTCGTGAGGGACTTTGATCAATTAACCATTCGCAATGGTACCGACGCAGTGATCATGGGCGAGAACTCTCTGAAGAAAATGAGCAAGGAGCTGCCCGACGCAAAGCGCTATGTTGCCGTCTACGAAGCTCTGCGGCGGTATGTTGTTCGCAAATACAGTCGCCAGTTGCAAGTCGAGTCTCTGAGAAATGCTCATCCTACGCTGGAGGCGAACCACGAATTACCTCAATCTGCTGCACCAGCACTGATGCTTGACCCGAAAACATGCAATGGCCAATACGATGGTCGAACCCTCTTGGAAGACACTGGAGTGCTGGCTGCTGGTGCGAACTTATCTCCAAGCCATCATGCTCAATCTTCGCTTCATGCCCCATGCACCGAACCTGCATTCACCTCTGACACCATCGTTGGAATGCAAGGAGACGCAAGCATATCCAAAGATTCCGTACTTTCCTGGGATATATTCGAAGATGACGCGTTATGGAATATGGAAGCTGGTTTGAACGAGTATGCCTACGGAGACCCTCCACTGAATTTGCTGGATAATTCATTTGATTGGCACCACATGCTAGGATAGTAGAGTTTTACATGTACATATAACTGGCATTGAGAAGAAGAATAATACACAAATTTAACAGCTATGCCTTCTGCTTTTGCACCCTTTGGTTGATCTCATCATAGTTCTGGACAATTTGCTTGAATGCCTTCTGCAAGATCGCCCCGTCCTGGCCACTCAGAGACCAGGTTGCGCCCAAATTGAACCACCGCTCCAGGAGATCCAGGCGACCGCCAATGCCACCGACTCCAATCGGCTTGCCGAACTTCTTTCCGGCATTGATAATCTTTGCCACAGAGTTCAGGTACAGGGGATCATCATACTTCCCCGGGATCCCCAAGTCCGTAGTAAGATCGTTTGAGCCGATCAAAACTCCATCCACACCGTCAATTGCGAAGATCTCCTCTGCTAGATCTACAGCACCAGGAGTCTCGATCATTGGAATTAGCATTGTCTGTGCATTCAATGCCTCATTCTGCTTCAAGGTGGGGATATGTTGGAAGTTGAAGGCAGGCTGGTTGTTCGTGCAGCCGCGGGCGCCAATGGGCGCATACTTCGCGTGATGAACAATGTCCCGGACTTCTTGAACAGACTCGATGTGAGGAATCACGACTGCCGCAGCGCCGGCGTCGAGAATGCGACTGATATGCCAGTGAGACTTGGATGGAGATCGGACAACGGGGGCAACGCCGACGTAGTTGCAGGCCAAAATAAGCTGCGACACCTCGCGTAAACTGAAGGCAGAGTGCTCCATGTCAATGAAGATTCCGTGGAAACCGGCCATCTTAGCCATCATTGCAACCTCATTGCCGATAGCATACTTGATTGTCACAATTGGGGTGACTTGTCCGTTGAGAATGCGAGTCTGGAAGGGATTCGGAACGACGAATTCTTTTTCTCCGATTGAACCCATTGTGAATGTTTTTGTAGAGATGAAAAAGAACTCAAAAGGCAAGGTGGTTGCTGTGAATGTATGGAATTGAAGACTTTTGGTTATAAATTCAGTGATTATTTTATATGATGATACACTTCGACTGATGCTGGCGGAAAATGTCCGACGTGGATGGTAAACATCCGATCGGCTTGGAGGTGCCCGTAAATCTGCCGAGACACACACTGGAACTAATCCGTGCACGTTTTTTCTTGGTTCAAGCGGGTTCATAAGGATCAACATGATGAAGGAACTTAGAGAAGCATGGATGTTTCTTGCGTGGTGAGACTAGGTACGCGACCGTGCTTCTACACTGATGCTTGTTGCGTTCTTGGGCAACCGATTGACACAGATGCAGAGTGTCGTGCACGTCTTCTCTAGTAACCTTGTGAAATACGTTAGTTACATTGCTAGTCATAAATAATTAATCAGAGTTGGCATCTTCTATACGAAGAAACTGACGGGGACGATACGCGCATAGCATGATTCGACACAACTTTTTAATTCCACCCTATGGGTCCCATCCTTTAGTTTCATCCTGTCGGTTCTTTCCTAAGCGAAGGCCGATGATTGAGATACGTAGATCATGTTTGAGCAGGATTCAACAGGTACGATGGCCGGTCAAAACGCTTCGTTCAGCCTGTGTACAAGTGGGTCTACCACACTACCCTCCTTCGCTCTGAAACCATGGGTTCGGCACCCTCCTTGATTCAATACCTTTTGTAAACACAATTTATAATCTCTCCTATAAAGACCGGAGTTCAGCCTCGCGATTGCGCTTTGCACTTCCCTCTAACCCGTATAGGACATCCTCGGACATGCCAGGGATCACCATGTCAAAGGTCTCCGTGACCACGGTGTACTGATAGTATCCACACCGCGCGATTGGCTTAGTCTTTTTGATATCCAGAATTCCATCTGTCAATACCTCGTCCTTGATATGCACGGCAGTCACCCGGCCGATCACAACGTCCACGGTGCCCATCGGCGGATTTCCCGGCAGCCGCACGGTGGAATGATATTCACACTCAAATTTGACCGGCGACTCCTGCACCATCGGGACGTCCATCAGGGTCGCAGGTTCCTTGGTCACCTTGGCACGCTCAAACTCATCTACTCCGTAGGGTACTTGCTCGGCCGAGATGTTGACGGCCTCGCGGAGGTCCCAGGTCGCTAGATTCCAGACGAAGCGCCCGGTCTGCTCGGCGTTGACCACCGTGTCCTTGCGTGTGCCGTTGACCGTCTGATTAGACGAGAACATCACGTACGGCGGGTCGAACGTGAGATTGTTAAATTGGGAGTAGGGTGCCAGGTTGGCTTGGCCCTCCTTGTTCTTGGTGGAGATCCATCCAATCGGGCGCGGCACCACGCATGCCTACAACCTATTTAGCTGCAGGTCTCCAGACCAGGAACGTCAATTCACCTTGAATGGATCGTGAGGGAGATTGTGCTCCGTTACTCCTGGTCGATAGAACATGACGTATTTGTGCTTGTCCTGTCCTTATGGAGGGGACTGTCCCTCTTATTTATGCTCCCCGCAGCCGACGCATTTGCCGACGCCATTTCAAGCGGCACTTGCGACGAACGAGCCCACTAGCCGGCAACTATTCCGCTAACATCATCAACAGGCGATGCCGACAGTGGAGGCTGAGTGAAATTGATGAATAAATTCGAACTAGGCCACTCGCGCTCTACAGCCCACTAGCCGGCAACTATTCCGCTAACATCATCAACAGGCGATGCCGACAGTGGAGGCTGAGTGAAATTGATGAATAAATTCGAACTAGGCCACTCGCGCTCTACAGCAAAATCTTCACATACAAGCTCTATAACAAAATAAAATTAAGTAAATACGAAGCATTCTGTGACCCCCGCCTGATTGTTACCAGGCTCCCTCCACCCACCGCCTAACCCTTCACTGTGTTGTGGCCTGCGCCCCCGGCGGGACGCGCACGAGTGGCCCTTGTGGAAAACAAGCGTGCACCCGTTGTCTAGCCTTGCTCAGACATCTTAACCATCAGGCCATTTGTGGTGGGGTTATCAAGGGAAATTTTGGGAACTGAATGAGTTATTACCCATCATCTCACTTACTTTTCATGCATACCTCATGCATTGACCACCACTCGGTACCTCGGAGCCTCGGGGCTCGCTGTCCTCGGCCGCGTCCGAATTGTGCGGCATCCCGAGAACTCTGTAGAGGAATCGGCTATTCGCTCTATTTCTGTCATTTATCCGAGATAGCCGTGCCGAAGTTACTCAGCGTGATATACAAGCTGGATGGATCGCGTCGTCAAGGAGCTGCCATCCAGATCTACAAGTCCAGTACATGCAATACTGCTATTCAAAGCAGATTTTTGGATCACATGGTCTCCCGCACTGCCGATGTCATGCTTAAAGAGCGACGGAAACTTGTTCTTGTGGCGCGGTAAACACGCTGAGCGATATTCATTTGCGTAACATGTTGGAAGTGAGCCGTGCTGGTGCGATTATCTTTCCACCTGTGCCGGCGTACTATATTCGGACTGCATGAGTGAACGATTTGGTTGACCAGAGTGTGGGGCGTATGCTGGACTTGTGATTTGGACATTGGGAATTTGAGAGATGGTGGGTTGGCAGAGCGGAGAGCGATAAGGGTCCGTGTCGGATTGATTTGGTTTTGCATCTTTCTTTGCGTCTGGTTGGTGTCATTGTTATTCCCTTCGACAGGTGCATCATCATCGCAGAGACGGGATAGACTATGCAGGCCGCATTTGCCTGTTGGTGCGGTCTCAGGCGGTATTATTGCATTAGCTATAGAGTATTAAATCATATTGGGAATTCAATCTTCAAAAGACACAAGACTTTGATCGGTTGAGGTAGTTGTACGTATGTATCCCCAGGTTGCATCTGGCCCGTTCTATGACCTTCTCTCACTCGTTTTGCCAGCACATCAGAATACTTGGCCTTGATTGACTCATTCCGCAACCTCATCATCACATGTGGCACCTTTTTCTTGGGAATCCATGGTATCTCCGTCCCATTTTCAGAGCATCGAGGATGGTCTGTCAGCAGTGCAACGCAGTCCCCATTCGCTATAATAGCCGTAACATTCAGCTCGACAATCTTGTCCCGCAATGGGGCGTAAATTTCATTGACAACGTCAGCGTATTGGCCCTGAGGCAGGTCCTTGGGGAAAATTAACGTTTGGGATGCCGGCACTAGGACGATTCTTCGAACTTGGAAGTTCATGCCCAGATTGTAAAAATCTATAGCTCTTTGCAGACTGGCTGTTTGCTCATTACCCAAGGCCAATTTGACCAAGACAGGTGGGTTGGTATAGTCGAACCTCAACCGTGCGTAATCTATTGCGTGTATTACACTTTACTTGCAAAAGCTTTTGACATGGGACCAGTTCAAAACCGTGTCTTCGGTTGGATTGGTTTGTATACGCCTCTTGCTATGCGGCGGCCTTCCGCAGCAGACCGATCATCTTCAGAGCCTTGTGCTTCCTTCCTACTATAGCTGCACCGCACCACCTTGCCGCGGGTCAGAATGCGTTTTCTTGTACTGCTTGAAATTCCTGAGTGTGTTATTGAAGTCTGGGGGGCATGTCCAGAACACTCACAATGGCTGAGGTGGAATCATTCAACCCTCCGGGGCAGTCTGATGGAAAGAGCAGCGAGTGATGCAAACATTACTTCCAAGTGTCTCAGGACTCTTTCTCTACACTACCTTTCTAAAGCGGCTAGCTACAACCTGAAGAGCAAGCGACAAGCTGGAGGATAAATCCGGTACGTATAGTAGGACAAGGCTATATACAAGGAAAGGCAGAGCGACACGCCCTGAAGCAATCAAACAGTACAACAGAATCGTTCGATCAAAGAGACAAGGAGGAAGGGGAAGCAAGGAAACCAAGAGTATTCTCGCCATGCCAATTAAATGCGGTATGTAGGTTGAGTGTTGAGAAGAAACAGTGATTCAATGACAGGTCAAGAGAGGATCTCAAACACGCGAGTCCGGTTCTCATGGCTCATCTCGTCGTGCACAGAACAAAAACAAAAACACAGACAACGCCGGACCTGGTCCAAAATCCCGGCGACCAACCACCTCGCACCTATACAGAACAAAAGAACACCGTGCCAGCAGAAAAAAGAAGCCAATCCGGCAGAAAAACATGTAGGATATTTTTTCCAACTCCAAGAACCATGAGCAGACCCAAGTAATCAATATTCATACTCCCAATCACACTAGACTTGAGCTTTAGATGACGACCACGTCACCCTCAGCGTCCGCTGGGTCCGAGGCCATCATGTCTCCGTATTTACCGACGGCCATCAGGATGGGGTCATCTTCCAAGTCGATGGCACTATCGTCGTTGTTAGGTGGCTGAAAACCCTGCTCCGTGAGAGAGAAGCGCTTCTCATTGGCCGCATTATTCGCACCGGAGTCTTCAGTTGATCGACGTCCCACGGTTCTGTCCTGCGCGCCGTTTGGGCCAGACTGCGAATTAGTACTTGGCGGGGGCTGCGAGTCCCTGGGTGCCTCGGATGTCATGAATAAGTCCTTTTGCTCGGGGGAGAAACTCTGTTGGGCGTGAAAGTTGCCCAACCCAGTCTGCTCCGGACCGAAGGTTGCGTTTTGTAAAGATCCAGGACTGTTTCGCATGAAGCCACCCTTTTCCGCTTGCCAAAGCATCATCTCATGGAAGAACACCTTGGTCATCCACCAGGCGCTGAAGCTGGCCGCACCGCCTAGGGTCAATCGATGAAGAACGCTGTCCCACAGAGCATCCACCTTTTCAATAATGCACTGTGTCTGGTGATGGCTGAAGATTGCAGGCAGGTTTAAGATAAACGACACCCATTTATCCGGGAAGTTGTATTCGTCCCCCGCAGCGCTTTCCACGGGGAACTTGTGGGCAGCCAAGTCTTCTTCCAGATCAGGTTTGTGGAAAAAGGGCAAGCCTGCTGAGGTATCCGGATCACTCAAAGGAGTGAGCAGGGCCCGCAGATCGTGCTTCAGAATCTGCTCGGTTGCTCGCTCAGCGCAAGTCGGAATGTTGGCCTTGGTGAGCATATCCTTAGGGTCAACAAGCGTCTTGAAGTCGAACCACATTTGGTTCCGGTTGTCTGGGTGGCAAAGCCAGGCCGCGGCGGCATTAGCAGCCTGGTTCACGTCCAGCATATGCTTGAGAAGATTGCAAAATATGTGTGCCGGGATCAATCGCGCTAGCGAGACGTGTAATGGTTGTGTCTTGAAAGTGTCGGCAATGTGGCCGCAAAGTCGCTGTGAAATAGAGCCAAAAGCATCAAGGACCACCTTCGGGACTACCTGGGTCGTGAGGGGTGCAACAAAGGCAATCATCTTCTGGTACATCAACCAGTCACACTCCTTAATCCAGGGTGCGAGATTTGGGTGTGTTAGTAACTTCTGGACCGGGACGGTCAAAGTGCCATGAAATGCGGAGAAATATTTTAGAAGGTTGCGCTCCTTGCAGTACCGGAAGCTGTCGATCACCGAAATGCAGTGTGACCGATAGAGGGCTGCAAGGGCGGCAGCCACCTTCAAATCTGTATTTGCAGGCAAGTACCCTTGAATGTCAGGGAGTTGCAGAGAGTCGTTTTCAACCGAGGAAGGGATTTCGTCTGTCGGGAATTGAAGCATCTGATGGATCATTTTTCCGGCCTGCTGCGCCACATTGTCGCCGGTGATGGTGGCATCCGAACCAGACGAAGGGTGAGACGGACAGTTACAGCCCGCAGTAGAGGCATTGGCAGAAAGTCGTGGTGCAAAAGATGTCGTAGGTGAAGGGAACACGGCGGTGTCCGTAGTGGGCTGGGGAATGCTCACGCTAAAACGGCCGTCAGCGTGGGCACGCTCGTCGGAATGAGTGTCATCGTACCTCCCAACGCGCATCGCGCTAGCTGGTCTGCTCTCTGGAAGGCCAGCAGGCATGTTCGGATTCGGAGCGGCCTGAGGATTGAATGGCGAAGGCTTCTGCTGCTTTTCCTCAATTACCGACAGATCCACGTAGTGATACTTGGATTCGCCCCGAACACCAAGACGTCGAGTCTGGACATTTGGGAAGATAATTCGAACCAGTTTGCCAAACGATGCGGGATTCAGGACCGAGACTCGCTCTGTCCCGCATCGCTCTGCGTAACAGCAGTACACCCGATCACGCCGCACAGAGCTGGTGCTTTTCCGGCAGTTCTCTCGCAACCTATTGCCTGAGGTCAGATCTAGTAGATAAAATAAAGATGTGGGTTTCCTCACCAGATCATGGCAAAAACCTGCTTCACCTTTTCAGCCTTGCCACCACCACCTTCGTGCTTCATGACTTCGGTTGCCATCTGCTTCATGGTGTATCCTTCGTATTGGCGAAGCAACTTCCGTAACTCGTTGTCGTTCGCAAGGGTCGAGCTGGAGCCTCTCTTCTTCTTTGGGCCCGCTTCTGAGGTCTCGTGGTCGTCCAAAACATGATCCGGCAGATGGTTCTCCACACCACTGTCATACATTGATGGGTATTGCGAAACATTGGGCAGACCGTTGGGCATATCGGGAGGTAAACTGTGGCCGTGCATTGCATGGTGTGAAAAATCATCCGGGCGGTTGATCACGTCTTGCATGGTATGGTCGAGCGGAGCGCCATTGGACTGATGCGACAGGTGGTGTCCGAAGCGCATGATGATGTCTTCCGGGTTGTTCCCAAAGACATGTTGTCCCCCTGGAACCTGGGAGGACATGAACTGAGGAAAGTCGCCGATGTGCTGGTCCTGGGTTTGTTGGGTGGTGCTGGAATGAATACTCGCTGTAGAGCCTCTAGAACGAGGACGTCGACTGTTTCTAGAGAGGACTGTCTCTGAACGCGCTCGCAGAGCATCGGCTGTGCCCGGTCGACTCTGTGGAGCCATCTGGGTTGTTTGCGACACCGCGCTTCCTTGCGAAGGGGCTCGGACTGAGGGAGGGAATGGGGTGTTAGCAATGAGATGCGACGCGCAGATAAGCGGGAAGGCAGTCTCACCAAGTTCGTGAGGCATTATGTAGTCGGGCTAGAGGTGGTGTGGTTGTCGAGAAGCCCGTAACCAGGGAGGTGGTCTGTCGTGTTTGGGCTGGTGTTGATGACCATTCGAATTTGGCGACGTGTGAAGGGGGAATGGGAAAGAAAAGAACGAATTAAAAAAAGAGAAATTCACCAGACTCAATGCAGCCTACAACGGGTTTGCCGAACGACCAATGCTGAAGTCGCCGCCGCGTTGGGAAGTCGAGATGGGATGATGGGATGGACGATGATAAACAGCGTGTTGTCCGAGCGACTCAATGTTTTGGTGCGGGTCATGTGACTGCATTCCGAGCAAAACAAACACGGATCACGTGACATTGATTGCCCTGAGTTCGTGGCATGAAAAACTCCGCGATTGCATACTACTGAAAATTTATTGATGCTGCAACAAAACAAGACAACAGAACTGTCCACAGAAAAAAAAAACCAAATGACAAGAGTGGGATTCGAACCCACGCCCCCTTGCGGAGATCAGGACCTTAACCTGACGCCTTGGACCAACTCGGCCATCTTGCCGGGATGATTATTGGGCTTCCAATAAGAGCTACTCCTTGTAATATGGTATTTCCTGCTTCGATAATTGTCAATTGCTTTGTTTCAACTCAGGCAAGTTGATGTCTGAATGCCAAGGATCTTTGGGTTCTGCATCGGCGAAAATAGTTACTAAATTAAATCCACACCGTACGTTCAGGATTGTATGCCACCGCTCGGGCATTGCCTCCTCACAATTACCGGAATCCGCGGCGGCCAAGAGACTAACTCGTCGGGCATTGCTGCCGAGTGGTTCAACTTGTTTCAGTTGACTAACAGACGCCAGTAACCACGGATCTGAGTCAGTGGGGCATCTCCACACAACCTAGCTAGAATAATACAGATCGGCAGGGATTCGTCTTCGCCAATTTTGTTTGTAAGGCAGTAGGGCTGCGTGATGTCACCGGTTAGGGGATCGATCAACACCTAAATTAATTAGTCCCCTCATCTCTTTCCTTCATTCACTCATTGTACATACATAAACCATGCACAAGCTCAAGAGCAAGGTTGACCACGAGGTCGACCACCTAGAAGAGGCCTTCCGAGGTCGGAATTCCCCGTCTCCAGGGCCCCCGTCCCCTACCCCTCTATGCTAGGCACTGACCCTCAATTAGGATCGCACCTCCACCACGCCAAAGCCGAGGCGTCACACCTGAAAAACAAGGTTGGGAAGTTCTTCAACATCGTCAACCGCAACCACCGCCACGACGAGGAACACGAGCAGGAGACGGATCGTAAAAGATCTGAGATCGCCGACTCGCACCGCTTCAAGTCATTTGCGCCTATCCGCGAGGGCAACCGCATTAAGTGGTACGTCGATGGGGTAGACTACCTCTGGGCCGTCTCCGAGGCCCTGGAAAAGGCGACCGAGACCATCTATATTGAAGATTGGTGGCTCTCCCCGGAACTCTTCCTGCGTCGGCCGCCTGTCAACCACCAGAAATGGCGTTTGGATCACATTCTGAAGCGTCGCGCTGAGGCCGGCGTCAAAATTTATGTCATTGTATATAAAGAGGTTGCTATTCTCGTCCGGGTGATAGATATATATATTCTGACTCTCTCCACAGGTCGGTCAAGCCCTGACGTGTAATTCCGCCCACACCAAGCATGCATTGCAAAGCCTTTGCCCAGAGGGAACACCTGGACACGGCAATATCCGAGTGTTGCGCCATCCGGACCACAATGTTTTTGAGAATGCAGCCGACATGACACTCTACTGGGTAAATATCCCGCTACAGGTCATAATTTCCCTAGATTAACAGACAGACAGGCTCACCACGAGAAATTCATTGTCATTGACTATAACCTGGCCTTCATCGGAGGCATTGACCTCTGCTTCGGACGGTGGGATGCCAACCAGCACCCACTGGCAGACGTCCACCCAGCCGGCCTGCGGGACGACATCTTCCCCGGACAGGACTTCAACAACAACCGGATCATGGACTTCCAGAGTGTTGAAGACTGGCAGAGCAATGAGCTGAGCAAGGTTGACTTTGGCCGCATGCCGTGGCACGACGTGGCCATGGGACTGGTAGGTGACTGTGTTTATGACATTGCGGAACACTTCGTCCTGCGGTGGAACTTCATCAAGCGGGACAAGTACAAGCGCGGCCATGATGTCGACTGGCTTCTGATGGAGGGCCGCACCGGCGACAATGAAGATATCATTGCCGTGCAACGACCCAAGTATCCTTGCGGCGAGTACATCCAGCACCCGCTCACGCCTCTGTCGACCAAGGCCCGGGGAAAGCAGGGTACTGTGCGTGCTCAGATTGTGCGCAGCAGTGATGATTGGAGCAGCGGTATTCTCAATGAGCATAGTATTCAGAATGCCTACTGCGAGACCATCCGCAATGCCCAGCACTTTGTTTACATTGAGAACCAGTTCTTCAGTATGTGGATCTTTTTTTCTTGCCTTCTTGGGACATACTGACCTTGCGCAGTCACCGCCACGGGTGAGCAGCAACGGCCTATCTTCAACACTATCGGCCGGGCCATCGTCGAAGCCTGTGTTCGTGCCGGCAAAGAAGGCCGCAAGTTCCGGGTCGTCATTGTCATTCCCGCCATCCCCGGCTTTGCGGGTGACCTGCGGGACTCTGCGGCGACGGGCACACGAGCGATCATGGACTACCAGTACAAATCGATCTGCCGCGGCGAAAACTCGATTTACGGGCAGATTGAGAAGGAAGGAATCGACCCAAAGCGTACGTCTTTTCTGCATCATCCCCTCACAATCAACTAACAATCGTCAGAACACATCTTCGTGTTCGCCCTGCGCGCGTACGACCGTATCAACAAGACTCCTGCGCTCCAAGAGCTGGAAAAGAAAGCCGGCGTCAACTACCAAGATATCCAGCGCGGTATCGCCGAGTCGATGATGAGCGAGAGCGTGCATCCGTCCGTCGGTAACGAGGGCGACATGAACGAGAAGAGCTACGACTTTGACAAAAGCCAAAAGGAGGAGAAAGTGCAGAAGCTCGAGAAGTTCGAGGAGCAGGTGGAGCAGGGCCGGGTGGAACAAGGCGATGCCAGTCGGGACTCGGTGGCACATGTGACCATGCTGAATGGAGGCAAGATGGTCGACGAGCCCTGGGAGGGTGATCCCGAAGCCGAGAAGGCCAACTTCGTCCAGGAGGAGCTGTACGTGCACGGCAAGGTGTGTATCGTGGATGACCGGACTGTCATCTGCGGTAGTGCCAACATCAACGACCGCGTAAGTTTTCCCTTGTTTATTTTTTTCCCCTTGTTCTTTGACCCTGATCACAAAACTGATACCGGCGCAGTCCCAACTCGGCTCCCACGATAGCGAACTCGCCATCGTCATGGAAGACCAAGACTTCATCGACAGCACAATGGACGGCCAGCCCTACCGCGCGGCCCGGCTTGCAGCCACGCTCCGCCGCCAGCTCTGGCGCGAGCATCTAGGCCTCCTCCCAGCACAAGACTACGACGCCAGCAACTCCGCGAACGCGCGGTCTCCCGATGTATGCCTAAACGAGATCCTCGAAGGGGCCGAGAACGACTTCGTGACGGACCCGCTGAGCGATTCGGTGTGGGATACCTGGACAAACCAAGCCACCACCAACACAGACATGTACAGACTGCTCTTCCGCGCCGATCCCGACGATAACATCAAGACCTTCGAGGACTACGATCGGTTCCGCGGCGCACGTGGGTCACACAAGGAGGGCCATCTGTTCGATCCGTACATGCCTGTCCAGGACGTGCGCGAGAAGCTCGATCGCATTAAGGGCCATCTTGTTTGGTTGCCGCTGCAGTTCCTTCAGGATGCAGAGATGGCGGAGCCTGGGTTGGCAGTGAACCAGATCACGGAGGTGAGTGCAGTTGTGAGGGGACGATGACTTTCGAGGCTTTTGCTGATAATGGGTGGTTGTACAGAGTATCTACACGTAATTGGCACATGCGGCGCAGCACATCCGGATGGTATCCGAAAGACGAACGGGGTCTCCTCGCGGCATTTCCATTTTTTGGTTCTTGGTGTGTACACATACAGATGGCGATCCAGATCAGCGTGATGTACATGCATCCTACCTACAGTCAATGCCCATATGGACAGATATACCCACTTACCATGGACCCTTCTGGCCCTTGATCCTCCCAGTACATTATCTCGCATGCGAGTAGTATGTGCAAGGCTCCGTACAGTACTTTTCAAAAGTGGATTTCGTACTTTCGTCCTCCCGCCAAATTAGAGTTACAAAGGCGGTCCTTAGAACCCACAATGAAAGTGAAAATGAATTGGAATGGAAATGATTGACATTATTGACATGCCGCTAGTGACTTCCTCCGTACAGGACGTAGCATTGGACTTGGAATTATTTCCCGCCCTCTTTAGCTTTTAGTAGTAACTTGCTTTGATAATAGATTGCCTGTCCGTTCTCCCGATTGGGTACTATGCATATCAATCAACCTTCGAACCACAAAAAAGAAGTACCTAGCTCATTCAGGCCCCCTCGATTGAAAGAAGTACTGTGCAGCGAACCAGGGATTGTTCCTGACAATCCGGCGCGATAACCGTTTCTAACGCTGAAGACGACGCATCACTTTTGTTTTTCTGTGTATGGATCTGGATGCGCTCCCAATATGGCATGACACAGCGGAAAAGAGCTCCGCGCGTTTCGGATGGTGCGTGTTTCAGCCTCGTTTGCTTGATATCTTCGCTTGTTCGTGTTCGTCCATGGGATGTGGTTGGAACTGCAGTGGGCTGGACTGAACTGTGGGGTATGCATGGTGGTGTAAAAAAAGCCGAGATGCGTGGGTGGCTTTTAGTCGGTCAAGACCGTAGCCGTATGTGTGTATTTAGACTTGTCGATATTGTAAGTCGACATTGTACGCTAACACTATTGGTAGAGAAAGTTTCTATATCCAGGCAGCGAGATCGAGGATCCTGGCTGTTTCGGAGGGAGAGTCGGGGGAGGAGGAAGAAGAACCCTGCAGAAGAAGTAAGGATTGCATTCCCTGTCCATGTCCATGTCTACGTGACTGTACTACGCATGCACACTACCGTATCCAGAAACAATCCTGCAGGGTGCAACACCACTGCGATCACCTCCGAGATCTTGGGATCTTTATTGTAGTTACCATGTATGGCCCATCCTGTTACATCTTTTGATTAATAGTAATCGGTAGTTTAGTCCCTTTATACAGTAGTAGTACCTCGATAATCATACACGATCTCTCTTCCCTTCCGAATACCGAACCATAGCCTAGGCAAGCCCATATCACTCTAGCAACACCAAATTCAAAACGCCATCCGGAAGTGTCTGGAAAACGACCGGCCATGCAGCGAAACTTTTGGAAGTGAAAGGCAGGAAAAAAGCCGCGAAAAGTGAAAAAGAAAAGGGGAAAAAAAGAGAACAGAATGCAAGCCATGACACCACCAGCCAGGAAACAAGCGCACACGCTCATCGCCGAAAAGCAAAACCAGAAGAGAAAAGGATCGACCGACGGAAGCAATTGGTTGGGTCCACGTATTTCGAAATCAGGAAAGATTGATTCCTGAGACTGACCGGGATCAGGAACCCGTGAACCAGGATGGCTCGCTCGGAGCAGGGTTCATCCCACGCACCCTTGCAGAGCGAATAATGGCGTAATGGTTCATGCAAGAATCTCGCAACTTCCCATGGTAGCACCCACCTCCAAGCCAGACATAGGTTAGCCCTTGGTGTTGTGGCAGGCATTACAGCGGCAGTGGCCACAGATCTTGCAGCGCCAGATAGCGACAAAGGGACCGGAGGCGCAATCAGAGCAGCGCCACGTCAAGATATTGCCATTTGTAGCCTGGACGATGGCGAAGATGTGGCCGGAGCACTGGTTTGCCATGCTTCGGTGCTTTTGCTTCTGAGAAGAAATTAGACGGGCCAATTGCGGCAAAAGATGGCTTCCGACTTACTGGATATGGGGACTGCGGGAGACCCGGGAGATTGGAAGGTGGTGTCGATCACCTCGGGAGGATGACTGTTCCCGTGAAAAGGAAAAGGGGCGAGAAAGTGCCGAGTTGAAAGACGGGAGAGAGAAAAATGGGCGGGAGATGGAGAGAGAGGATGTGCAGGTCAATTGGGTTGTTGAGAACTAGAGGGCATCCATTATATTTATACAACTCTGTTTCCCGACCCAGACGAGGATGACCCCAGTCCCACCGAAGAGGTGACTCGGAAGGTCTGCCCGGTGCCGATTTATGACGATGCAGGTATCCAGCTTCGAGATGAAGACAGACACCGGTGTGCGTGCGCGTGTGCGTGTGTGTAGCTGAAGTGTGTCAGAAGTTTAATAAAAAAAGGAAAAAAGGGAACGAAAGAAAACAGACAGAGATAATTCTTGATAGACGATCTAGAGAAAATAGGCGAAGCGGCAGCGCACCATCGCGATGAGCTCGCGTCGGACACTCTTTATTGGCAGGTCTCGATGGCAAAACCAGAATTTGGCGCGCCGATCGACTCGTGTCGGGGGTGTGAAAGATACAGACGCGTTGGACCCGGCTGGAATGATAGGTTCCCTAACCCCCTCGCAGATCGGTGGATTGACTGCAAAGGCCCGGCGATCGTGGACCGGGTCCAGTGTTGGACACCCAGAAAAATGCTCCGGATTGAAATGGAAGAGGTGATACATCACAATCTATAGACGCTTGGGCCATCCACATGGCCGGTGTATGTGTCGACTAACTAACTAGCTGACCTAGTAAGTACTCCACGGCAATTCCTGAACGATCGCCCGGGACAGCCTTCCCGGCTTAGCCTCGTCCCAATTCCTTATTGCGAATGGAATTGTTCGTGGATAGCTTAGCGCCGGGACCTAACTAACCTACTAACTGACTAGTTGTTACGGCGGATTGTTCTGTCACATTTCTCATGATTGGCGCTGATCCTTTCCGCCCGTCACACACGAACAGGGGTTCGTCGTGGACAGAATCTGGAATCCGGCTGGTCGGGAACTTCCAGAATGATTGGGAATCGGTTGGCGAACAAACCGGACACCGACTTTCTTTTGACGCTGACGGGGTGGCTGGCAAATAGACAGGGGTATAGTGATAACTATGCAGGGCAAAAAAAGAAATATGTAGAAAAAGAAATGAGGTGCCGAGGAAGATCATCTCGGCAGGCCTAAATAGGAATACAGTCGACAAAACATCGATGGACATAAAAATGGGATTTAGTCATTTAGACTTTAATTCGATTAATATAAAAAACCTATGGTATGTTCGAGGGGTTCTCTTGCACCGCTTCCACGCCCAAAGCCGGGCCAAAAGCCCAGAAACCGGTGCCTTCGTCCCTCGTCAGCCACGTCTCTCCTCCAACCATCCGAAGACAATCTGAGAAAAAAAAAACAGCCGTGTGTTTGCTCTGCCAACGCTCCGTTAAGAACACCTCGTGGGACACGAGATGCTCCTGCAGTACCCAGAGTGGACTGCATCGCTGGGTGGGTGGGAAAAAGAACTACGCGAGGAGGATTGTCAAAGAGTGATCATGGTCACTGTCGGGAAATCTCTGAGGAGGCCGATCATTCGGTTGATCCATTCAAGTGTAAATATGGGTACAATCCCCATCGGGGGAGGATATCATGTATCATAGAAATCTGTAACATCAGTAAGGCCATTGTATGCAAGCAAAACGCCGCCCGAGGAAAGGTCTCGTTCGATCGGAGGGAAGGATTCGTTTCAATCATTAAGGTGGAAAAGGGCCGAGACGCTGTCGGCAGCAGTTAGTGGCATGAACTTTCACCATGCAAGAAACAAAAGACAAACCTTTCGCCATAGTGATGCCGCCGGATGCTCTCGGCCAGCAAGGACGAGACGTCGATGACAATCAATTTCTTTGACCGCCGGAGCATCGCTGGCGAGATCGGGAAGGTGTTGGTCACGACAATATAATCAATAGATGGGCACGCCTCCATTTGGTCGAGTGAGTCGGCCCCAAAAAGGCCATGCGTGGCAATGCAGTAGACTCTGCGGGCGCCGCCGCGCTTGACTGCCGTTTCCGCGGCGGCGATCCACGACCCGCTCTTGTCGATCATGTCGTCGACAAGAAACACCGTCCGATCACGCACCTCACCAACCAGCGTAATGGTCTTCTCGTGGTGGTCGTTGCCAGCCACGCTGCCCTCGTCGTCCGACTCGGCGGCGTCGAAGGATCCGCCCAGGGCGTGGTCCGGTGGCAGTGAAGAGGCATTGGATATCATTGAGTTGAACATTGTTTCTGGAACCACTTCTGTGTTCTCACCGGAGGCGCCCGCTCCAGGCGTCGTGCCGCCAAACCCGGCCTCCGACTCGGCAAGATAGTCATCGTCGACCAAGTGGCCCTGAACCAAACGGCCCGTGATGACGTCCCGCACCCGCACATCCGTATACTCATCTGCGGCCTCCAGTTCTGACGGGCGACGAGCTGCAGGGGGAGTCTCCGGACGCAAGAGCGCGCGTGCGACACTGGCGGCGGTCGGCTGCTCTACCGGAGCGGGCGGCGTGGTCTCGTTGCTGTGCAAGTGCAACTCAAACGGCTCTTGGTCCTTCGGCACGCGGGAATCCTGGTCCACTGCATCGAAGAAGACCGTACTATCCGTCATATTCACCTTCGGTCGCCTGCGGTCCGTCGTCACGATCCCGAAATTGAGTTTCAGTGTATCGGCCAGCGAGGTTACTCGCTTAGTTCCGCCAGCGTTCTTGCTCACTACCACCGCTTCTCGCCATCCGGGTACATTCATCTGGATCCAGCGAGCGATGAACGGTTCGGCGAAGAGGTTGTCCACGGGCTTGCCGAAAAATCCTTGCATCTGCGACGCCTATTGCCCATGTCAATATTGCTTTCCCCTCTGACGATCCCACAAGACATACATGGAGATCCATAGTAATCACATGGTCCACACCCGCAATCGTCAACAGGTTGGCGAGCATGCGGGCGGTA